GATTTACTGACTTTGAACTGATCTAGTTACTGACCTTTGAACTGAATTCGCGACTGACCTTTGAACTGATCTCGGTACTGACCTGACTAATTGCTGATCAGATTTGATGACTAATCTACTGACTGTTGAATAAATCCAGGGACTGATCTACTAATCGTTGAACTAACCTTTGAACCGATCTAGGGACTGGATCGGGGACTGATTTACTGACTTTCGGACCGACTTTCGAACCGATCTAGGAACTGAATTTAGGATTGATTTACTGACTATTTGACTAGCTGTTGATCTGAACTGACTAATCAACTGAATTAGCTGTTGAACGGATTTGCTGACTAATTTACTGACTATTAGACTGATCGAACAACTGATCCAGGGACTGATCTACTGACTTTTGAACCGACTTTTGAACTGGCCGTTGAACTGATCGAACGACTGATCTAAGAACTGGGATAGGGACTGATTGACTGACTATTGATCTGATCGAAGATCTGATCGATCAACTGATTCAGTCCCTGGTCCAGGGACTGAATTACTGACTATTGAACTAATCTAGGGACTGATCTGACTAATCGTTGAACTGACCTTTGAACTAATCGAACAACTGATCCAGTTCCTGGATTAGGGACTGATTTACTGACTATTTGTTGAATTGATCTAGGGACTGATCTGACTAATCAGTTAACTTACTATTGAACTGACTTAGGGACTGATTGACTGACCTTTGAACTGACCTTTGAACTGACCTTTGAACTGATCTAGGGCCTGATTTATTGACTATCCTACTGACTGTTGAATCGACTGTTGATCTGATCCAGGTACTGATTAACTGACTGTTGAACTGACCTAACAACTGATCCAGGGATTGATTTATTGACTGATTTACTGACTGATCTCCTGACTGTTGAACTGATCTAAGAACTGATTTAACTAATCGTTGAATTGACCTTTTGAACTGATCCAGGGACTGGATCAGGGACTGATTTACGAACTGATCTAGGGACTGTTGAACTGACTGTTGAACTGACTTTTGAACTGACTTTTGAACTGATTATCGCAACGAAACTTTCTCGGTCCTTCGGACGGATACTGCCTTTTTTACCTGACAACCTCCTTTCCCTTTAAACCCCCTTTTACCCTCAAACCCCCATATATCGCCTTCCGCGAGGAAAAATTTTTTCAGCCTTTTTTTTTTGTTTTTTAAAGTCCCCGTAGCTCGCGTAGGGCCGTACTTTGAAAAATAAAAAAAAAAGGCTGAAAAAATTTTATTATTAAGTTTTATTAAATTTAATTATTTAATTTTAATTAATAAATTTAAAATTTTAAAGTTAAAATTTAAATAATTTATTTATTAAAAAGTTTCGATTTTTTTCGATATTTTTAAATTAATTATTATTTATTAATAATATAATCGAAATTATATATTAAAAAATAATTATAATAAAAAGTTTATACTTTATTTTTATTAATTAAAATTAAAATAAAAATTATATTTTCGTTTTTTTTAAAAAAAAATAAAAAATAAAATTATTACGTAAATATAATTTAAAATTAATTTAATTAAATTATTTAAATTAATTTATTTAAAATTTAACGGTTTATTTATATTTAATAATAAATAATTTACGAATTTTTTAAAACGATATTATTTTAATCGTTATTAAATAACGAAATACGTTAATAAAATTTTCGATAAAATTAAAAAAATATATATATAATATTATTTTTTTATTTAAAAATATTTATTATTTTTAAATAATAAACCGAATTAAAATTTTATATTTATAAATTAATTACGAAATTTTTTTTTTTTAACGTTTATAATAAGTTTTATTTTATTAGAAATTTTTTTTTAATTAATTAATAATTATATTAAAAATTTATTTAATTTTAACGATATATTTTATTTAATAATTCGTCGTTTTTTTATTTAATAAATTTTAAATTTTAATAAAATTTTTATATTTTTCGAATTTTTCGATAAATATATATATAAAATAAAAAAAACACGTACGGTTATAATTAAAATTAATCGTAATAAATAAAATAAACGTTAAATTATTTTTTTACTTTATATTAATATAAACGAACGTATATATAAATTTTTAATTATTTTTTATAAAAATAAAAATATTAAATATAAAAAAAAAAAAAAATTATATTTTTTAAATATTTTAATATTATTTAATAAATATACGTATAATAACGAAAAAATATTTATTAATTAAATATAAATTAAATTCACGTAATATATTAAAAAAAATAAAATATTATTTACTATAAATATTACCGGGTTTTATAATATTAAATTTATAAAAAAAATATTTAAAAAAACCCGGATTTTATTAATTATAATTTCGAAAAAAATAATTAATTACATTTAAATTTTTAATATATATTTAAATAAATTAATAAAATAATTACTTAAAAACTTTCACGATTTTTAAATTTAACGTTGAAAAAATAATTATAAAAATTAAAATATAATATTTTTATTATTTATAATTATAAATAAATAAAAAATTAAAATAATTTTAATTATTTAATAAATAATTAAATTTTTTCGTTAATTTAAATATTAATAAATTATACGTAAAAAATTTATATAAATTAAAACATTTATACGTTTTAATAAATCGTAAAATAATTTAATTAAAATTAAAAATTTATTTAAAAAATAATATTAAAAATTTCGAAATATATTACGTTAATAAAAAAATATCGTTAATATCGTTAATTTTATTATTTTAATTAATTTAATAATTTTTAAATTAAATAAAATTAATACGAATAAAATTAAATTTATAAAATATTTAATAAATATTATAATAAACTTTTATTTTAAATTAATTAATAAAAAATTAAAACTTTTATTAAAAAATAAATAATTAATTTAAAAAAATAATAAAATTAAATTAATAAAAAAATTATTACGTAATAATAAAAATTACTTAAATTTAAATATTTAATTTAAATAATTATATAATAATTAATTAATATTTAATAATATTATATTTTTTTTTAAATTTTTAATTAATTTTTAATTTTAAATTTTATATTTTTTAATATTATTTTAATTTTTAAATCGTATAAATAATTTTAACGTTATTTAAAAATTTATTTTAAACTTTTATTTAATATAAAAAAATTATTTTTTTAAATTTTTTTTTTTAATTAATCGTAATATTAATTATTTTCGTTAATTAAAAATATATTAATAAATTCGTTAAATAAAAATAATTATCGAAAAATAAAATTATACGTAATATTAAGTTCGAAATAAATATTATTATCGAAATTAAACGTAACTTTTAAAATAATAAAAATAAATTAATTAAACGTTTTATATTAATATAATAAATATAATAATAAAAATATTTATAAATTATTTCGATTTTTTAAATAATAATTATTTTATATAATTTTATACGATTTATTATAATATATAATACAATATATATAAAAAGGTAATAATAAAAATAAAATGGAAAATAATTTAATGATGTGTTATTAAATTTACCCCAGATTTTATTAACTGAAAAGGACTAAAGCAAAATTAAAGTAGGCCCGCCGAGCTGTAAAATTGTTAGAAGAAGGCGGTACTTTTCCTCATCGTCTTCACAGTACGTTTATAAGCGAAGTCAGCAGTTCTCCTCGCGACGTCAGCGGCTATTTTAATAGACCGAGAATTGAACGTGGAAGAACAATTTGATTTACGAGTATCTCCTAAGATGCGAAGACTTCTCTGATCTGTTTCCGATCTGTCGTTGGAACTTTTCATTACCGCATTTGAAATTTACAACCAAAATATGAACGCTAGCGAGAAGAATGTATGCAAGGCACATGAGTATTTCTCGGGGAGGCTGGGGTTTCACAGGACATCTTTTGCAGCCTAACAATTCACATTGCAGTATCTAACGTCATCAACAAAGCCATGGATCTCCAAATTCTCTCAGTGGGGAAACACGATACCGGGTTGAAGTAGTTTCCAGCCGAACCCGAATCTTTCCCTTCTCGGTCTACGAGGCTCGTCCAAATATGCTTCTGGCATATGTCTTAACTCAGGATTGGTGTTATGAGCCGAATAGATCTGAAGCCTTCGGTTTGTGTTGATCATTTCCTTTCTCATCTTTACCTATCATGGGTACCTAGGGAATCCTCTTCGTAAAAGTCTTCGTTCAACATGTACTCGATAATGTTGTCGGGCAACACAACGGATTGTCTACACATCTATACCGCCTCTTCATCTTTCCGAGGCTATGACAGATGAGAAAAGGTTAGATGTCCTACATTTCAGCCCTTCTATGGTAGCAATCCGTTCCCATGGGATCGTGGCTACTACCAAAACTACGAAGCTTGCTTACCTGCACTGTGACCCGCAAACATGCAATGACAAAGGAAGCCAAATGACCTTAAACATTTTCAGCAACCGGACGAATCATAAGCTTTTTCGGATTCCAACTAACTACCAACTTACAGCGATACGTTAGCGACCTGCTGTATTCGTGCCGTTCCACCACATGGTTTTTGTATGAGGCCGATGCTACGCTGCCTGTCAGTTACGTCGTTTACCCCAACTTTTCCAAGAAAGCGGAGTAGCTCGTTAGGGTGGACAGGGCTAACAAAGCCGTAGCTGGGGATCGTCCGGGGCTTGCTGGGTTCAAATGTAGGTGAGATTAATAAATTTCCCTAGCTCATCTTCCCTGTCGAAAGACAACGTGATGAATTCGCCTACTTTCTTCCATTGTCCAACCAAATTATGTTTTGCCTGACGGGGGTTTACTTCTTTGATGGCTGAATTCATATAAGTCGCGAATCCTTCCCCGGGAAGTTTTTGGTTTTTGGTTTACCTCTCCTCTCCCACCGTCTACCCGTCAATTCCGACGAGCACAAAGCACTGGTGTCAACAAACAAAGCGTGTCTAACTCCCGAGTCAACATGCGTCTGCACACTGGTCTCGCGTCCTTGGGACTTTTGCTCCCACTTGCCTCAGCTCAGAGCAATTCGTCAGCCGGTGCTGGACCTGACGAGAACGGCTTGTACTGGATCTATGGCGAGGGTATCACGGCTGCATTTATTACTTACGGAGCCTCGGTTTCAAGGCTCTTGATCCACGACAAGTATGGCGTCGAAAGAGATTTGGTAGCTGGCTTCGACAATGCTACTGCTTACACACTTGATCCGGCTCATCCTCATCTCGGCGGTGTACCGGGCCGATACGCAAACCGTATTCAGAATAGCACGTTCGAGATTGATGGTCAGACCTACCATGTCGATCCCAACGAGAACCCCACTTCAGAGGCTCCTGACGGCTCCGACACATTGCACGGCGGCCACGATGGTTGGGACTACCGGAATTTCACTGTCGTTTCTCATGCGAATGATAGTATAACATTTTCCATCGTCGATCCCGATGGCAAAGAAGGGTTCCCCGGAGAGGTTGTGTCTTACATCACGTATACCCTCGGCAAGATGACGTGGGACTTGAAGATGGTAGCCCTCGCAACCACGAAGAAAACGCCCATCATGCTAAGCAGCCACGTTTACTGGAACCTGGACGGCTTCGCCAACAACGAGACTAACACTGCCTTGAACCACACCTTCTACCTGCCCCACAGCGGCCAGCGAGTCGGCGTCGACAACATCCTCATTCCCACAGGCGATATTGTAGCCAACAAGCAAGGATCTGTCAACGACTTCTGGAGCACGCCGAAACAAATCGGAGCTGACCTTAAGAAGCCTGAAGCAGAGGGGAACTGTGGTTTCAACTGCACCGGTTATGGTAAACTTAATTCTCGCTGAAGAAAAGCATAGCCTAAAAACTAACGCGTTTCATCTAGATACTTGCTGGCTTGTAAACCGAGGCCAAGAAGGCCCCTACGATTGGCGCGCGGAAGGAGACTTCGTCGCGCGTCTGCAATCGGAGTGGTCGGGCATCCAAGTGGAAGTGTACACCGACCAGGAGGCTTTCCAGATGTACTCGTGCAACGGCCAAAACGCGACCATGCCGCTCAAGACGACGCAGGGCATACACGACAACGCGGACTTCCCGCGCACGATCCCGCAGTACGGGTGCCTCGTCATGGAAGTTGAGGACTGGATTGACGGCATCAACCACCCCGAGTGGCAGCGCGGCAAGAAGCAGATCTTCAGCCCCGGCGGAGACCCGTACGTCCTACAGGCTAGCTATGTCTTCAGCATCAACGACACCGCGACGTCTTAGGTAGACGGACGCGGTGCGGGTGGTAATGATAATGGCGACGGCCTGAGGAGTGACGGTGCGGTATATAGAAGCAGCGGCTTGTTTATAGTGCTTGGTGCTGTAATACCTTACCTAGTATACTTACTGCCGTAAAATTATAATAAATTAATTATGGATTGATACTACATGGGTTGTCGGTGGGGATTCTTTTTGGTGAGTTTGAATGGTACATTTCGGGGCGTCTTATATGAGAGCCCTGTAAGTGGTTGTTTAAATAAACATTTTCATGTGATGAGCTTGGAGGTACAGGATTCACCCACCTCCCGGATGAACGGGAAATAGGAGGCTTTAAGAAAGGCAGTGCATTAATGACTTCGTTCTTAGGTACCTAACTTTTTATTTATATTTTTATAATATCGACTTCTCAACTAGAGACCTTAACATCCCTCGTTCGTCCTAAACCTTCCCTAGCATAATAATCCATAGGATACACGCCACTCTCCTTCCAATCCTGTCGCTCGTTCAACGCAACCAATGCCTCGTACGGCGTCAACAGTGGTCTCGGAAACGCATACCCCCAGTCTATACTCAGCCTTGGGCACGCGACCTGGACCCAGCACTCGACATCACTCATCATAGCCAGCTTTCCAGGGAATATCTCGCTAAGCAACAGATTCACCCACGGGATCCCCATCTCCTCCAACTTCTTCTCAATCAACGTCATAGTATGCGGATTCCCCTGACGACCCAACGAACCGAGAATCAACCCCCACTTCTTAGCCCTCTTAGCCGTAGATATAGCCTCGCGTCGAAGACTCTGCATCTCCTCATGCCCGTACGTCTCGCGCGTCAGCTTGCGCGAGTACGGATCATATCGGTACGCCGGGATCGACGGGTTATGTATCATAATACTTTCAAGATGGAAGCGGCCATCGCCAAGGTACAAAATGAAATCCACCCCCTCCTCATCCGCCAACCGCGGAGACGTGCACCCCAGAATCTCCCCCTTCGACAACGGCGCAATCTGCGGCACCACGACGCCGAACCCAGCCTTCTCAAGCGCCGCCCGCACGCCGTGGATCGTAGCATTGAACTGGATAGTCCCGACCACAGCAACCTTCTTCGGGGGCGCGAAGTTGCGCTCCAGCGTAGCGAGAAGGTGCGTCGCATCAATACTAATATCCACAAAAACGTACAACACACGGATCTGCGTGACATCGACGGGAATCAGACAACTATGCGCATAATGCACGAGCAAATCACAGCCCAGCGCGCGCGCGGTGTAATCGTCGATGCAGCACGCCCCGTACGTCACGTCCCCCATAATCAGCGTCTCGACGCCCGCGCAGAACTGCGTCAGGATGTCCGAGATCGTCGTCGCGAACAGGAGCAGACCCTCCGGCATCTGCAGCGCTACGCGCTTTGCGCCTGAGCTCCGGATCCGGTGGATCGTTTTGTGGATCTCGAAGGAGTAGTTCACGGGCAGTAGGGAGATGGCGGCTTTCAGCTCCGGGTCGTTGAGGAGGTCTGCGGGGACTTGGTTGAGGAGGCGCGGGGCACGCCGGGGTTGTGGTGCTTGTACGGCGCCAGTTTCGGGGGTTAGGGGGCTGCTGGTGGTGGTGCTGGTTCGTGAAGACCCTGCTGCGGCTCTACGCCCGATGAATCTTTTCTTGGGCTGTCTTAATGTTGATGAGGGCGCTGGGGGCGCCGCATGGGCCTCCTCGATGTCGGCGGCGATGCCTAGATCGGTTTGCGCCCGATCATCCTCCATTTTAAGTGAGGTGAAGTGAGATGCGATGTGATGCGGAATGAAAGAGTGACCTCGATTATTTAAGTGAATTTACTTAAATCCCTTTCGGGATTCCTGGTAGTGAGATATAGGAGTCACGGGTGAATTGTTCATTGAGGACGCTTTGAGGTTTAAGCGAAAAGTCAAATTTGAGGAAAGTCTTGGTAGAGGCATATTCCGCTATTAGGTAAAACGAGCTAAAGACATATCACCAGTAGCTAAATACTCACCCAATTAGGTTCAAGTAAATCTTTAGATATTCGGATCATCACATTGAATTCCAATGAAGAAAAATACCCTTATGTATATTAAAACGGCTTCCATATAATTCATATTCACATTACCCCTACCCAAGAAACACCAACGTCATAGGTACTCTAAGCCAACGCCATACTAGGCATTTACGGCCTTCCCCAACAACAACACCGAGCTATTAGTAACCGTATCATTATACGCACTAACCTCGCGGAAGTACAGCTCTGTGCTGTGTGGCGTCCCCTCCTCATCATCACTATTAACCCCCCCAAAAGAGAAGACCTGGTGCGCTGAACCAACGCCCGTGCTATAGCTATTATCGCCTGGCCTCTGGTATAACGCCGACCCGTTCTTCCACGTACTCAACACCGCGCCGGAGAACTGTGCTACATCCGCACCGTCAATTCCCGCGAATGCCTCCAGGCCGGATGGGAACACGGAGTCGCCCCGGACTTCATACACTAAACTTTGGTTGAGATCTGCGCGCAGTGTTAAATTGCCTTCGGGCGAGTACGCCGCTGAACTGCTGCAGTATAGCGGGTAGCTATAACTAGCAGAGTAGTCGTAATCCAGCCCCGCGCCCGTGGCTGCGTCGGCACCTGCGATTCCGAATGTGTTAACATTATTGTTCCCGTAGGCGTAAACTCCGCCGTTATTCGAGTACGACAGGGATTGCGTCCACGTTGCCGTGCCCTCGCCTTTCTGCGTTTTAACGTAGGAGCTGATGGAGAGCGTGCGCGTTACGGCTAGCGTGTAGTCGAGGGTTTCGTTGAAGCCGGTGGAGTTTTGCGTGATACGCTGAGAGAAGGAGATGCTAGGCTCGCTAGAAAAGGTGCTGCTCATCACGCCGGTTGTAATGGAGTCTTCATCGTCGAGCCAGACGAAGATTTTGCCTGTGATGTACCATTCGCTGTCCGTGGTCGAAGAGAGCTTGGCACTAGATACTCCATCGTCATCTAAACCAAGGACCTGGATGGTGAAATTGTGGCCGTTTCCGTCGGAGAGGAGTGGCAGCCAAGGGGTAATGTCGATCTGGTGCTCCTTGATATCGAATGCTTGAACTCCGACCACTGGTCGGTGTAGTTGAGGAACCACACCACCAGTGTATATGACCGGGAACGGCCAGTCAACTCCTGCAAGATGACCATCGATCAAAATTTGGACTTCGCGGAAAGGTGAGTACCCAGGGTACACGCCGTACACGGCATCGAAGGCGTGTATTGCGCTCTGCGGCACATTACTCCACCAAAATTCCTCATCGCCCTGGCCTTTGACGTCTACAGTAAATACGGCCCGGTTCGCATTCCGAGGAAAGCTAACTATGTTAGTCGCATTCTGTGCCGGGTAGGTAAACTGGCTTGGCAGCCCCTCAGATCCCGTGCGTTCGGAGATGGGAATAATCAGGTCGGCGGGACCTCGACCGCTGGCCGCGACCGATGAAGACTTCCAATAAGTCGCCGTAAGCGTCGTGTTAAGAATGCCCGTGTAAGTACTATCCACGATACTTTCAAGATCGAAAATCAAAGTCTGTGGCTCTTTCCAAAGCGACAAGAACGGACTTAAATCTTTAAACCAGGACCAACGGATACCGTAAGAGGTGGGCTCGGCAGTTGACGTTCTCCATACTTCCGTGTCGCTGAGGTAAAAGACGCCTGTTCGATCGTATTGTCGTCCTTTTACCTCGACAGTGAAATTGATAACAACATGGTCAAAATCATAGTCTGGCGGCGTGTAATTGGCTTGGCCAGGTTAGAATTTCGGAATGATTTGTTCAAGGAATGACAATCCAAACCTACCAACGAAAGGTGCGCCATAGCTGTTTGCGAATGAATGTTCCATCAAAACTACCGTATGAGCCTCCTCAGCTCCAATTGAGATTGAGATTCCATTCCCAGTTATCGAGACGCCATCGCGGAACAGAGCTCCTTGAGGCGTCAACACCGGTTCGGTAACTTGGAAGCATTCCAACGGCGTGGTTGTAGCAGCAGGCGCGTCATCGGTTGATGTGATGCTAACCCCGCCAGCTACGAGATCCTTGAATTTGGCAAAAGGACTACGTGCTACTTTCGCATCCTTCTCAACGATCTTCTGCGGTGGATATCTCACGTCGGGGTGTGCGAGGGAAAATCCAACGAGAAGCGTAACCAGCAAGACCCATTTCGTAAAAAAGGCGCGCACGCTGTCGCTCATGAGATTTGGGGTCGACATTGGTTCCTCAATTGCTCAAGTCGGGTTCTTAGAACGCAGACGAGGACGAGTCGTGCATTCGAAAGAAACAGGACACCGATTCCACCTCAAGCACGACATTTCCCTTAAGATGCGCGATACGACCCTTGCTTGCCATGGATATATGCATTCCGGGACCGCGGGCAATTTGCAAAATATGGGCGCTGATAACGATTGCACGGCAAATCAGCCGAGAATAGAAGGTGATAATGCCAAGGTCTATATTTGCCTAGACCTTTTTAGGGATACGCGGATTCTCTATTTCTACTTTATCAGTAAGCAGATCGACGTGAATGACTACGACGGTCAAATGGTATTAATTCTCATACCAATTTGAGTAAATGTCTAATGGGGCGAATAATATCTTTTCTCGGTGAGATTTACTAGTTGATCAGGTGGATAGGTATGTTTTAGAAGGTTATAAATTCCTTCTGCTCACCAACCAACTCACCTAATATGTTCTTTTCGCGGTTGAGGAAACTAACAATAGAAAGTACCTAGGTAGCAAGACCACACATAGGATCTCTAGATAAATAATATGTTGTCAAGAGCTATGCACTACTGTGATTGAAGAGAAACGTTGACCTTATCGGTGAAAGAGCCACCTGTGTAGTGCTGTTGGTATTACCTGAGATCATTGTAAGTTGGAGAGGGCGACCGGTATTTAATCATCGGAGAAAGTCTCGATAACAAGATGCTAGAAATGGCTCTTCTAAAACTCATGAAGGGATATATTCCATGCATTGATACACAAGCAAGTGGTTACTTCCTCCACCATGGGCGCTTTGTTTCGCTGGAAATGGTGATGCTTGATATGCGACTCGTTGTCGAATAACTGGCGCCAATACTTGACTTGTCCGAGTTCCGTGCCGGATTGACTCTGGTTATTGACGACGTTGTAACAAAATTATTATTACATGGTCTTGTAGAAGAAATGCTCTCTGGTAAACTACGTATTTTACTCTCACAAACTCGGATACTCATGAGAAACCTACGATTGTCAAAGATGGTAATTTTGTAGGCCTCATCAACTGGAAATTGGTTGGCTATTGCTCGTCATAGTGGGTGTTTCAGCGAGCCAAGCTCAAGAACAGGGACGCACTCAGATTGTTTACTGTTTGCCGGATGAGTTGGGATAGCGATTACCTTGGTATATCAAAGCATGATAAGGCGGTAGCTGGAGCGCGATGGCCTCAATAGTTGGTAGTTTAATGTTGATATTATGTAGGTATAAAGGTAGTTGATGCTGCGTAGGCAATTAAATTAATAATTGACTGGTCTTTTGAGTCGGGCTGTCTATGCTGCGACGTACTGACGCTGTTACAGCGCCGTAAAATGGGGAGAACCTCCCCCACTGGTTCAATGAATAGAAAGGAGACTACAGCGAGATTCTTCATCTCATGCTATAGATTTCGCTGTTGCCCAATAGATATTTGACACTCGATGAGCTGATACTCTTGTTGACCATGATGTAAGACAGGAATAAAGTCGTCTGACTATCTGTCTTTGTTTCACTCGGATTGAAAGACACTGGCGGATGAACTGCACGTCGCTGGAGACTTAATTCGTATAAATGAATTTGGGGAGCAAACCCACATAGCCTACAGACCCAGGTACCTATTGGCAAAGTCGCCGGCTCCCCGACGAGGTCGTACCCCTAAGTGAGACATCCCTGGGTCGATGAACGCGCCAGCCGTTGGATAGCAGGGTGAGCTCAACTATGGCCTGAAAATCATACGACGGCAGCCTAGCCGCTATGTACCTATGCTGTTGTGCGGTCTTCAATGGACTGTTCTCAATTACATACTACTAGGTATGTGTGTATAATGCATTCAAAAACTTGGAAGCGAAAGAATATCGTGCGATTAGAGTATGATCTCCTTCAGAAAACCGTCGTAACCGATGTCAAATTGAAACTAAGTCGGGCCTTCCAAGTAATGATGAGTGTTTGTGTCCGAAGCGAGTGGCGCCGTTAGTGAGGACTCAGATGAGTTGATGATCTTGGAAGAAAAGCAAAATAGAAAGTACAGTGTTAGTAAGAAAGAACTAAACAGTAAATCCGGGGTAGTTTGACCGCTTCAGGGACAGTGCTTGAAACCGTCAGCGGTTTGTGGGCCTAGCCAGCAAAGAACGGGTCTTAAACGGGTCCAGAATCGACCTAGACGGATCATGGCAGTGGCTTCGACCCACCTAAAATCTGGGGGCGGGGTTTTAGCGCGCTGGGGAAGTCCCCTGAAGCCCACTTGGTGAGAACCATCACACGTGAGAGAGAGACTAACATTATCAAACTAACAGAATAGTCTTCGAGAAAGAACAAAGTTTAAAAGTTTAATAACTAAGCAACTTCGAATAAGTGAAAACTCAAAATATGGAAGAGCTAACGGTCAGATACTTATAGCCGAGTGACATCACAACCAAGCTGATCGACATCTGGGCAGGGTGCGTGCTGCCTGGTGTGGTAGGTCAGGTAATAATACCCCAATTCCTTTGTATGGGTGTAATGTACTGCCTCCCTGCCTTCCTGGTTCGCAAATCATGCAACATAGCAATCATCCTGACAATCTGATACGACGACTGGACGACTCAGCGATGGATATACGCTTATATGGGTAATGAGTGTGGTAGGTAGGGCACCGTCGCCCCGTAAGATGTGTTCTCTGGCATGTCAACCCGGGTCTAGCGAATCGTAAGCAGCGACAACCCTATATTATACCCCGGATGATTGGTTCCTCGAAACGTTGACGCAACGCCATGGTCGTCTGTTATTGGTTTACCCCGCTTCCTCTCATTGTTCCTTCCCCAGATGGTCAGTGGTCAGGTCGTGCGTTGGACCAGCACAAAGAAGGTGCTATCAAACTGGTCTGGCACTCGCCCTCCCCTTTAAAAGGCTATGGTTCCCCTTCCCTGACACAACCTTCTACATATTACACACATCTGGTTTCTTGCCTCGACCTTTCGACAAGAGTGCCGCCACCAATACCATCACATCCCTATAGAGTGATACTACCTCAGGTGCATGTTAAGGAAGCATCATACAAACCCAAGACTCCTACAGGCTCAGACTATTGATCTGGTACGGCTCTCTGTCCTAGATCTCGCCTCCCTATTCCCCGCAACTGACAGAGGTTACATGACTCAGACCTGACAAGACCCCTATCTATCAGCCATCCATCCTCAACAAAACACTTTCATCATCACCATCAACAACAACAACAACAAACATCACACATCTACTTAAACAAACCAAACATGCCCGTCCGCATCCCCAAAGCCCGCTCGACAGAAATCGCGACCTTCGGGTTCGCGGGCGTGGCCGGGTTCGCGCCCTTCTACTTCATGCTTCCGGGGGCCGAGGAACGGCTAGCGGCACAGACGACACGGTGGGCCCCGCGGTGGGAGCGGAATATCAGCTACTTCGCGCCCCCGGCCCAGCGTATTGCCCAGCGCGTCGAGCCCCGCCTCGAGCGCACCGTGAAGAGGATCGATGACCGTCTGCCTTTGGAAAAGATGGCGAAGAATGTGGATAGGAGGATTAAGTACGGGATTGAGAAGTTTGGGAAGCAAGAGTAGGGAGTGGTGATGGTTAGTATGGATCGATGATGGGATGTGGATGGATTGGGGATGGAATGTATATATACCTAGTAGGTACTGGTCGGTTTATCCAAGGCATGAGATATGATATCAGGTAGTTTGGAAGGCATATTTATGAGTTCGGTGTACTTCGTTCCGTTGTCGTGGGCGAGTACGGGCGCTTAGCGCTCTGGATGAGCATGAATGACTCGTCCGGTATGCAGTAGCATATAATCAAAGCTATTAAATGCAGCTATCATCTTCATTATACTGCCCAGGTGTGATTGTGTTCGCACAGCCCCCTAACAATGTTTAGTTAGTGGACTACTATGCAACCACAAGCCTCCGCTACGTAGCACATAGGCTCTTACCAATAGGTACCTACCTGCATGCCACCTCGCTGAATAGGTTCTAATGAATTTGCGAGTTATTATTGGAGACTAGCCGTCCCAATCAATCTACCATCTACCCGCCTATGTTTATTTGGCACAGCCCCTGTGCTGTCCAGCCTGACTTATCAATTCTATGGCTGCAGCCGCGAGATCTCTTTCCATTTCTTTTTATTCAAGCTCATTGCAAAGATGGATCCCCTTTCAGCGGTAGGCCTCGCGAGCAATATCTTGCAGTTTATAAGTTTCTGTACTGGAATACTCTCGGAGTCCCGACAGATCTACTCTTCGGGGAGGGGAACTACAAAGGAATATAAAAGACTCCAAGATGTGTGCGACAACCTAACGAGAATTACCGCTACGCTAACGCCCGAAAATTCGGCCGACTCTCTTGAAGCCCTTCCAGACGATATAAGACCCATACAAGCAGAGATTGACCTTGCACGCCTGGCAACTAGATGTAAGGATATCGCAGAAAAGTTAACCAAAGAACTCAAGTCTATGCAGCTAGATGATGCATCACATACCAGATTTGGGAGTTTTCGGGTAGCTGTTAAATCAAGACGGAACAAGGACCGAATCAATGAGTTACACCAAACAGTAAATCAATATCGCGATGAATTGATGCTTTGCATAATTACCGTCACGAAGTAAGTTGTCTTTCTAGTTTGTTTTAAGGGGGCAGACTGAGGTCTGATATAATCTAACACGTTTTAGAGAGAAGCAATCTAGCCTGATGAAGTACTTGCAAGAGCTCAAAGACGCAAAGCTCAACATGATAAATGACCATTCATCTAAACTGAACGAGATAACTAGATTGGTTAATAAAGTGCCCGACCAAGCGGAAATGGTCCTCGAGAAACACAATATACCCATTCTACTTGACTCGATTTTTCATGAACTTCAGGCCATTTCGGCTTCATCAACCAGACAGTTTATTATAGAACATGGCATTGTTCGTAGCCTTTACTTCGGCTCGCGGCTCGCCCGTCACGAGTCAATTCAAGATGCTCATAAAGACACATTCAAATGGGTTTTGCGCCTACGCCATAGGAGTAGAAGCTCATCTGATCCCCCTAGCACGATTATTAGTTGGCTGAAATCCGGAAGCGGTATTTACTGGGTGTCAGGAAAGCCTGGGTCTGGGAAGTCAACCTTCATGAAATTCGTTGCCGATCATCCAGAGACTCAAATCATGCTTGACAAATGGGCAATCTCGGGAGAGCCTACGGAGTACGTAAGACAGAACGGGTGCATCACGGCGTGCTTCTACTTCTGGAGCGCTGGAACACATCTTCAAAAGTCTACAGAAGGGTTACTGAGGTCCTTACTCTTTGAGATTCTTTCCCGCGATCCAGACCTTATTCCAATAGTCTTTCCTGAGCTGTGGGCATCCTCAAAAATGAATAGAACGGTTAGAGTTCGGAGTCAACGAAATCTCGGTATGCAACATGATGATGAACTTCATCGAGATTGGACTATCAAAGACCTGTCAGCGGCGCTGCGCCTTTTGTCTACAGCACCGACATGTTCATCAAGGCGCTTCTGCTTCTTCATTGATGGGCTAGATGAATACCATGGCGATCACCGCGAGCTTGCCAACATGCTACTGATCATGTCAACTAACAGGAACATCAAATTATGTGTTTCTAGTCGCCCATGGAATGTGTTCGAAGATACTTTAGGCCAGGATGCATCTCAAAAGCTTTATATCCACGAACTTACCGAAGGTGACATACGTAATTATACTATTTCAACCCTCCACAACGATAGGAATTGGGTGCGCGAGGTCAATAGAGAACCTAGATATAATGCAATGATCAAAAAGATAACCGATAAGGCGCATGGAGTTTTCTTATGGGTTTTCCTCGTCGTTCGATCTCTTCAGGAGGGATTAAGCAATGGCGACTCGCTATTTACACTTGATCGGAGGATACAGGACATGCCAGAGGAGCTTGGCCCTTTCTTTCGACATATGCTTTCATCTGTTCCATCTATATACCATGTACAGATGGCTCTCTATTTCTTATTTACTCTTAACTCTCCCTTTACGATCATGCTTATGCACTTCTCCTTTATTGACGATTATTTCGAAAACGAGAGCCTTCCGTTCGATATTCCGCAAGCTTCAATATACAATCGTAACGACATCGATCAACGGTTCGAACAAGCTAAACGTCGACTAAATGCTCGCTGCAAGGGCTTGCTTGAAGTACACGCGAGCAAAGATCGTAATGAGGAACTTCACTTGGTTTCACAAAAGGTCACTTTCCTTCACCGTACTGTAAGGGACTTCCTGCAGACAGACGAGATGTGGCATTTCCTCAAAGAATTGGTAGGGGAAATTCAAGTTAATAGGGTGATATTCGGTTCTCTTGTGGCACTTTTCAAGAGTCTTCCTCTTCTTTGTCCTAATCCTAATAAGTTTGAATTGCTATCACTGTCCCAAGCTCTATACTTCGCTCGCGGAGCTGAGAAAGAAGCTGAAAGGACTACCATCCAGCTACTCGACGAGCTTCGCTATGATGCAACAGGAAAACCAAGCAATGGTAAATGGGACTACACGCAGAAGTTCTACTACAACGTTGTTTCTAATGGACTATGCAAATATGTCTATTACTTGATAGACAGAAGCATATACGATTGGGACCCTATGGAAATTGCTCTCAGATGCGCTTTTTCTAACGACCTGGAGAGTCCGGATATGTACGACATGGTAGCAATGCTTTTGGATTTTACACCTGCCCTCAGCGATAAACAATGGACTGTGTCTATACGTGGCATCAGCCAAATCGAATGGGACAAAGTCGACATAGACATCGCGGAGCGTTATAAGCGAATATTAAGCCTAATACTTCCTTATGTTAAAGATATGAAGGGCTGGGGTGTAATTCTTCCTGGATTTTTTTCGGACTATATATATATACGGTCGAGGAGTGTAGCCAATGCGAGAGCTCAAATGATAGGGGAGCTACTTACCTACGAGGCAAATCCTAATGACCCGCACGATGGTGAAACGTGCTGGACGTCGCTGTGCTCTTACCTTCGCAACACATGTCCGGAAGGGAGTAATCGCGGAGATAATATTCATTTGGAATTCGTATCGGACATTACCGAACTACTCCTAAAAGCCGGCGCCGATACTAGCTGTGACGGTTCGCTGACGATAGATGAAGTTCAATCCCGCTTCCCTACCTCGCTAGCCAAGCCCATTTGCGACCTACTTCGAGAAAAAGCCGCCGATGTGCACCAGCCAGAAACCCTAGAACCACCCGAAACCTCCATATCATTTAACTCCAAGTATTTCGGGTTTTTATTAGGGGCGTTCAGGAAACACCCCTCAACTTGAAGATTTTAGGTTCCCTTCAAATTATCTCCTCACGAATATCCCAAAACGATATACGATTCCTTTTGTACTGTTGGAGTAGAATTCAGGGGATTGCCTGGCGCTTTTGATTTAAAGAGGGTACCTACCTAGGTATTCGATGGCGTTTAAAGAATGGGAGTCGGATGGCTGAAGATAGCGGACCGCCATGTACTTATACCCACTCCTTCATGGACGGATTTCTTAGAAATTTCAATTATATGCACCCATCTCGTGGACCGTGAAGCTTTGGTATGAGATCCTTACCACTATCACGACTAGCAGTGTTAATCTCCTTAACTCGATCGATATACATACCAACCCCCGTCCCCGGCCACTCCATTGCGGCGACTTGCATATTCACTACTTTAGGGCCGTTGATAAGATCTGCTGCGGCTCCGTTATGGCGTAAATACCATGCCCTCACTGGCTTTTATTGGTTACACATGATCTTGGTTCGGCTTTTCGGACTCGAGAAGAATCCGCCGCAGCTGTCTATCTTCGAATACGTACCTGTACTTCTCGAGTCATTTCATAGTTATGTCGTACGTGGCTTTGATCATATTGAGCTGAATTATGCCGCACAAGGTTCAGGCCCCAAAGACTTTTGCCATCTTTGAAAATCGCACTCAAGACCTTCCACATTTCAGTGCGTCTTCGAATTGACGCGCGACGCAACCTCGGAAGATACAAGTATGGATATGTACCTACCTAGTACCTATACTAGGTAGTCAAAACGTTGCGACTCTCAATATTGCAGGTTATGGGTGCTTCTTTCGGGCCCTGGACTAGAGCCATCGAGCACTTCTAGGGGAAGCGGGAAATGTCACCGTTTACAACACAGTTAACCCTATCATGCAAGCCTAATAAACAATTAGGAATGGCTCATACTCCCGCTTTATCTTTTACTAACGTAATCGGTAGGTAGTCAAGGTAACTTGCTGTAATCTGAGCTCCATAAGATAGGTTGGCAAGTGTATATGACAATACGAGGCCTCAATACCCCTATCGTGGAGATTCGATATCTTGGACTGCGAGTATGCGCTACGCGAAGAGCCTAAGGATCCCCACAAGCTCTTCCTATTACCTATACCACTAGATGCCGAGCAGCTTCCGCGGTTGGTAGCGCTCACCACCAGTCTAGCCAGGGAAGCCGGTGTAAGCCACACGATAGCGCCCTTCACACCCAGCACCTTAAAGAAGCAGAACTTATCTACCTTAAAAATTTATGGGATTTTACTTTGGATTGCGCTGCTGATGGATTAATCTACCTCAGTCTATGTAGGTAGGTACAAGAGTGAAGCTTCCGCATAAACACACCGCGTTCAACAGGGGAGTTAATGAGTCACCAGTAACCCAAGTTGACTATAAGAATCGCGGACTGCACCCCTTCTCCTCAAAAAACCCCTAGCCAATCTCTACGAACTTCATCTTTCCGACAATCATGTTGTCACTTCTAAATGCGGAATTATTCCTATGATAAATGGATAAAAAATAGGCAGGGCGTGAAACATCGTGAGTGAAATATTAGGGTCTTAGTTATCTTATATTCTAAATTTTAACATATCAGTACTTCATGTTTTTAGAAAAAACGGGGAAGGGCGAGACCGCTCCCCCGGATCCCGATACGCCGTTCGGGGCTGGAGTGTTTGGATATTCAACATCAGTCCTATCTGATCCCAAGGGAGCATGTAGGGGGCCGTAGGGCTGCGTCAGTTGACCCGGCTGCAACCCCATCTTCGACCAATCTCACAGTTCGGATAATCTAAGCGGCTGCCATATTTGGTCATGTTCTTCAAATAACATAAAACAGATACCAGGGCTTGAATATGTGGCTGCGGCTGTACGTCGAGAATCCTTCCAACGGTTATGATAAGATAATGTCATGAAGTTGGGATGCATCCGTTGTAACGTCCAACACCAAGCTGAAGTTCAAGATGTTTCAAACTGGACTTCATATTTTCACTGACGAGAAGTCCTACGATCAATGATCTTGGAAACCAAATACTTATACCCGTTCTTTTGAGATATATACTTGATAGATTTCCTCTTCGCGATGCATTCAGGGGTTAGTAAAAGCGACATCTCCTTTGTTACATTCTCCCCAAAATCATCTTAAAGGGCTTCTGGGTAGTTGACCTACCCAAATCCTCGGCGATAATGCTCTGGTATCTTATTCTGGTTAATTTTCTGGGGGTTTCGGCGGTGAGGTTGCGTCCAGGTTTTCCGTCACCGGCAACATTGGCAAATTTGACCCCATGCGCTAAAATATCTCGCCTGGCTAATTTAGGAGTCGCGTCTAATACTTCAGGTACGTGGATATCTAATACTTACTATCTGACTAGGCGATTTGTTGACTTATATATTGGGCATAGCAACCATTCCAGGGTCCTTAGCTCTTGATTGCCTCCGTTCAGTGCCAAATCGGCCTCAACCGGCACAACAGCTAATACAAAGCCTCAAAGCATTTGTAAACTGGCAGGCTACTCTTCCATGGCTCAAGAATCCTCCACCATCTTATATGCTTCCTCCAGTTGATGTCCAAGGAAGCCTAGACAACATCTCTTCCACGGCGGCAGCAGGGGGGTTTGCCAGCGAATATGACTTCCAGATTGCGATAGTCAAAGCGGTCACCGCGGCACATGACGGTCATTTCTCATACGTTCCGGATGTGTTCAAGGCCTTCTCGTTTAAGAACGATTTAGTAGCTGATCTGGTATCTGTTTCAACAAATGGCACCGCTGTGCCAAAACTATATCGACTATGTAAGTTGAAGTCACTAATATATCAACCAAAATTCGGCAGTACCCCGTTCTCATACGTAAATTTTACTTAGCTGCCTTCCAATCCAATAACGGGACTCCTCCAGCTGCAATCTCACAGATCAATGGTCAGAATGCCACTAGCTTCATGTTGGATATGGCCTCGCAATTCAGTAACGCTCAAGATATCGACGCCCAATGGAACTCGCAGCTCATAGGCTACACGAACCTGCGTAGTTCTAACGATCCTTTGGCTGAAAGTGTGCTATTCGTAGCCCCTAACGTGGTGCTTACATATGAGAATGGGAAGTTTGAAACCCAGGAGACGAAAGCTCAGTTGAACCCAGGTGTAGACTTCTCCAAGATCATCTCAGGGGATGCCTTCTACGACAAGTTCTGCAACCCGGACGCGGCTTCGAATACGACTAGGGTTCCAGCCGCCGTAGCACCACGGTCTAAGCCGAGTGTGTCTAAGCGCGCGACGGTGAAAAATGGCTATCCGGTTCCTTTCATTGAAGAGAACACTATGGGTACCACCAAAGGGTTCTTCCTCAACGGAACGGGAGTTGACGACGTAGCCGTACTGGCCCTCACAGCTTTCGAGGATAACGAACAAAACACATATTTGACAAACTTTCAGGATACTATAGAGGAATTCTTAACGCAGAGCCGAGACACTGGGAAGCAGCGGCTTGTCATCGACCTCACGGAGAATGGTGGCGGCTTCGTCATGGCTGGCTTTGAGCTCTTTGCACAGGTTCGACGGTCCCAAAGCACACATCATTTCTCTCAATACCTTGCTAACTTGATAACAGCTCTTTCCCGGCGTAAATCCATTTAACGCCAATAACATGCGTCTATCAGATAGTCTCGCAAACATCTCTCGTATACTCGCAACTTTTCCTCAACAGGAACAAGTAAGCAGTGCACAAGCCTCGCCCCTATTGAGCAACCTATCGCCCACGGACCTATTCAGGCCTCAAGGCGACAAGTTTACCTCAGTCGACGAACTCCTATCTCCCGTAACGCTGCAAGGCGATAAGTTCACCGCATACATCGAGCAGCCCTTCAGCGCCGTCCCCAACTTCACCATGACCGGGACCGGGAACCGGTCAACCCCACCCCCAGCCCTCTTCAAACCCGAAAACGTCGTGCTCCTCACCGACGGCAACTGCGGGTCCACATGCACCATATTCTCCTACCTGATGATCTTCCAAATGGGGATAAAAACCATAACAGCAGGCGGCCGTCCTCAAACCGGGCAAATGCAATCGATCGGAGGCACGGAGGGTTCCCAAGTCCTCGACTTCAACGAAATCTCCGAAATCTCAACCGCGGCCATCCTCAACGTCAAGGACCCCGCACAATCTCAAGCCCTAAAGGAAAGCGAACTAGGCGTGCTAGCGCAGGGGTACGCGATAAAGCGGGCGTTGAACCAAGACACGCCGGGAAGCGTGAACTTCAAGAACGCGTTTGCGCCGTCGGACGCGCAGACGCCGCTGCAGTTCCTGTACGAGCCGGCGAACTGCCGGTTCTTCTACACGTCGGACATGGTGACTTCCGCGGAGCTGACGTGGCGGTATGCTGTCAACGCGACGTGGATGGATCCCGGGACTTATTGTGTGGAGGGGAGCGTGGTCCCGGTTAATACGACGAAGGCGGCTGTAGATCCGGCGTTCGCGAATGCGACTGCTGCGGATGCGGGGGGTGCTGGGACGGATGGAACGGATGGGACTAGTGGGACTGATGGGACAAGCGGTACTAACGGAACAAGTGGCACGGGCGGTAGTGGCGGCTCTGGTGGAACTAGCGGCACCGACGGGTCTAATGGGGATAGTAACGCGAACAATGGGACGAGCGGAGACGATGGGAATGCGGGAGGAGCAAATGGGACGAGCGACAACGCTGACGACAAGAAGAATGCTGCTGAGGGCGCGGTCGAGGGTAATATCTTACAGACGGCGGGGCTGCTGGCAGCGCTTTCGGTGATAATGTCGTGTCTTTAGAGTCAGGGAAAGGTAGGTACTAGGTAAAATGTCAATTCAGGAGATCTATGACGGCTGGGTCTGGGAAAAGGGGGGGAAGGCGTAAATAGAGTAGAAGGAATACATGAGATATATCACTAAATACCTAGGTACATAGTCGTTACTCTTGCACAATTCTAGCAGCTTCATTTAATCAAATCTACCATCTTCATGAGTGAAGGGGGCTCGTAATGGTTGATTACATAACCAGCCCCTATATCCAAGTCACATTCGAATCATATACCAATCTCACACCATCACCACACCAAAGCCTCATAGACAAGTTTTCTGCTGCTTGATAGATAACGATAAATTTACATGCTAACTTGATGATTCCACTATATTCATCACTAAAGCCTAGAATATATCCTAATAGTAAATACTGACCTGACTAGTAGACAATAACATCCATGACCATCATTCACCGAGGTACCTAGTGTTGCGCGAACGAACCCCCTCCCCGTTGTCCTCCCCTGACGCCGAGGGGTCAAAAAAGTACAAAGTAAAGACAAAACCGACGATATAACCCCGCAATGAATAATGGCGCCTGGGCTATGAAATGACATCAAGTGCGGCTTTAACGGGCCATTGGAAAGAAGGAAATCCCGGTAAGCGTATCTTATAAATAGGCCTACAACCTTATATACCATCGCCGCCCTCGACGTCCGGAGTCTCGGCGGCGACCTCCGCCTCCTCCTCGTTGTTTCCTTCCTCCCCGACGGGCTCGTCGGGTATTATTCCGTTCATCCGCTCCCAAACCTCCCGTCGTATCCGGTCGTCTTTAGCCTTTCTCGCCCTCTCCACCTCCTCAAACCCGCCGCTCTTCTTGAGCTTCCCGTCCTCCACGAACTTGGTCAGCTCCTTTGTTAGCGGGTTATCCCGCCGACTTTCTAGCTCCTTTTGTCGTAGCTTCTCCGCGCGCTCGATAGCTTCTAACCGATCCTCGTGGTTTGGCTGTAGCGCTCTGACCTCGCCCAACACGCCTTCTTTCGCGGCGCTAGGATCGGAGCTGTTGCCAAGATGATGTAGGCCCTTAGAGAATTGCCTTCCGGTTGGTGCCGTGTCCTTCATCTGCTCTTTGGTAGCTTGCTCGACGAGCGCAAAAGTCTCCGAGGCCTTTTCGATGTCATCCTGCAAGTCGACCATGAGGTCCTCCATAACCTTAAGCTCGTCACGGCCTTGGCAGACTTCCTCTAGCTCCTTCTCCCAGATCTTGGTCCAGACAGGTTTCTCTCGCTTCATGTACTCCTGGACCTTCTTGAGCTCCTTAGTCAAGACTTGGATATCCTTGGACACGCCTTCGAGTTGGCGTGGCAAGGGTCGCACGCCGCGATTAACGACGTCCTTGCGCAAGTCCTCAACAAGGTCCTGAAGATCATCCACTCTGGTGACAAGGCGGTCCGAGTCTGAATTGAGTTGCTTACGGCCCTTGGTCACATAAGCATAACCTGCATCGCCCTGTCCGGCAGGCACCGAGGCCTTTGCCGCCGCAACCTTGACATTAGCCGCCTTGCCCCGTAATGAGGACATGGAACTCTGGATCTCGGTCTGGAAATTCGAGTATGTCTGTCGCAAGACGGCAAGATCGCGACGTAAGCTTTGCAACTCTCGAAGCTGGTTGGGATTGAGCTTGGCGCCAGCACCAGCTCCACCAGCTTTAACGCCATCCATCATGGGTGGTGGTGCCGCAGCCATACGAGCCATCTCTTTGGCGGTCTCTAATTGCCTATCGGACACCCTTTGTAGAGCTGATCCCTGGTCCGTGACGTTCTGCTTCACCTCATCCACCGCCTTCTTAAGGGCCCCGATGCCTTCGTCGAAATGCTTCTTGACCTCGTCTAGCGGTTCGACGTTTAGTGCAAGCACCGTACGGTCTTTGATATCGGAAAGGTCCTCGAGCTCGTGTCGTATCCCGGATACAGGATCTTGGATATATATCTCCGGCAGATCACTTCCATTCAAGGCTGTGTTCCAGGAGAACTTTTCGATAAAAGCGAGTTGCAGGCGTCCGATCGTTAGATCGGTATAGCCTTGTGGAAGCACAAATTTCTTAACCTTAGACTTGTATTGTAAGAACAGCGTAAGCTCCCTCTCCAAGGGTGGCGATTGATCTTGTACAGGTTGCTTCTGCTTTTCTGGAGGCGTTTCAGGCCGCGGTTTCAATTCCGTGGCTGCATCTATTTCTATCGTCGGCCTTGACTTCTCAGGGGACCCAGGAGGGGCTAATATTGGAAACCCGTCGTCCAAAGGTCCGGATATAGTCGCACTGGGCTTGTATTTATCGTCTGGTGACCGGGCGGGCGGGCTGTCTTGTCGAGGAGGTAGTAAATCGGGCTTAGGGCTTTCTTCGATTATCTTGATAGGCACCCTTACTGGCGAAGACGGTTCGTACCCGTTTTTGGACTGGTTGGAAGTATTGCGATTATGACGTAGTGATTCCCGAACTTGTACTGCTCGCATCGATTCTCTTACCTCGCCACGACCTCGGTTTGGTATCGGAGTATTTTGAGTAGGTAGCATAGGCACGCCGTTAGTCGGGGCTCCCAAATGTTTAGAAATCTGATAGGCAGAATATCTCCGAGAGGCTCTTCTCTCTAAGTCTCCTCCTCTTTGTAAGGCAGCAAGGGCGCTCTGTTGTGACTTTGGCGGTGGTGGAGGCGGGGGGAAGGAGTCGATATCTAGATTGGCTGCTGGACCTGTAGGTATCGTAGATTCATCCCCAGGATATGGCGCAAGCACAGGCATGTTCTGCATTGTATTGCTTGATAGCGAAGATTGTTCGGAGTTGAAAGATGCGTTCGACTGGTCTCGGGGAAGGACCCGTCGATTTGGGGAATGGTTGATTCCCAGAGGACCTTCATTTTGCTGTGACGGCGCAGCGTACCCGTTCTCGAGGCCCTCGTTTAGAAGTGATGTGAGACCAGTATTGTTGCTCCCAGTAGTACTACTACTCATGGTGCGGTTCGCAATCCCGGTACTGGATTCGGGAGAGCTTCCGCCGTCTTTATCCCGAGTTTGTTTCTGTCTTAGTTTCTGCTGTTTTCTTTTTAAGCCGTGTAGAAGGTGAATGATTATGTCTCGTATACGGGGTAGATATTTCTCCAGACTTTCGGTATTCGCTTCTTGGCTCAGCGTAGCCTCCAGTATGTGTCTCAGGTTTTCGGGGACGTTTCCTAAATCTGATGTATCGACGTTGATTGCAGTAAATGCGCGACAGGCCATATTAAACTCATAGCCTAATCGAACATAAACGTCAGACACTTGGGTGTCGGTAGCTTGTCCGCGCGACCACTGTGTTAACGTTTCAAGAAGTTGTTTCGTCGCGACCAGTAAATGCGTTACGCTTTTTTCTATTTGCGAAAGTGGCATCGACGAGCCATTCGATTGCTGTGAGGATGGCATATGGTCAGCATCGTATGCGGGAAACAGCGGACGAATGGATTATTGTATTCGGGCTTTTGGAAAAGTGAAAGGAAACAATGTGTGAGTTCTGAGAGGCGGGGAATGACGACAAAGAATAAGATAGAAAATTTACACAGTATCAAGAAACAATACCCATTCGGGTTATTTCTGCACTTGTAACTCTAGCTCCACACTCACATTTCTCCTTGAATTACTTCCAGCCGATCTACTTGAAGCCGTGGACGAGCGTGGCTGCATGGTTGCTGGCGACATCGATCGCGTAGGAATATTTGACGAAGCACCATCGTTGGGTGCTGGAGACCGTCGCTGTAACGACCGTTGAGATGGATTCGGAGCCTGCATCTCGACCTATATTTTTGAACTTCTCTCTTTCTCCTTCTCCTTATCTTCTATATACCCTTTCCCCTCCTCTTACTTCTTTATTGAGTTAATATTTCGTCCAAAACTCCAACTTTACTTCGACGTTTCAGATAATTAGGCGCAGAATAGTATCATTTGTACAAAACAGAATCGAATATCGGAAACCAAAGAACAACGCGACAACGAGATGTATTGACAGAGCTATGGTGATTTAAACTTGGGGAAGCGGGTCGAAAACCGAGGTCGAGCCGTCGTGGATGATGACGGAACAGAACCGATGAGGATTTGCCCGCGTGAGGCGCGACGTCGAAAAGGACGAGAGAGCCCGACCAACGCTAGTCCCATTTTGGTTAAGGACACCCAGGGGCAAGGATCAAACACGGTGACGTTCGGAGGCGGGATAAAGTTGAAGGTTCACGGGTCCTTGGCTGATTAAGAATGGGGGGTAGGGGTTTATTGTGGTCATAGCGTCCCGTCTAACCCGTCTGCCCGTCCTACTGCCCGTCGCAATCGAGTCTAAAAAATCTAAAGTTCTAGGTTCCCTCCCTCCTTCCAAGGTTGTCCTCGTTCCCGTTCTTGCCCTACCTAATACAATCCATGATGGATCATGTTGTAATTATCATTATCTCGGGAAGGACCGCTAAAACAAAGTTTCAAGAACTCCATCAAGAACTCCATCCATGGTTCAATCAATGCTCGGACGCTCTTTCAATATTGTTCTGATTTGCTAAGCTGTGCGATGTGCAATGACAGCATGCCCCAAACGCTGTTTGGTTAGTCGATTGCAAGATGGAACTTCGTTTCGTTTCACACCCGGTGGACATGCGCATGCATCGTACAATACTACAAATACCCGTATACTGCAGTCGCACTATTACATGCACCTACCTAAATTCGTATGCATACTAGGTAGACGGCATTAAACAACTATAGACGAAAGTACTTGGGTAAGGACTCAACTCATCACTTGACAACATTTAAACACGAATCTCGTATTTTATATAAATCGCGATTCTTTTGCAGGTCCTCATCCGCCGATGCGGCTGAAATACTTGGGCAGTCCAGCTAAGCTTAATGTTCCCTGAAAAACGCGTGGCGGCGTATCTAGGCGTACCTAAATTAAGCAGCAGAGCAGCCCTAAATCTCCAGGATTATCGCACCAACAACCCTGCGATTTGCTGTAACCAGGTAGATCGCTTTTAGGATCGCCTGTCGCTTTTTGGGTCGCTTTTGTTTACGAGCCGAATATCTCCTATTTACCATCGGAAATAGCTGGTGCCTATTTCAACCTACCTATCAGCCCTATCACACATTATCGATCATCATCGTTTTACTACGCAGCATCTGACCGTAAGTAGCTAGTTGCGCATGTCGACACGTCAGCACCATGAGCCATAGTCCTACTGCGACGTTGGCAGGTTGGTTAGGTAGGTAAAGAACTACCTATTCAATAATGATCTCTAGGTACAAAGTAAGTACCTAGACAATAAATTGTTAGTTAATAGGCAGATACATATTCTTAGGAATATATATCATAGACGAATATCTCTCAACTCTACCGCAGACTCTATTTCAATGCCGACTGAATCCTAAATTACCCAGTATACCCTACGACAAGGTACCAGAGAATAAAAGTCCAAGGTTCCTAACACTAATCGTTTACTTTCACTACTACTCTATACGGAGTACTTAGGAAAATGTCATCTCTAAAAATTGCTATCATAGGGGCTGGCCCGGCCGGTTGTATGCTAGGGAGAATCTTATCACTCTCTAAGGTCCCATTCACAATTTATGAAAGCGATGCCAGCCCCAACTATCGCTCCCAAGGAGGCACATTGGACCTACACCCCGGGACAGGTCTAGCAGCTATGAAGGAGGCTCAATTATGGGATGAATTCGTAGAACATGCTCGCTTCGATGGCGATTACTTGATATTGACAGACAAGAACCTCAAGCCTTTCATGCGGATAGGTCCTAGCAATAAGCTCAGTGAGCGGCCTGAAATTGACCGCTTCCAACTACGCAGAATCCTAACGGAATCACTCCCAGAAGGCTCTATTAAGTGGGGGTATCGTCTACAAAGGGTCGAGGGGGATAATACATTAATCTTCGATCATACATCAGAGTCTGGTTTTGATCTCATCATTGGATGTGAGGGGGGATGGAGCAAGGTGCGAAGCTACATCTCGCCAGTGGTGAAACCACACTATACTGGAGTTGGGTATCATCGTCTGTCGATATTAGACGCGGCAACCACTGCTCCAGATATCTACAAGGTCGTCAATCGCGGAAGCCTATTCGCCAGCTCAAATGGGCAGAGGATGGCAGTACAACAGATGGGTGATGGGAGCATCAACGTCGCCTGGACATCGCAACGTCCCGAAAATTGGACTCAGACTTGCGGATATAACCCTCATAATATCGACCAAGTTAAGAAGGCAATCCTCACGGAGATGGAGGATTGGTGTCCAATGCTTCGAGGGGCGATCGACAAGGCATGCGATGACATATGCGACCCGAAAAATCTCTACCAACTCCCGGTCGGTTGGCATTGGGAACACCGCCGCGGCGCAACAATTATAGGGGACGCGGCGCATCTAATGGCCCCATTCGCCGGTGAAGGGGTGAACGTCGCGTTTGACGACGCGAGGAAGCTCGCTGCTGCTATTGTCAGAGCAGTGCAAGCAGGCGGCAAGGTAGATCAACTCGACGGGGAAATACAGGCATTCGAAGAGGAAATGTTCACACGTATGGAAGTATATCAACGTCAGACGGAAGATGTGACGAAACTCTGGTTCTTCAGTGAGGGTAATATGCGAGACGTAATTCCGAAAATAATGCTGATTCACGCTAAAGCCAAATTACCGACAATATTTCATCCTCTCGCATGGGGGCTCATAAATTCGTATTGGTTCGTCAAGACCAAACTCTCCGGTTAACCTACATACTCCTTTTTCGCATTATTTTGGGAGTTTGGTGTTATCGAAGGCATAATATTAATCAACGTCAAGTTTCTCGGCACAGCGCAATTCTCACTCGAACGATTAATGTTATTCTTAACTCCTAGACTCTCTAACTATATACTTGATGTAACTACACGTCAGCCACCCGTAACTAAAATGGATTATTGCGTGTTACTCAGAGCTGCCAGGTACTTTACGGCAGCGCCTTCTTGTGTTTCCTGTTTCAAGTCCTAAGATTGGCGAAGTTCCCGAGTTATCGCTAGAGGCAAGACATTATTAGGCCTTACCTGATTGATTCAAAATCCAATGTGACTTTGATCGGACGGGAACTCCCACTCCCACACCAAGGCAGCGTGGGGACAAGGTGCAGGGGCTTAGGCACTACAGAATCTGCGGCTTGCACGGCTGCAGATCTCTTTATTCTTCCTTCCCGTATCACTTGCAGGCGAGCGTAAACGGGGCTCACTTCTATTCTTGCGATTTCTTAGGTGAGAATAGTTAAAAGCTGGCCAGACCGAACACCCGAGGACACGATTGTTCACCCTAGGTCGCCCTATCAGTATGCAACCTTTCAAGCAAGGCGCAGAGCTTGCATCCATGCCATTTACATCCATTTCATAGAGTTTGGCCCCAACATAGTAGTCGTTGGGTTACAACGGACTATCGCCAGAGTCGCAACGCGCCTCTGAGCCTCATGAGTCTCTAACCATACCACCCACCATCAGCCTATATATTGATGATGAATGGTGGATATTGGTACTTTTTGCTTCGTTTCTACGGGGCGCAATGGTATTTCCGCGGTAAAAGATGTAGTTCTCGTGAGAAGACGTTGTTCTTAGTTTACCTAGGTATATGAAGAAGGCCGGTGCCGAATCAGGCTATCACGGAGCCAGGTAGGTACTAGGTGTCATGAGAAGTTGTCCGAATCTTGGGGTCAGTCACGCTGTCGATATTACAAGGGTCATTTAAGTGTGCTTTTTCCCCAAGCCCAACTTCATTCCCGTTACACCAATGACGTTCCCAGATAACTGAGTATGTTATAATCTAAAGACTCAGTACTTGATGAACCAACGAGGAACAATACGTGCAGAATGCCTCGAGTACCTAGTAGTTACACTTACACAATTAACTTGGAGCAAGCCAAGAAGGCCCCGGACTCCTTCTTACCTAACACTGGACCAAACAGGCTATCTATGTGCTTATGTAGCCATTTATGAGGCTCAAGATGTCAGCATTAGGCTATAGCCAAGTTAGTTGAGTCTAATAATGGCGCCTGTGTTACAGACCGAAGTCCTAGGTGCTTCTTACAGCCTTAAGAACCCTAATCGGGTCTGAATATCGGCCAAATTTAGGAGGCTATGCGAAGCATCCGTAGCTAACTGGTTTGATCGGGGTAATTATGTATCATGAGACTGCGTTATTTGCAGATAATTCCCGTGATACTAACACAGGATCAGGAGTAATAACCCTTGCCTTGGATTTGTGATCTCTGTACGCTTAGTACCTACTAGGTAAGTAAGTAAGCTGTCAACCTTTATTGTTAGTTAACATCATGGCACATGTTCTCTAACACAGAACGAAGCAGTGACCAAAATATCCGGAGTATTGTTACGTGCAACATATCGATATACCTTATTTTAGAGGTGAAAGTTGTATCGCATTCATAGACCTTACCTAAAATTCCAAGGCCCGACGACCAGAAAGTTGACCTGGTAAAGCATGAGACTCGACTGGCCTCGAAGCTGGTCTTGAATGTAACGTTGAAACGAGGGGATCTGAAGAGCACCACCGAATTAATGTGTGGGCAAACATTATTCTTCCTTAATGGCAGAACATGAGATCTTACTAGGTACCTACATATCCTTTTTTAATAGGAAAAATATTATATTGGAAGGGTTCTGTCTGCATGTAATATTTTGTCAACATACTTTTTAGCAGAGTAACCGAATTATCCCTTTTTAACGTACCCCTAATACTTCCTATTAGGTACCTTTTTCTATCTATAAAGTTTCTAAGGTTGAATCTAGGGCTGCTAAAGAGGTACCTAGGTACATAGGTATGTAACTACCCACATATTACTAAAGTACCTAATTCTGGGAACACCTGCTATTTCTATTGAACCCTTTCTGCGGCGGATTTATATTATCTTAACATGCGCGCTGCCTACAACTCTGATGTCCTGGTTCAATATTTTCTTAAAAATATGTAGCTCACCTACGTACCTTTAATATTGACTTATAATAATGGTTTATCCACAGGTAGATGCATACTTACCTACAGATCTGAATAAACGAACTTAAACAATTATCTACATGTGCAAACGGGAAACGGGAAATGCGGACGTCAAGTACTAGGTACCTGAGTTACGTCTAACGCCACAAAATGCACCTCTACGTCACAGTATAAGTACGGTTTCTACAGCTGATTCTGAACGATTTAAGACATTATAATATCTATGTACAGGCCCTAGACCATTCAAGATTCACAGTGCGAATTGTAACACATATAAACGTAGGTAGCTAAGGAAAGTGAATCATTGCCCAGTGATGTATATAATACACAGATAGCTGCACCAAGTCAGACCACCTTTAGCCCCTCCAAACCAATCCAATCACTTCCCGTACCTAAGTTTGACGCTCGGACCATCCACACGCTTCAAAAAGAAAAAGAGCTCTCAGGTCCCACTTACTTCTCGCAGAACGCACAACTGGATCGTGGTCTCCCACTTCATCCTTGGCCCACACCTGACCGAAAAAAGCACACCAAGCCCACCAAGCCCACCAAGCTCAAGAAAAAGACAGCCAACCTTGAATGTGTTAGCATATCGAAGTACCAAGGTATCCACCGAATGTAGGGAAACGCCATGTAACTCGCCAACCTCGATTTAGACCCTTTAGACCTTAAACACCACAACCTCCACTTTCCCATACATATCAACTTCTTCCATTCCCCAAGCTCCTACAACACTAACCCACCGCTCTCTAAGATCAGAGCAGAAATAAAAGAAGCAACGTCCTCTGCGACGAGGTTATCTTCTTTTTATAGACCGAGTTGGGGGTTGCAGAAGAGAGGAAGATACAGACAGAGTCGCAGAAACAGACACAGAAGCAGAAACAGAGAGAGAGATAGAAATAGCAAACCCAAGCAGCGAAAGTCGACCAATAACCCGAGGTGAGACACGACGACTTTCTTTACAGTACCTACCTACCTACCTACCCTCATCTGTAGTACCCATAAGCATTCAGCGCTCAGCACTCAGCATACAGCACATCCATAGCACTACAAGCACACTCACCTAGCACAACCCGGCACATCTGCTATGCAGTACATACATAATTATTATTTTAGGTAGCATGGGCATCCGTGGCCAGCTGCTGGCCCGCACTGCCCTGCCCTTTTTTTTTTTCTTGTCGAGGCCGTGTGTTCGATGTTCTCCCCAGAACAGAACAGGAACACAGACAGGATTGATTGATTTTGAGAAGAGCGAACGAGCCAGCAACTTATTTTTTTGACCACTCTTTTTTCTTTCCCCCGGTTACTTCCCGTCACTTCCAATCTGTCTGTGGTCGACCTTGTCAACAAAGCAACTTTTTTTCCCATCCCTCTTCTTCTTCGACGCTCTAGAACATTTTCCCTCTTTGTTTTATTCGCATTCACACTCTCTCGTGTGGCAGCAAGCTGCCAATAATTCTTCGCCATTTCGACCAAAATTCCCCCTTGCGCTCTTTCTAATTATCGTCTTGTTTCTAATGCGCTGACGTCCAGCCTTCTTATCCTACAGTCACACTGCTGCTTGGCAGAAGGTCAGGACATCGACCAGAAGCAGCACCGCTACTACACCGAATTCGACATCCTCCCACATCCAGGCCAGCGAAGCTTGTCTTCTGCAAGGCAAGCAAAGCCCCATTGGATTATCTTCGACGACCGAGACTTAACAAGTAAGTTAGCCCAACCATTTCCACGATCATAAGCTTCTTGTGAGACGTCGGGCTCAGATTCGCGTCACCTCCACCTCATTCCCTCAGATCCGCGCTAGCTGTTCCCGAACCGCAACTTTCCCATTGAAAACCTCATCGTTCCATCTCTACATGTTCTGTCAATTATATTGTACATATCACTTTTGTGGTTTTTACATACCCCTGTTCGACTTGGGCTTACCAGTCTTTTTTTTCTTGCAGGATTATTATCCCTGGCGGTGTCGAGTCGACTTCGAGACAATCCCCTCGTACTTGACCGAGTTTAACCTGTCACCTGAGAATGGTGCAGCAGAAGAAGGGTTCGGGCGAGTCGACGAACGGAATAAACAAGAGAGAATATTCTACCATGTCTTTTCAAAAGAAGGACATTCCAGATGCTAGAGTCATGGGGGTCAACTCTGGTAAGGGTGATGTTAAGCAGAATGGTAAGTCTTTCTTTTCGGCAAATATACTCTTGACTAGGATTAATATGGTTACAGGCTCGACAGTAAACTCCCAGAACAACTTTCGAACTGATAGTGCTATCTCCACCACTCCTCGCCCGGGTCGTGAGCGAGTCTTGCAACCATGGGTCGGACCAAGCAGCTCAGATGGCCTCGATCTGAGTTTAGAGAAGCCCAGCAGCGGTGGCGGTACATGGGATCAGTTCGCCGCAAATGAGCGTCAATTTGGTATCAAGAGCACGTACGACGAGAATATTTACACAACCGCAATTGATAAGAGCCACCCGCAATACAAGGAACGGGTGGCTGCGGCCGAGAAGAAGGCGAGAGAGATCGAACGAAGCGCAGCGTCCACCGCTCATGTTGCTGAAGAGAGAGTCATGGATTACACCGGCGGCGATGATGCGGGTGGTGATGAAGAGGACAAGTAAGTTTCCCTGTTGCATTATGTGTCTTAATGGGCTATAGTTAACCCCAAAATAGGTACAGCGGTGTCAAGCGACATGATTTCCCCCCTTTACCCAATAGCCGGGAGAACAAGTACACTCCACCAGCAAGACGAGCGCCGGCCGCAGCATCCACCGTAAAGGGCGCACCAGTTGACCCTGCCATCATATCGTCTCAGCTTAAACAGAAGAACCAGTCTGCTGCTACCAAGCAGGACGATAACAAATCTCGCCCTGTTCCCAAAGCCGAAGCTCCTGTGGCGTCTCCTACCGGCAAGCCCGCGGAGACCAAGCCCGATGGCAAAGTTGAGCCTCAGGGTAAGCCGGCGGAAAGTAAAACGGCGAACCAATCCACAGTTCCGTTGAGACCATCCGCGGCTACCAGCCGAACTATCTCACCTCAGGCCAAGGATGGTCAAGGTATTCCACCTAGTGCTACCTCCACTGTCGAACGGGACGTGCTCAAGGAATTCAAGACGTTCGCGAACCAACAGCGCCTGAACGCCGAGAAGGCCCGAAGCACTAAAGCTAAAGCCGATAAGGAAGTCAAGTTGATCGAACTGAAGAAGTTTGCTGATAGTTTCAAACTACCGACTCCAGTTCCTATGGATTTGATTTCGATTATCGCCAAAGACCCTGCAAAACAAAGAGAGATTCAAGAGAAGGCGAAGCGTGACGCTGCTGAAGTCGCCAAGAAGAAGGCTGAGGAGGCCGCTGCTAAGGAGAAGAAGGGTACTGTGACGAAGGAAGCTCAAGTCACAACAACAACACAGGCACCTCCTGAGAATAGAACTAGCCGCCCGACTACCAACGCTCCCAGTACGGCTAACGTGCCGGCTCCTTCTCGTCACCAGGGGAACCGTTCAAGCTATGCGCCTAATTCTTATACCTCCTATCAAGGCAATCGTGGAGGTCCACAGCAGCATATACAGCCAGGCGGCCGCCAGGGAAATCTAGGTGGGCGTCTTCGAGCGATAGAATCGCAAAAAGCGCAAGGTCAGGACGTTCGATTACCTCCCACAGGCCCTGCAAATGCAACTGATACCTCTTTCAACCGCCGCATGGGCGGTGTGTCGGGCCATTTGAGTGGAAAGCTGAACCCCAACAGCCACGAGTTTCGGCCTAGCGCGTTTGCGCCCTCATTCAGCCCCAACGGCCATCCTAGCGCAGGATCAAGCCCGCGCTCGACTGTCAATCATGCAACTGATATACAGCCTGTCAATTCCGCTACTACGCATGCACTACTCATTATTGTGACTAAGAAGAAGAAGGCGATTGATGGGAAGAAGTGTAACATTTTGGCCTTTGTGAAGACGATCCAACCGCCCGAGAACAAGAATTGGAATGAGAATGATGGTCTCCGACCATCTTACGATACCCCGCCTACCTGGCGTTCTGCGACTGACGACGAGAAGCCTGATTCTACTATGCGTTTGTCTTACGACGAGTACTTTGAGAGACAACCTTTCAACCCACAACCAACTCCGAACCCTCCTCACCTGCTTCCACAGTTGGCCCACCAGCACCAGCTACCTCTACACATGCAGCACGGCGCTCACCCTTCCGCGCCGCGACACTCTCCTCACGTACCTCCCGTCCAGGTTCATGGACAGCATGGTCCTGTTCCTCATGCCCCGTTCAACGGAGCGGATGATCATAGAATGATGCATTCCAACTCGTCACAGTCGTACTCGTCCCCAAGAATGGGTCAAGTACCGATGGTCTATCCACCCAACATGAATTCGGCTCAGATGCCGTACAACCAGCACATGATGCCTGCATTCATGGGGCCTGGAGGAGGACCCCCCATGAACCAGTTTAACCGCAGTTTTTCGAACACCCCTCAGTATGTGCCACCCCAGCAGGCGGGAATGGGCGCGCCTATGATGATGCAGCCGCAATTTATGGCTCCGCAGCCGATGGTCGCTGCTCCTCCTCAAATGCAGCCATATCCTACCGGCGGCCACTTGCAGTTCATGCCTCCCGGCACCACCCCGCCGCAACCGATGCCTGGAACTAATGGCTATCCCAGCCCGGGAAGACCGGCGGCAACTATGATGGCCCACCAAGGATCACAGCAGGGACAGCCGATGTATGGCGTGAGCCCCGGCATGCAATACCAGCAGCCGGTGACTTTCGTGCCACAGCCGCAGGGGCAGAGTAAGTGGCAAAGGCGATACTCTAATCAGAGCAAGAAGATGACTAACACGCCAGGTGAAGTGAATAACATGCGGGGATATAATAACCCCGGCCCCCAGCAGCAGTTCGGAACGAGCCCGCAACAGGTCCACCAGTATGGACCGCCTCACCGAAATGGAAGTAATAACTTCAAGAATTACCAGAATCACAGCCAGCATCAAGGTCCGCAAGGTGCGCACGCGATTCCGTCGGGTCCACAAGGTCGATCTTCGGACGGCCCCGACGAAGCTAAGTGAACGAGAGCTCTCGACACTGCTCTCGAAGAACTTAACCAGCGCCGCGCTCCAGCGCATATTTAATTTCTTCATTCAACTTAGCATCGATATCAAGTAGTCCATGCTCACCGATTCTATGGTCGCCTTTGCATGGACATCTAGCGATATCGGAATAGCGAACCCGGCCGGGTGTACGCCTCTTTGAAAACCCTGCAGTTAGGAGAAGACCTACTGAGGACATTTTGTTACTAAAACCGGCCGCTCGAGAGTCGCGACGCATATCCTGCCAGATCTTAAAACCGATACGCATAAGCCAATCATCTTCTATGGCGTGGCCATCAGTTACCGTTACCTTGGCCTCCCAGGATATGTCTCTCAAATGTTTATTCGCCTGAGCAGTGATTAGCTTGGGAAGACGCTGGCCCGGATGAGGGAATGTTGGAGCAGTCGGTGATGGGGGTTGAGGTGAAGCAACTTGAGCTCCTACAGTTCGAGGAAGGAGAGGACTCGAATAGCTTTATCGGGCTGAGTGCTCTAGTTGTTCGGGGTGGTTGTGTTTACATTAGCATCGCAGTCCGCAATACTCGAGTTTCATCTAAGGACTAGCATCAGCCAAGACCGAGGACAGGATGTCTTGTGAGATTGCTGGCCGAAGCAGCGATCTCACAGCCGGAATCGTCATTGATACAGTCCTCAGGTATGTGAACAGGGTAGCCATATCCTAGTATTGATCTCGGAGATACCAATAAAAATAGTGTTTTACACTAATAGGTCCCGTCCTATTATAAAGATATGCAGTGACGAGTTCGGCCATACCTAGGTAGATATATTTCGATGCTTAGTTGCAGGTAGGTGCGTAGATACCTACTTAGGTGACGCGCATGTGAAGGAAGTCGGTTCACGCCCTGTCTCGATAGGTACCTAGTTACTGTAGTAGATATTCTAGCTAAATTAGCTCTATGGCCTATCCATAAGGATAGCTTCGGCGCTGTCTCGAGTATATGTTGATGACGCCAAATTGTACAAGACCTAACTCCGTAGTAAGTCTAACTGGGCGGAGATCTTTATATCTACCTAACTACCTACATATCGTACATCCCTACTTAGATATTCACTTAGAAATGGTCATATCGCATGAACAATACTAAATCAATGCTACATAATCACTTCACCTAGATTTGGTGCCATTCGGGGTTACCCGATTTATTCACCTACTAGATTCAGAACTTTCAATTGGGCGGCCGAAGGAAGAGGCGAAGGACGAATTTGTGCGCGCCTGAAACCTCTAGGCTTGGAAGTGCATCCTAATGAAGGTCTTGTAATATACAGACCAAGAACGGACGATGTACATTGTTTATTCAGGTACTCTGTAGGTATACATGCCTCATTTGTGTTCATAGGTATATAGTAGTTTATAAGTAGGTATCAGTATAGGTAACGAGGTGTCGCCATCATTGGCTGCGACGCTCTTCTACCACGACCTACTGTCTGTCTCATCACGTTACTTTAATTCTCACATAGAGTCAATTGATATAGTTCACCTTAGTTGCGCCTTTGTTAGATACCCACTCGTTGCATTTTAATAGCATTGTACATCCCAATTCTGTATCTACGAAACTATCGAAGGACGAAGGCTACGTAAGTATGTCAGGCCAAGAAAAGATTTTGACTGAATGTGGATAGATATTACAATACTTTATTTAAACTGGTGGAAGTTGTTGTAACGTAGGATCTACTCAAGTAAATGACCTCTATTAGGCACTCTCATTCCTAAGGACTATTTCATGACGAAATGACGATGTTGATAAATAAAGCATTGAAACAGACGAGGCGGCGAGGGTGATGAGGCTGACTGACTTACACCTGCCCTAAGTAGGCATTGCGACCGCCGTCATCCTGGCCGACCAAGGAAAATAACGTTGAGCCACTATATATGAGGGAACGGAATGGAGATGACGCTTCATGCGAACCGGGCAAATTCGGCGGGTGGATACCAGTTCTGGATGTTTCAGTGTTTCGAGCTTCTAGCCAATGAGAAGTCCCCGTGGGCTCCCTCAATTGTCCGTTTGAGATCTTGTGCAAGGATAAGGAGAAAAGGGGGGTTTAATGTTTAGACGTTTCAAGATCGGCCTACGTATGTAAGTCTTGGAGAAAAGAGAAGAAAAAATCACCGAAATGCATCCTATTTTTCTACGACTTTACTTTTATGTCCATCGCTGATTCTTAGGTTCGGGGATAATCCGTGTGTATCGGTCATGGATGTTCGAATCTAGTTGACAGGCTATTCTTGTACATTGCCTACTTGGAACGGTGACTAGACAACTGGGGTAAGTACGAGGTAATTCACGTGGAAAATGATTCCATCGTTGAGAGATGCCCGTAAGTAAGTGGGAGGTGGGAGGTGGCAGGATGTTGAGATTTTTTTCCATTTCTTTTTTCTTCTTTCCTGTACGCAATGATGCGATCGCTGCAGATCTGCAGTGTATACCGAGCTTTGCGAACCATCTCAGCCAATAGGAGCATTTCCCCCCTGATTTTTGCTAACATCTACTTCGTATGTACATTGTATTCGTATTTATTGGCCCGTGCTCCTGCTTCTCGCATGCGTGCAACCGAAGAATGAAAAGTTCGGACATGGCTGGGACCTCTATCCCAGAGATCTTCAAGGTTTAGATGATAGTCGGCTTTATTACGGGAATCTCATTGAGGGAAAATTTTGGGTGGAACGGACAAAACAGACTGAGTAACGAACGATGGCAAACTTACAATCTCACGATATATTGATCATGTTCAATATCATATTCAATCATATGCCGGTCGTTTCTCATCCTATTCACCTCCGAGTAATACCGCATCTCATAACTCCCGTTGTCCGATTCATAGTTACACAATTTATCCACATTAATATTTAGATGAATGTCGCTAGATATGTCGCTGAGCATAACTTAGGGAGGGTTGATATTCTATCTGATTCTACTTTAAGTTAGAATAGGAAAGAAGTTGACGTGATTGAATGAATGGATTTGCTGGTACGTAGGCTCAGAGCTCGTAAAGTTCAAATTCAAGGTTGACGTTTGGATCCCTCCCCCCCTTATCAAGCATTGACATCTGTGGCTGGGTACAGGTAGGCAGGGTTAGGCTACTACCTAGTAGGTGGATCTGGTGGATGCACCTACTCAAACCTAGACCTGATGGACCTGCTGGACCTGCCAGATTTCCAAGTTAGTGGAAGGCAGGTGAGATGGAAAAGGGTAGAGATCCCCTGAAACCCGCTTTCTCGACTAAGTCGATCGTCGTTTGCGCTGCGGCCAATGAATGGCTCCTCCTGTTTAAGCGTTTCACCAATTCAGGTACCCGATGTGACTGATTGGTTCAGATTAGCTTAACTTAGTTTCCCCCACCACCCACCTTCAGCTTTACCGCCGCACCGTACCGGCAACGACCGCGCATACTTTTCGTCTCTTGGCTCTCAATCGTTACTTTTTTCTTTCCCTATCACAAATTCACAATCCAGTCCCCATTCCCCTTCTTACCCCATGCAGCCCAGCCCATGTTGACGGAACATCATCATGTATACAATTTATATGTACGTTGACGTGTGAATGGAGGGAAATAAGAGAAGCTTGTTTTTCTAAAGGGTATTGTTTTAGATGTCTCCTTTCATCTGTACCCTGCCGTCTGACTGCTTGTCTCTGCTTGTTTACTGGCCATCCATCCGACGGCCACCTACTTTATCTCTTTCAGGAATGCGCAGATCCGCCTTGCGAAGATCGATGCATGACCACTCCACTCCACACCTCAGCGGCTGCCCAGCAATCCCAGCAATTCCATCCTCCGCGGTTCTGTGCTTAGTGCATAGCATTGGTGTGTGTGGTTCACACCTTTTACCAGCGGACTTTCATCCCTGCGTTTAAGTGCCGTCTGCTACTACTACAACTAGCAACTAGGCAGTTAGTTATGCATAGGATGTACGCACTATCATGGATGTCGCTTTTTACTCCATATTAAGTAGGTCCTCTATGTGGCTGTAGATGCCCGGCATCTATACTTGATGTGGACGGGTGGGTATTTGGTACTTGTAGAATTTATGGAATATGTGGAATCTGTGGACATTGGCGGGGCTCAACCCATGTCCCGAATTCACGTTCACGATCCAGGGGCTTCCCGACCAAGACAAGATGTCAGCCGAATGACAGAGGGCGGGACCTCACGGGTTAGGCGAAAGCCAGCCATCATGGGGAGTGCAGGGTTTGGTCTTGGTTAGTCTTGTCAATTCTAGATGTGACGTTGACTTTCGGTGCGCAACCGCCGCTCTCTCCTATCTTGAATATAAAGATGTTGCTAGTCACCCCGTCACCACTGACTCCCTCCCTCCTCACTTCATCTCATCTCATCTGCCTCACCGGAGCAGCACAAGATTTTCTCGTCTCCCCTACCACTCTCCTTATAACATCACATTTTTTATTCTTGCTGGTCATTTGATCAGGAAATCCCAGGCGGTTTCCTATTTACCTATTGTGCACTTGTGCATCACTTCATTGTTACCACGGTCATTTAGCACCCATCAACACTCTATATAAACAGCATCCATTGTTAACCTGGAACCCAACTTGTCCCCATACCCCAGAAACAAAGTCCCCGTGGCAAAAACTCTGCAAAACATCGCAGACCGATCCGTCTTTGTTTAAGTCCCTCCTTTCAGCAATCGAAAGTTTTGACACTGCCTTTATTAGGCCGTAGATCCCTTGGAAATCCCATCCTGCCGCGTTTTCGACACTTTCACTCTTCCAGATCGCGGATTCTGAGACGTGCCTTTTCGGTACAGCACATTCATTTTTTCTTCTTCGAGAAGCCAGATTTTTGATTGATTCGATATCACCGATTATCACCCACGAATATTCAAGATGCAGATCCGATCTTTCCTCGTGGCCGCCCTCGCTGCTGGTACAGCTACGGCCCACATGAACATGAAGGACCCTCCCCCTCTAGCCTACAAGGGCAACCCGAACGCCAAGGAGCCGAATATCGATTACTCCATTACCTCTCCCATCACCCAGGCCCAGTACCCTTGCAAGGGCTACCTGAAGCTTCTCGGCACTCCCGAAGGCGCATCCGTGAAGACCTACGCTCCTGGTGGCCAGTACAGCATGAGCGTCGAAGGAGGAGCCGCTCACAATGGAGGAAGTTGCCAGTTATCCCTTTCCTACGACAAGGGTACCTCGTTCACCGTCATCAAGTCGTTCATCGGCAACTGCCCTACGAGCTCCGGTGGTACCTTCAACTTCGGCATTCCTTCCGACGCTCCTGAGGGCGACGACGTCGTCTTCGCCTGGACTTGGGTCAACCACACCGGTAACCGAGAGTACTACATGTCGTGCGCTGTTGTTACTATCAAGGCCGGTGCCACAAAGCGTGGCGATGTTCCCACGATTGAGGCGAAGCGCGCTACAACTGCTTTCGCCAGCCGTCCCAAGGTCTTCGAAGCGAACTTAGGAGGCCAGTACTGCACCAAGGAAGGTGTCGACACCGTCTACCCCGAGCCTGGTCCGGATGTTGAGAACACTTCGACTAGCCCTGGCCCCGCCATCCTCTGCTCTAGCGGCGCAGATGTTCCGGCTGGTTCAAGCTCTGGTGGATCTGGCTCGGGATCTGGCTCCAGCGCTGGTGCAAGCTCTGCCGCTGCCACGTCCGCTGCTGCCACATCCGCCGCAGCTACCTCTGCCGCAGCTACCTCCGCTGCAACTTCTTCCCCAGCCACGTCTGCCGCCGGTGGTGGTATTCAGATCTCAGCTTCAATGTACGTATCAAGTTCCTCACGATCCACTCCAGCCTCTTCTGCTAGTTCAGCTACCAGTTCAGGCTCACCTGAGGTTTTGACTGTCATCCCGATTACCGGACTAACATCTTCCAGTACTGGCGGCGTTTTCGTAACTGTCGCACCGTCCTCAACCGGAGCTGCTGCTACTTCAGCCCCCTCTCCTACCACTTTCTCTACGGCGACCAAGCCTTCGCAAAGTGTTGGAGCTGGTACCGGAGCATCATCCTCGGCTGCCGCTGGAGGAAACACTGGTTCGGCTACCACGAGCGCTAAGGCTCCCGTAGGCACCGGTGGCGCGGCTGGAACTCAATCCGGCGCTTGCACTGACGAAGGCGCATGGTCCTGCGCACCAGACGGCTCATCCTTCCAGCGATGCGCTTCCGGTCTATGGAGTGCTGCGATGCCTATGGCCCAGGGCACTAAGTGCAGCCCCGGTGTTAGCAACACCCTTAGCTTGGCACGACGTAGCCGCGTTCGCCGCTCAGGCACCGGTCTCAGCCGCGTGGCATTCTAAAGCAGCTCTCTTTGGACGTTCGTTGGACCGACGACAAGCAAGGGACTTTGAAGTTCTAGTACATATAAAACCTTGAGGCCGAGGGGACGGGATATCCTTCAGCCAACCTTTCTGCATTGTACATATTCGCACTTTTTCACTTCTTTCCACTTTTTCCCTTTTAGGGGCTTTTTCTTCTTCTTTCGATAGGGACTTGTACACAAGATCTCGGAAAAGGGGACGGTGTTCCGGATGACTGACTGGAACAGGGGCTAGCATTTGGTATTACCCTCAAACATGCGGGGAGACGAGACGAACACATAGCACATCTTGAGATGTTGCCTCACATAGATCAATACGATCTTCATGACCAAAATTTTTGATTTATTCTTTGTGTGATGTGACTTGAATGCTCGGATTGATTTATAACTAAGGGCGATAATAGTGTTACTTGAGTATTATCTGATATCTGCCAGCCTTTCCATGTCTTCCACTTAATACGACCAACCCCCATTCTTCGGATCCAAGAATAGAAATATTAAAGTCGTAAATCCCATCCATACTTACAAGCCTAGCCCTTCAGAATGCTATGGGCCTTAGAATGAGCTTTCCGGCCCCAAACCTGTCCGCGCCTCTCTAATCAAAATATCTGTCCTACTTATCCCATTGGGATGAGAAGGTGAGTTTCCTCCAACGTCCATTTAGGGTTATTTACGTAGTACTTGGAGCTACCAACGCTACGACACTTACGCCACTATGGCCCAAGATAAGTTCATTCGAACGACGATGTTACTTTGCTGTTAATTGCTCTCCATTACGTCCGAGCGAATTTCCGATTTTAGCTTCATTGAACCCCTCAAATCACTTTAACCTTACCATCTACCTAATCTTTCATTACCATTAACACATATCATCTAGGTAGAGGTTCATTGAGAGTTTCCACACTCCAAGTAGGCTGATATAATTGTATTATCACATCTGTGGTATCTAGATACATAATTCTATAGGTACATGTAGTAGAATATAAGAGTAGTTATATCTTATTGAATGATAAGCGTTATTTAGTAACGTTTAGTTGTGTCAGTAGGCAGGTCATGAGGTTCGATAAGCAATGATGGGTAGGTTATGAATGTGAAGTTGAAAAGGCAGGGTCTTGTGGCTGTCTTGCACTACGACGCGTCGATAGGTGTTGATCAATGGTTCTCCAAAACATCCAATCCCCTTTCCATCATTGAGCGCTATCCCAGCGCGACATGATAGGGATCATCATACGGATCCCTGAACATCTTCTGTGCTCGAATATTGAAATACTGTGAACATCTGTTGTGAGATGTCTTGACCGCCGTAATACTGTCGACGTTTCCCCACGACGAACGAAGGATATCCATTCGGGAAATGTTGTAATTCCTGGACCGGAGAGAATGATCTCACTCCCAAAGTGCCTAGTGGCATGTTTTTGAGTAGGTATTAGCACCGACTTCCCTCTTAACTTTTGATAAGAATGTTTGTATCGCGGTGCTATAAGTCGCTCTACTGTCCTTCTCCTCCTCTCGATCCGCGAGAGCGAGATAGGAACGGGTTCGTACCCGTGCGGGGTCCGTAGGTGTTGTGCCCACATTACACTGCGGACACTGAAGGCGTGGGCTCGCCTCTCGTAGACTACTTAGCGTCGTCGGATTATATAGTAGTCGCAGGTTAGTGACTAAGGCAATGTGTATAAGGCTCTTCTGATCGACGAATAACTTAAGTATTCGCATATGAAATGAAAAGTGATCTACATTGTCGAGAGATAGAAAGTTGTGGATTATCCCCAACACAAGTCATCCCGGTATCGTCGAACTCTTCTCGTTAACACACTTCAAGGAGAGACCAGGACGCCATTAGTGGACATGATGTACGAGATGCTAAGGCGTCGGTTGGTTATGGGTTAGGATGCTGTGACATCGTATTATGTACCGATTTATTTAGTCATGTCTGGGAAAACGCCGAATAGGTGCGTTAGCGAGACTTTAGTTGGGTCTCTTCCCACTGTAGATAAGACGGTGGGGTGTGTAAATATGTATTCCCTGGAATAGGGAATTGGTGTTAATTGCTCTTCTTGTCCCCCAATTGAAACTGGATTATAATATCCAGGGACGTCATTTAAGTCCAGAACTGTGCCTATTCTTTGAACAGATTTGGAGATTGTTGGTGATCTGATGTTGATGGCGAGAAGAAAACATGCATCCTGGGCCAGTCCGGATCTCCATAGAGGCATCTACTTGGTATCGAGGAGCCTCTTGTATTGTGCTTGTCTAAACATAGATACCTCTAGCACGGGTCAGAGGAGGTGAGCCGTGGGGGTTTAGCCATCGTCAACTGTAGGCAAACTGAGGTGGTAAAATAACCCTTAAGTATTGATGCTGATGGGAATAATAAGGAGTTAAAAAGGATTAAGATTAATTGGGCGCTGATTCTCAACTGGATGAAGAAGAATCCGTAGTAGAGCCATCAGTAATTAACTGAAATAACGTCATTAAGAAAAGAAAATAGCCAGAATTAATATTGGACATTTTGAAGACGGAGGTAAGAGAATGTGTAAACTAAGAGTTGAGACAGGTGAGATATAAATAATATTTCTCTCTAGATACCCCACTTGTTGGATTGAGATGTATATAGGTATATTTGCGCAGAATAAATGTTTGTTACTCAGAATGACGTAGTTATTTGCATAGTCTGTATCCTTATTCTTCTGGAAAACATGGGACGCTCTGTCTACACATTGGTTGTTTGCTGAGAGTTTCGCTGCTTTATCCTTTCTAAAATGAATATAAATAGAATGCTAATAGATCAAATTATGATATGTTTTCTCGTTTCGATAACTGGTTGGTACTTAGATAGGAGTAGTCACCTAATGATACAGAATAGGTAGTGACAACCAGGAAACCATGGAAATGCTTTACAAGATAACTTTTTGTGCCGACCATAGCATTCAATCCATAAAGTTGCCTAGATGGTAACCGTCGCACCGTATTCGGATATCCGACCTTCACGGGTTGGTGTGTGTGTGGCTGAGACATAAGTAGTAAGCCACATATTGACGTTAAACCCGATTTGTGTCTAGATAACTTATATAAGCAGCCGACGTCAGGATCCTTGCAATTTAAATTTCACCGAGGTTTTTCCTGAATTGACAAGGACCGGTGGAGTCGGTGCCCCATGTCGCATCGGTTCGAGGATTGAATTCAGGAGAGAGCGAAACATTTGCGGCGCGGTTCATTCCTTTTTACCATCCATCATCACTATCACCATCAAACCTCATCAATTGTTTCCATTGGGAATTCGCAGTCATTCTTTACGCTGCAGTCTCGTCACTCATTATTTGCATCAGTCATTCTTTCACCTATCAACTAGACAATCTCTGCGAGAACTATTTAGCTCCGCTCCGTGTATTCCCAATCGATTCGATCATCAATTCGTCGCGTACCATTTCGAGCTCGTGTTTCATTTGCATTTCCCGATAGATTCCCCCGATTCGTTAAAGTTCTTCTCGAGTGATATCCATACCACGTCCGTCACGATGCGTCCTTCATTCGCCGTTTTCACCGCCGTCATGGCCTCCGTCCAGGTTCGCGCCGCTATGCCTCCGGCTTGTTTGTTGTCTGCTCTTGGGTATGTCGGATTGATTTGAGTTGGACTGGCTCAGGGGAAATCATTTGTAGTGCGAACGATGAGACTAACCGTAATGATCCATACAGTGTTCAGCAGAACCCTACCGACATGAAGGCCGTCTGCGGTGATCTTCAGCAAGCTATCCAAGGCAACTTGACCGATGCCTGCCACACCGATGTTCTCCCTGCGGCTTACAAGGTCTATTCCTCCAAGTGCTTGGCCGAGGGTGTAACCGTTGCTGCTCTTCCCACCGCGACCTCTTCTGGTGCTTCCAGCAGTGGCTCTGCCTCTGCTACCGGCTCCGGTGTCGCCTCTGCTTCTGCTTCCGCAACTGGCAGCACCTCCGGCACCTCTGAAGCAAGCAACTCTGCCAGCTCCACGTAAGTACTATATACAATTTTGTCGATAATTTTTGCTAACGGCTGTTTCTTTTGTAGTTCTAGCAGCAGCTCTGCCGCTGCCACTGGTAACGCGGGCATTGCTACTGAGCCTCAGCCCTTCCTCTATGCTGCCGCTGCACTTTTCGCTACCGGATTGACCAGTGTCCTCTTCTTGTAAACGGGTTATCGAATGGGTTGTGGGGAGAAGTAGTCGATGGGCGTCGTTGAAGAGAGTTTGGTTGATGTTGGCCTGGGCCTGTTATACCCCAATCTTCACGGGCTCGGTTTTGCTTGGAATTGCGTTGCGCGTAGGGTAATGGAGAATAGTCTTGACGAGGACCTGGGCCTTGGTTTGAATATAGATGGATATTTATACAATTGCGATTAAACGCTTATTTCATATTTCATCTAGTGGTGTGACGATTTCTTTGTCTAAGATATCTGAGTCTAGGAGCTCTAGTAGCTTCTTTTCATTAAGGAGGAGCGCTCTGTTTTCCTCCCATTTTAGCCAGGCCACGCCTTGCAAGAGACAGTCCGTCAGGTCATCAAGCTTCCGAGGCCAAGCTTCATATGCCGAAAACTCTTCCGCAACACGCGACTTGGACTTACGGGCACCACCTAATCTCAGGCGGAATTGCTGAATAGCATTCTCAATATCGTCATTCCCAGGCAAAATAACTTGGTCCTTAGATTCCCTCTTCAGCCAACCCGTTAGGACGCCGATCTTATATCTCTTACTCTGCATCGACTTTGACTCCTTGCGCGCTTTCCCCTCGACGCCCTTCCTAGCTTTACTCTTTGGGACATCCTCGGGATCCACCGGCCAAAACCGTGCGACATTAGCTGGAGACACGGATGTGACATCGCCGTCCCAGTATCCCAGTTCTCGCGATGTACGCAGTGAAGCGTGGAGCATAGCCTCTAGCGTATTTACTCGAACTGTCCACTCCAATATCCCGGCCGCGCCTTGATTGCGCCAACGCTGCCGCTCGATGACCACGTGTGTCGGTTTCAGGGGCAGCAAGTCCTGCCGCACTAGCCGGTCCGCAGCGATGGCTAGAGAGGCCGGGCTGAACTGATCCGGATCGACCGGATCGTCTGGCGATATGTCGAAAAGCTCCCGGCGTTGCCAGGCGTGTAGGTTTATGCGCAACGGGCTGCGTAGGGCTTCGGCTGTTAGAGACGCGGGCTTCTTTTTTCGTCCGGACGAAGCGGCGGTAGGGGATAAGAGACTGTACCCCAAGTTCCGGATTCCCATGTCTATACTTAGGACCAATGGCTGGGTCTTAGGTGCCGGTAGCTGGGAGATGGAGAGGAGACGCTCGACAAGCTCTGTCTTTAGGCCTGATGTCTTGGCGCCGCATAGAGATGCCAGTTGCTTCAAGTGCGCAACTTTGAACTTTGGCAGGAGCGTTTCTGGCGTTGATGGCATGGTAGCGTTGGATTATCCCACATACGTAGTATGCGACCAACCTTTCTACCTTATCTATGCGCGGAGTGTGAAGCCATGGGTGGGAGAGAACTGCTACGTGTGGGTAGAGGCGGGATAGAAATATGCAGGTTCCGTCTAGTTTGATGCTGTCTGAGCCAAAGGTGTCCTTTCTCTTATGTTGCCAAGCCGTCGACGGTTGAAATCGTCGTTAATACTGGCCGATTGGTTTACATTGACCCTATTCCCAAATTTCAGATATAAATGTCGACAAATTTGTAGGTGGATCCTGAAGCTACGAACATGTACATAGGTACAACATCGAACATCTCCACCTGTACAGGTTACATGCACGTCAAAAAGATCACGTGCTCCGGGGAAGTATTGATGACGGTAGTGGCGGTAATATTTAATCTCGGGTACCTACGGCAGACAATAAAACCTCAATTATTGCCTATGTACCCACGTATCAAAACGACCGGCGTATACTCCTAATGGTAACGTTAAGACCTCATTGAATGGATATTGAACTTAACAACTAGACTTTAGGGCCACGCAAATAGTGAAACAAGCCAGACATGGTATTAGCCACTATGGTTAATGCAGCTTCTCATTGATGGGACTATAGCAGCATTTCTAAGAATCCGGGTTCCGGATTCAAGTCTCTTCCTACACCTAACTAAGCCCCCGACTTAGATTTCCCACCATCTCACGTTACTTAATCAATAACCCCCCTTCCCCAAGAAAATATTTCAGTCTGTATATCCATTCCATGCCCCGGCTCACTCTCATATCTATCAACGACAGTTGTTGCATCGTGGGTGCCTACACCTCGGACAAGAATAGATACCCGGTGGTATCGTTCCACATCCGCATTGACACTTACGTGGGTTAGTCCAAGGCAATAATACATGCCAACATAACCAAATCACTTACACAGATCCAGCCCGTCTCTGTGTTGGCCGTTGTATTCTTCGTAGATGCTGTGTCACATACGGAGGGAGAGGGAGTCATGGTGTGGGGGGAGGCCGGCATGAAGAATATAGTAAGTAATGTTGAATAATTCCGATCAGGTTGGTGGTCTTTCCTGGAGATTTCTGGGTTGGTTGACGCCCCGAGAAAACACTGACCTCCCTGGAGGAAGAAGGGGTTAGCTATATACACAATCTTAGTTAGCATGCTTGACTACTGAGTACTGGGCAATATGAGCGTATATCGAAGAACTCAGATGAATAAAACGCATCATATCATGTTCAATATCAGTGGCTCAAATGTAGCCACGCGATAATTGCCGGCTACTTCACACCGCCATCATGCCATACCCCATGAGAACCCCCAATGACATATGAGCGTCCCCCTCCATACTATTCGAGTGGGTTCATATAGGTTCTTATACTCCTTGAACTAAGAAGTTCATGAGCCAAGGAGGTAAATGGTTTGATGGTTTAAGCACTACTCTCACCGATTGACGATCAAAGAACTAATGCGTCAATGATTCCATCCGTTTTGAGAACAGTTATTCACCCTAGTCATCGATGGCGGCCACGATACCCCCATAGCTTCAAAGCGGTGAACCTATCGAGAGACTTCACATGTTTTTACTGCCAGCACCTCAAGTTAGCTAACGAATGGCAAATGCTCTATTTCGAGGATGACCGTATCCTACTTTACCTCCCATGTCTTGGGCCGCGCGTTTTGTGGGAAAGAGGGATTATAATACCATCTAGTTTGGGCACATATGTTGTCCTACCATCAAAATTTTCATTCAAATTTTCATTCTATAGCTTCATAGTAGAGACTAAAGCGGTATGTGACTCCAGGTCTTTTCTCTAGTTCCGGAGCAAGCGCCGAATGGAAATATTTTATAATGTAGGTGGTTGCTATTAGTATTATGGATTACTACAAGTGACATCGTAGTAATCATGCTTATAACCCTGTCGTGGGATCTTAGGGGTGCCAATTGTATTAATAATTGGACAGGAATTGACGTCATGGGTACCTATCTACCTCTAAGGTATGTAAATGCAAACTTTAATCTGACTTCAACACGTAGGAAAGGTACATACCAAATTTGTATGGAGCTCCCTATTACTTACCTAGGTAGATAAGTATTATCTACTTAGTAAATTTTGAAGATACTCGAAATTAGTCCACGCGGAACACCATTCTCTCAAGCGAAGAAGAGGTTTATGAAAAATAGTTAATAATAAATTTACTCTTTCTTTGAAGGTTATTAATAGAATCAACTATGTCGTTTGATATGTATTGGTGAGGGGTGTCACGAGACCACCCTTAACTTGACATCTTGATTATTAAATGTGCATTGTGCATACTACGAACTTGTAGCTTAGAAATAGTAATTATTGTTAGTTAGAACCATCGAATGCAAATTAAATAACGTAACTGCCGTGATTTGTAACATAATTCTAGGCAAGAGGTTGGATAAATGCAAGGTTAGGAGTATTCAGATATTCTTCGGAAGTCTTCAAGAAGAAAAGAAAAGAAGGAAAGAGGAGGGCGACGAAAAGGTTGGCCCCTGAATTGCACCATGCTCAGCAACATCATCTGGGAACCCCCATGCTTTTGCTTTTTCTTAATTAAGAAAACTCTATTATAATTGGTCCGCCATTTCAATCTACCTACATCATGGATATGGCGGGTGGGGTAGGTGGGGTAGTGTGATTACCTAACCAACTTCTTGCAAGGTTTAGGAGCAGTTCTTGTTCCTTGATAATTGCTCTTCTTAAGATATCCAAAGTTACGTAGTATGTAAATTTTTAGCTCCCTCTTCACTTCCATTTCATCATTTCATCTTGATATGAAGCTGACCGGTAAAAGATTGTGTATAATGTAACAATCCCTGTTATAATTATAGTATTCGCACCAATCATGGACTTTTTATAAACTAAGATCCTCAAGAAGCTTGGTTTCTCCGGCTTGGCCTTCCGGCTATTCGATTAGAAATAACCCGGATCCCGAGAACACGAAATCCAAATCGGGGCTTGTAACGGGTGATAAACCCCGGTTCTCACATGACTATCTCCTTTCATTTCTCGGCGCCGTAGCTACCGCGGTCTAGTCCCTCATAGAATATGGGGTTCCGGATCCTTCGCTCAGAGCATGCTCTTGCTCTATAAATATGAGCCTGGTAACTGCAGGATCACCCGTTCCTGTTAGCTACGCACACATACATCATGATGTCACTCGTACGGACGGTGTACAATGCCTGCGGGCTCCTTTCAGTAGGGCTCGTGCTACTAGGAAGCCTTCAAGGCGCCGAAGCAGGTGTTGTCAGGAAACTTCCTGATGGGTATCATAAAGCGCAAGCGGGTCGCGAACGCATCAGCATCAATGCGGACTGGCGCTTTTCTCGCTTCGAATCGAACCCCGACTCCTTATCGTACAACGTACTGAAGAAATGGATTCTCCCCACCGGTAACGATTTCATCGTCAATGGTGTCAAATATGATCGTCCGAGCGGAGATGCCCCGGGTAGCAATGTCTCATACGTGCAAGCGTCATTCGACGACAGCGACTGGGAGTCCGTTAATGTTCCGCACGATTGGGCCATCAAAGGACCATTCCATGCGCCTAACATCCCTAACAGCATGGGCGCCCTACCCATCAATGGCGTAGGATGGTACCGCCGCAACTTGATTATTGAACCGAGCGACAACGGCAAATCTATATTCTTAGATATTGATGGAGCTATGTCCAACTCTGCTATTTGGATTAATGGTCAACTTGTCGGTGGATGGCCATACGGCTACAATTCCTTCCGTCTAGATCTTACGCCGTACGTAAAGACGGGAGAGAACCTACTTGCAATTCGAATCGACAACCCGCTAAACTTCTCACGTTGGTATCCCGGCGCTGGCTTGTACCGAAATGTTTGGTTGGTCAAGGTCGACCCAACTCATTTCAGTCAGTATGGAACATACATAACGACACCGGCGGTATCTGCCGAATCGGCCGATGTGGATTTGACTGTCGAGATTGAGAACTTGAGAAATTCTAGTCGCCAGGTGGAGGTAACGACCGATGTGTATGTATTCGATGCCAAGACTGGACGAGCTGCGGCAAATGCGATTGCCACTTTTCCGCAAGCAACTGCAAGTGTGGCGGCAGCCAGCAAACAGACAGTCAACGCTTCGGTAACGATCGCGAATCCTAAACTCTGGGGACCTAAACCAGACCAAGAACCCAATCTGTACATCGCTGTTACTACACTTCGTGCAGATGGCGCTATCATCGATACTTACGAAACACGTTTTGGTGTTCGTTCCATCACGTACGATGGCAACACGGGAATTTCTGTCAACGGAAAGCGGGTTTACATCCAGGGTACTAATAACCACCACGACCAGGGATCTATCGGAGCTGCCTTTCACCTTAGAGCAGCCGAGAGACAGTTGGAGATGCTACAAGAGATGGGTTGCAACGCGCTTCGGATGTCCCATAATCCACCCGCCGCCGAACTTCTCGATCTGGCGGATGAATTCGGATTTTTGGTTCTAGATGAGATATTCGACGTTTGGAAGCAACAGAAGATCTCTGACGACTACCACGTTTATTTCAACGAGTGGCATGAGCAGGATCTCCGTAATTTTATCCGAAGGGATCGTAACCGTAAGTATCCCCGCCACGATTTGGTTAGAAAATTATTCACATTTGTCCCAGATCCTTCCATCATGGCGTTCAGCATCGGAAACGAGATCGTTGAGCAGTCATCATCTTCTGGCGGTGCAACTGCTCGAGAACTCGTCAAGATCGTGAAGGAAGAGGATCCGATAAGACACGTCGGCGCTGGTATCAACAATGCTCAAGCGGGAAGCGAATTTGCCACTGCTCTCGACATACCTGGCTTGAACTACCAAGGCGAGGGCCGCGGTACATCGTTCAGCTCGGCGTACCCACCCTACCACGCAGCATATCCAGATAAGGTACTATGGAGCACTGAGAGCTCCTCGGGAGTTAGTTCTCGAGGTACCTACCTTTTCCCCGTGACCAGCGCCAATAGCAGCACTGTCCAGAACGGGAACGGCCAAGATCCCAATACTTTGTTCGTGAGCGCCTATGAACTTTATGCCGTCTCTTGGGGCTCGTCACCCGACAAGGTGTTCGGGATGCAGGATAAGTTCTCCTATGCCGCTGGTGAATTTGTCTGGACTGGTTGGGACTATCTCGGCGAGCCTACTCCGTTCGACACTAAGGCTCGTAGCTCCTATTTTGGTATTATCGATCTCGCTGGATTTAAGAAGGACCGCTTCTTCTTATACCAGGCTCGTTGGCGCCCCGATTTGGTATTTATGGCCCTATCCCTGTTTGAGATCTTATTAATTGCTAACTGATTGGCAGTATGTAAACCAATCCCATTACAATTTTCCTCGGCAACAACCATGCCCTCTCTCAAGTAATGTCTTTACCTTCGCTAGATAGTTACTAACACATCACTAGTCCCATGGCACACATCCTCCCGCACTGGACCTGGCCTGACCGTGTCGGCGAAGTCACTCCGGTCCACGTATTCTCATCCGCGGATGAAGCCGAACTATTCGTCAACGGAAAGTCAGCCGGTAAGCTACAAAGACAACCGTCTAACTACCGTTTCCGGTGGGATAAGGTGACCTACTCGCCAGGCGAGCTTCACGTCGTCACATACAAGAACGGCAGTCAGTGGGCGGAAGAGACCGTAAAAACGGCCGGCGACGCCGCAAAGCTGACCCTATCGGCGGACCGTACCACCATCCAGGGCGACGACCTATCGTTCGTCACCGTCACCGTCGTCGACGAAGCCGGCACCACGGCCCCCGAGGCGACCAACGCAATTACCTTCTCTATCACCGGCCCCGCCGAGATCGTGTCGACCGATAACGGCAACCCGGCCGATTTCACCGCGTTCCCGAGCTTGACGCGAAAAGCATTTGCCGGCCTCGCCCTTGCTGTCGTCCGCTCGAAGCCGGGCGCTCCAGGGGAGATCACTGTTCGTGCTCAGGCAGATGGACTTGAGGGCGCGGAGATAGTCCTCAGGGCGCAGTAGAAATCTAATTAGTTATATGATGCTATATAATTAAGGTATCTTGTCATAAGCCTGGCAAATAAAAGTGAATAATTATGATATTATGGGTTTATGGTTTTGCTTTTCGTGCAATGAGACTTTCTTGAATTTTTCGTGTTCCAGTTGAAGCCCTTCCTTCCACTGCATGATGTCGTATTTAGCGCCGTAGTCCACTATATTTTAGGCGAGACAGCGCCCTTCTCTTGGTAGCCTGGAGCCCTAGAGCAACCATTACCTCAGGGGCTGACTATACGGTTTTATTAAGCGTTCAATGGCTGTAGCTTGCTGGAAATATAGTGAACTTGAGCGCTAAATGCCCCATATATATAGGGGACTACAGAATCGATTTACTAGCACCAAATTAATTATCCCCAACCATCGCATCTTTTAATGTCCCCTTGCCATAAACATTTCCAACGTGTCAAGTAAAAAAACATCCCTATCCAGCCCACTTCGACATTTGTATCATGCCAAATCAAGTTTTGCGAAACCGTTACAATATGCTGAACGAAATTTCAGAATTTATGTAGTCCGGCCATGATCTTACCCTTGTATGGATAGTTCTTGTCATTATTTCTTCGGTTGCCTTCGCGGACAATGATCACATCGTTCATGAACGTTGCATTCTTGACATGTTTTAGCTGAGTCGAATATAGGTCCAAAGTCGCATTGGCACTTGAAATCATCAGTTGAGTGCACACGAGAAGCAGACCTCTTTGTTTCTCCCACTTACACAAAACCAAGAATCACTACAATTAGAAATAGATCGATTGCGTTTGCTATTTTGGGGTGCTGGTCTCGCCCGTGCTTTTTTGTTTGGGTTAGGGGAAGAGACCTCTACCCCGCTAAAAATCCATTCTTCTGCCTCTGGTTCACTTTCTGGATCGTGTGCGTAATCCATGGTTCTTTTATATTCGTCGAAGATGGGTGAGAATATTTGGTCGAGGAGTTTAATGGTTAAATCTTCCAAGAGAGCCGATATAGTACCTGCCTACCTACCTTGTATATATATACACGCTTGGGCACATATCTTGTGGTACACACCATAATTTAGCTGTTAAGGTCACTCACTGCTTACCTAGCTACCACCTACATGGCAGGGCAGAATTGACAACTCGACAGCCTGATACTACCTTAGCAGGTACTGTATCACTGATGTCCTCCCTCGGGAAAACAGGCGGGAGCCTAGAGTAAGTATCCCACAGCCTCGAGTATTACTATTCACGTAAAACCATGGGAAATCTATCTAGCACGCCAATGAACATCACGTCAGGAGGGCTAGGACCCTCTAAAGACGAAATTGCGCTAAAGCCATGGAAGTATATCGGTTATAGAGGATATGCACAGTTCATATCATCCGACAGCGACCTTCTTATATTTCGACCGTTCCAGGAGTTGAGTACCCGAATTGCTCTACGGCTCCAAGATAAAGTCTCTGCGCTTGAAACGAAGCTTGCAAAACTGGATGAGTTACATAGCCAGAGGGAATCGATCGATGTCAACAATGGAACATTCAGAGATGAGACAGATGACCGTGATGCCGTCCTAGACGACATCAATATTGCATTGGACCGTTACCGTATGTAGGGCTGAACGTGATCCGAGTTAGAATATACCGTAACAATCATCTATCCAGACAAGTTCCTTATTCGCCAGTCCGATATAAAACGATTGCCACCAGCACAACTACACGATGTGAGAAACATCCTAAGGTGGCATCAACACTACGACCGTTGTGTGATCGATGAAGCCGAGCAGGACTATTTGAACCAAGACGATCTCATATGCTTGGTCAAAAGAGATAATCCCCCGTTGCGTCAATTAATCGACAAATCACTCCGCCTGAGAACGTTGTCAATATGGCGCGATAAGTCTCGAGCACCCGAGCAAGGCTTCGAGCATGTGAGTTACTATTCAGACAAAAAGATGAACGCATTTGTGTCGGGTATGATCACAGCTATTGGCACATTTATGTTAATCGTGCCAATCTGGATACTGCAAGCGCTGGAGAACTCGAAGGCCAGGCTGGCCGTAATAACGATCTTCATCTTCGCGTTTCTTGTAGTGCTTTCGTCTGCCATGGCTACAAAGCCGTTTGAGGCTTTAGGCGCAACAGCAGCGTAAGAAGCCTGTCTCTACCGCTCATTTTTCTTTTTGAACAACCAAATTACCTGCTAATTCCATATTCTTTAGATATGCGGCTGTTCTGATGGTATTCCTACAATCCGGGCAGAATTGACCTGGCGGCTTTTGTGATAAGATTTTTTCATCGCGGCTCTTTTCCCTATCTTGGTTGATTGGTGTACGGGCCGTATAGCAATAGATTCCTAGTTGTCTAATGTTGATTTTTAGATGTCAATCGTTTCCGGACTTGTTGGGGTTTTGTTATGACTAATTGAACCTGCGACGGATATTCTCACGATATTTCAAACGCCTTCACCGCATAGCCACATCATGCAGGTCGGCGAATGCGGGGTTGAATGTGGCGGTGCGCATAGCTCTGCGGGCTCCGAGCCAGAAATGGTCCTGGAAGATTCAAGGTTTATACGTGGTGCAATATTTACCTATACTTGGGTAATATTTGAGAAGAATGGATCTATTCGTATGACGAATAATCTAACCGTTGAACTATTCCATTAGCGTCCCCGAAGATTTGTCAAAGACCCCTGTTTCGGGGAAGTCGGAGGCGGGATACTCAAAATTTCAAGGTAGCACCTGAAGACCGGCGAGAACCGTTATGCCGGGTTGCTTAGTGATCGTCTCGGGCTTTCAAGGTTAAGGTTAGTCGCCGTTAGCTTCTTTCCTTTTGTAATTGAAATTGATTTGTTCGTATGCCCTTCCTTCCTTCCAAATTGTTCATCTTGCTCTCTTTGCCTTAGTAATTGCTCTGCATACCGCATCCGTAATCGTTATTTGTAAGCTGCGAGTCCGAGGATTGCAGATTCCTAAACTACATTGTTTAAGGTGCATTATCTGACCCCGGTCCTCGTAGAATTATTTATTTTTATCCCGCGAAACCTTTCACACTTCATATAAGACGTCATTCCCTCCACCCCACCATCAATTCCTCTCCTCCCTTTCCCTTCTCTTCTTGGGATCAAACAAGTCAATGCGAGCATTTGGGTTATTTAGTCGGATATCGGCTGCTTCTACTGCTACTGCGACCTCGAATTCTTCTCTCGCTTCTAAGAGAGCGACCTACCGAATAACTTCTCTCTCTAGACACTTCTCGACTACCCCTCGCATCATGGCTCCCATCTCTAAGGAAACCGACCTCCTCGTCATTGGAGGCGGCAGTGGAGGTCTTGGAGCCGCACGTATGGCCAGTGCTAAGTTTGGCGCGAAAGCTATGGTTGTTGAGGCTTCACGACTTGGTGGCACATGTGTCAATGTTGGGTACGACCCCGTTGCGCTGCTACCTTCCTATTCCCACCATTAAAACTACAGACAGACAGAAAACAACAGACAGAACTGATACAAAGTCCCTCATAGTTGCGTACCGAAAAAAGTAACCTTCAACGCCGCCGCCATCGCCGAAGCCATCCACGATGCCAAAGCCTACGGGTTCTCAGTGCAAGAGACGAAGCCATTCGACTTTACCACCTTCAAGAACAAGCGAGACGCCTACATAAAGCGATTAAACGGGATCTACGAGCGTAACCTAGCCAACGACAAGGTCGAATACGTGCACGGGTGGGCGCGACTCCTAAGCAGGAACGAGGTCGAGATCACACTCGATGACGGGTCCAAAACCGTCGTGCGCGCGGGCAAGATCGTTATCGCTGTCGGCGGCGAGCCCACCAAGCCGCCTTCCAACATCCCCGGCGCGGAGCTCGGCACCAACAGCGACGGCTTCTTCGACATCGACACCCTGCCCAAGAAGGTCGCGCTCGTAGGCGCGGGATACATCGCCGTGGAGTTCGCGGGCATGTTCAACGCTCTCGGCACTGAGACACATCTATTCATCCGACACAAGACCTTCCTACGAGCATTCGACCCCATGATCCAAGACGGCGTCACCGCCGAGTACGAGCGTCTGGGCGTACACGTGCACAAGGAGTCCGCTCAAACCAAGATCGAGAAGGATGCCAGCACCGGCAAGCTCGCGATCCACTACAAGGACAGCAACGGCGAGGGCAAGGTCGAGGGCGTGGACCACCTGATCTGGGCCATCGGCCGCACGCCTATGACGAAGAACATCGGGTTGGAGGAAGCGGGAGTGAAGCTCGACGATAAGGGGTACGTCGTCACAGACGAGTACCAGAACTCGTCCGTGGACAACATCTACGCCTTAGGCGACGTATCAGGGCGCGTAGAACTCACGCCCGTAGCGCTCGCAGCCGGACGTCGTCTCGCGGAGCGATTATACGGCGGCCCACAATTCAGCACGACGCGCATCGACTACGAGAACGTCCCATCGGTCGTATTCGCGCACCCGGAAGTCGGCAGCATCGGCCTAACCGAGCCGCAAGCGGAGGCGCAGTACGGCAAGGAGAACCTGACGGTCTATAAGACGAGCTTCACGGCCATGTACTACGCGATGATGGAGCCCGAGGACAAGGGCCCGACGAAGTACAAGGTGATCTGCGCCGGCCCTGAGCAGAAGGTCGTCGGCCTGCACATCATGGGCCAGGGCTCTGGCGAGATGCTGCAGGGCTTCGGCGTCGCCATCAAGATGGGCGCAACCAAGAAGGACCTGGACTCGTGTATCGCGATACACCCTACGAGCGCCGAGGAATTGGTCACCTTGAAGTGACGTGATATCTAAACGGAAAATAAGAAATATATATACGCTTAAAAGATAAAAAAGAGGGAGGGGGGCAGATTCAAAGAAAGAAACAGGGGAAAAGGAAGCATTTTTGATACCATGTTGATAGATCGCATGACGATAGAACTTGTGATAGAAAAATCTAATCTACCTATTCATAACTCAGATTAATATATGTTTCCATGATATCCAACATTTTGTAAACCAATCTATCATCCATATGTATATGTATGTATATCCAACCCATCTACCTACATACATACATACATAATCCTCCAAATTTTTAATCTATACCTCATGATCAATATATACTACCTAACTTCCCACCCCTTTTAAATCTAAAATTTCTAATCTTCTACCGCCTCCAGGTCATCAGAACACACACATAGCAAGTAGGTACCTAGGTAAGTAAAGACCAAATAATCATAATCAGCAAAAAAGCAATTAGATTTTTGTTTGGTATTCAGACATTATAATTGACACATTGATTCGATCGACACATTACTGAACAACGCCGATTCCATGCGTTGCTCAAGAAACTTTTTTCCGATGTAGAGACGACCAAAAAAAAACAAAAACGATCACGTGTAAATGACAGACTCCGCGCCCTATACCATCATACACTGACTCCAGTTTCGCCTTTCCCTTGCATTGGGGGATGGTACCGTTTATGCAACATAGTTGGGCTGGGCAACAAAACAGAAAACAGAATGATGTTCTTTCCGAGCGGGACCAGCGCGATGTTCAGAGGGTTTCTTTCCAGCCCCTTCATTGGATATATAAGTTCGTAAGGTATTACGCCACTGCGATATTTATGTACTAGGCTACTGATTCGTGGACTTAAAGCCTTTGCTTTGTACTGATATAAACGCAGGGATGCGTAACGTATACGTTAACTGAGGGATGAGGCCGATTTCCCCTAGAACGTCGGCTTATTCCCACCGTTAAGCCGATAAGAAGCCGCGAGCCCCGTGCTGCCGTTGGGACTGACTATATTAGATATGCCTTGACGTTCATCCTGCGACGAGGTGGTGGAAGAGAACGATGAGTTCAGCGACGTAGAGACACTATTCATAGTCCCGGAACGAGACATCGACAATCCTCCCATATTTATCAACGCATCGGCACGCTCGAAAACGTTTCCACTAAAAGCGTTAGCAAAGGACGCACTTTGCGGCGTCGACGGTACGGTGGCCTGTACGGCCGGTCCGAGAGCGGCGCTCTGGGGAGTCATAGGTAGCTGTATTTGCGCAACTCCAGGACTGGCCGAGTAATGGCTAGGAGAATAGTGATTGGGCGTGTTGGTAAAATGATCAGCGTGGCGGAGAAGATAACCCCAGGGAGAACTCATGATAATTTGGTTCGTCTCCTTCACACTAGTCTGAATAGGTCGTAATCTAGTTCGAATATCTAGCGGGAAGGATATTTGGTCCATGGAGGACTTCAATTTACCTCCAAACTCAGCCCAGGAGTCGATAAAGCTTTTGCAGAGACTCCAGAAGAGGGGGTCGTTCCTCACGCCAGGTTCCTTTAACTTAATAACCGACAGTCGATCCTTAAGACGCTCTGTGTCGGTAATCGCGATAGAACATTTGGCGACTAGGCCCTTCCAACAATGTACAATGTGCTCCGGCGCCCGTTGGAATTCGGCATTACGTCTCAGGGCCAGTAATTGCTGGTTGATGTTTGGAAGGATACGCATGACAAGATCCGACGATTTCTGTAATGCCAAGAATACTTTTTCGAACAAACGTTCATCTGCACTAAAATTGACGGGGAATCTGAGGTCTCCGTTCGAAGATGCAAACGATTCACCGGATCGGGGCGTCGCAGAGGTAACCTGAGCCATTCGACCAGTACCATTGATGTAAGGAACTGACACGTCTGTCGATACTCGGAGATTGCTAGGGTTATGGACGAAAGTACCAGGTCGTGGCCGGGCGTTCGGACCTGGTCGCTGTATCGTAGGTGTCATCGAGCTTTCTCGTGAATGAGCTCGAAGCGTATCTTCGATTCCTGGCCGGGGATGTTCCTGGCTAAACGCGAGCCCGTCTGAGCCTCCGGAAATCTCATTGAAGGTAATGCGAAGCTCCATGATGCTGTGGTACAAAAGCATCATCATGGTACGAATATAACGCGGGTCTGCATTGTCTACAATGGTATCCATATTATTCATCAGAAGTTGGCATATATGGCTGTAGGCGTTAATCAAGGTTAAAACAGCCCGTTGAACATTCTCGTTCTCACGCGGCATGTAGGGGCTATTCTCTGCGGCGAATTCATGCTTCTGAAGCTCCTGCTCGAGCTGTTCAATGTGGAAATTAGTGTTATAAAAGACAATCTCGAGGCTTGATCGCTTGGTTGTGCCATCGTTGGTCAACCTCGTGAAGAGTTGAATCATGGGATGGACCTGGAAAATTGCATAGAGAATACCCTTCGCGGATTCGATGATGGGATCGAAAACCTTCGATTCCCTTCTTTGCTCTGGTAGAACAGAAAGGCGTCGTACATAATTCGGCCGGTTGAGCAGAGGCTCGGCCGGGCTATTAGGGCTGACGGCAGAGGTTGCATTCGGATCCAAATTACCCGTCATGGATGAGCCGTGGCTCAATCCTCGGTAGTGACTGAATCTATTGTTTGCTTGGCCTTCTTCTAAAGTCCCGAGCTCAGTCGCTTTTCTAGACACAATTCCCATACGCCTGTGTCGTTCCGTGGGTCGGCCCTGTCCGGATGCCTGTAATAAGGTCTCGCTGTTCGACCGCACCCTTTCGTTAGGGTTACCTATAGTGAGAGGCATAACACCGGGTCTACGAACGACCGTGCTTTGCTGGGAGAGACCCCGAGCATGTGATCGGGACGGTATGGGCGGCGCTCGTAGTACGGCTGGGGATCGCATATCCGACACATCGCTACCATTTACTCGGATAGGAAATCGACCGCTAACCACCCTCCTTATAGGCATTCGAGGCGTTTCGGTTCCATCGCTAAGTTCGTCTCCTCCATTCTCGCCATCTTTCTCTCTTCCATTCATACTTAGAGACTTCTGCTTTAAGAATTTCTTAATGTGTGCCGTAATAGCGAGTTCCGTTAACTCGCTCTTCTCTAAGAAACCTTCGTTAGGGGGGCTGCTAGCTTGGACACGGAGCACCTCTTTAGGAGGAAAGGTAATGTTGTTTCCGTCTAATCTTAGCATTTGCAGCGAGACCATGTCAGCTAAGCAAAGTGGGAGCTCCTCTATTCGATTCTTCTGTAGGGCAAGTACTTTAAGTGAAGTCAATTTCGCAATATCAGGAGGGAGAAAACGGATTCTATTCCTTCCCATATCCAATATCTCAAGTGACTTGATGTCGCAGAGCTAGAACACGAGTGAGACACAATTCCACATAATCGGAGGAATCAGAGTGTAATTACCGATATAGGAAACTCCTTAATTAGATTTGCCCTCAAATTAAGATAGCGCAAGTGAGTACATTCGGAGAAGCGAGGCGGAAGAGATGACAGCTTGTTGTGCGAGAGTGCTAACCTACATGGAATCAAACTTGTTAGACCTTCACCAAGAAGAAATGTGACTAGGAGAATAATACTGACCGCTCCAATTCATTCTTAATTATATCCACTACCTCGTCAGGTAAAGCCTGTATATTCTTTCTACTAAGATCGATAGTGACACCGGGCTTGAGTTCAGTACTGACACCACTAGCGCCAGCTGCCTGTGTCTCGTTTTCCTTTAAAGCACTATCCATTGCCTGTCTAGCGAGACTGATAACTTGGTTAGTAGATAGGGGACCGGACGCAGACAACATTGAACTGGAATTATTGCTGATAGCCGTATTGAACTGCTCGGGTATCGGGGGCGGTGGTAGTGGAGGCATTGCGTAGGTGGACGGTATTCGTCTCATTCCCTGAGATAGACCCGTAGATAAATTTCTCGACGCCGAGGATTGAGGAGGTATGATTGTTGTAGCCATGCCGCCGAAGGCAACATCCATGACACACACGAATCCGATCTACCGAAAAGCGCAAGAGGGCCTTACGTGGCGTACGAAACTAGGTAGGAGGGGACCAAGTCTATCACGTAGTATCGGCGTTGTGCTGTTCCAGAGAATCGTTTAACGAATATCTGCACCAAATTGGTCTATTGAATCGATGTCGGTGAATAACGGGAAACAGTTGAGTTCATCGTAAGTTAAGAGATCACTTTTTAAAAATTGAAAACGTCTTGAAAGATTCGGTATACGTGATCGGAGAAGAAACGAAAGTTTGGAAACATCGACAATTCAACTTTCTATCTCAGGGATAAATTGGAGAAAAGTATAGAACGGAGCGTAGAAGATAGGACGTTTCGAAAGGTATTCTTGGGATCGATTCGTGTCGATTCGAGAAAGATTGGAAAGTCGAAAGTTGAAACACGTCTAGGCGAAAGGGTGAAGCACTGATGTAGTTGAAGTGTCGAAATGTGTAGAAGTTCACTAGGTATTACTAGGTTATTACTGGGTATGCAAACCCGTATGCAAACCCCTGTTTGTTGGAGCTTCTTTGAAGTGCTCCTTAGGGGGGATGGGGGGCTAGGCGCGACCTAATGAAGACACAAGGGATCGAGTCTTGGGCACCACGGCACCACCTGGGCAATTAGTGGGAAAGAAGGGGAGGAAGGGGGGGTTCAATGTTCTTTGTCGAAGTACATGTGCATAGTACTGATAGTACTTGGGTACTAACGACATGGAAGCTGAAGTCCAGAGAAAGGGGGTCTGACAGCTGCACGGGGGTGTATGTTTTGTCGAGAACTTTGAGACAACATTTCGAAAGTCTAAAAGGGTGTGTTGTCTGTGTTGATTACCTAACGTGGTGTATTGAAAAGGGAAAGTCGGTGTGTATCAATCAGACCCAAAAGGGAAAAAGGTCAAAAAAAAAAAAAAAAGCAGGTGGGGGCTGCGCTTGGGGTTTCCCCCTGTTCGCGTTTTCAGTGCGCTGACAATCCTGACTCGTGCGAGAGGCTCGAGAGGCTTGAGACGAGCCTGCCAGTCGCCATTGATTTACACAGTAAAGTGTACTATTTATTTTTTTCTTCTTGTTTGCTCAATGGCCTAATGAATGGTGAATAGGTGGTGATAAGTGAGGATCTCCAAAATAGGATTCTTTACGCGGGTTTTCATCCAATAGTATCTTGTGCATATTATAAACCCATTAGGAATAAGATAGTTGACATCGTATTTTCTGTGAATGGTATCGCATAAGAAGTTTATTGGAAGACGCAATAACCAATCCAACTACACAATTGGGGATAGTGTAACTCGAAAACGAGTCGTGGTACTTGGTACCTTACAGCTGTGGCGCCAATTAGTGAGAATAGTTGAGGGTTAGTCGGCGAGAACGGGCGCTAGCGGCGTATCACTAAATCTCAAAGTGCGCACAGACCAGATTCTGTCCTCAGATCCAGCTAGTCTACCACCAAAACTGCAAGGCACGTTCCATTTTTCCCACGCGACAAGTGGAGATCCTCAAGTCAGGTTAGGTAGCTTGGAAGTCGCGACGGAGATAGATACGTGAAGGATCACCGAATAGTCAACTTCGAGAAGGAAAGAACAAAGTGTATCCTAGTTTCATATTCTACCTCCTACTTGGGGAAGGTACGTGTTTGTTAACATCAGATCAAAAGGGCCCTATCTGTCTTATCCAAATCCGATTTCAAATCTAACTGTCAATTTAGGCACACTTTCTTTAAAACAACTCGAGATTTTTCGATGATCTTGATAAAGCAAAGTCGGGTTGGCCGTGTCTTGCAACAACAAAGATCCATTGCAATTATCCAGGACCACATCCGACTGTAATGCATGATCCAGTCGTAAATTCATGTACCCACTCCGCCACTCTAGGTACTCAGTGCCTCATCTCGATTCTGCAAACTGGGGAAAAGCGAACCCCATTCAGCACCTAAAAGAGAAAGGTTCAATTTTGACCCACAAGGAGTCAAGGGCTCATACGAAAGTCTACTTTACGGCTCTGTGTCATTCATTATTATCTATTGTCCATAGGGGCCTTGTATAGGGGTCCTTTACGAACTGAGGTAACCTAGACGTTTTGTATTTTGATGGCCATTCAACAAATACAAAATGCCTGCTCTTGTCAGGTCCAACTCCTTCATTTTCCCGGACCTGGACTTTACGCTACGCCGCCAATTTAATAAGACTAGCTTCCGTCCATTTCAGAGAGAGATCATACAAGCCGCGTTAGATGGAAACGATGTTTTCGTTCAAGCAGCAACCTCTTTTGGCAAGAGTTTATGCTTCCAACTTCCGGCCGTAGTTGATCAGGGCAGTACGTCTCCGGCGTCTTACTCCCTACTCTATTTTTTTTTTCTCTTTTACTTACTTGGAAATGTAGTCACTATTGTTGTGTCGCCACTGTTGAGTCTTATGATGAATCAGGTGGAAGCACTCCGGGCTGCCGATATCAACGCTAGTTCGCTGAATAGCAACACACCTTTGCCAGAGAAAGACCGTATCATGAATGATCTGAAAACTGGTCATCCACGTATTCGATTACTCTATGTCACCCCAGAACTTTGTGCCCAAGACCGTTTTCGGAACAGGTTGAGGGTGGTTCATGAACAGCGAGAGCTTGCGCGCATCGTCATCGACGAAGCCCACTGCATTTCAGAATGGGGGCATGACTTTCGTAAAGATTTCAAGAGACTAGCATGGTTCCGTGAATCATTTCCCGATGTGCCGATTATGTGCTTGACAGCGACAGCCAATAGTCAAATACGCAAGGATGTACTTAGCATTCTTGGATTGGATGCTAACATAGAAAGGTTAAGAACATTCACAATGACAGCTCATCGACCAAATCTCCATTTTGAGATTCGATTTACACGCGATGAGGATGATCGACGATTAGACGATTTTCTTAAGTGGATACGGAGCGTCTATCAGCGTAGAGCGAAGGATGACCGGAGAAGCGAGCTCGAAGCCCTCGGTGAGCGTGCTGATAATGTCCCAGGTATTATCTACACCATCTCGCGGGACGAATGCGAAAGCCTCGCTTCACAACTTAGACAGGAGGGTATTGGAGCCCAGCCGTTCCATGCCAAACTATCTAAAGAGACCAAAGAACGAGTTCTCGCCAAATGGGTTTCCAATGAGCCTGGATACGATATAATCGTGGCTACAACTGCGTTTGGCATGGGTATCGACAAAAACAATGTCCGTTTTGTTGTACACTGGCGGCTTCCTAAATCCTTCGAAGGGTATTACCAAGAAGCTGGACGGGCTGGGCGCGACGGTAATGCAGCATACTGTTTCCTATATTACAGCCGCGAAGACAGGGACCGAGTCAGCAGTTTGATCATACGAGACCGATCGACGTCAACCACAATTTCATGCTCTAACTTTGAGGCACGCGCAAAGAGTTTACAAGCGCTTGCCGAATATTGTGAGAGCACAAATGCTTGCCGTCATAAGCTTATCTGCAACTATTTCGGGGAGAATGATACCCCGCCATGTGATTATGCGTGCGACTGGCACAAGGATAGTGTTGATCTCCAACGGCGCTTCCTCAGAGGTCTGGCAAGCGAGGAGTGGGTCAGCACGCAAAGAGAGGAAGGTCTGTATGATGTAGATTGGGACGATTAATTTACACAGAATTCCGGTTGGTAAAATAGGTCAGACTCATCGTGTAACATCTGTGTCGGCGTCTGACATGAATAAGAGGGCGAACCAATATAGGGACGATGCTGGTTCTTAGGCATGACATACTGCATCCCTCCAATCGGCTCAATTGTCAATTTGGACCCCGCATAACGTCTGCCCTCTCAACAGTCCGCAGCTCCAAAGCAAGCTCCTTCAATGTTTTCGCCTTAGAAATAACCAACGTCTGATTTCTTTGCACGACTTTCAAGTGCGTTACAATTCTGCACCCTCCCGTCGCCAAGACGTAATTAAGTTTCGGAAGAGTATTGCCTCAAAATGTCAGCTCCGGCGGTATCCAGTCCGAGTACTTCGGCGAGCCATGCACTACCTAACCCTTCCGTTCCCGAAACTCTGAGTGCCACCCCGTCAGCTCAATCGAGCAACGTGACAGCCTCACCTAACTCTTTAACCTCGCCGACCCTCTCACCATCATTGCAGTCCGGCTCTTCACGCCCACAGCCATCTAACTCCGGCTCAACATCTCGTAGCGCTACCTCCCCTCCTACAACTACAACCGCAACCGCATCCGCCGCCACCGGATCACAACCCCGCGTAACCATGGATTTAAACCCGACTCTGCCCTCTCGAGCCACGCAGCTACATATCGATGAGGCCCGCGTCGCACTCGTAGCCTCCATGTCAAACATGCTAGATTCAGAGCTACAATCACGGGCCTCGCTACTGCACTCCAACGCGGCGGCGCTGACTAAGCAAGAGAAGGACGTTGCGAAGGGAACCGAGGCGTTACGGAAGGAGAATGACAAGCTTGAGAAACTGGCCCGCGACACAGAACGCAAGATTAAGGAGCTAGGCAACGTACAAAATTGGGCTGAGGTTCTAGAAAGGGACTTCCTAGTTCTAGAGGAGACCATGCGCTTGGTGAGGGAGGGTAGCGGGAGTGGCGACGATAGCTGTAGCGAATGTAGCGGGAGTAGCTGGACCGGGAGCTACAGCGCCGAGGATAGTAGGGCAGGAAGCCGCCGGGGGAGCGTGACGGGCGATGCCGACGGCAACATTAAGAAAGCCGAAGAGAGAGAGTTAAATGGGCACACGGCCGTTGATGGTGCGGTTGATGGTGGAAAGCTGAAGGAGAGAGACGATATAAATGTTACTGTGGATAAGGCAGTTGCGGAGAGTATCCTTGAGGCTATGGCTACAGACTTACGCGAACCACTGAGCTCTTTAACCCTTAACCCAGTTTCGTCGGAGTCGCAGGGGAGCTCGGTCAAGGGTAAGGAACCGGCTGTCAGTGACAGCGGAATTGAAGTCGATAATGCTCACAAGTCCCTCGAACCCCCCGAGCCAGTCCAACCGTCGGATACCCCTCCAGCAGACACTGTGGAAGATGTAACCGCGAACAAGGACATAACCGATTCCACAACGACGGGATGACGGGAAGCTAATCTGCTTAGTACAACGGTTATGTCAATATGATACAAAGTACGGAGTTATGGTTTAACGGGACTAGGTTATACGGACAACCGATTTATTCAAAGGGCTTATTGTTCATTGTTCAATGCTCGGTATAATTCACACTTCTGTAACGACGAATGAGATCTATATCATTATGAAAAATGTATTATGCTATCTACACATAATATTATATTACTTAAATACAATAACTAGGCCTCATTAGATTAGCTCGATACAACTCCATTTCTAGATATTTTCCGAACTCCTTTCATGTCTAATGACCCCATTTCCCCAACCTTGCCTTCCTTGCCTTTACTCTGATATAGCTAAGGCACGCAGGACATCCCGCCATTCGTCGTATCGGTCCAACTAAGAACCGAACAAGTTTATAGCAGACCCGGCAGCATGACGCTGCGCTTCTTCTTGTACTTATCACCGAACTGCTTACGGTACGTCTTCTCCTTGCCCCAGCCCCAAGTGTACATATAGTACGAGCCGACGCAGATGAAAGCAAACAAAGACGGGCTGCGCGTAACGATGATAATCCCAATCCACGCGATAATCTCATACATGTAATTCGGACACGTCACAATACCGAATCCATGACCGCGCGGGATCTTGCGATCCGTCTCGCCCGGCTTGCGCAGGTGCGCGAGGTACCAATGCACGTCGAAATTCAGGATCTCGCCGACGGCAAATAGGAAGAAGCCGAAATACGTCAACGGGGACGGGGCGTCGGGGGCGACTGCGGCGGGCGAAAAGGGGGCGTAGATCTCGAGAGCCCCGAGGAACCCGGCCATGGCCCAGTAGAAGACGGAGTTGCGGAAGATGTAGGCGAAGGGCATGGTGGCCGCGGAGAACTTGTGCAGGAACATGGTTTCGAGCTCCCGCTTGACGAAGTGCGCCATGACCATGCCGAAGGCGGCTTGCTGGGCGAAGGAGAGGCTTGGGTCCGCGCGCGCGGTGTATGGGAGGTAGGTCTTGAGGTACGGGTATACGGCTGGGTAGAGGGTGTGCCGCACGCTGAGGAAGAGGGGGTGGAAGAGGAGGGGCCCGAGGTACTCGATTACGTAGACGAGGCGCCAGCCGATTTGGAGGCCTGGTGTTTGGTGGTTAGTTAGTTCTGGTTCTATGTGGTTTTATATGGTTGTATTATAGCAGGATATCGGGTAACAGCGTACCAAGGTCCTTGACGAGCAGCTCTCCGCGCTTCACGACTTCGGCATGGCTCTTAAGCAAGGAGTTTCTATCCTTAATGGTCTTCTTGGACACGGGGTCGAAGATGCCGATGCGGTAGTGGTCGGACACATTGGCGGCGCGGGCAACGATCTTCTTCGCGTCGTCGACTGTGGCATCTTCGGGCACCTCAATGGTTGAAGGAAGTCCCTTAAGACCCTTCCGGGACCTGTTGGTGACTTTCAAGGTCAAGCCTGCCATTTTTAAACCTATAGCAGCTTCCCTTCGCCTCAATCAAAGTGATAGACGCAAAAACCTGCCTTCTAGATGTGAGAGAGGGTGAATTGGAAGTCCCCGTGATGTGGTGAAGAAGGTGAAGTGTTATTTAGACTTTTTTGTGGGAATTTGTTGAGTTGTCTTTCCTTTAGCTGCATTGGAGCTGAACCAGCCTATAACTAGCAGATCTAATGGCGTACTTTTTTTTACTTTTTCCAAGTGTACTAGATAAGATTAAATAAGATTAAATATTTGCCGAGGTTGGGGTAGTGTACATCATCGTATTCAACAAGTCGCCGGATAACTCTTTCAATGGTATATCCTATTCTCTAAAAGTACGAAAACTACATTAGATTGTAATAATAAATCCACTAGCAGCTTCAAATGAATTTATAGGAGTATACATTGTATGTAGTGTTATAAATTCCATCTATTCGTTCAGGTACAGGTAACCCTGATCCCGAGTGAGTGGATCCCGGGATCCAATATTTAGACAGCAATTGCCGTTTTAAGCTTCGGAGTCACTTCGATTGATACAAGCGTATTTGATAGATACATGTTTATCAATTTAAAAATGATATTGATATATCCAGTATAGATGTTGCCCCTCCATATGGATGTCATAAGATATCCATCAACCTTGAATTTCCAACAGTTCCGACTTACAACATTAAACTTTCAAAGTTCATCCCGATCTTGTCAACATTGATCGTTGCCACTGTTCCAATGCGGCCGAAGTCCCTACCTAGGTAGGACACCGTCTCAGAATATGCCACCGCCCAACACTCCGGAGGAAGGAATAGTTGCTACTACCGCTACCTTAGCTCTCCGACCTTTTATGGGCGGCGAGGCTCCCGCCACAGCCCTAGATCTGAGAGCTCTCGATTACGAAGGCGATGTCGACGAGAACCTTATATGTCCCATATGCCGAGTCCCTTTCGTAACGCCCATCATTACCGCCTGCGACCATGTCTTTTGTCAGAAATGCATCATCCAAGCTCATGCATTAAATCCCGTCTGTCCGGTCGACCGACTTCCTTTGAAGCTCGTATCCGACACACGACCCGCACCTAAGATCATCCACAACCAACTAGACAACCTATCTGTTAGATGTCCAAACAGCATACGCGGATGCGGTCTCATCGTGTCTCGGTCACTAGTCGAAAACCACGTCGCGCGATATTGTGATAAGACTCTCGTGCCATGTCCTCATCCCTCCTGCGACAAGACCGTCGTTAGGAAAGACATCGGAAAGGGATGTCTCCACTACGATGTAAAATGCGAATACTGCAACCAGGTGAAGCAGAAAGCAGACCTAGAAGAACATCAGGATACCGAATGTCCCAACCGAAAGACTGGATGTGTGCTGTGCAAGGCTGAGTATGTGCGACATAAGCACGAGGAACACACCAAAGAGTGCCCCGAAGCCCAAACCTCCTGCAAGTTCTCCCCCTTTGGCTGCGCGCATCAAGTCAGACGCAAGAACTTAGAGGAGCACACCCTGGTATGCGCATACCGAGTCGTCGGACCCGTAGGAGAGCAATTGGCGGAACTCCGAGCGGAAATTGGCGCACTGCAGGAGAAGGACCGGCTGAAAGATCGGCGGATCAAGTTCCTCGAGACTCGTGGGTTTCCTATGCCCACGACGAGCTCGCCGGAATCTATTTCAGACATCAGTTTACCTGAAGGCACTTCGACTCACGAAGAAAACGCACCCTACGAATCTAAAGACCAGTATTTCCTATCCCTATTCGAGACCATGGAGTCCAAAGTCGAGCGCCTTTCCTCGGCGCTCAACGAAGTCGAAGGCCGCCATTCGATGATGCTCTTTAACGAGAGCTCCCAGATCAAGGACCAGCTCACCGAAATCCGAAGCACTATGGGTGTTCTTGGGATGCATGTAAGATGGCTCATGAACTTCCGGCTGCAGGAACGAGGCCGGGTAGGGACCGCGTCCCCCGGTATTTCCGGGTCCCTTTCCGGTGCTCATGATGGCCACAATGACCCAAACCTACACCGACGCATGAGTGACGCTTTACGGGAACACCCTCCACGATTATGATCCCTCTCGCAAGAAATTGTCTTTATTGATACCAGACACACAACAATACCATGTCGTCACGTGAAAAATGTGTTTTGTGTAAAAATACATACGGGGCATAATCCTACTCCCATCGTCACCGTAGCCTCCCAACTCGACCCATTTCAATATGACAGCGCCGGAGTTTCTACGCTACGTCTAGAGATGTGGTTATCGCTTGTGAGGATGATGCTAAGAAATCTTTGAAGCTTCGCATACTGCGAGTAGAGGGGTTTTAACTACTTTGAGATTAGCAGAGAATCCACAGCATAGCCGCACAGAAAAGTGCCAAGGAATAGGAAGAGGGAAGTCCGTTCAAAGATACTCTAATCCATGTCGAAGCTCTATTTTCCGACGATACTAGAGGTATTCAAGAGAGCATTGGGGAGGCCGCGAAAGCAAGGAATGGAGATGGCTTTTTGGTTTCTAGCAGGAAGAAGATTAGGATACCCTCGCTCTTGGTAGTCTTGGAAGTGATTATGATGGTGGTAGCAGAGCTTAGGATTCCCCAGAGACACGGTGGAAGGCACGATTGGGAAGTCTTGAGATTGTTTCGGGGAAGAATTGGTGGCGTTCCGTGTGGCTTTCTAGTCCTATGACGACTGAGGTACCCAAGTATATCAAAATACGAGGGGGTTGGTGTTGGGGGAGCATAAGGCTGGAAATGAGATATCGTATAAAATAAATATTTTTATGAGTACAACTACATCCCTTAGTTGGGATCATTACGCCATGATAGGAGAGTTCTCGTAGGGTTATTCCGCAACATAGGTAATGTGATATCTACCTAGTACGTACAATCCTATCAATGATTAAACTTGAAGCCTAAGATTAGGTGAAGCCAAGTTGGCAAGATGTTTTTACGTTGGCTTGGGGGGTACCTACCTAAAGTATTTTTTAGGTCGATGAATCTTCAACGTATTATTCCCTAACCTAGGTAGGTAGATAGTATTTACTCAGAAGTTCTTCCTACCATTTCTTCATGTTGTTTCTTCATGACAATTTTCTGTAGAATCCCCCTTAATATTCTCCGTAATGACTCGATATTACACTTCTATAGTATACAGTACCTAGATACCTATTTCAAGTAGCAGAAAGGGAGTTTTTAAAAAATCCCGTGGTGTGTGTGCATCAAGCCCATTAGGGTTAAAAAAGTAAAACGAGATTACCACATGGTGTAACGTGATCGTTTTGTAGTGTAAAGTAAGATCTGCGTTTTAGAGCTACATGTATGAGCTATAGAGAGTGCGATGTGAATAGTCTATCCATGATGTTTCTTTCAATAGCCCTCCTATCTCAGGGGTATCCCGTGGTAATGTAAAGGCATCGCTTGGTAAATGCACTTGTATCTTGAATACCTTCCTTGTCCCCTTACCCGTACTGACCACTTCAATATAGACACGTACCTCCGGTTCTATCGACCATATCCACAGCTTCGTTCCATTCGATGTCTAAGCAGACTACCTAACTAGTAAGTAGGCACCTAGCGCGCAGTCGACAACGTACCCACCTCACCACCCGTCGTCCTCGGCTCCTCCACGTAGCGCTTAAGCTTAGAGAACTCTGCCGTCGGTATAGAGAAGATAGCGGATTTGAGCTTCTCGGAGGATCCTGGGAAGCAACCATCGAGGCCCTCGCGCTTATATTTGACGGAACTCGGATGGTCAGGGTCGAAGAAAGGGCGCAGGGTGGCGTCGAACCGGTCCTGCAGCTGCTTGCGATGGTGCGCTTGGACGGGGCCGCCAAGGGCTAGGATCCAGTCGATGACCTCCTGAAGGACGGCATTTTCTTGCGGAAACCAGAGGGAGACCAACGTTCTTAAGTCGAGCACGTGGCCATGTTGCTTGATAGTGTCGACGATGTAGGGGGCTGCATAGATGGCGTAGTGTCTCTCGCGCTTTCTTAGTACTCGTATCGTTTTCGTTTTCGTCTCGTGTCCAGTGTCTGTCAAGAACTGTTCTGAAGTGAAATATGCCTTGAAAATTATGCGCTCCACGTCACGCGGAAATGTGTACTTCGTCTTGCCTATGGTAAGGGCAAACCTCGGGTTTGCGCCGTGGTACAGCATAAACGCGATGATTGTAAGACTCGGACTGTGAAAGTAGCACCACTCTTGGAGCATCATGTGGAATGCGGATTCCCTGCCGGGGATTATGTTGGAGTCGGGGGACGCTCCGTGGTTGAAGAGGGCTGCAAGAGTTTTCAAGACAGCGTTCCGCGCCTTCATAATTGGATCATGGGCGTATATATGGCTGAGTAAAGCAACGGATGCGCAGCAGGACATCAACTCAGGGCTAATGCTCTGGTTTGAAATGAAGTATTCATAGAGACCCATCTGCGCGCAAGCTATGATAACGAGGTCCTTAGGATGACAACGGACAGCCACATCCGACAACCGCACTATAAGTGCACATTCATAATCCTCAGAATTCATTTTCAAGTCAATGACTGTTTTGTGAATGGCATCTAGGAGCTTATGAAAGCGCGAGGAAGCTTGTCGACCAGAAATAATGTGTCGCATAATGATTAATTTCAGGCCCTGTTTGAGTGACGGGTCGATAGAATAATCAAATATATCTATGTATGAAAATGGACAATCTGGAATAATTTCAAACTCTGAGTACGGAGATCTCGTTCTGGATACATAATAAGATGCTGGAAGGCGAACACGTTGTAGGAGGCCAAGATACGTATGACAGTAGGCGTCAATCGGGTCAAAATCTGGTAAGTTAAGGTCCATTTTCTGCTTGAATTCTTGGCTTTCTAAGAATTCAGAGATCGATCGATGTATAAGGCGAACCGCACTTCCTAATGCCTGTGAAATATTATGTGGGTCACCGTTCGGGCGTAGTTCGAGAAGTCCCTTGCACAAGCCGTATATTCGCCTCTTGGATCTTAATAAGCGTTCATCTCTCTCCTTCGTCGTCAGTAGGCTAACTCTGGAATCTAACGCAAAGTCCCTGTCTTCTGTGTATTCTTCCAGGAACGAAAACTGCATGAGTGGCGTGCTGTATTCGAGCGGGCGACAAAAATGAACTAGATATAGCATACTGTATGCTAACCTCCTGTTATTGCGGGGGATTGAGTCCAAGAGTTGTTGGAACACTACAATAGTTCAGGTTAGTCATTGCCGTGATAAGAGACTATTACAGTATCGAAGAGAATCCCTCTATTTTGTAATATGGGTGGATATAGATTGACGAAGTTGAAAAAAGAGAAAAAAAGGCACTTACTAGGTTCGAGGTCAGTTGGAAGAGACTTGATCAGTCTCAACAGATCTTTAAGCTGATCACCATTTGCCAAACCGTCCTCAACGTGTCGAAGGACAATTGCCACCCATAAGAACACGCCATCAGATTCATCAAGAATCATTTCTTCTAAGTCTTTCGTACTAGAGATACCAGGAGGAACTCCACAGCCGTCGCTATTTACCAAGGCACTGGCACGCATCTCGCGAAACCGGCTTCCCACGAAGAGTTGGATGTCAGCACTTGTGAGGTCATGTAGGCGAAACTTAGGGCAACCCCCAAAAGCATCCCTAAATATAGCCCATTCTCGGCTAGATACGCAAATCTTCACGTTCGGGTTCTCGTTAGACCACGCAAGTAGTTGTCGGATAAGGGCCGCATGATTGCCTTCGAATTCGTCCAGGCCGTCCACAAAAAGGGCAAATCTATATTCTCCATGACTTTTACTAGCAGCGATAAGTCTCTCAAAGGCCTGATGGCATTCATGGTATTCAATATGAACATTTTCTCTGTTGACCGATGATTCCCACTGTGTAGGAAACACGAAGGGGATCAAGTCGTGACATTCCGAGAGGAGGCGGTATAATAGCCCCCGAGTGAGTCCTTTAAGACTCTTTTGCAGAGAAGAACCAGGCCTCCAGAAGAAGAAATCCCCCAAAATAAGTCTCTTCTCCCCTGCCCAGGCACCCAGGTAGTCTTTTGTTTTCGGGTGTCGTGTTATATATTTCATCAAAGTTGATTTGCCTGACCCTGGCTTGCCTGAGATGTAAAAGATACCAGAATCATATTGGAGCCAACTGATAAATCTATCACGAGCTTCACTTAAGTTCTCCCTTACTGAATTTGGTACATCTATGTCCGAGAAAGCGAGAGATGTTTCCCGCTGTTGCCGTTGTAGAGAAAACTCCGAGTGGGTGGATTCACCGTCTGATAGAAGTGAAGACCTATCATTTTCGATTGACGATAGATCATCTAAAATCCACTCAAAGCTTGAGTTGTCATCCATGACAGGCTGGGAAAAATGCTTCGAGTTACCACGGAGGATTCTATTGTCGGTTGTTGAAGATGAATCGGAAGTATAGACAAGACCCGATGCGACGGAACCTGACACCGTAGATTTTGCCTCGCTATCTTCATTCAGCGATTGAGAAGTTTGCGTCTGGTCGTCGTCATATTCATTTACACTGTCTGGACTACGCCTGATGTCGCAAGTTCCATCTACTTCGTCGGCGAAAATCCAGCCAAATGTCTTCTCATAAGCCTCTTCAATATCCTCAAATCTCTCATTCATATGTTCGAACCGCAAAGCGTCCAGAACACGAGCCCGACGAACGTTTAAGATAGCATCGTCAGTTAACTGAAGTAACGATCGGATCTGACCTAGAGCTTTAGAATCGAGACAGGAAACATTAGTACCCGACCGTAGAGATTCCACGTTCTTTATGAGTGACCGCAACTCATATTCATTAGCCTGGCCGTGGTCGATAAGCTTATTAAGTCGTTCTAATGACTCGGATCTGTACTGATTTTAGGATCAAATATAGGTAGAATATACATAAATTGCACCTTACCTGGATAAGCTCGTAAGCTCCAAGTTCAGCTGCTGTCTACAACGATCTAGCTTTGATACCAACTCAGCCTTCTCGTCCTTGTTGCGCCAGTTTCTCATTGCCGCTCGAAAGGCTCCTCGCATAGACTTTGAGTTCTGGGCTTTTAGTTTATCAAGTAAACTCGCCAGCTCCACTGAGACATGCTCGCAGTCACTAGAAACTCGAAGAAGAGATAGTTCCTGTTCGGAGAAAGAACCTGGCGGTTTGGTCAACTTTAGATTTGCAACAAGTTGCTGAAGTTGTTGCACTGTTAGAGATAAGTCGTCATTATATACGCTTGAACCGGAAGCTGATGCATGAATGTCCTTGGTGGCAGAAATGAGCTTGTATCCGAAATCTAAAAAACTGATGATGTTGCCCGCGAGCCCAATCGCTGTGAATGGATCCATTTCACCGACGATTGCAGCTTGGTAGCTGTAAACATAACATCAGGTTGCCACTATACTTGAAAGCCTGCTGACGACCCAACACAGCCTTCAGAGTGGTCACGTGCTACATGCAGACCTGATGCAGCTGTCCAATCAGCTGCAGGTCCTACGTCGTAAATCAGCATTAGACGTCACGGAAAAGCCTTTTGTACGGATTTGAGCTAAAGCTAATTCAATTATCTTATCTTTTGATAATCTTTAACAGTGATGCTATCCTTGTTCGTTTGCTGAGTCCGACGCGATACGGTACTTTGGGCTGGGAGGTCATGGATGTGGGTATAGGTTTAGGGGTTGTATGTGCTTTCTCCTCAGGCTGGGGGGTTAAATTTGGGCTAGCTGGTGATTCGGTGACGAATTTTGCAGGCACGGCCTCTGCTGACTTGGCTTTTTGGGATTGGGTCCTAGTGTTGCTACTGACTTCTTTTAGGGGGGAGATGTCCCGGTCTGTATTCTCGTCCGTGGCTGGTTCGTTTATTACTACGTTTCCCCCCTCCTGTTTCTGGGCCTGCCTTTTCTTTTTTGGCTTCTTGGTGGTCTCAATTCTCTCTAAAACGGGATCTTCGCCCTCAGCACCATTTCCTGGAGTCTTAGATGAAACGATAGGTTCAAGCTCTGGAGCGACTGGGGAAACTGGAGCTTTGGAATTCGCTGGATCTGACTTCCGAGGTCGGCCTCGTCTCTTCTTAGACTTCTCTGGCTCGGCTGGAGTCTCGAAACCTTTCGTGGCGGTATTCGGATCATGGCTAGTAACTTGGGTCTCAATAGAAAGCTCGTCCTGAATGATCTGTTCGCTTATAGGTTGCTTTTTCTTGCGTCCACGCTTCTTCGGCTGGGGAGCCGGTTGAGCTTCCAGCTGAATGGGGTCGGGGGCAATAATAGAAATAGGTGGTGCTGTTGCTGGTATTTCGTGGTCAGGCTCATCAATCCTACATATGCCTTCTCTCGGAGGTTCTTCGCGCTCTATTTCCCGAGGAGGTTCTTCCTCATGTTGATGTATAATGAGCTCGATATCGCCATCATCTTCATTTAGACTAGGCAAACCAATCCTATGTTCGTTAGGGCGCTGACGTTTGTGGTTGTCTTGCTTGTCATTAACAGTATTAGAGCCCATTAATTGATCCTGTACAAGTTCGTCTTCATCTCCTAAATCCCTTGGCCTCTTCATCCTCTTCTTGCTCGGCGAGTCTTCCTTTGTAAAACCACCAATTGAAGCTTCGGCTTCATGAGGCACTGTGTGAATATAGATATACGGTGGACCCATATCTGCAACTGGAGCGTTTCTATGATAATCAGCGGCAATTACATCCGGAGAGGAGGGTATCTAGTTTTGGATTAGTAAAGCTCAAAAATACAACTTATTGGGCAAACTTACATCTATGGCATCATGAGTGTCGGCGAGTTGAGTGTCAGCCATAGGGCTTCTTTCCCACGGAAGTGGTGGCCCAGAAGACGCGTATCGGCTAGGTGTCGAGTATGCAACTGTCGAGATGCCACTTGACTTTGGATTGGGGTGAGAAACGGGTAGGCCAGAGTAGCCATTTTGTGATACGTTGATCCTCTGATACTCAAGCTTCTGCATGGTGGTGAGATTGCTTTGGGCAATGTAAAAGTTCGTTGGGGCAGGCATATCAGGAAGTATAGAGTCATGCAGTGAGAATTCCCCTCGTTTTGTTTCTGACTGTAGTGAAGGTTCATCTCCGTCATTTATAGGATGAGTTTCATGTGTAGTATCATTACCCATGAACATCTCGGCCGCAGCAGAGCTTCCAAACATTTTTGACGGAGTCCTTTTTTGCTTGCCATAAGACTTCTCCCTCTTTCCCTTAGAGCTTTTAGCAGTTCTTGGAGAATTTGCACCTTCGGCGCTACTGGGTACGTCCCATTCCCCAGGGACACTTTTTCGCGGCGTCGTTATGCTGATCTTACCATCATTAAAAAGTGGCGGTTGGTTTCCTAGATTGCTTAGGACTACCGGTATCGTGACATCAGTGGCGGAAGAAGCATCGGACTTTTCGGCCTTGCTTTTGGTCGGACGTGACGCTTTACCATTACTCCCGCTTGCCTTTTGACTCTGACGGACGATTTGCTCGATAAGCTGAGAATGCTCAAAAGCCCTGCTATGCTGCTCATCATAAACACTAGCGAAGAATGACTGATCGGTGGTATCAGATATTGCCTTCTGGGTATCTGGCAATTGAGTATCTGGTAACTGGGGGCTCAATGGCTCAATCTCTGGTGGGGTTTCCGCATCTTCCCGGAGAGGAGTCAATGGACGGTCGTCGCCATCTTCGTCGTCGGAGTCCGCAATTACCCGACGAGACGCCATAATTCAGCCACCTGACGCGTTTCGACGCGACTTGTACGTGTGGTGATTAAGTACTGTAGAAGATATGAGTTGTAGTACTGAAACAACAACTATATTATAAGAAATGCCGATATCCTCAGATAGTGATACCTAGGACTATCAGCCATGGGGTCAAGATTGAGGCTCATTCATCATGAATCTAAGGATCCGTGGTTGGGAACGATTTAACATTGAAGTTCCGAGATTGTCTTGTATTCTTGTCACTTCAAAGTTGTACCTGCTAAAGAGCACGCATATGTGGGGCAACGTAAATATAGTCCGTGCGTTACAGATATATGCAGATACATTAATTAGGTATATATGTATGTACCTAGGTACAGTTACACCTGAGTTACTAGTAGGTACAACCATGCAAATACGGAGTTAATCTATCGCATCGCATGTCATTCAGGGAAAACCGGTAACAATTTGTTCATACTCGAGGTCGCAATATGACCTTGGTTTGGTTTTTATTCTTAAACTTCGTAGTGAACAGTACACAATCCAATTGAATGGGTATCAACGCGGATTACCCTATTAGCTAGGTAAATAGCCAATTCAACTTTGACGGCCGCTAGCCTCTTATCCTTCGCCTTTTGTTGGCATCTCCTGCTTGCTCATCCGCCTCATCCTCAACTGTATTGTTCTCGCCACCGGCTACACTCAAACTACGGCTCACTGACGGTGGCACACCCGTAGGTGGAGGAGCATTGCGCTCTACCTCATTACGGAGGTCGCTTAAAAGCTTCTCAACCTCCCCAAACATGCTGCGGGTATCTTTCACGACCCCGTTTTCGTCCACTTCGTAGCCCCGATAGTCCTCTCCGTCATCTTCTTGATTAGCACGTCGATTTGACCTCAGAAATGAAGGCCCGAAACCGCGATAAGGGTCTGGGTTGTACATAATCGCATTGGCAAACATGTGAACTAATTCTCTCTCTAACTGTGCGATGTTGATTATACCTCGCGGGGGGACTAGGTCCACCGATATTGGGATCCACACATTTGTGGCACTCGCCTCGATGTCAGACATCGTCGCTACAGCCGCAGCTGCCGCTTTGGAACCTGCGGTGATAGCCTTCTGAATGCCCTTGAGGTCCTGAGGTCGAAGCACAATTTCAAAATAGCCTGGAGCAGTCCTCGGCTTCACGGGATGTGCAAACATATTAGCATGGCGGTGGCTGATAATTTGATCCAAAGCAGACTGGCTAATTTTATTGAACGAACGTGTCCATAAAACGTGAGTAGCCGGTGTTGGTGACGCCCGATTCGGGGGGCTATCCTGGCGCTTCCGTTTGTTAGAGGGTTGACTAGGCTCCAGTTGAGGCGGAACTTGGTTTTGCACATTCTCCTCTACTGCAACCGCATCACCAATGTCTTCAAGAGCTCGAGGAGTTGCCTCTTCGTTCTTTATATCACTCCCTGGAATATTTTGTTCTGCTGATGCCTCCTCCGACTGGACCAGGGGCGTTGGCTTCTGCAAAATACGAGGTCGGCCTCTAGGCCTACTAGCCGACCCATCGAATTTTTGTATAGGCTTCCGCATATCCTTCGTTTCTGCCTGTTCGGGGGAGGTCTTGGGGAGTTGGGCTGGTTGAGAGGGTGGACTGATTGGCTCGAACATCGGACTATCAAGATCGAAATAACTAGTTCCATCCTCCATCCTCGGTGTCGCAGGGGTCGGCGTCGAAGTCCACTTAGTACCATGCCCTCTTATGACATGAGGCGAAAGAGCTATCGGTGTCTGCAATTGGGTTATTGACGAAGGACGAATAGGCTGAGATGTGGACGCCGGAGTCTGTAATGGAGGTACTTGAGGGCGTTGTGGCTGTTCGGTGGTGCTAGCGGGTTGAGCTTGTGGATTATACGGCGAACTATATAATTTCAATGCCGGTTGTGGTTGATCTTGTTGAGGCGCTGGTGTGGTAGGGGCAGGGCTTTGAGGCGCGTAATTAGGCTGGGCCGGGCCTGGTGAATGTGCCCATTGAGCTGGCGGAACAGGCGGCTTCGCGGAACCCACAGCTGGATGAACGGCCGATAATGCGACAGGCGGCCGGACGGGTGTCTGAGTTGGCACATGTTGACCCCGATGCTGGGGGTATGGGCCAGACGCCATGTTGGGATTTGGAGAAGTCGCCACGGGGACAGATGCTGGACGGCGCTGCGGTGCTTGTTGTCCCATACCATCGGGAGCCGCATTCAAGGGCAAAGATTGAAGAGACGGTGGTATTTGACCAGAATTTTGTGGAGGTAGTAGGACAGAAGGGGATGTTGGTGTGGACCCCTGTATCGGGGGCCGAGATTGCTGACCATATTGTCCAGGAGTCTGCCTACCGCCCGAGTAATTCTGAGGAAACTGAGGAAGAGCGGTTGGGGCCTGGGAGGGATACGACGGGGGTCTCGTGACTCCCGCGTTGTAGGGAGGGCGGGGAGACGGAACAGGCGTTTGGTGGGGGAGCTGATGTTGTGGTGAGGGTGTTCCTGGTGGCAGCTGAGGTTGGTGAGATACTTGATGGGTAGATTGAAAAGGTTGAGAAGGTTGATGTGGAGGTTGATATAGAGGCTCCCATTTCAAAGGCGCAGCTGTAGAAGCAGAAGCAGGCACAGGAGCAGAGGTCGGAGTTGGAGTCGGAGAGGAAATATGAGGTTGGTTGGACGGTGTTGGGGCAGGACTTCTTCCTTTGGGTATACCCTCGGGTCGTTGTAGACCATCCGTGACAGGAGGTTGTGGGGTGGCAGAACCTGGACGTGCGGTGTATCCTTGAACAGCCTGCGGATGTTGTAAAACAGCAATCGGACCACCTATCGGCCGGCCCAGCTCTTGTGACCTATTATCAGGTGTAACATGGCGTGCTTCGTTCGAGGGTCGAGCAGTTGACGGGAGTGAAGATGGTATTGGGTGTATAGTTGTCCTCTCTTGGGGTGGATGAGGAATGTGAGGCGGCTCAGATTTCCTCACGGGATCATGAACCTTTGGCAGAGTTGGAACTGGTGTTGGCGTGGGTATCGGTGCCGGTGTTGGTACTGGTGTGAATGTCGCAACCGATGCTGGTGTCGAGGGGGGTATCGGTGGTGGCGCTACAGCTAGTTGACCCTCCGGCCTCGTACGTACTGAGTCGTTGGTACTAGGAACACCATTCTTATTCAAATCCACGCGTTGTTCTTGACTAAACTTGCTATCCCATTCGCCTCGTTCGATCTCGATGAGTTCGCGTTGAAGTTCTTCGAATCGTTTCTCATCTTCCCTAATCTCTCGAATGAGGCTATCTCGGAATCGTATGTATAGTTTCTCCACTAGGATCGGGAGTTTTTCGGTGTGGTCTAAAGATTCCGGAAAGGTAGATAGAGGGGGGCTTTGAAGCTTCCTTTTCTTAGAAGTTGGTGATAACGCGGCATTATTCTTCTCTATCGTAGCTTCAACTTCCCGTCTCTTCTCATCTCGCAATAATTGTAGGGCAATGCCCTGAAGAGAGTCAGGGCTCAACCTGTTGGCATCGTATCCGTCTTGTTCGTATATAACCGGTGTTTTCTTGAGCGTGTCGGAGATATGACTGAAGGTACCGATGACCAGACCGCTCTGGAAGTTCCTGTTAAGCTCTTGAAATAAAGCAAATGTTTCGAGAGGTGTGAAAGAGGTGGTAATATGATTCATGCCCCAGAATCCACCTCGGCCGTGGTCGAGGGGACCGTCGCGTCGCTGTAAAAGATGAATCGGCGCCACGATCTAGTGTCACGGTCAGCAAAGGTGATGCGGGTTTCCTAGGCCATTCCGACCGGGAAAACACGATATTGACGCGTACTAAATGGTTCACAGACGGTCGCGGAAGTCGGTTGAGATGACTCCGACCTGTTTTATGACGGAATGGCGATGATTAAGACGTATTTTCGATGAAGCTATTCGCGAAGAATATTTTTCACGGTTCCTTGTCGTTGGCGGTGAATCACGTGATTAGTAATAGGCATTCGGTAATCCGCAGATAGCAAGTTCTACGGTGTCCATACGGTGGTGTATGATTTGTGTGATGGATCGGCGAACGTTGCCAGATTGACGGTTGGAGCGCGGTGTTTGGGAATGTGGGATCTGATCTGGGGACCTCCTTCGATTGATAGGTCCAAACAATTCTGCTAGCGTAAAAAGTGGCCCGTGCACAATATAGAGAGCTCCTAGGTCATTCCCGAGTTTTTCCAACGCTTCAAAGTTTAAATCATACGTATTTCTATCATCTCAACGTTGAATCGGCTTAATACTCGAATATAATATTTCTCTACGGATTAACAGTGTCTTATCTATTATGTACTTGCTTATTTTACTACGCAATACCCCAATTTCATAGGTATTTACACATCTCGTACATAAATACATACATACATACATAGGTACATATAGCTCAAACTCGTCTAGTCCTATCGACAATAATTATCACCATAAGATATAAAACATATAATGTAGTAAGGGATCCAAGAAGAGATCGAAAATTGATCCAACTCTTCCATTTGAGCAAAAACTACATATATTTTGAACCTTCAAACTTTCACATGTGACAGCAACACGCGATGAAGAATAATGCACGTGCATAAATTATAGTAGTCGATTATGAAAATAGTGCTAGTTTAGTTCACGTCATAAGATAAAACATCGAGATAGCGTCTTTAAAGTCGGAATCATGCAGAACATTGTTGCGCAGGTGATCATTCTTCCTGAAGATAAGTTGAGTATGCATGATCTACGCCTATGAGACACATTTGACTGTTCTAGATGACTAATGCTTATTCTCTATAAAAGCTAAATGAAGCTTAAAAGTTATCTAACTAATTAGAGCCGATAGAAATGAAATCATCTTTATTAGGAAAACGAAAGGGGGCGCTAGCAAAGCCGATTTCATACATGGCGTCTATCTAGGTAGATAGTTCAGCTTTCCGCCGTTTACCTACATTAAAAATTAAAATCCATCTCCTAATGGAGAATGTCGAGAGAGTCTGGCCTCGGAGAGGATCGAATAATATGGATGCTACCTTAAATGGCTACTGAAGGTCCTGCGAGAATAAGGGGTTGTTTCTTTCAGCCCTGAAGGTCGTACTCAATACGGACCATCGGTTGCGAAATGCATAAAAGCAAGGGAGATTAATAGGTACAACCTGCATTGGTATGTCACTATATCTGGTAAGCCAAGTACGCTGTAAGTACGAAGTGTGCCTAAATAAAAAGCAGAATCAGGAACGTTGCGGGAAGATGAAAGTCAAAAAGTCAAAGCACGGTCGTATTGGTTAATGAGAACTGATTCATGCGAAATGCAATACATGTAGGTATATATTTTTATCAATGCTGTACGATACGTCCACTGCAGCTTCCCTTTATATATGCAAATTATATCACTTCATCGTCAATCCAACAGTCAACCTTGGAAGTCGGGTAGCACAACAAGAGCAACATGAGGTAAGTGCCAGATGCATAATGGACAGAATGGAGCAACCAAGCAAGGATTAGAATAATAAGATTTCGCCAACAATGGCACAACAATGGGTTTGAATAGCACCTAGCTAATTGATTTGGATCATCGCTGTAGAATTAGAATTCGAGCATATGTCACGCTTTCGTCTAGTGATGAGATCGTCTTTAGATCATCCTCGAAAGCAGTTAGCAAGTTAGATGCCAAGAAGGCAATTATTACCCAACTGCGGGTGATACAAAATTCTACACCTTTCCTTTATTGAATTGACTATTACTATTACTATTCTCTATTCTCTATCGACTTCTCGTCAAGTCTTATGTGAAGTCCATAGTAAACTATCACCAACTTATTTTTTCAATTGCCAAACGAGTAGTCGTCAATAACCCCGTCTTCATCAGTCTATCATTCAGGGCAAAAACAGCGTGTCCTTTTCTTCCACTTCCTCAATGCGAAGTGTTTCAGTAATCTTTTCCTTAAATGCCTAAGACGACTAGGTAGTTTAGGTACTTGCATTTTAATCAGGTACGGGCAAGGCCTTGAGTTCCACTGGTTCGCCTGACCCCCCTTTTTTTTTAATATTCGGTCCCTTTAATCCATTCAAGGTCATCAGTTCACGTCCCGGCCTTCCTCAAGACCCGCCTTTCATTCCCTCCCCCACCGCCAACTCCATACATTTAGCAATAATAATAACACAAGCTCTAGCACCCTCCCAGCTCTCCAAACTCTGGACTAAACCACTTCTACACTACGACTTCTACTATCCAACAATTTTTCTTCTTTCTTCACACAACGACACAACGCCCATGTATCAAGACACCACCAACTTCTTGCCCAAGATGAATCCTACCGACGAAGAGCTCGACCGCGACTGGAAGCCCAATGGCCGCCGACCGCAATCGTGAGTATCGCCAACGCCTATAGAATGTCTTACTCCCTTCGTATCTGTTGTCGCAGATACAGTAGAAGGATGCGCCAAAAGGCGAGCTAAGGCCCTTAGCAAGACAGGAACTAACATGTTCTCTTCAACAGCACCATTGCCCGTTCCTTCAGTCAAGAATTAATGGATATCTTTCGCATTGAAAACAGCATTGCCGACCTAGATGAGCAAGTTGACAAGCGGTATGACCCACATCTATATATTATACCCCTATTAGCTTAGCGCCCATCTCCCACGACTTGCGACCTCAACCAACGAGCACCGATACTGACCTTTACCTACCGTCTAGAAAGCAGCAAGTAACAAGTGGACAAACCGAACTGGAGTCCCTCGAGGCTAGAATTAAAGAGATGGAGGAGAAACTCAAGAAGCAGCACCCTGGAGCAGCGAACGGTTTGCACGCACGAACTCAACGGCAGGCCCTTAGCGACGCCTTCGACAAAGCGCAGGCCGAGAAAGAACAGCTCGTACAGCAACAGCAGAGGTCCCGGCCTGGAACTGCGAAACAGGTTCAGCAAGCACCTGCACATGGAGGGGCTATGCCTCCGACTCCAACAGCCAGCGAAGGTGAATACGTACTTGTCAATCACAGCTCCTCTGGTGACCGTGGCGCCGATTCCCGAAATTTTACTGACTATGTCTTGATTCCTAAAGATGGTGGCGATCGCGAACACTAAGTCGTTATTTGCTTTTTAACAACTCTTCCCCGCCTGCGCCCCCCTTAGCCCGTACGACTGGTTCTCCGCCTTGGCTTTTGTTCCCACCTTGCCCCTCCCATTCCGACAATAGATCGAAGGAGAGGATGCGTAATCGACGACAATCACTGACCCTGAAAGCCGAATTTGGACAATGATCGAGAACGACTCCATCGGCTCGCTTGGATACGCATATCGGATAAGATCGGCCTTGGTCTTGAAATCCGGGATTCAATCGCAATTGACAAGCCTTGGACCATTCGACGTCTCACCACAAAGGGGGGGTTATCGAATCGCATTTTTTCACGGTTTTTTACGACCCAGTTTTACAGCCTTAAGATATACCCTCGTTTGGAAGAAAAAAAAGACGACACTACTTTCCTGTCCGTCTGGCGTTGAAGGCGTCTATCTTCTTGTTTCTCAATCCATCTTTTACCTTAGGACCATTTAGTAGTATCATGAAATGGGGAGTCGGCTTGTAGGGAAGAAGCCGGGGGTCCTGATAGTAGTGGACGGAGTGTGAGAAACGCTCATCATCGCATCTTGGCATGGCATAGGGTCTTCTTATGTTTTATTGAAGTCGTCGGCGAAGGGTGGATGGCGTGAAGAGAGAAAGCCTTCCTCGACCGGATGCATACGTACCTCGTCGGCTTACTTAGCCGACGGGTCTATTATTGTACATAACCTGCCTCTTATCATTTTGGGGATCATCGTTAATGAAATCTGGATAAACTAATATCTTTGTCTGGTTGCTGAATTGATCTAAGTGGGTTGTGGTGATTCGACTAATAATAATGCCTTAGGTACCCATCTATCAGGTAAATGGCCAATATGGAGGCGAGAGCCAGCGTGACATCCATATTACACACAATTAAAGGTAGCATCAAGGAAAAAGCACAAACAAGCAAAATCGACCCGCGAGCTGGGACATCGCATTGAACTCTCGCGAAGTTTCCAGGATACCTGACTCGCTAAACTACGGGCCGTCATCATCAACATGTCAGATCCCGTATTCCCGCGCCGTCGCTAGGATCGTGTGCAGTGCAAACAAACACATACGATCGATCAACGAAATTCCGATCAATGTAAGCTGCCGATGGAACACACGGTGATTTACCTCGCTTTTTTTTCTTCGAAGATGAAATGAGAAGGGAAAAGGGCAAAGCAAGAAGTAATAAGCTTGCTCTAGGGAAAGGAGGTGCTATAGTGGTAGTAACACTTAATTCATATCTCATATCAAGAATTGAATTGATGTTGGATAGAGTTTCTATGCTCAAACTTACCTAGGGATACGATATGCATAGACAAAGTAAACGAAAGAAAACTTTAAAGATATCATCGCATGCATGAACATATATAAGCCAATACTACATGCCATGATATAGACATTGGGATTGAACAGTAGACGAGAAAATGAACAGCAACCTATAGATTATTTAAGCCAGTTAGTTCAACAGCCAGATCCTCGAGAATGATTGTAATAGGTAAGTATGTGGGATCAACTCCATGATGATTTTCAAGTTATTTTATTCATCTATGTTAACAGAGAAACGTAAGCGCATACATAGGTGCGCAAATAAACATCGGCGAAGACCGTACCTCGTTGACGAAACTCCCCAACCAAAATAGCAAATATATTGAGGGCAAAGGCGATCTCAATTTATTCCCAGCTTAGAGGATAGCAAGTTAGCTGGCCCCTAAATCTCCTCCATTCAACTATGCCGGGGACCATTATAAATCTTGTCACGAGTATCGACCTTGCGTTTTTCATTGCTCAAGTTCAGAGGCTTGGGAGCCATGCCAAATCGTTTCTTTGCGATATCGAAGACAGCGAAGCCACTCTTGAGGAAAACGTCACCGAAAATAGCCGGCATTTCAGTGAATGAACCAAGGGACTGAAGGCCGGCATAGCACTGGCCACCAGAAGCCTTCGCATATATGAAATACGCTCCCGGGACTGTACCTGTAATATTGTTTCCTTGAGCATCGCTTAACTCGAAAACAAAGTCTGGTGGGGTTGAGTTGCATGGTATCAGCCACCCATATTCTCTGTACGAATAGTTGGCGCCGGGAACGCTGTTGAAGTACATATGGACTGCCTCGTTAGGCGCGAAGAACAATGTAGACCCGGTATCGATAATGACATCTTCTGGCTCATTGAACTCGTACTTGATATCTGACCCTCCAATTCCGAATCCCGTCTGCTGAACGGACCAGTACCCTTGCGAGATATTCACACCCACGTAACTAATATCCGAGTCATGTAGGCTGTTGTTGATAAATCCAAAGTTGAATGATCCCTCACTGCTGTTGTGGCGTAGATCGACCGTGAACAACGGTTCGGATAACACCTGGGGCAAGTAGTCAAGAAGAGTTCTTTGCTTAGGGATTGTCTGCACAATAGATGGCCAGGCTAGCCCCACAAGACCAGACATGTAGTCAGACTCTGTAAACATGGTCGAGACTGATGTTGCCGACTCAATTGTCATGTCAGGTACCGAAAGGTTTCCGAAAGTGACTGTATCCTTGTAACAGATACCACTAGATGTAGAAAAGTCGCCATAGATGATAGACCATGAGCAGTTCTTAATCAGATGGGATGTAGTTGACTTTTTGGGATCCCAGAGAGTCTGTCCGGCTACCTCTTCTTTGTCGGTGTCAGTAGAAAAGATCCAGCTGTAGCACTTGTCAGTTCCCATACATAAATACCTCATAAAAAACAGAACATATTTATGGGGTTACCATACGTATCAGATGAGCCCGTGTCAAGATCTAGATATAGCTGCTGAGGTGGCGAGCCAATCCCTACAGGAGTGAGCCAGAGAAGGTCACCAGCGTGCGAAGCTGCCGGAGTGGAATCTCCTAATGCTATCATTAATTGTATATCCCTAAGCAAACTTGGGAAATATTTGTCTGCTTTGACTTACCAATATCGCCTGCGACAAGCTTGTTGGATTGAAATTTGGTCTTGTGAGAGTCGACAACATCCTGTAATCCTTCTGGAATCTCAAGCTTGTATTTCTTCAAAACCTTAAGATATTCGGTAGGACCATGGCGAGGAATATCGGCATTGTGGGCCACAGGAAGAGAGAACGTTTTGCCGGCTTTCGATCTAAAAGTCGGAGACGAGGTAACAGTGGTGAAGAGAGAGAGGTAGAAGGCTACTGCCACGAGAATACCGGTAAAGTACGCCATATTGATAGATCTTTATGGTCAAATGGCAGGATTTCGTGGTATTGGGAGGTGTGAAGAATAGAAGGAGAAAGGAATTGAGAATGGGAGAAGAGAGTTTATATCGAAAATGGAAAGATGGAAACAGACTGTGTTTGTGCAGGAACATGTCGTGATTATCTGGTGTAATTTCCACGGTCGAGATTAAGTACCTGCTTCATATAAGTTAAAGGTGACCTCTCCGTCACGTACCGTGACTACCTTATATGACCCGATATATACCTGGGTTACATGTACTCACTAAGGCGTGTTACCTGAGGTGTTCTTTCGAAAACATCTGAACTAAACATCTGAACGTCGAAGGTGCCAATTGATAGGTTACACGATTGTGACAGGTACAAGTTGGGATGATTGCTTCCAAGTTCTATCTACCTCCCTTAACTTTAAACTTCAAACGAAGGAGATAGGCCGGATTTGTCGATGATCTTGCCAAGACGGATATTCGCAGCTTCCTCTAGGAATAGAGGATCCGCTTAGTCCGTGTGATCTTGCGTAACTGCATCTACAAGCATCGAATTACATATGATATATGTACCTGATAGTGTTTATATGTGTAAGTAGGTAAATATCTCAATTGCCGATGTGGACAAACATACAAACATTACCGAGTAACTGTTGATCACGACGAACCAACAAAAGAGAAAAAAACATGCCGCATGACTTGGCAACAAGTTTTCAAGTGCTCTTTTTGTTCCAAACAGTATATTAAACTCATATAGGTTGACTTATTAGAATCGATTCTGTTTAACAATCTCGTGTTTAAAATAGGGGTATGGTTCAGGGGCAGAACCAAATCAAACCAACATTTTCACTTCCCCTGATTTCTCCCTTGGAAATCTGGTGTATTCGTAGAAGAATAATGTACGACGTATGACAACGACCAACGGCCGGCTACATAGTCTGGCGTCGCAGAGAACAAACTCGGGTGGAGCTTTGTGCGAGCATCAGCACTCTAATTGACCAACTATAGACTGCGGGAAAGACAAGCATACGTACATAGTGGACCTACTTAACCAAGATCAGCACATGCATGTTGGAATATCTGGTGCCTACCTGAGTATAGGGGTAACTATCCGGATCTGGATTTGGTAACACCAAGATTAATGCCATCCTTCCCGCCGGTTCTAGGAAGACACCAAATCGGTTTAGTTGCATCCATGGATATCACTCGTTGACCTTGGTACTCTTCTGAAGCAGTGAACTAGAATCGTAGCCCTCACCAGGCAAGTCATATCATTCGTCAGCGTCTATCTACGGCTCATATTACAGCTCGTCGTGCTTCGTCCTGGGCTCCTCTTTATTTTGTTGCTCCTTGGACATGCGCTTGATCATCTCCTCGATCTCCTCCATTGACGGGCCCTTGCCGTCTTGCCCGAACTTAATGTAGTTCTCCCCGTCTTTAGTCTCTATCGTCGGCTCTGCGCCGTCACTACCCGTCTTGGTAGTGGTTTTCTTGGTTTTCGTCTTGTTAGACTTCTTCGAGTTGCTGCTCTTCTTCTTGGTCTTGTCAAAGGCCTTGACGCTCTTCATAGCTAGGTCCATGCCGGCCTTCTCCAGCTTCTTCGTCTTTTCAATCAGATCCTTTGCTAGCAGCACAGGGTTGGCGGTTTCAGGGAGCTTTTCCTGTTCAGCAAGCTTCTCTTCTAACCAATCAAGGACAGATTTCGAAAGATCCGTGATTTCTTTCAGGTCATCAATAGTGTATACGGGTGGTGTTGGACCACGATCCTCGACAGCGCTCGTCGTCGTTGATGTTGTTGTTTCTTCATCTTCAAGACCATCGAAGTCACCAGCTCCCTGTGAAGGGGCCGAAGTAACAGAGCTCGCTTCACTTGTCGCAGTAGAGCTAGCGCTTAGGGAAGACATGTATGCATCCGCCTCGGCAATCTTCTCCTTAATGGTATCAATGAAGGTGGTCGTTTGGCCTAGAGAGCTCCTCAAGCTCTTGATTAATTCTGGCCTCTTCTGTGCCTCATCTATTCTCTTCTCGACGGGTGATACAAGATCCTTGAGGCCCTTGAGTTTAGACTTGAGTGCTTCGCGGGATGCATCAGCTCCATCATCATAGAGCCATTCGCTGGCATCGCCAGCCTTCTTCTCTAGCTTAGCTCGCTCCTCAGGGGTAGAGGCGGCCACAAATGATTCCGTCTCTAGTAGATCCCTGACTTTGTAGGTGAAGCCTTCAAGCTGGTTTAAAGCCTCTTCCCTCAACCTTCGGGATTTATCAGACGCCTCAAAAGCCTTGATGCGCTCCTTCGCTTTAGTGAGATCTGCTTTTGGTAGTGATGGAATCCCTGTCTTCTCTACGGTGTAGTCAACGGTAATTACAACAAGTTGCTTCTTTTTTATGACAGGGCTGGCCTCTGGAGATTCGGCAGAAGCAGAAGACGAAGTTGCAGATGTCGAAGTAGTGCTGGAGTCGAAAGAGGTTGCAGCAGTCTCAGTAGATTCGGTAGTCGAAGCGTCCTCGGTACTCTCCTCGCCATCTTTCAATGGCTGTTGATCCTTGTTCTTGCCGAAACCGAAGAGATTCTTGACTCCATCTATGACAGAACCTTCCTTCTCCAGTACTTCAGCTTCGCATTCAACGGAAGCTTTGTCGACCTCTACCTCGCCGTCTTCAGTGCCAAGGCGTAACTTGACTTTGAAATGGATATCGGGGTGGGAGCATCCCTTCTCAACTAAAGATGCAACGGTAGCTGTCAGGTTTTTCGTTGTGAAAACTTTTGTTTCCTTGTTCACCGTGGTTCCCTCAGCTGAGGGGACCTGTTGATAGAAACGGACTGAGAAATCTTCATGGTTCGTGAAAGTGACTTCTTTCGGGGCAGCACCAAGTAGAGATCGCTCGGTCCAGAGTCGTTGCTGCTGGGCCTTGTCCTGAGGATTCTTCCACTCCATTCCTGCTGGGTAGAAAGCGCCGTCGGAGATCCGGATTTCCTTAACTCGGAAGCTGGGGCTAAGTTCCGCAGCCCGGAAAGCGGCACCGAAAACTGCCGCTTCATCCGAGTTGACGTTGCTACGAAGCTTGTCGGCACCTGCAATCTTCTCAAGCTCCTTTTGGACAAAAGGTGTACGGGAGGAGCCACCATGAAGGATTATCGAGTCAAGTTGCTTAATGTCAAGCTCGGCTACGTCCAAGGCCTTCTGAACGGCGATGCCGACCCTTTCGGCATGTGCCTCAGCTAGTTTTTCGAAATCTGCTCGAGTAATCTTGTATTTGAAGTCAATGTTATCGTAGAGATCCTCAAAACTAGAGCCAGTATCGACATTGGCACTGAGAATGTGTCGTAGCCTTTCAGCATCCTTCAACAATTTCGCCATGGCTCGACCATGTGCTCGAACGCCCTCTGCCGTTACAGAGGCCTTTTTCGCAGCGTTTGACTCAACAAATTTCGAGATCATATCATCTAGGATTAGGTAGTTAAGCGCATCACCACCTAGAGTTCTGTCCCAACCACTTCCCACGACTTGGACTTCCTGGATTGTCTTATTGAACTTGCCGATGTCCTTAACTGTTCGGCCCTGGAACTTCAAGATAGTTGCTTTGGCAGAACCAGCACCCATATCGAATACCATGTGATATTCCGGCTTGCCTCCTTCGTCGATGTTGGGGAATGTTCGGCTCGTAGCGTAGTTTAGTCCAACAGCAAGGCCATCACTAATAAGAGATAGAACCTTTAGACCAACAAGCTCGGCAGCCAACTCCACAGCGCGCTTCTCCTCGACGGTGTAAAATGGAGGCACAGTTATAACCACAGATCTAACGGTGCTATCAGAACCAGCTAATGCTTCCGCGTTGCGCTGTATGCTCTGGAGCTCCATAGCTAGCAATTCCTCTACCAACCACGCTTCTTCATTGGCAGTAGCCTTGCTCTTGAATGCAACAGTGCCACGGGTCTTGTGCGCCTCTAGCTGTAGGTCTGGGTGTCTCGCAGAGTACTCCTTCACAATCGCATCGCCTGTGGAGAGGCCAAGGAGGGTCTTGAGATTAGGGTATACGTCTCCGGGGAATCGGGCGGCTAGAGCTATGGCATCGGAGCCATATGCCCTCTCGGGATATGAGCCGCTCTTCGGGGCATTTTGCGAGGGTTTGAATGCGACTGCGGAGGTTTCCTTTCTTCGCGAATCTTTGGTTAAGACGATCTCGAGGGGTATTCCGGGTTTAACGAGGGTGGCTTTGATATATTCGGTACCTAAATCTATACCGAGGACGGCGGATATAGCAAGGACATTTGTAGAAAATAAGAAAACCACACAAAGTAGTATTGATCGAGGGGAGAATGATTGCGCCATGTTGGGCAAGATTAGGAGGGGTGTATTTGGCGAACTGCTCGCCGGAGGAAGATTGAGACCAGCTGCTTAAGATGGATTTCTGGAAAGATCCATAGGTAGGAGTAGGTAAGTCAAAATAAATATAGTCGTTTAAAGACCGGACACGATTCTATGTGTAAGGCTCCAGCCCGATACCTTTTATTTAAGAAAAAAAAAGAAATGTCTTGGTTTATTAGAATCTGGCCTTTACTAAAAGAGCTATTCCTTGCGCTATGTGAGCTTTCTGACCTCACCGCAGCTATCTTTGTGAATGAATGTACGTACTTCAGGTATTATTTCATGCAAAGAGGACAACTTGTTGAATGTTACACCCCTGCATGTGGCTGATATTTTGTGCAAAAGCCACTGATAGTCATCTGATTGGTTCGATAATCAAATATGGACCCGAAACGAGACGAATGTGGAAATCCTTTAGGGTTTGCTCTAAAAGTACCTAGTTGTGGCTGATCTACATACCTATATCCCCGCCCCCGCTTGATGTGTGGAGTACAAGCACCCCTCGGCCTCAAGCTTGCCGAGCATTCAGTACTTAACAGATTCATTATGTAGGCAGGCAGGTCCTGGGACCTAGACATACCTAGTAGTTTTATGATGATAAAAACCGAGATTTCGCCTGTTTATTCTTGAAATGTCGAAAGTCGATAATGAAATTCGAGGTCGCCTAGCCCTTATAACGGGTGCTTCAGGAGGGTATGTGCTATTATTACGTTTCGAACTGGAGTTTGTTATATGCAGCCGGAGTTGACGCCTCACAGAATTGGCTCTGCATGTGCCCGAGACTTATGGGCTAATGGGGCTTCCCTTGCTCTGACTTATTACAACAACAGACAACCTGTTGACGAATTAGCCCATGAGCTTCTCAAATCACCCGGCAGCGAAGGCCTCAGAATCAGTTGCCATAAGGTTGATACCGGCTCGGCTGAAGATATCGAACGGCTCTTTCTCGAGATCAAGAAACAGCACGGCCAGGATGGCCCAGATATCTTAATCTCGAATGCTGGGTATGGCAAGAGACGTACCGGTATTCTAGATGTGAGCTTGGAAGAGTTCGATTACATGATCAACATAAATCTGAGGGCTTCATTCATTCTCGCTAAGCTGAGCATTCCTCATATGGAGGCTCAGAAATGGGGTCGGATTATCTTCGTCTCTTCCATAGCTGCACAGGGAGGAGGAATTAACGCCTGCCATTACGCTGCCTCAAAAGCCGGTCTAACCGGTCTCATGAAGAATCTAGCAATGAAGCACGCTAAGCTGGGTATCACAGCCAATGACATAGCTCCAGCTATGATAGGAGAAACCGGCATGATACCAGACGCAGCATTTGTTGAAGGTACACCCGGAGACGTGAAGAATATACCGGTTGGACGGCTAGGGACTCCACAGGAATGCGCAAATGCTGTTACCATGTTGTGTAGGACGGGCTACATAACCGGTCAAAGTATTTTGCTGAGTGGCGGTCTTAAGTAGGTAGTGAATTATTTTCGGACGTTGCTTTCGGACGTATCTCACAGATGCATTACATGCACCTTTGAAGCCTGCTTAAGCGAACCAATATTAATTTCGTGTATCCAATCACAGATTAATCCAGATACATGTCTTTCGGGTGCTTATTTTCATTTTTATTTTTTTGGGTTCTACCATCGCATAGATCATGCTTAGATTCTGGGATAGTTTTTATTGGCTACCGACCTCTCTCTCACCGGCAAACTTCGGTGAAAGCTCCACCGTATTTCTCCGGTCACCGACACACGGGGGTAGCGAAACCCGACGCCGGATGGAACCAATCGGCGCCGTGCAACTGGATCCTTGAATTTTGTCAACCGTAACCCGTACAACTTAAACTGAGTTGATGAGTCACGTCGAACGTCGATGAGCCTTGGCGAAGATCCTTCGTTTCACTTTCATTCCAACATTGAACATCCATGGATCGCATTATTCCGTACCCCTATCATTAACTACGGAATTACTCCTACTGGGTACCCCTTACTCCTGACGTATCCATCCGTTCTTGGAATCAGACGGGTCGATTAACTACCCGATAAGCTGACGTATTACTTTCGTATGCATCAAGCTTTCAGGTGACTTTTTAAAGACCTTTTAAAGCAAATAGTTAAGGAATATTTGTGTTGTGTTTGACATCTTCAATCCAAGGCTGAAGGATTCAGACAAGACAAGACAAAGGAACCAGGCCACACCTATCCCATACAACTAGCCTAGCTCCAGAGCCTACCCTCCCTCTTTAACCACACCACCCAGCCCAGAGCCATAATCAAAATGGGCACCCCCTTCATCTCCCTCCTAGAGCCCACCCGCCTAGACGGGTACGACAACACAAAACCGCACACCGCACAACCCGCACACATCCCGCGCGTCTTCCTCGATGCAATGGAAGTGCGGGAAGCCGTATTCGTAGAAGAGCAAAAAGTGCCCTTAGCCTTCGAGTACGACGCGGACGACGCGCGGTCGTGCCACTGGGTAGTCTACGCGAGCGTGAACCGGACGACGGAGCCGGAGGAGCGGGACCCGCAGACGGGGGAGGTAACCAAGCCGCGGAAGTCCGAGACCCGGAGCGTGCCCATCGGTACCATGCGCATCGTGCCCTTCCCGCACCCACCACACCCGCCGTCCGGTGCGCGGTACGTGGGCAACGTGCTGCAGGAAGATGATGGAAAGGAGGACGATAGCTCCTCCCATGATAATGCAACGGCTGCTAGACCCCGAGCCAGGACCCTGACTTCCGTAGACACCGAGCGGCAAGCCTCCGCGCTACCCTTCGGCGCAGATGCGCCGACCACATACCACGACGGAAAAGAGCCGTACGTCAAGTTAGGCCGGTTAGCCGTGATCCCCATGTTCCGAGGCCACCACATCGCGGGCCAGCTCTGGCGCGCGGCGAAGGCATGGCTCGAGGAGCATCCTACCTTCTTCGACCCCAGCGTTACGGAGTTAGGGATGGACCAGTTGAAGGCAGGTGGTGCTGGGGACATACCCAAGTGGAACGGGCTGATATGCTGCCATTCCCAGGAGAGTGCGGTCAAGCTGTACGAGAAGTGGGGGTTTAAGGTTGATGAAGGTATGGGGAAGTGGTATGAGGAGGGGATACCGCATGTAGGCATGTTTCAGCGGTTGAACATTAAGCATATGAATCCGCAGGTATGATTTACGAGTTGGGTGGGTGGATAGATGGGGGAAGAACTAAGCTGTGAGGTGCTGACACCAGTGCTATGACGATCTCAGCATCACTATTGCTATGCCTACTTGCTGTTGCGATTCTTACTATGATACCAGGTCATGAATGGCCACGTTCGTCACTAGCTACTGCATTTACGACTGTAAAATCAATGGAATCCTATTAACACCAGAATCCTTTTTGGCGTGACTTAATTCAGTTCATGATTTGCCCGCACGGGCAGAGCCTTTATTTTTGCAGCCCTATGTGACTATGATGCCATAGAACCACTTCCCGCCTGAGCCTGAAACGCACAAATGCAGAGAGTAAAATGCCCAGATGGTCCACGCCGAAGAAAACCCAGAAACAACACCCCATTTATCGGTTGCTCTTGGCCACACGCTCCAGCTCGTCCTTCTTCTTGATGGCATAGGAGTTGCTGCTTCCCTTGGCAGCGTTGATCAGCTCCTCAGCCAGGCATTCGGCAATAGACTTGACGTTGCGGAAAGAAGCCTCACGGGCACCGGTGGTGAGGAGGGCGATGGCCTGGTTGACTCGTCGGAGAGGGGACACATCGACGGCCTGTCGTCGGACGGTACCAGCGGAACCGATACGAGTGCTGTCTTCTCGGGGACCGCAGTTGACGATAGCATCGACGGCGATCTGGATGGGGTTTTGGTCGGTCATCAGGTGAATCTAGATATAATGTTAGAAATCATCACAATACGATTTTATCCTTTTTCGGTGGTGGATCCTTACGATTTCGAAAGAGTGAGCGACGATTCGGACAGCCATAAGCTTCTTGCCGTTGTTGCGGCCGTGCATCATCAGAGAGTTGGTCAATCGCTCAATGATGGGGCAGTTGGCCTTGCGGAATCGCTTCGCGGCATAACGACCTGCGGAATGGGGGATGTAGACGGGGGATCGGATCTGAATGTAATCGCTGTAAAATTTCCACCGTTAGTCTACCATTCACTCCATCGTAATTATCTGCGTGCGATCGGATATATGAAGACAGCTGTCGCGTCGTTCAAATCGAATTTTTCGAATCGATATGTACTATGGTTAAATAATCGACTTACGTCAAAGAAATATCGCGAATCTCAACATCCTCGTAGCTCCCTGTAATAATTTATCAGCCGCGATGCTCGAAAGGTATCAAGCCAGGAGCGACAGCAGAAGGGAACGTACATCGGTTGAACAGCTTGATGCTGCCAATCTCGGAGGTGACGTCCTTAGGAAGGACCTGGTAGGTGGTGGACTCGACCTCGACCTCGCCGGTTTCAGACATCTTGAATTTGTTCTGGCGTTCGGGCAGGAAGATTGGGGTGTTGTTGAAAGTCGAACTGAAGTCGAAGGTAGATGGTGGGGAGGATCGCGAAATTCCACTGATTGAATGTAAATTCAAGATTGAGAAATTTTGGCCGGGTACATCCGATTCAAAATTCGTGGGTAGAATTGGTGCGCTAGGGCTCAAGGTTAGTTCAAGAATAGTGCAAGAGCCAATTAAATTGTCTGTTCTGTAACTCTCAATGTAAGCGGCATAAGCCAGCCGACAATTTTTAGCGTCCTAAGATGTGGGGTTCTCACGTGACACATGCAAACCTTCACAGTACTAGGTACTAGGTACATACGCCCCTTAACATAGAGGCGTTCAATAGTGCGTCAAAACTCCCTCAGTGGCTTTCTCTTCTCTTCTCTACACATCCTCGTTCATGACATCTACGACAAGAGAAAATATCCATATCATGTTCAAATAAAATAAAATAAAATATTCGTCGTATTCATCTACATTCTTATAATCATCAAGTTCATACATAATACCTAAAGATATCCATCACGTGAACTAATCCAATGACTTCACCCATCAACAGAATGGCTCTCCTTCACCCGGCACATCGATCCCCAATGCCATCTTCCCAATCGCCTTCCCCTCTTCAACCCGTCTATGCACCTCCCTGATTCCCTCCGCCGTAAGCCTAAACCGCTTCATCAGATGACACTTAATAGTCCCATCCTCAAGATACTGACCCAACTTCTCATACCACTGATGATGCTTCTCCTCCTTATCATTGACGTAATAATGGTACGCGCCAGAGGCCAACCAGCACCAAGAGAACGTCAATGACTTGCTCATCATCTGCGAGCCGTACATATCAAAGTGAGCCTGCACGATACTGCAGATTTTACCAAACGGCGCTAGTACCTCCGCAAGAGGGAACAGGTACTGCTCCGTTCGCGATGTGATGTACGCGTACTTCAGAGGTATGTCAGCCGGGAGGTTGAGGTCCTTTATCTGTTGGACGATATCCCCGCGATGATTGACGACATGAGTCGCGCCCATCTTCTTGGAGAACTCGACGGTCTCTGGTCTTGAGGCTGTGGTGATGACGATAGGCAATTTCAAGACATTTCTAGCGATCTGAGAAGCGATGGATCCCATGCCACCGCCGCCATTGATAATCAGGATCGCGGCCTTCTCGTTTTCCTTGATTTCTAGTCGGTCGGCCAGAGATTCGTACGCGGTAGCGAAAGTCAATGGCATTGCTGCTGCTTGGATAAACTCCACTGACTTCGGCTTGTGGCCGGCGTGGCGCTCATCCACGAGGACTTGCTCGGCGTACGTGCCTTGAAAGACCGGGTTTGCAAGATAGAAGATCTCATCGCCGGTTTTGAAATACTTCACGTCCGGCCCCGTTTCGAGGACGATACCAGCGCCGTCATAGCCAATAATATGGAAGTTTGGCGGTTCTTGGGTGAGTGACTTGACTCGGTCGTAGTAGTCGGGGGGGTCATCATATGTACCATTGCGGACCTTTATGTCGATAGGGTTGACGGAGATGGCCTTCACCTCTACGAGCATTTGGCGCCCGGTTGGCTTTGATGGCTTCGGAACTTCTTTCGAATGCAAGTTCTCAACAGCGCCGTATTCTGTTACGCCCACCGCGTGCATGGTAGAGGAAGCCATCTGATGTTAAGGTAAGATATAATTTAGATTAGAATGTGATATATGCTTTGATTTGCTATCTAAGTTACAGGTTTTACGTTTCCTTTATCGGGCTACTTCGCCCATATATATAGACAACCATCATCCCGAGAATTTACATGTTGACGTGCTGATTAAGTCACGATGAGGGGTATCCTGGTGTATCCTGATATCTTGCCGAAGGGCGAATGAAAACCGATATACATCTGCGGTGATGAGTGAGGGACATAGTTGTCGTGAAGAAGTTCACCCGCATCTTCATAGCGACGACGAATCAAGGCTTGGCCGATATAAGTCGGTCCCGGGCAGGACAGTGTTTATGATGACTATGCTTTAAAGAGTTATGGCCCGCGTAGATCCCGAATTTTCAGCTTTTCCACCGGTCACCCGTGAGAGCGAAACGCGGCCGAGGTTGTGGAGTTATAGCATGCCGCAGCGGTAGATTTATTACCCCTATTTCTAATCTCCGAGTCCCTTTTGCATGCGCCACGATGTGGCTGGTTATCTTACCTAAGCTCACTGGCGCCAGGTGCCAGAACCTTGGATCCTTGGCGAGGTTCCGAGCATCCGCTTTCTCCAACCACAGCCAACCACAGGTCTCTAATTCGCAATTCGCATTTCGCGGAAGCTAGAACCTCCGTCATAACTATACGAAATTATACGAGCTCTACACGCCAGAAGCACGAGGCCACCTTGCTTTATATCTTTCCATTTCTATTTCCTATATTTCCACTTCTCATGTAAACTATATACATAATATCTATAATACCACCTTTAATCAAATTCAATCCCATCTAGAAAGCTATATAGAACCATCGAATCGAACCTTCGAACTAACCCTGAATTCCTTCCGCCATGGCCGAAATACGTCAGCGGAAAGGCAAAGGCCCCGCAAGGGACGAGACCTACAGGACCGCCATCGTCGAGGAGCTAGACACATCCGAGTCAGACACCCCAGCGCCGCCGAAGCCCAAGCCGAGCGTCGATGAGCTAGTCACCGACGAGGAGGAGTATAGTCCGTGGGTGGACATCCTGCGCGTGATCTCCTTCCTGATCTTCGCCTCGTGTGGGCTCAGCTACCTAGTTTCAGGCGGCGAGTCCTTCTTCTGGAACATGCGCGCGCCGCCGAAATATATGCAACTGGATTGGTGGAAGACGCAACTAGTACATCCTCCCCTCCCTAAATTCCAATTCATCCTGCGACCTCCCTAACACATAACCTACCCCAGCGCGGACCAATCTACCTAACCCCCGCCGAGCTCGCAACCTTCGACGGCACCGACGAATCCAAACCCATCTACCTCGCCATCAACGGCTCCATCTACGACGTATCCCTGAACCGACGAACCTACGGCCCAGGGGGCTCCTACCGCTTCTTCGCCGGCGCCGACGCCGCGCGGTCCTACATAACGGGCTGTTTCGCCGAAGACCGAACGCCCGACCTCCGCGGCGTCGAAGACATGTTCCTGCCCCTCGACGACCCAGCCGTCGACGCACACTTCAGTACCGCCGAGCTCGCCGCCCTAAAAGAGCAAGAGCTAAAAGAAGCGCAGGAGAAGACCTACGAAGCGCTCGCGCACTGGGTGCGGTTCTTCGAGAACAGCCCCAAGTACTCGAAGGTCGGGTACGTGAAGAGAGAGAAGAACTGGCTCGACAAGGAGCCACGGAAGAAGTTGTGCGAGAGCGCGGCGAAGGGGAGGAAGCCGAGGAAGATTCCCGGGGCCGAGGAATGAGTGGGGTGATTTTATATATACCTATGGATAGATATATGATTTAGCGAAAAAGCATGTACGATGTACAGCGGGAGAATGGGGTTGGTTTTTGGTTCGCTTTGGTATTTAATATGGGTAATGGAAAAGGGAATGGTGTAAGGTATACAGTGTGGCTGTAATAAATAGAAAATTTATACCTCAGCGTCAACATGTCGTGGGTCTGGTTTTCTGAAAGACTTATCTACCATAGGATGTAGGTATCATACTTTACGTTTATCGTATTCAGCCAGTCCAATGAATTATTAGATCGACCACTGTCACGAAGTCATATATGCAAGCCATAACATTTCACACTCAAGACTAAAGCCTCATATTTCTCAATGGGATCAACAGGTATTATTATTCCAAAATCAGGGCATTTCATCTAACTGCACAATAATGCAAAACCGAGCCGCTGCCAGCCCCCAGGGGCGAAGAATCCAATGTACATATGATGTATATATACGTGGTGTTTTGTTTCTCTAGATCTGCCGCGGCGTGCTCACTCATCCAATGGGCTGAGCCCCCGTTCGTCTCTTCCAGGTCATACTATCATAAGTCTAGACCTGGACGGGTACCGCGCGATCCGCTTCTTCCCGTCATTAAGTCCTAACATCCGAAGACTGTAAACATGTTTCCGGTTATTTAATTCCAAATACGGTCCGATCATAGCATGAACATGGCAGCAACCAAACCAACGAGACCAACAGAGCTCGAGACACCGACCATAGTGGCGGCACCTGTAGCGACGGCAGAGCTGGTGGCGCTGGACGCAGTTCCGCTGGTAGTAGAGCCGGATCCGCTGGTGGTGCCGGTGCCTGAAGAGCCAGAGCCAGAGCCAGTGGAGCCACCAGTAGAGCCGGTGGTGCTGTTGGTGCCGCTGGTACCACCGCTGGCACGCGTGGGAGCGACGTTGGCGGCTTGAGCCTTGGCGAGGGTCTTAAAAGCAGTCAAGCTTCGCGAAGAGTTGGCAGTAGTGCTATCAAAGTTAGTCACAAATCCATAATCAATGGTGTGAATTCAATACTCACTTCTCGTTAACAACCATCACCATACCGGCTTGACAGTGCTTGGCCTGAGAGCAGTAGAACCATAGAGGGGTCTTGGCCGAGACCATGACGCTGTAGGTGGGGATCATGCCCATAGCCTGGCTGGCGGCTACGGGTTGGTAACCGGAGAAGATGCCAGTCGTGTTGGTGTGGGCGGCGATGGGAGAGCACGGGTTGTCGAAGTTGGACTGAGCTACACTGTGGTTGCCACCTCGGAACTGGAACTGGAGCATATCACCAACATCCGCCTTAACATTGTCCGGGCTGAAAGCGAGAGTACCGTTCGTAGAACCGACCGAAACGACGTGAACCTTCTGGGCAGAGGCGGCACCCAAGAGGGTAAGAAGAGCAGCAGTAGTGAATTGCATTTTGACGGTTTGAATAACTGTTTCCTAACTTCGAAAGAAGAGAATATCGTTTAAGAGAGCGATCGTAATAAAGCGACTTGCGCTGGTAGGACTAGCCTGACGAATATTATTGTTGCGAAAAGAGAAGAAAAAACGAGGAAATGAAGATCCCAAAGAGAAACGTTTAGCACTGAAATGAATTGAGAGAGGAAAAATAAAACTTGGCATCAACGGGAGCAGCATGATACTTAAAGACCATAAGGGATATGGCGGCAAGCAGATGAATGATCGCCATGCTAGGGGACTACTCCATGACCCATGTCCCGACATCTACAGTCAAGGGTGAGGCTGGAAGTGAAGAAATCTATGAAACACGTTTTGACCTTGGGCTAGATATCTGGATTAGGGGATACTACCACATAGACCGGGGTGTCCATAAGACGGGCTCTAGGCAGCCGAGATATCTCATGTCGGCCAGCCGCCATGCTACATGAACTGCTGGTACTAGCCAATACGACTCATATCGGGATGTACTTGGCAATAGCAGAGCCACACGGATAGACGTGATTCCTGTAAATACTCATTGGCAATCATGGCAGCAAGATGAGGCTTATTGGCGATGCGCGTCATGTCGATGCAAATAAATTATCTTCCGAGCCGTACCCGTTCGGTCTGTCTCACTTGGGAATTGTATTGCTCATCCCTAATCCTTAATGATAGTAGTAAGTATTCCCTCTTGAAGGCGGTAAACTGTCACGGTCCAGACCCGTTTGGTCCATCCTAGCGACAAGTCAAAGGTTGCCTCCAAGATGGAGAGTCCCAAAATGTTTCGAATCCGGGGGAAGTTGAAGTTGGAAAGTTGACTGGGGTAGGGAGAAGACTCCACAAAACAAAGCGATGGCTGAATAGAATTAAGGTTGGATAGCTAAGCGACTAAAGCTAATCGGGACCCGGTCCAGGGGCTTCTCGGAGCACGGATCTTGCTTCAGCAGGGTCTTGTGTGACGCCCGCCAAACTCAACTAGTTTCATCCCAGCACTATTAGACGAAATAGGTTAAACGCTCAAGACTTATCGATCTTATTTTCTGATTGCTGCTTTTCCTCCAATGTGGCTTAATCAGGTATTAGCCACAGCAATTAGAGTTATGCCAGGTGCACCCAACGAACCGTTATGTAAAATATAACGGACTTCAGCAAGCTCGGGATATCACCGTTTGACAGCTCAATTATGTAATGTTTTAAATTTAATGTTCTAAACTCACTGCTTAAAAAAGTTGTAGGCATCTACTAATGCGCTTTCTACCTCACGTTCAAGTCCTACTCCTTCATAAGCCATGATCAGATTGTGCGATATAAATTCCGTTGGATGAAATCTGATTACGTTGTTGTCTATTGCAGTCATCTGCTCTGCAAATTCCTCGATTGTGTCGAACATAGCTTCCGTGGTACCGCCATGGATGAATAGTGGAACTCTGGTCCGGAATGGATGATGCAAAGGCGAAATATAAGCCACTTCCTCTGCGGTTGGCCGGTGTTCTGGAAAGTAGGCCTGGGCACCCCATTGAAGTAACGATGCAACTAAAGAGTCACTTGCCGAGTTCCTGCTCGCATCATAATCCGCGCCGGCTTTCGACGTCACGTGGACCCAAGGAGACCAGACCATCGCACCGCCTGGTAACGGGAGGCTCGATGACGTCTCAAGATATCTTAGCAAAGCAATAACCAAGTTTCCCGCTGCAGAATCCCCAGACAATATCACGTTTTGCGGGTTGACGCCCAAAGATAGGATATAGTTGTAGAAGGTGACTAAGTCTTGTACAGCGGCTGGGAAACGGGTCGTGTTGTCAACTGATGGTCGATATTGTGCGTAAAAGGTCCTGGTCGCTTTTAGGTACCGGGACATGGCCTTCGCCACAACACGTCCGGACGTTTCCTGGCCCCATGCTAGAACAAAAGCGCCACCAGGGAAATGTAGTACCACCTTCTCATCGTCGAAGTTCGGTGACCCTTCGTGTAATGGTGCTGGATACCACAATCCGCCCACGGCAGCTGGTTTCGCCACACCGGGGGTTATAACTCCGGAATACAGATTTGTCTCCGCAGGTGCCGCAAGAGAATGTCGTTCCTTTGCTTTCTGATGGTCCGAGATTACACTAGACATAGCATCCGATCGAGTATACACATAATACGCAAGAAGCTGCCGAACCAGAGGGTTTATAATACACAATTTTAAACTCCATTCTGGAAACGGGCGAGATGATTTTAGGAAGTAACGAATCAAGAGCCATGGAAAAAGAGCAGCTGTCTTCAATAGAAGGAATATGATCAAGATAGCCTTAAGTGGCTGCTTCGACCACATAAAAGTCATTTTCTTTTTTTTAAAAAAAAGGTTGAATATATGAGTGTCAGACACACGGAAATAGCCGGAGGTTACCAGTAAGACACTCCTTACTTCTGTTGGCTGCAGTAAGATGGTCATTTATTGCTAACTGCAGGCCATGTGACCAGGTGGTTAATACTGCATGTAAGCAAAGCAGTAAGCTAGAAATTGGCAAAGTGTTGACTATTCCTAATACCATACTTTCACTTGGCTCGATTCCTCCTGTTCAAACAGGCTTCGTATTTTTGCAGTTGCAGTCTGTAATATGTCAATATTATATTATGTACATATCTATGTACCAAGGGCCTATATTGTGGTTGTAGGATGGTAAAGCCATGAAGCTGTTGATCAACGCTGGAGTCCGTAAAAAACTACCGTTCGATACGTGAAACCTCCGCGTAGAAAACGGTAATGCCGATTCCGTTGTGCTTGCAGCAGAAATCAGGTGTGGCTTAAGACATGGACTTAAAGCGGCAGGCCTCAAGTTTCAATAAGCACCTAGGCAGCTAGGCACTGGATCCTAGCGAGATCAAGTACGAAAGGAGCCTCAATCAAACCAGATTTGCCAGATTTGTGAGTAAGCAACTGCTATAACAGGGATAGTTTATAACTTAATATCGTTGCACGTCTGATCCCCAAACGCATTCTAGAAACGAGAACAGTCAACAACAGACAATGAAATAAAGCCCGTATTTCCAGAAGTTCAGACGAATAAGTGCTAGTATCAACCGAGTATCAACCAGTATTGACCATAGCCTAATGACGCGTCTGGCTCTTCGTTAATACTACGATGATCTACAGATATGGAACTTGTCACAATTGAAATGTTTCTTAGTCATGTAGGTTGCTTGAAACGAGTTAAGGCCATCGTCTCGAGTTGCAAAAGTTCATAAGCATGGTCGCGCTTTGAAGAGACGATCACTTTGGAACTATCATGAGGCTTTATGAAGCTTTCTTGATACTAAGTTGAGAGGCAAAGATCCATAATCGAGCCATCGTAGGACCCAAAATGCATTTGTCCCATGCGGGCGATCATGGGAGTTTGGGAATAGAAAGACACTAAAACGTCCCCATCAAGATATGACAAGGCCAACGCCTAGTCTGTAGCAGTTGTTGCCGCGTATTCATACGAGGCTTTGATAGCCTTACTGTCAAGTTTGGGATAGTCTCTGCATAGAAATAGATCTCTCAAAAAAACTCCGGAAATCCGCCCTAGTGGCATGACGAAACGAGTAGGCATTGACAGGTGCCACGACCTTCCACGAAAATGGTATCGTGAATCGATCTCATAGGTCGCTTATGTAATTACAAGTGCCGGTTGATACTGATCTGTCACGGTCGATCATGATGCTCATGATGCCCATGCCAAGTCTGACTAAACCATGTCCTCGGGTGCAGCAGCTACCAATTGTGAGAACAGAATTTATGATACGCGGGGATTTCCAGGCTTACCCATAACACAGACTCTTCACACGCCAATTCTTGCCTTTAGGGAGGATGTAGACTCCTCTCCCAATCCTACTTCTTCACAGATCAAGCAACAACTGAGGCGCGACCTTCTCCAAGTCCTCAACCTATTCTCTAGTCAGCACACCCTCTACCCCCTCCACACTCATCAACACCACCCGTCAAGTAACTCACCTCAAGAAACCCCTTCTCCTTCTCCACCACCGTCCGCGCAATCGCCTCCCGCACAAAGATATCCATATACTTCGCGATCGCCGCATTAGCATCCTTCGACACCCTCGTGCCGTCCTTCTCGAAGAACTGATGCAGCACATGCGTCAGCAGCTCGGGCGGTATCGTCTTCCTCTCCTCTTCCTCGCTCTCTTCTCCTTCTCCCTCATCAATCTCCATAGTATCATTATCTCTTCCTCTCCCCTGCCGCTGCTGCGATCTCTCGTCTTCCGCGAACGGATCGTCGTCCGAGCCGATCACCTGCGGTGATTGTAAACTCTGGCCTCGCACCCTAGAGGGCCCCGCGGTCGTAGAAGCCTGTGCTTTGGACGCCTTCGTAGATCGGGAGGCGGCTGAAGAGGCGCCTCGGACGCGAGCGCTAGCTGAGGGGTTTATGGGCATGGTTTAATTTGGTGCTTTCGATATTTGCGTAGGTTGGGAAATACGGTGAAGAGATTTGCAAAGATCGTGATTTGGATATGCAATTGGAATTAAGAGAGGAATGGTTTGTATTTTTGGGGAGCGCGATGCACACGCGAAGCCAAAGGCAAGTGCGACCTACCTATGTTGCAGCTGCTTGCCACCTGGCCTACATTCTCCAATCACAGTAGCACAGGAGCAGCTACAATCACTCCATACAACTTGAGGATTTCTTCACCAATTACTGGTTAAATTTTGGTGTTTGATGATATTCTCACATTTACAATGCATACAGATAGACAAATTATTCACATAATACAAGGAACCACGATTGATCAAGAAATCACTTCATTCAATGTCTATCAGTCGTATGCAACCGTGGGAATCAGGCCGAGTCGAATGCCGAAACAAGCGGAGATGTAGGACGCATAGCAGAAAGAATACAGTCAAAGGGAATTGCCTAGGATCTAAATTACAGCGGGTAACTAGCTGACGAGACGTGAATGTCATCAAGTGCCTTGCCCTGCCAGTCCGTCCGCAAAATCAAGCTGTTCCAGAACGCCACGGCAATGAGTGATGCCCTGTAACAACTTTCCACCGGAGCATCCGTCACGCCCCTTTTATCAACGGCCCTGTCGCCTATCCACTGTATTACACCACCACGCCTCCCAGTTCTATTGGGGTATGAGGAGGGTATTTAACCGGAACCGCCCTTGAAGGCCTTGCCGAACATAAGAACCTGGAGCTGATCGTAGATCGACAGCACACCAGCACCGGCGACACCACGGAGAATGTTGGCACCAGCACCCTTGAACAGGGAGCGGACACCCTCCTTGGCGACGATCTGGCGGGCAGCATCCAAGGTACCGTTGTACTTGACGGCCTCACCAGAGGTCATCATCATACGACGTCGGATAGTGTCAAGAGGGTAAGAGGCGATACCGGCACCGGTGGTGACACACCAACCGAGAAGGAAGGAGGCCAAGAAGTTGTTGGAGAGAGAGCCGACAAGGATGACAGGCTTGATCGAGTCGTACATACCGAAGTATAGACCACGGTAAACAACGATACCGGCGACGGAAGGCATGAAACCACGGTAGAGACCGGCAACACCATCACTGGCGAGGGTCTTCTTGTAGACGTCGATGAGACCGTTGAACTGGCGCTCACCACCCTTCTTGGCGTTCTTCGCATCGTTGGCGAGACGAGTACGGGCGTAATCGAGGGAGTAGACGAATAGAAGAGAAGTGGCACCAGCAGCCTGCATTACGTATTAGCATCGGTAGCTCAAGTAGATATAGAGAGAATATAGAATGAAACTTACACCACCGGAGGCCAAGTTACCAGCCATCCACCAGGCGTATCCATCACGCTCCTTCTTGAAACCGAACAGCTGCTTGAACTTGTCACGGAAAGCGAAGTTCAAGGCCTGGGTAGGGAAGTATCGGATGACGTTGGCAGTGTTGCCACGCCACAGAGACATAACACCCTCGTCGGCGGTGGTTCGCTTGAAGCACTCAGCGATACCATCGTACTTGCGGTCGAGACGACCGGCCTTTATCATCTCATCCTATCCAATTTGTTAGCGTTGTAAATTTCGACTAAATATTTTCAAATATAAGGAAGCTTTTAATTGCTCAATGAACATGTAAAGCTTTCCGCACTTATTGTGGGCCCCGGGTTCGGTAACCCCAACTGCGAAATTCTTGCAGATAGGAAACCAGGGGAAAAGGATCTGCAAATTATTCACGTACCTGGTTCTGGATAAGAAGCTTGACACGCTCAATAGGAGCGGCGGCAGTCTTCGAGACGGCAGCGGAAACACCACCCACTAAAATGTTGATTAGCAAAAATTATCCCGCGTCGTTAAAAGTATTATGCCGAGGTAGGAACCGAAATAATGGCGACAGTGTGTGCGTGCCAACGTTCGAATTCAATTGGAAAGGTAGCAAGACATACTCAAGAAGTCCGCCACGAAGGGCTGTGATAAACATTGTTAGTAAAGCTGTAATATAGCATATCGTATACGTATTTGTGTAATAAATCACGGTGAGGGAAGTAGGGAAATATTGTGAGAATTTTTCCACGGCCATCCACGCCAATGATAAACTCGGTCGAGGCAATAAATCATCTCGAAGTAGCTCAAAGATCCGTCTCAATGATGTCGTAGGAACCAATTGAGGCAATCGATCACATGCGCTGGGAATATCGATGGGTATATGATGGCGGGGAGTAGGCGATGCTTGCGCGAGGGATTTGAGGACTGGAGAAGTGGGAGGAGCTGCGAACTTACCGGCATGCCCAAGACCTTGGGTTTTTGTTCTTCAGACGACATCTTGTCGGCTATTCAAAGATTGCTTGATCTTTGAAACGTAGAAGGAGTGAGTGGAGATAGGAAGTGAACGAGGAAAATAGATGGAGAGGAGAGATGAAAAAGACGGACAGACGCCGAGCGAAATATTTCTACCTGCGACTGGGTCGTGCAGAAAATAGGTTTTGGGGGAGGGAAAAAAAATTGCTGCGGGTAACTGCCAAAGAGAACAGCTTTTTCTAGCGACTCTTCCCGGACCCGCCGCTAAGACTGCACGGAGACCCTTTCCTTCGCTTTCTAAACCTGCGGTTGCCCCGAAACCAATCAATGTCACGTGTAATAATGGGACTAGCACCTCTTCTCCTCCTTCTTTTTCTGAAAAAAATCCTCTAAAATCACTAAAATAACTGAAGTGATCACTAAAGTCCACTGAAGTCCACTGAAAGTGCTGAAAGTAACGTCGACCAGGTCGACTTGGGCGGCAACTTAGGCGGTTGATGGCTGCCACAAGGCCTAATCCTAACATTAAACCTCAAGGGCTTTTACCGGACAATCTCGGGATGACCTATCCAAGCTAAGATATCCCTAGCAATCTCACTTCACATCAGAGATCAGATGCGAGCTATTTTTTACGCTATTTCCCATACTACTTGCCACCAGTGCGTATGAAATACCTATTAACCTTGCTTACTCTTCATCCTACCTCTACGTCGGTATCATCCTACTGATTTACTATTCACTCACCCTTTGTTCTATCATATCGTATTGTTGATTTTTGAGGAGAGATCTAGATTATGACAAACTTTCCGTTTAGTGCGCAGATCCCGTCCAGACTTCCAGACACTTTACATGGCCGATTTCGCGTGTCGGTAAAAAAAGAGTCAGGATGTTCACCCACATGCATCTAACATTCAGGGGTCTATAGGTCTTTCATCCCGTCCCCCGAGTCAAGTTTTCGGCTCAAGCGGCGGGTCCAGCCTTGGCTGGTCGGCTGTAACTTTGTACAGACAAACGGCAACCCAGCCGCGCTAATAGTTATAGAAATTCATCAAGATCGGTTTTCATTGGATGATGATCGGGAATTTATCTACGTGCTACGGTTACAAGAACCGGGTTACGTACATGACAAATTTTAGAAGTGATATGTTGTGGGCTTTACACTATTATCAAGAGTGCTATTGACCTCTATACATACCATAATACTGGAACTTGGTACAACTTAGGTTACAATTACTTTATACATATATTAGTACCTGTTACGGACTTTCGTACATGATAAATATGCCAATAGGCAATGGCCATGACAGCTGTGAGCCTCCATATCATGTCGGGTATAGCCAACCGGTGTGATGCAATCGTGTCTATGGCTATCTGTAGTCTCGGATATACCCTAATCCTAATAGTTCACCGCCAACTGTACTAGACCAACAAGGGAGATATTAGCTAGTTGATACGCAGAACCTAAGATCGTGGTTTGAACGAGAATCGGTATTTTTGAATATTTTTATAGATATCTGTAAGGACCTAGTACTTACCTCATAGTGTCCAGTCAAAGGTGCTAGACATGCTACTTTATATTTCCTATTAATCTTTACCTTACATATAGACTTAAATGCCTCCAGGGTTATATTAAGTATTCAGGTAGTTACCTGTTCGATATTTAGTTGGGATAGTTAAGCACGATACTCAGGGGCCAACTTAAGGATCAAATTCAGGAGAGTAATACATCAGCAAAATACACAATGGGCGAACGGCAAGATGAACAAAGTTCACACAGAGTTGTCAGGGATTTTTTTTCATTTGGTCCCTATCTGAATGCAATTGCAAGCGAAATACTGAACCATAACCGTCCCAATGCTACGCCGAGGACCAAATGCCTGAATCCATCAAATCCCTATCCGCGATCCATCTGGTCCGTTAAAGTCTGTTGTCAACCGACCGAATGTCATTTTTCATCATGGTATCGTGAGACTGATGGTTTAGTCGGAGGCACCGACAGCTCGGGCTATATCAGAGGTCAGCATCCGCCTTACATGCTTTATATATACAAGGCGGTTCATCAAAACGTACTGTAGATCTTCATCTTGCTGTGCGTGACGACGGGCTTGATCTGTCCCTTCTCCTCAAGATCCTTCAGGCATGTTCGTGCCAGCGAGCCGTTGATCTTTAGTCTGTCGACGAGAGTGGCAACTGTGACGAGGCGGTACGATTGAACATCCTTGTAGAGCTTCTCGGAGGTGGTCTTGTCGAGGAGGACGGCGTGTTGTGCCTTGTCCTTGACTGTATTAAGATGAAGTTAGTCAACATGTCCATTAAATCGTTGCGCGAGAGTTCTCGTTGCGTCCTCTCAGAATGCGCCGTCGTCTATCGCGAAATTTCGTGGTACTTGCCTTTGCCCCTGTAATGCAAATGTTAGCTAAAATTGTGCTGTATATTAATTTAATAGATTCTTTACATACTTCGACCACTTCTTCTTCTGCTTCTTCGCGCCGGTTGCTGCGGGTGCCATGTTGTCTGATTTCTGATGTTGGCGTTGCAGTCGTAGATGAAAGTTGAAGGTGGAGGGGCCGAATAATGAATTTTGTAAAAGTTCGCTTCAGCGTTGTGTGAAAGGTGTGGGCAGCCTTGATTAGGCCACACGTGATTTGAATTTTATATTTAATAATAACAAGTACGCTACCAAGGTTTATTGGTTGGTTCCACAAATTGTTAAATCATCAGCCACAATTCTGCAATGTCAGCTACACAGCCACTTAGTTCCATGTGATCCTTGGCTCTCTCTCACCAACACCCCACACCAATGTGGAAACTATCTGCATCCCTATTTGATCAGTTTAAACTTTTAAATCTGACCCTTCAACGCATCCCGCTGTCTGTCTTTTTAGGGGATGTCCGGATTGAATGACTAGGTTCCAAGATTGCGAGACAACTGGAGTTCGCAAATCTATGGAAAAGGCATCTTTAAAGCCATGATATAACCCTAGTCTAATACTTTACGCGTGAACATTTCCGATTTCTGTCATTCCTTCGTTCGACGTACGTACTTACGAAATCTATGTTGGCACGCGTGGCCTCCCCATACTGTACCTCGTTACTACCGGGTGGTCAACACGCAATCCTTTAGCGCTTCGACGATCTTTTGATTTTTTACCTACTTAATTGTACATATATTTGTAAACTTCCCTATCTCATCTTCGATCCCAAGCACCCAAAATGCCGAATCGTGGTGGGATGCTTGGGTTGCGACTAGCCCCACGGCGAGTTACTTTGCTCCTCGTCCTTGTTGGCATATTCGCGTTGTTCACCCTCCTTTTTACACTTCCCAATGCTATACCGACGGGACCAAGCCTATCAAAATCGATCGCCGACCATAAGTTCTCATCGAGCATATTGAACCCCTTTCGTCCTGCTTCGCATAAGCCACCAGAGCAGAAAAATTCAACATATGGAGGAAGTTCTTGGTATTCGAATTGGAATTGGAGAAGTCCATTCTCTTCGTCTATTACACTTGATGAGAATCGCGCTCTACTCCCGCCTTTAAAGGATAGGGCTCCTGTTTACTGTTATTATGACACCACACTGCAACGAGACGAAGCTACGAAGGAAGCCGAGAGCGCGCTACTACTTACATGGAGACGTGCTTGGTGGGCTCAGGGGTTCAAACCTGTTATTCTTAGTGCGGCAGAAGCTATGAACAACCCTCTCTATGACGAACTTCAGAGATTAGATGTGGAACCTGGGTTCAAGAAAGACATGATGCGCTGGCTAGCATGGGAAAATATGGGTGGTGGACTTTTGGCACACCATTTATTATTCCCGATGGCTTCTTACGAAGTCCCACTGCTCTCTTTCTTGCGAAGAGGAGAATACCCCGGCCTTACGAGATGGGAAGGCTTTGATAATGCTCTTTTTGCTGGTCCTAAGGTTCAGATCGCAGATGCTATCGTTCACGCTCTCCGAAACCCCAAGAATAAAACGGTCAAGGACTTCATCTCTGCTGTTTCTAGTGAGACCTTCCTCGTTGACCCGTCGCACACTTCTCTCGCATTCTACGATGCCAAAACCGTCGAAAAGAATTACCAAAAAGTCGCCGAGGAAACAGCAGCGAACCGCGAGAAAGGCATCAAAAGTCTCAACCTCCTAATTAATTCACATCTGCATAATACGTGGCAAGATATTTTCTCCAACGGAATCGCCGTCCTCAAGCCCATGCCAGCTCATACAACGCATATGGTTAAGCCAGCTTTAGAATTGGCGACACTACTCGCGACTTGTAGTGAAAGTCCGGTACCATCATCGTGTCCGCCGAACATCCCTAAATGTTCACCATGTGTTGCATCACACCCAATGAAAATTTCGACTCCATCGCGCTACCGAAACACCACCGGCCTATACACTATCGGAACCGTACCCCATCCATATACTCTGCGCACGCTAGACTCCTCTAAAGACACTTTAGATATCGCCTACATCAGACGGGAGATAAAGAAGCGTGACGAGTGGCTGTATCTCATCTTCCAGGAGCTCCTCGGCACGGGGATATCCGGCTCGATGCGCGTCGTAAAGTTCAAGGACGCTGTGGCTGGGGAATACGCAACCTCGCATACGCTCTGGCTAACGGCGGAGAAGGAGTCCGTGCCCGATGACTTAGACTGGTGGTTCGGTTTCGATATCCCGACCAACGGGACCGACGATGGCAAGTCTGAGACTCCTGTCCCCGGCCCCGAGCGCAGGCCCAAGCCCACGCATGACCCCGCCGACGGACCGGTCCCGACAATAGATGATTTAGCGCACGAACCGCACCTTTTAGAACGTGCTAGAGAGATTGCTAAGAGCAAGCTCGAGCCGGACGTGCGCATTCGTAGCGCGATAGAGGCCTGGAATCTGGCGGATACAGAAGCATGGCGGTTTGCGAGAGCGTTCCTGGCGCGCGCGAGGGTCGAGAGGATGAAGTGGGAGGAGGAAGAGAGCAGATATGCCGAAGGTGTGGGTAGCGATGCCGGTAGCAGATCCAGGAGCAGCTGGTTACGGTGGGGAGACGAGAAAGAGACACAGAGTTGAGGTCGAGGAGCAGAGTTTCAAGTTTCAAGTTTCTAGAGAAAGTGTGGATAGGAGATCAATGACATGTACGGATGACAACGGACGTTTATTTAAAGCCTTAAGCTCATCGTTTGCGGTTTTGATGCTCACGGAAGCACGGCGTTTGCGCGTTATGGATTTTGTTAGACTTGGTAGAGGTAGAGTGTGTGGTAGATTCTGTATTCAGGTCCTGCTGCTTGACGCAGGTGTATCATAAATACTTAAATCAATCATCTAAAAATGAACGTTGCGCCCTAATTTCTAAGTATCTCTATGTGACTAGAACTTTGTATGAGTGTTATCTGCTATCTATTGATATTGTCTTTGAAGCGAATAAAGTCGGTCTGTTGAAAGCCGACTCGATACGCGAATGTTGAATTCGAGAAAAGAAATGTTCCTAAATAATCAAAATACTGTAACCAAAGAAATTCCCCGTCCACTTCAAGATCCGGTAGCTAAGATCGTATCGCCGCCCATCTCACCGCTCAGTTCCCGTGACGTCACGCCGCGTCTCGTAAGTCCGGCGGCTGAGGTGGCGTTGGCAACTCCGAAGCTATTGGCGCCTCCTTTGCCAATCTTGCCCCTAACCGTCGCGGACTCGAGGTAGGACGTCAGGGCGATCTTCGCGGCCTCGACTACTTTCTCGGCGTGCTTCAAGGCGTCTCTTAGCGCCTCGGCGGTGGCATCGTCGGATGCTGTCGTGGGAACGGAAGAAGCGGAGGGTTTAGTACTACTGCCATTTTCAGGTTCAGGTTCCTTTCCGCCGAGCTCTTGCTCCTTGAGCAGCTCGTGGATGTGTCCGTTGAGCCACACGCCTTCCAGCTGGGCTCGGGTCATGTCCTTGGCGCCGCTGATGCGGCCGCGACAGGTTGGTTTGCCGCAGAGACAATCGAAGGGCTGGGCCATGTGCCATTCTGTGGATGGGTAGAAGAACTATGACGGAGGTAAGCTTGGGCGGGATGGAAAGGACGGGCTCACTTGTAGATAGGTAGGACCTAGGTTGGTGAGTTAGGTAGGTTTAACGGACGGTCAGCTCTTCGCCGACGCGCAGGCCATTGGGCCCCGCGACGATATTCTGGGTGGCGGTATCGAAGATTAGGGATGGCTCGCAAGAGTGGTTGATGTACAGCAAGTCACTGTTCAGGTTCAGGTGCTTGTCTCGGCCGCACTGAACTGTGGCGTATGTCGGCTCCGGGGCGAGAGTGCATGGCGGGAAGTCCATCTTCGCAAATAGCCCAAAGGGTGGTAGCGAGATTTTGGACAGGCTCTTGGATGTGAATTCATGCGCGTTGATGATCACGTCCTGGACATCGGGATGTGAGGGCTGGGCCCAGTGTGGAGTTAGAGGTGCCATATTGCAATTCTTATTCCTTATTCCTCTCGGATTTCGGATTCCCGTTTTGGTTTTCGATGTTGGCTGATCGAACCGTATCCGAATCTCTCCACGATTTCCTAAATATCTGAAGTCTGGTTCTGACGTCTCAGGTCAAATCTTTGTCTTGGTATAATTCCTAATGGCCGGTTTCGGTTTTCGTAGTTTGAGATAAGATGGATTCTAGATGGATTCCGGGGTGATGGAGATAATGGAGACGATGGAGACGAAGTAGACAAGATGAGGAGTGAATATCGTCTCCACGTCTCGTCTCCATTTTCCCCTCGGTAATGGCGCACATTACGTTTTGCGCTAACGATCTGACTACCTAGGTAGGTGACTAGGAACTGTTAGGAGTCAATTACAAGCGCAGATACCGAGGCACACAAGCGAGTATCGAAGTTGTGTGTTTGGTCTAACTGTCTTCCAAGTGCTCGGATTCTCGAACGCAGCCCTACGCTTTTGGTTATGTACATGGATCCTAGCGAGCTTTAGTGGGGAACTAGAGAGTAAGAAATCGAGGGGTCGCGGGGATTGGCCGGCTGAGGGGTAGGGCATAACGAGTCAAGACCTATCACAGGCCTATCAAAAACCATGCATTGCCCAATGAAGGCATCAACTCCTGCAAGAAACTGCAAGCAACAGCCTGCTAGCTTGATCTGGCTTAATATAACTATAATTTTACAGGGATAAGTTAAACTCTCAGCATCAAGACTGCAGCAGGTACACCTACCGAACATATCCAACGGCCGGTACTTCCAAGGTTACAATTTTCTCCTATTCGCACGTCGTTTTCTCTGTACCCCGCTCAGGTGATCCAAAAACCTTATCCAGGCGTTTGCTTGCTTGTCTACTATGATGCTGGGTTGGGATCCATGGGTTAGGTTGGTAAAGTTAGCGACGGTACCTGCCCTACCCGCCACCCGCCATCCGCTATCCGCTATCCGCATTGATACCATACCATAGTATTACATCCATATGTAGAAAAAGCAAAAGGGAAACAGCAGAAAAAGGTTAACCGAAATGTCACCCCCATGTACGGATCCGTGATTGCTAGGTGTGTACCCGTAAATCTGATAGGGATCCGGATCCACTCTAGGTACGATGCACGTAAAAAAATGCGCGCGAACATTACTCGCGTCTGATGCGTCTGATCGGATTTTCTCCCTCTTACACTATACCCACCAATTATATATCGACATACAGAATACATACATCCATATTCGCTCACCTTTTACCTTTTAGGATATTAGGATACATCTTACATAGCATATGCAAGATATTATTGTCGATATCAGTTGACCTAGGTATTTTATGCGACACGCTATCTTCCCGGATCAGTGTCCATATCAAGACAAGCATAACGCTTTACGAATTTGGGTCCTCAGACCGTCTTTGTCGGGTCTAATGTTCCATGTCCGGGCTCTAAATAAGCTCCAAAGTTGCCCAGCCAGGTTGTTGGGCACCCTAACTGGGATAAGGGGTATTAGGGATGAATTCTTCCTTTCGAAACGGTTACGCTATGCTGTGTTACCGCTACCTCCCGGATGAATTCAAGATGGAGAGAGGCTACGCTGAGAGGCTTATCTACCTAGGTAGTCCGGCTCACCTAGAGAGAGAAAAGAAGAGTTCCAGAAAACCGGCAACGATATCTAAAGTCTGACAGCTAGCGATTCCCGGCATGCGGCTGACTTTCGATATTAAGCTACCCGCCCTGGCGTGCAGAGCCTAGCGACACCTCCCGCGATGCGGTGCCGGGATTGTCCTCTACCATGCAGTATAGCCTACAGGACCACGCGCACTGGTCCTGGCGATCGTGGTAAAAGGTTCCACCGACTGATTACTCTGAAACATACGTACACGACTTGGCACGGCACAGGCCAGAATGTGAACCCAGGCGAGCTACGCCGGGTAGCCTGGCTTAACCGTTACCCGTTAAAATACGCCCTGTCAATGAGATCACCGTGGCAGCGTGGTAGCGCGTGGCCGATGTACTATGGAGTAGACCTCGATATTGCCCGTCCATCCAGGTTGTCCTTGGGCCAGACCCATTAACGCCCCTTCGCTCAACTGATCTGGGGCACGGCCTCACTTCTCCGAAACTTACCAGATGGGCACTTCCGATCAATCCAAACTGAACGCTTGGCTGGATGGCTTGGGCTCTCGCCAAAAATATACACTGAATATACTACTGAACATACCAGAACATACCAGATATGCCATATATTCCATATATACACGATGGACCGCATTCGAGTCAGAGAAAGTCGGGTCTTTGATTCGATGATATCAGCCTTTTGATATACATACGTCGTAACCCTCCAAACGTCACCGGACCTCCCTTTGGGATGGTTGCAGCGAGGTCGGCGGCGTGGGAGGCAGCCTGTGTGCCTATGCGATTTTCATAATAACCTGTGATCAGAATGACCTTGATTTAGAAGCTACAAGGTTGCACCAGTCGCTTGGAATCCCTGCTCGCTAGTTTTTATCAGGGAGAAGAAAGCACGCACGCAGGAGGGCCGCTTGGGCGGTTACGTTCGGGAGCCTGTGCGCTGAGGCGTCATCTGCCCAGTACCTAGGTTGGTATGTAATCTTCGAAGCTGTCTCGAGATGAAGACACCATCACCTAACCGAGAATCAAACTGTGAGAGGGTTTCAATGCCGATCTATCACCACGTGTGTGGGTCGGTAAACATTCTCATAGGCATATGTTGACCATACGCCAGAAGGGAAGGCGTGACTTTTCGACATTCCATGACCGTGCCCAATCGCTCTCAAGGACCTAGAACGGTGTCGGCCCGGAGGTTGGGGGTGGGGGGTTTATTCTGAAGAGGATGGGTTCTAAAAGATCTGATGGTTACGGAGTTCTTTAAAGAGTTGACTCCCACGCCCTTCTTGCGACAATTCTTTTGCGAGAAGAATTGCCACCGAATATCCCGTTAGACGACCATACCCTTCGTCACATATCGCTATCATCAACGCTCAAGATAGAGAATATACTTACATATTCAAGTCTACATATTACATATCAAGAAACACGATGGCTTTCTACTCGAGTTATGGGTCATCTAAACCTAATGAGAATATCCAACCAGTGGACAACGCTAAGGAAGTAGACGGTTGTCTAGAGTACAAGCCCCAACCACCACCTCAACCAGAACCGCCAACCCCGAACCCGCCCAGTCCTGATAACCGAATAGTCCTATATACGTGATGAGTATCTCAATATCCTCATTCGAGGGGCATTTTGTCATAAGCCCCTTGAAGCCCGGTAACCTCGAAAATGGCATAGGTAAGGCGCTTAAAGCTTCCCAACATTCTAGGCCATATCATACGCACATGTCACCTAATGATCGTTAGTTAACCTTAATGGGATTTGGTATATGCATGGCATAAGTGCAAGCCTGGAGTAAATCACGCCGGACCCAACTTCTATTGCTTTTGCTATTAGCTCCCTCCGAGGTTCTTGGCGCTGTCGCTCTCCTAGGACGCGATTCGCGGCATGTCTTATCGAACGTTCGTTTCTAGGACGTCTTCTGGGCTGATTGCCTAAGACAGTTGTGTCACGAGCAGCATCTTTCCTATCTATTAATCTGGCGTTTATATGTTATCACTCGCAAGGGGGTACTGTTGCTTTTTTTCTCCGGCTTCATACGATATTTTTATTACTACTAAGCATTCGTCGGGTTGAAAATTCAGTTCATTCATACATGTATATCTATCTATCTCACGATATTATAAAATCTCCCCTCTTTCCCGCAATTCTTTCAAGATTATATCGCGTGCGCAACGCACTCGGTTTATAACCTAGCTACTAGGTACGTAGGGGGCACAAATATATTCTAGGCGTTAAGGATTATATCATGAATCCTGTTATAATATATTATCTGAAGCTTGAGAAAGTCGAGTGCGGGGCCACTCTCGTCTTCAATAGGAGAGAAGGGCCGGTTTGGTATATTTTTCTACTACGTTTGTTGCGAACAGCAGCCATGTTAATTGCCTTTTCTTCCGCCTTGGTGTTATCCCCAAGTTTCATGATTTTATGAAGAAATCTCCTAGATTAATCAAAACAAATCTCATTAGAAATCTTGTGCATAATATATATATATATATATATATATATGCCGCTTGTTCAGGTATGCGGTGCCTATCTACGCATAATAGTTGACTCCATATTTAGGTAGTCTTGGGGCATCACGGCAATTCTCTGTAGCTGTCTATCTTGCGATTTATCTATGGATATCTTCTAGTTACCTACCTATGCAAGGTGGGTGTGTACGGGTGTATAGGTATAGAGCAAATAACCACTTGATTCCGATTTCGTGTTCCTCACCCTGAAGTGTGCCCCTTTAAACCATCCATGGATGTCTGTTATATCGGCTAGGGGCCGGTCGTTATGATATGGATTTAGACGCACAGCTCTATATTGATATGGTTGTACTTGCCTCTAGTGTGCTATCTGATTGTTCCGAAAGGCTGTAGCTGTGTGTGCATAGAGACCTTTGTTCAGTGCCTATCAAGTCTACTTGGTCAATGTAACATTTTGATGGTGTTATTTTTACTTAATTGGAGTGTATGTAGTAGGAACTACAGAAAATAGAAAGCAATTGCCAATGTTGTGATGTCGTAATTGATGGTATTGTAGTGAATGTTGATTCTAGGAAGGTACGTCTCGTGATGTTTGCCCTCAGATAATTTCCTATATAACATGACCTGCACGAGGAAGTGACGACGTTCTACCCTTTTTCTCTCCCAAGCCTTCCTATTGTTCTTCTAATTTTCGTTCTACACCTAATTTTTAATTCATCCCCGACTTGAAAAAATTCAGACTCGCCATCACTCAGCTCACGTTAACGCTCCAGAATAGCCTTCACAGATCTGGCCCGAAAGATCTTGCATGCCTACTACTTGCTTGATTGCTCACGTCTCTCACTCATTTGGCATTTTTGGTGTGTGAGTACAGTCTCCAATTCTCGCTGGCATCTCGTCTCGTCTATTCCCAACCGTCTTCCTACAACGATGCCCCGATCTCGACCACCATCAACCTCACGATCGAATATACAATCAATCATAACAAAGCACACCCTACAAACATGCCGAATCTCTTGTTTCGCTCTTCAAGGGCCACCGATAATTCCTACCAGCCCAGATATATTCCCTTCCAGTCGGCCATCTCCATTTTCCCAGAAACTCTCCCTTCCACATCTTTCTTCCATACGTGCCACCCAACTTCCGACTTCATATCACCTCCCTCTTTTATCATTTATTATTTCATTGTTATCATTGTTAACCTGTATTGACTATTAAATGTAGGCTATCTGAATTTGGGGCCTTTCCGCATTATTACAGGTATGTTTTATCCTACTGTTCCCTCTCATAATCCTCGTTATTTCTCCATTTATTCCGAGTATACTGTGGCGTGACTTATGACCTATACTGGAGAGTAACGCCTCACAACATGTAAAGCATGTATATTTGTCGAGTAACAACTCCTTAGCTACATTACCTATCTTGGGCCTCGCCGGATGAGGTGCAAATGTAACTAACACGGCTTGTGTACAGATCGCGGCTTTACCTCTTGTCTGAGACCTTGCCTCGTTCACTGAAGCCTCGATTTCGAATATCCCCCTACGAGTACTGCCCTTATTAGAGCTGCTCACTTCGCCTACGCTCGTTTCGATTACTTGATGGATCCCCGTGTTTATAGTAGAGAAGAGCTACTCAAGCTCAGAGAAGAGTTTCCCCGCAAGATTCTGAACAAGCTCCAATCGAGCAACGCGGCTGGTAAGCATGTCTATATTTCTTCTCTGCATTGTTGTTCCGGTTCCTACCCTACATTTATCTTTATATAGCTCTGCTATATTGTTTGTAAAAATTTCTTCCCTAATTCAACCAAACCCCTCGCCCACCTTCAGATATAATCTATTTTATGCGCCTTTATTATTTACAAAGGCTCTACACATTTCAATTTTGATAAAATATTGTTCTGACGAGCGTAATAGATCTAGCCAAAAATACAGCTGGTGGCAATATGTCGTCTACCAAGGATCGATGCCTCAAGAAGGCCAACGAGGAGATCACTTCGTCGGCGGAGAGTGACGAGGTCATCTTCCAAGGCAAGAAGTCGCGTCAACTCAACCAGTGGCAGTACCGAGGCCGCACTGGTTCTGAAGTTACTTCCACCGAACCAGTATCTGCTCCGGTAGGTCTCGGTGCCCAACAGAGCGAAGGATTTCAACGCTTTTTCAAAGCAGTTGTATCCCCTACTCATGTTAGAGTAACCGCTGGCGGTAGAATTGTTCCCAACACCCGTGGATCTGTATCCCCTACAGCAAAATGGGACAAGGAACGTTCAACAGTTGTTGGACAAGATTCTGTGGAGGCATCTAAGGACGAGAAGCATGGTTCTAGTAACGGGATTGGTACCAGTTTCCCTCATCCTCATCCTTTAATTTCGCCACCCCTCACTGGCCATCCGCCTTTCTTCCATCACATGGGCTTACCCATGCCTCTATACCCCTTCCCTCACGGATTTCCGATGGCCTACGGTATCCCCCCTCATGGTGCAGCTTGGGCAGGTAGACAGCCTATGCCTCCCCAGAGCCAACGAGATGCTGAGGACGCAGAGAAGACTCTGAAGACCCAAGACGGCGCCGGCGATAAGAAGCCGAGGCCGGCACCGATCAAGATTGCACCTCGAAGTGAGACAGAGGCCAACCGACCATTCTATCACAACGGAAATGTGATCTACCCCCCACCCTATGGACCAGGCCAAGGTCCCGTACCCATGATGTTCACGAGCCCTTACTTCCCACAGGGCATGGGAGGACATCCAGCTTTTGCTAGCGCTCATGCGGCTTCTATGGGCCAGCCATCTCCTGCGACGCCCATGTTTAGTCCTATCGCCTCGCCAGCAGTGGGTGGTCTCTTCGGTAGCGGTAACGCCTTTTTACAGCCGTCTTCCGCGCTTGTTCCTGGTTTTAATTCGCACATCACGTCAATTCGACCAAGCGAGATCACTAGGCGTCAGCTTGAATCACTGCGAAATTCTCTTAAGTACTACAAGGATCAGCAGCAGTTCAATAAGCACCAGATAGATGAGAAGTGGGTCGCAAATGAAGTGCAAAAGCTTGAGAAGAGCGTGAAAGAGTTTGAGTACAACTACGATATGCAGTCTAGGTTCGAGGTGATGTATTACCCACAACCTGCATCGCGCTCGGGACGCTCAAGCGCTAGGAGCCGCAGAGGACGTAACACGTCCCGAAATAGCTCGGCTAGTGTTCGTGACCGTGGTCATGGATCGGCGCACTTGCCTTATGAGCGAGGCAGTTCGATGTCAAGTAACAAGAGAAGGAACCGACATGCTATTGGCATCAACTCTAACATAGGAATGGCGTCTCCGTTGGATAAGGATGAGTTTTTAGAGGAACTCATCAAGGAGAAGGTTGCCGCCATAGAAAAGGCTGAGGCCATGGAAAAGGGTGAGCAGACGAAGAACGCTGGATTGCGTGGCAATGCCTCCGTAGCATCCAAGCCGAAGTCTGGACTGAAGCCTGATTACAGACCTCAGTCTGAAGGCCCTGGATCTCAGGCTGAATTTTCGGCCATTGGTATCTCGCCGTTTGATCGACGAGGTAATTGGAATGGCACATGCACTCCTGGAATGACTTCGAACAATGGCGTTCTCTCGGAGAATACTCAGCTGTCGCCCATGAGCCTTGTTCCGGGCAGCTATTCTCAGCCATATCTCGTTGGGACGCTGCCACAAGGAATGAGCCCACACAGCGCTCGTGCTAATGATTATGTCTACTCACGAGAGTTGACTGAAGGAGAAAAACAAGCACGAAACAGCTATTGGGGTCAATTCCAGAGTGCTGGAGTCGGCCTGCCGAAGTTCGATGGGAAGGACTTTTATCCGCCGTCGCCGGTGAAGGCTAATGGAGCATCAGCTCAACCTATTCTCCGACAACCATTACCAACGGGTAGCCTGTTCTCGGAGCTCGATCCGTTTCATCCTAGCCGTGACCTCCAAGGTACGCGCACGAAAGAGACAGGCCATAGAGTGAGCAAAGCTATCCCAATTGTGGCCCCAAAAGATGCCACTCAAGGTGAATCGAAGACAGCAAGACCTTTCCTATCGGCGCGACAGGACGAAGATCATGCTCAGGATCTTTCCAAATGGATGAGAGGCATGGAAATTTCATCGTCAACCAAGTCAGCCGAGGAATCTGCTCCTAAGATGAAGCAGGGCAAGCTTGGTCGCCAAGCCATCGAGAGATCTAGGTATTTACCAAAGCAGATATAAGTAAAAGAGTGTGTAGAGACTGACATTTTATAGTAGCAGATCTGGCAACGAACTCTGGCAGACCATGCTGAAAAGGGGATCGACCAGCGGGGCTGCACTCCCAAGTACAGTTTCGTCGACGACGGCTACGGGGTATTTGCCCCAGTATCATGGACATGCCGCAGCATCTCTTGGTCCGACAATCTCTAACGCGAACGGGTCCACAACCCAGGTTTCGCCCGAAGGAAGCAAGACAGCAGACCGCGCCAGCTCTCACTTATCTGCGGAGAAAGTGGGTGAGAACCGTCGCCCGAGCGAGACACGCTCGGAGGAGTACGATCCGCTGAAGGATATTCAGGAGCGCATGCTCCGTGACGCTGAGCGACGTGGAGTTATTGGCTCAGACTGGTGATAACTCAACAGTCATACTTGCCTTTGCCAACTTCACGGCGGCAGAAGAAGAACAGCTCTATAAGTAATAATCTTGTTAGAGTCATGACAGTATGGTTAGGTTTATCTCTTTCAGAAATCGGCTGATTGTATGAATAAGGATTCAAGTTAGCCGAGTAGTGTTTATTTTTCTTCTTGTCTCGACCAGAGACACCTTTTTTTTAACAACCATGCTAGTCCAACCTAGTCATTGCTTTTTCTTCGCTACTACCCTGCGTCGATGATGGACTGCAACGATGTTGGCTGGTGGCGGAGGCGAATGTGTTGGGCTGCTACCGTTTAGGACCGAGTTTATTGTACGATACTATAATTCTTTTGTCTTCTTGAAATTGTGACGAGGGAAAGAAGTTTGTGATACGTTAAGTGGTCTATTTGTTTTCCTACCTTTCTATTCTATGCCTGTGTCATAATATGGTCTCGACCTCAATACACCTATGATTCGGGCTAATAACAACTTCTCTTCTGTGACTCGAATGATTAATATCAATTGCAGAATACAACGGCGAGATAAGCAAGTAAACACGTTAAGAGAAGTAAGTATATCCTGTATACTGGAGCTTTTCTTTTATTATTATGGTTTTTTTTTAAAAAAAATATGTATTTCTAACGCGAGGAAATGTACCTCACCATCAAACTCCCAACCTCATGGATGAACATCTAACGGTTGGCAGTCTGCAGGCGAGGGGGCGAAGAATGGGGTGATTCATATATATCCCCTACGCTTGCTTTTCTTTTCGCCAGTCGTATACCTCGAAAACCAATGGGTTGAAGTTGACGCGGAGATATCCTGGCGGATCACATACATAGATTTCTTGTCTTTATCTTACAAGGCCGTGTATATGATAGGTATGGAATGATGATGGATTACGTACGGAGAATTAGTGACTTACCTTGGTATTGACAGGATATCTGCCCGAGTATAATATCATATGTGAGTAGGGAAGTCTTGTCTATCTTCCCTAGTACCTGAGCAGGTACGTGTGGAAGGCAGATTGGGGTGTTCCTAGATCCAAATGTGAGTTTGTTCGACGGTTGCAATATCACAACACATCACCACACACAGAGAGCTATGGTACGGAGCAAGACTTCGGGAAGAACCTCCCATGGAACATTTCACAGAGTGAAAAGGCCATTGTGTGCATGCAATTGTTTTTTCATTCGGTGTGTCGCCGCATCTATATGCTGATTCATCGAGTCATCATGCAAGCAAATACCGAACCGTCATGTCCCTCGATGATGCCGGGGAATTTTTACCCTCCCCCGTTAGACGCCATATTCCGTAATTCCCGTCACGGGCCTCGAGGATTCGTGAAGTTTCTACCAACGGGTATCTTTCCCCCTTCACCAGGTTGAAGAAAAGGTGGGAGTTGGGGCTAAGGTGCTATGATGTGTTTCGATCCCGAGCTTATTTGGCGGCGGCCTTGCCCTTGGTTCGGAGCTCGCGGCCGACCTTGATGCGCTCTAGGATGCTCTCGCGGTCCTTGTCGAGCTTCAGCTTGGTGATGACAACCTTGCTGGGGTGGATGCCGAGAGGGACGGACTGGCCGGAGGCCTTCTCGCGGGTGACGCGCTCGACGTGGATCACGTACTTGAGACGGTACACGGAGGTGACCTTGCCCTCGCGGCCCTTGTTGGTGCCTCGGACGATGGAGACTTCGTCGTCCTTTCGGATGGGGATGCTGCGGACCTGTTGGACGGTTTATGTTAGAAATGTTTCTGAGGGGGCGATTGAGATAGGGTAGAGCTTACGTTGTACTTCTCGCGCAGCTCCTTGCTGAGGGGTGCGCTCATGATGACGCGGCGCTCGCCGGATCCGGCGCTGAAGTGCGCCTTTCTCGACTTTCGTCGCGAGCTGGCGATACCTATTCAGACAGAGTTCGTTAGTATCGTGTGGTTTAATTGAAGTCGAATTGAACTAGAATAATCGATTCTAGACACAATCCAGTGCGATGCATGAGCTTACCTGAGTTAACCTTCGTCATCTTGTCGGTGGGCGTTGGGTGTTGTCGGATAAAAATCGAAGACGAGGGATTGTTGGAAGTTTGGCGGATCACGATTCTAGGAAGTAAGAAAATCAAAGGAAATGAAATTGGTGGGTTGGAAATTTTGATGTTGCCCTAACTCATAGGGGTCGGACTAGCCTCGTCTAATTGAATTTCGATTAGATAAGAAATGTGGCTTGTGCTTTCATGTGGCTCGTCATGTCCCACTTCGAGCCTTATTCCGCCCCGCCCGGGACCAATGTACGTAGGTACCGACATGGTATGATTCTTAGGTGGGATGTGAAGCTCTTCGGAAATATTTCCACGTCAAAAGCGAAAGATCTTGGAAAACTCCAAGGTCGATCAACATTAAAATGTGGTCTAGATTAGTGCGCCGGAGGGCGCTCTTTTCGTTAAGAAACCAGTATACATCTACAGCTAGGAATCAAATCCAAAGGCGGACGTTAGTCTCAGCACCTAAACCTGGCGATGGCCCTCTGATGGAGAGACGTCCAGACCGGGAACTCCCAAGTCCGTCCCCTCCAAGATCTATACCTTTGATATCTAGGTCATAAGCCTCTAACATGAGCTTACAACAGATATCCAAACCTTCAACTGGGCGCGCACCCTCCCCGCTTTCGTTCTCATCATCGCCGCCTCCAGCGTCGCCATCTTCAACTACCAAAAACTATCCAGCCCCGTCGTAGCCTCGACCCTATACGCGCTGCGCACGAACCAGAAGGCGCGCGATTACCTAGGCGATGAGATCTACTTCAAGCACCAGATCCCGTGGATATCGGGAGAGATGAACCAGCTGCGGGGCCGCATCGACGTCAGTTTCCCCGTGAAGGGCACCCGCGCCACCGCCATCATGCGCTTCACGAGCGCGCGACCCTCGGCCCGCGGGCTCTTCGAGACGACTGAGTGGAGCCTCATGACGCCCGATGGTACGAAGATCGATTTGTTGGATGGGGATGATCCGTTCAGGGCCATTGCGGCGTTCCCGATGGATGAGGATGAGCGCGAGGAGACGACGAGGGGGTTTAGACAGCAGCTTAAGTGAATGTGATGGATCTTTGTGGTTATTGAGATTTACTTTCGCTGGCTGGGTTCGTATCCCTCACTTGAATTCCGTAGAGGTGGAGGAGGGATATCTTACACAGATGCTAAAAGCATGAGCACGTCCTAGTGGACCTAGGTAGTTAGCTAGATATGGGCGAATTGCTGGGAACTCGACTCAATTCTGATATCTGGCTTTGATATCATGACATAACATGTACTATCTTCAGAGTCCAGACCTGAAGTTAAGAAAAGGAAAGACGGGACACTTGACGCGGAGCAGATAATCTGCCACGGGCTTCAGTATTCGTCGAGAGGATACTTGTTGTGTACAACACTGCATATAGTACAAAATGTATATACTACTTCTACAGCTACAACATACGCGCCATAGCCATCGCATCCGCTATCCTGCCCTCCTTCCTCATCGTCTTGAGCTCCGCATGCGCCTCACGCGCAGATTGCAGTCTCGCCTCATGATCCGGGTTCCGCTCCAACAGCAACCTCCGCGCCTTCGCAATGAACGTCTCCGGCGGCGGGGGCTTCTTAATAGCATCCGCGATCTTGACAATGCAGCCCTTAGGCCCCGCCACATGTCCATTGATAACCACGATTCCCATTTCGTTATCCACCTTCAGCACCTCCAAGTTCTGAATCGTAACCCTCTCATTCCCCATACGCCCCGGCATCTTCTTGCCGGGATGCACTCGCGAACCACCGCCCTGACTAGGTCCCGTCGTACCAATCGTCCTGTGATTCTTCGAATTACCGTGACTCGCCTCCTGGCCCGCAAACCCATGCTTCTTCATACCACCCGCAAACCCGAACCCACGGCTGTTACTCCGCGCATCCACATACTGCCCGACCTTAAACCAATCCGGCTGCAACTGCACACCAACCGGTAACAGTCCATCCTCACCCCTGACCTTAAACTCCGCAACATGTCGCTTCGGAGCCACCCCTTTCGCCTCATAGTACCCCAGCTGCGGAGCCGTCACGTTTCCCGGCTCTTTCTGGCCGCAGCCGAGCTGCACGGCCCAATACCCGTTCTTGGCCCGCGTCTTCGCGGCCATGACTTGTACTTGGTCCATCTGCAGGATCGTGCACGGCATCCGCATCCCCTTCGCGCTGTACATAGCCGACACGCCCTTCTTCACAGCCAACACCCCCGTTCGTAACGGTGTTGATTGCGCCGTCCGCGCCAACGCCGCCGCGGGGCCCGTGGTGGGAGCGGGGAGACCTGCGGATGGCTGGTTGAATCGCTTGGGCTTCGTTCGTAGGTTCTGCGTTGACCAACCGTACTTGACACCGCGGCGGGCTGTGCGTGGGAGGAGCTTGTGTTGCGTGGTGATGAGGACTCGCGGGTTGCTGAGGAGGAGGGAGGGCGAGGTTCTGCTGAGGGCGGCTGCCCAGCGGGCTGGCTGGTGGGATGCCATTGTCGCTGGGAGCCGAGTTGCGAGGGCCCAATTCGGTTGTAAAATTCAGGTTCTGTTTTTATTCCGTATCGTGCGTGTATCTATAGGCCTACAAAGGCCAATCGCTAGTTTCGAGTGCGGTTTAGGGATGCGGAAGATTAATCGAGAGCTTCGATTCTAGTGTTGAAAAATTGGGGTGGGTCCCACGCACTTTTCGGGAGATTTACGGCGGGAGGGGTACGTACCGTCGGTGGATCTGAGCTAGAGCCCCGATATGGACTGGACCTGACATGTCCGGGTTGGGGAAAGAACTTCGCGATTGCTCAAAGCCTATCATATTTCGTCCATTTATAAACTCTTTTTCAAACAATTTGGGTTGATTGGGTTTCATTCCTTCTATATCATCGTGAAGATGGTTTATTACTTCAAATCGTCGGTTGTGGACCCGTCGGCGTTCGTCTACGTTGGTAAAGACAAATTTGAGAGTGGGTGATCTCTCAATTCCTCGTATAAGTTAGCCTTTGTCTAACCAAATGCTAACAACTTTGTGAAGATGAGGAGTTGATTAAGTACGGCTGGGAGGAAGATGTTTGGTAAGCATCATCTCATAAAAACTTTGCCTGGGCGGATATATATTCATATTATCTCATTAGGGTATGAAAACTCCTCGATTTGTTAAGCTACAATCTTTAGAAAAGTTCATGAGTCTCATGCGACAGGGGTTCCCACAAGCAGTTTCACGTAGACAAACTATCAAGCGCACATATCTACCTCAGACTCAATGAGGGCGACACATGGGACAACATACCACAGGATCTCCTCACGGATCTCGCACAGTTAACCAAGGCCAACTCCATCGAGGGCAACAAGAAGGATAACATCACCGTCATTTATACGCCCTGGTCTAACCTCAAGAAAGATGGAAGTATGGCTGTCGGACAAGTGAGCTTCAAGGACCAACGCAAGGTCAAGAAGATCCTAGTGCCTGCGCGAGAGAACGTCATCATCAACCGCCTCAATAAAACCAAGATTGAACAACACCCCGATCTTCAGCAGGAGAGGGAAGATCACCGCAGAGAGTTGAGAAAGAGAGATCAAGCCACACAACTACAACGGGTAAGATCCACACCTTTTTGCTTTATAGTAAGGTACTGTTAGATTAACAACGAGGATTTTAGCGGAAGGAAGAGGCAAAGGTATTGAAGGAGAGACAGGAGAAGAAGTGGCAGAAGGATCACGCCTACGATGATCTCTTCACGGAGGAAAATATGGAGGCGTCAAGTAACCAGAACCGGTCCGCGGACTGGGAGGAAGACTTCATGTGACAACATGAACTGCCATATGAGAAAACAATACAAGACCTCGCGATGACATGTCGATGCCAATAGGCCCTGCTAGCCGAACTGAAATGTCTACTTGATAACCCCGTTTTGACCACACCTACCCATTTACTTAAACCTTCCTTCGTTACCTACCGAAACCCTTAAGACCCTCGCTTCATAACATCGCCCATGCGATGCACATCCGCTCCCTTCACCGCGTGATCATTCGGGTTCGGCGCCGCCTCGTACAATATCTGCGACGGCGCCCGCCCGAGCTGCATCCACTCGCCCTTGAACCCGATATAACTAATCCTCGTAGTTTCTTCATCGCCATCCCCGAAGTTGTCTTCGAAAAATAGCGATAGATGCCGTACCTTGCTGAACAGCGCGCGACGCACGGGCAACTCTTGCACGTCAGAGGTCTGGGATAGCTCTAGGATTTGGGTTGGCGGGAGCTCCTCCGCGGTACCGAAGTCCATGTCGTCGCGGTTGATGAAGAGTTTGAGATTGCGTGGCGCGCTGAGTGATGGGGATGTGCGGAGGAGGATGGAATGTAGTTTGACTTGCCCCGTGAACCTATATGGGATGGGGTGGTGAGATGAGTGATATTTCATAACATATATAGAGTATAGAAACAGGCGTAGATATAGATACAAATACGCTTTCAAATAAAATAGAATATGAATATAGCTATAAAATGAAAGAGCACTTACGGGACTGTCATAAGGATCTGCTCATCCGCATCGCTCTCGAGTTCAGGCTCCGGCTCTAAACGTTCAGCCCACGTCTTCTTTAGTACAGCTTTTCCAGAGTCTTGTTCTGCCTCGTTCATGGTGACGACCCCGTCGAAGTTGATATGTTGAAATAAGCTGAACTGTAGAGCTGGTGTGATGTCATCTGTATGGTCATGTTCGTGTTCGTGATGGTGGTCATGGCCATGGCCACCATGGTCATCGTGCTCATCACGACAAGACATCTTAAACCCTTACGAGGAACAGGAAGATGGGAAATGAAATGGAAATGAAACTCTTCTTTGAAGGAAACCTCGAGTTGAAATAAAGATTTTGTTTCTTGTTGGGATGAAGAGAAGTTGGTTGATCGGGTAATTGCATATGTTAGCTGAAATGTTAGATGAAATGCGGGCAGCTGCGATGAAATCATCCACTAAAATAAATTCAGCTTCACTGAAGCTTCAAACACAATCTCGGGAAGCAGCAAACGCGATTATTAGACGTGAACTTAAAATTAATCTCTATACTAAAAGCTTCTGATTGTTCTTGACCAGGTAGGATTCCAAATCGATTGCTATAATGTTGAAAATTTTGTTGATTGAGATTGTGACTAGATACATAGAATATATCGTATTGCTCCGATATGAACTCTCTTAGAATACCCTGACTTCCTTCCATAACCAACACATAACTTCACCCAGGACAAGATTAGATTTTAAGCCCAAGAGTCTCCGTTTGCTCACAATCAAAACCCAGCCACTCGCTTTTTCGCTTTCTTCTTCGGTCTCTCCTCTCTCCGACCGAATATTCCAGTCATCGGCTGAGACATGGTGTGTGACGGACCTGATCTGATAGGCTGACTTGAAAAGCCCCCGGTGGGTTGGCTGAACTGGCTTGAGAAGCGGGTATTCGGCGCTGGCTGAGTTGCGGGAAGACTTGGACCTTGATCCTTGTGTATCTGGAGGAGTGTTTCGGCTCTTCGTCGTTTCCGACTTTCGCGGGCTAGTTTCTTCGCCCGCCTTTGCATGCCGGGATTCTCCTCTTGATCGAGGTTGAGATCAAATACATAATCATCAAGACTAGCGCCGACTTGCCATTTATCTAGAAGTGCGGTGCTTTTCGTGGGTACAAATCTACCAGTTCCCGTATATGACCTTAGAAGTGTCATAGCCGGGTCCTCTTCCGGGGAGATTTCCGGTTTCGACTCCGTTGAACTTGTGGTAGATACCTCGGATTGGGATCTAGCTACACTTACAGCACGGCTTCCTTGCTGGCTATCGATGGCCATATTGTCTAGATCATGGGCAAGAGTTTGTTGAGATTCGTTCAAATCCATTTGATGACCTACTGGGCGATGCACCAACCCAAAGAGAGACAAATAAATATCACAGGCTATTTGTCGAATCACCGTTGATCGCGCTTCTGAGATCCAGCCATGTGTTTCATCATCGAAATTTGCACCCGCCATTGCGATGACGAGCGCAGAGTGCAGATCATCTAGTGAACTTGATGGTTTGATAGTTTGAATATGTGGTTGATCAAGTGCCAATAGCACGACCTCTGAGTTGATGCGTCCGAGACGTTCTATTTCGAGCCTCCAATCGGAAGCTGCAAGACTCATATCATTAGGCAGTTTCAAGTTCTCAATCATCTGGAAGCTATGAATACGGTTAGTTCTGAAGGTATTGAAATGTATGGGCGATTTAGCTTACATGGTAGTGGCCGGCATATTTCCATCTTCGATAGCCCGCTGAGTGGCAATATGAACATCATCAAATGGATTATAACCAAATTCTTCATCTCCAACAGGTGGTTCCTGATATCCCCTGGCCTCGTTTAAGAATACACGGAGGAATTCGTAGAAAACCCCAACATGTCTTCGTGTTACTGTCCACCGAGAGACACATGGGGTAATGGTTGAATGGTATTCGCCTTCATTGTCATCTCCAATGACGCCGTTTTGAACCACGAAGCGTGCGGATATTTGTTTTAACGCCCTCTTCCTTTGCCTAGATTGATCTTGCGTTCGAGTCACTTTGTAGTCCGGACGATTTATCTGGTCAATGGACAACGAAAAGGTGGACACGCAGAGCGAAGAGACAAGGCACATATCTCTTGTCAAGACGGCAAGCTGGTAAAATTGTATCTGCTGTGTGGCAAAACTACGTGCAAACTGCGTTGGCACTTTCGAAGGCTTCAAGGCGACCGGTATAGGATGAACACATATTGCCAGGGGAGCTGTTTCTGGGGGTGTACGCTGGAAAGCATCTAACACAACGGTTTCGCTATGGTAAGCAACCCTCGAAGGATCGCTTTTCATCATAGTAACACAGAAAAGATCGATCCGAGCATTGCTGTTCGAGGAGATGTAGATTAGGGATGTGGCTTGTCCAGGCAATGTAGCTCCGGGCGCGACGGTGAGCTTCAAGCTTGCGTCAAAGCCATCTCTCAAGTGGGATACCGCCAGTACGATACTCCACTGTTTTTGATCTTGCCCCCAATCTTGCCCCGGGGCCGAACAGGCTCTGACAACAAATAATTTCGAAGATGTCAGTACAAAGAAGTATTGAGAGTCTCGTGGGTTTGGATGCACGTCCAAAATGCAATCTCTACTCCTTTCCGCAATGAATGATAAGTCGGGTAAAGCTGAATTGTTCGCAAGGTCAAATAGTCTAACGAGTTTTGTGTTGCACAAAAGCAATGTAGATGATCGCACAAGTTGTGGAAATGAGCCTGGTGTTTCGGGGTTATCCGCATCCTCCTCCAAGCTCAACTCTTGGGACTCTCCTGATGGGCAGCCAACCCAGAACATTTTATGCCATTGCGGCTCTCCGGTGCCTTTCAACGGGGGGCACCCCAAAATACCCTGCTCAATATGCCCGCATTTGCTTATGCGAACCTTCGGCTTTCTAGACGACCTGATTCTTGTATGAGCAATATCCCAAATGCTCCAAAATCCACATTCGTCAATGAGCCCAAGTTGGGGTGGCTTTGATCTTACACCGGGGTTAAATGAGGCGTCTAGATGTAGACTCCCTCCAGTTTGGTCCTTTGAAAGAAAAAACAACGGATTCGCTGCAATACGGGAGATTTTGCCCCCACGATCGTACGCAGAAACCGTCGCAGCCAATCGATATTCTGGCTGGAAAACTTGTGTGCCGGTATCTCTCTGGACGATTATCCAGCGTGTCGGATCGTACCTCTTCGAGTCGACCACACTTTTTAAACGGCGGATAGATCCTGCAAACTCATCTTTAACGAGAATCGATTCGTCCTGCTCTGTTAGGTCTCCAAATCCCAGAGAGACACTACCTTCGCCGTGCCACTGCCATTCCTCTATGCCTGGCTTCGCTAGACGAAGGACGTCGTTTGCTTCGCCTGTGGCAATAGCTACTAGTGGAGCACCAGTGACTACCTGAGGATCACTCGTGTCGGTTAATTCGCCGATTGCGAAGAGGGATGAGCTCCATGGTTGACTGTCGCGAGTTTGTGGCGATGAATTTGAAGATACTAATTCATCGTGGATATATTCATTCCCTAGGCGGGCCTCGGGATTTGATTTCAAAAGCCATTTCTGCTGTTTCCTGCTTGTATGCCAGTTACTAGCCGATGAGCTTGGAGATTGTAAACTAGCGCTAGCAGTTGGTCGCCATATCTTATGAAGACCAAGTTCCTTGAACACAGGGGCTTCGCATGATGTTAGTGGATTTATAATTACTAGGGAGTATAGGTACACACTTCTTTGGGTGAAGTTCCTCGTGGATTGCCATCCGCGATCCTCCGCCTTAGTCAACCCATAAGGTAAATGTGAAAGGCGTCCTGCGAGTCCGATAGTCGATTCGGTGATTTGACGGTCAGTCATTCGGAGAGCCGGGCTCGATAAATATCGTTTCAAATGCTAACCGTCGTTGACCGTACATAGCGGTGGCTTAAAGAGCCAATCTACGCGATCCAAAATTGAGTATCAAAGTATGCGACCGGTGTCGCTTTAGCAAAATATTTCGAGGTGTTTATCGAGTCACGAAGCCATTTGGAAGAGTTAAAAAAGAAGAAAAATCGCAAGAATTAAGTTGCTAACTTGCTTGAATGGGAAATAATTGGACCTTTAAGGTTGGTCTTGCGTCTTATCTTATCGTGGAAAACGCCCCGTAACTTCCAACTCTATCATTTTCGTGCTACGCGTTGTACAAAAATGTGATAGCAGAGGAAGTATTTATAGTGGATCGGACCCACAAGGCTAATGGCGCTCGGCAACCAAAATAAACATTTACACGAATTGGGATTGAGATTTACATCCTCCATTACTCACTCACAAGCCTAAAAAGTTGTCGCAACACCGATTTTACCATCACCTACCGAAGGGCACAATACGTACGCATAATCGAGCTCGATAATAAACCAATCCAAAATGGCATCCACGTTTGAATCCTCCCTGTCGTCGAGCCTTAGCGGCCGACAAACGCTATCGACGGCCGCTCCATCTATGGCCGATTCGCTCCCCAGCATCAACTTCGGGTTCGACGAGCTGCGCGATCGCATGGCGAAGTTCAGCGCAAGATTCGATACCTTCATCGAGCAAGGGCGCAAGCGCGTCCTTGAAGAGCGCAACCAATTCAGAATGAACATCGCCGAGTTACAAGGTACGTTCTACCTATCTCTACCTCTACTACCTTCACCAATACTAGAACGTCCACAGAGCATAACTAACAATGCATCCGCTCAACAGAGGACCAGCGCATGAAGAAGAAGGACATGGAGATTCTACAACACAAGACAAGCACGCACCAGCAAATGATCTCGAAAGAATCCGCCGAGACGCAAGAAATGCAAGCAGCAATCGCCTCTCTCAGCACGCAGCGGGACAAGAACAAAGCCACGCGCGACGCCCTCCAACAACAGATCGCGGAGACGCAAAAAGAAATCGACGCGCGGCTCGCAGCGCAGCGCGCGCACGCGCAGTACGTGGAGTCGCAGAGCCGGTTCAACGTACCCGAGCTGGACTTCTGGATGCAGAACCTGTGTCTGAAGATCGAGGGCGCGGGGCAGACCGACCGCCTGAAGTTCGTGTACACGCACATCGACGAGAAGAACTGGGAGCGCGAGGCTTGGTTCGAGCTGAGCACTAGTTCCAGGGATTACGATGTCAGGCATTGCAGGCCGAAGGTCGAGAAGGAGAAGATTGAGCGTGTGCTGGAGAGGACGAATGAGACGCGAGATTTGGCGGTGCTGTTGAAGGGGATGAGGGAGTTGTTTGTGGAGGCTATGAAGGGGTGAGGGGGGTAGATAGAAGTATGAGGTATAGATGAGAGACGTCGTGATGTGATATGATGCGTGGGATGGGAGGAAAGGGGGTGTTTGGTATAGGCGTTCGGGGTCTGATTTGGCTGTTGCTTGATGGGTTATGGCTAATTGAATTAGGATGTGCCTGAAGCAGCACTAAGGGCTTTCCTCATTTTCTATAAAGCAGTATCTATCTTATAAACGTAAACGTTTTACAATATCAATAATCGTGTATTGTTGAAAAGCATGTTCATTAAAGCCGTATACATATTCGTTCGCCTCGAGACAGTTGCGACCGGGTTTGATAACGCTGGAAGTCACCGCTAATTTTCAACCCCGCGGCCCCACGCGTCTCCCTTCACTTACAACTTCCATCACCGCGTAAATTGTTCGCATAACTTCGATACTTATCTCAATTGCTTGCTGCACATTTACTTACCCTTAATCCAATAGCGAATATCAACTCGTAATCATGCCGCCGCCGCCACCACCAGCCGGTGTCGTTAGAGACGATAACGAGAAGCAACAAGCTGCCCAGCAGGCTGTTGATATCCTACACGAGATATCCACCATCCTCGTAAGTCTCCAGTCCCTTCCACCCAACTCCAATTATCACCTAAAAAGCATAAGCCGAATACTTTTGAAATGCTTATTCATGAATGACAGAACTGCCATCTCGACCGTCGCACACTATCAATCTGCATCTCGATGATTGAGAATGGCGTAAACCCGGAGGCACTCGCGGTAAGTCCGGGTCTCAAAGACGCCATAAAATCAGTTAGCGTTGCAAGAATTGAAAGCTAATCTCTGCATAGAACGTCGTCCAATTTCTGCGTAAGGAAGCACAAAAGGCCGAGTTTGCCCAGGAGACCGGTCGATGAGATGTGTTCTGTTATAGAAGAGCAGCATTGCCCTTGGGCATCATGCATGGCCCGGTGAGGCACGGTGTCTGGAGTTTTACGTACCTAGTTTTGGCTCATCAAGCAGCCTGGTCAAATTGATGCGAAATGCAGTATTGCTATAAGCCATGATGGCGTTGTATATAATACGGAATAATGCCATGCTTTTAGTTGTCTGTATGCAAAGTATACAAAGTTCATCAACATTCTCCCAGAGTTCGTAGGCGCCGGGGCGTGTTGAGACATAATGCCCCTCTATAACCAATATGCCAATTTCATGTCAGCCGCTCTGTACTGTGTTGCCAACCATTTGCCTAAACCCCACTGGTATTTCCTTTGCGATGCACTCAATGCTGAACCTGAACGCCTTCCCTATATCGATCATAAGCCAACCCACCCCCATTCTATTTCATTCAATGCGCTTAGCGATGGCCAAGCAGCTCGAAGTCGTCTACGTCGTCATCATCTCCTTCCTCTTCCTCTTCCGAAGACGACACAGACTCGTCGTCTGAGGCTTCTGCGTCGTCGTCCTCCTCCTCGTTAGACGCAATGCTACGAGGGACCCTACTCCAAAACCCTAACAAATCTTCCCTGTCTTCATCCTCAGTCTCCATGATGGAATAGCCTGCTGGGGGATTCCAAGCGAGTAAATGGGCGGGTGGCGAGACTGAACGTGCAAGCCTATCTGAGAAGTCCACTCCCATAGTAGGCTGATTAATACTTGACCGTGCGACATTAGAGGAGTGACGCCTTCTAATATCACGGGCGCGAGTCCCGTCGCCTGTCTCAGCCGTACTCGGACCTCGTGTGGCTGATAGTTCAGCAACCTGTACTTCCCGTCCTAGTAAGTCGGTTTCGATTGCGTCGTCAGCCATACCAAGTATCTGCAGCTGCGCGGTATTGTATGAAGAGCAAACGCCACATTTCAAACCTAGCCAATGGTATTCAACTGAGCTCTTGGCCGAACAATCGTTGCATAGGACTAATGCTCGCGTGTCTCGAAATTCGGGTGGCATCGGTTGCGTCTGGATGGCCATGTCAAGATTCCGAAACTGTAGTTCCATATTCGCAAGACTCTTATTGCAAATTGGACATTTATAAGCAACTTTCATGTGTTGGTCGAGACATTGACGGTGAATACTATGTCCACACTTCATGAAACACACAGCTTTCGGGGACGTGAACATATAATCGCCGCATATAGGACAGTCGCAGTCGGTAGACCTTTCAATGCACTTATGGTCCTTCTCCTGGCCGATAGCGATACACGTGCAACACGTCTGTTCTAATCAGTCGATGAACATACTGGGAGATCGGGACTAATAGTCTCACCTTGCAATGGAAGAAATCTTTACCAACGCCTCTTCCAATTCTGCAGATGCCACAATCATTGCAATGGTAGACCGGTTTGTCAGGATCATCGTTCCACAATTTGCATATACTACAGTAATATCGCGCCGCCGATGCACCGCAAGATACGCACGCATCACCGGCTCTCTGGGCGGTCCCGCAAAACATGCACAACATATTCTTGGTATCCTTTCTAATTAAGTCGTGATCTTCCACCTTATCGTGGCAGAATCGACATGTGTACCAGCGATTGCACGTAGAGCATTGCAACTTGACGTTTCGTCGGTAATGTTCGCAGCCGAAGGGATGATAATCCAAGTCCTCAGGGTCCTCCGTATCTTCAGCATCCTCTGATAGGTCCCTCGGCGGCGCAAACGTAGGCTGCAGGTCTTTGGGGGTCAAATCGAATTCTTCGCGAGGTTCAGTTTCGTCTAAGATATTCTGCCAGAACTTAAAAGATTCTAAGGGGCCTATGGAACGCCGCTGCTCTAAAGATATAGGGCTGGAGGGTGTGAGAGGGCGATCTATCGGGGCCAACCTCCTTGACTTCGTGTAGTCTTCTGATAATAATTGGTGCATTTGACGGGCTTTGTCCGGTGCTTGGATGTCTTGTGCTTGAATGGCGAATATACGCCTCCGCAATACACCCATCCCATCATCCTCAGGCAATGACTTCCGCCGTATTATTCCCGACGGAGAGATATCCACCGGGGATAACAAATCATTTACCGCCATATTCGAGCTATTTGTAGGCATTGGTATCGATTCATCTTGATTGACGAGGTTTCGAGTGTCGTTTCGAGCATCGTTGGTGCGGATATGTATATCGGAGTTATTTGAGGCAACTCGTCGTATTACATCGGACTGGTCGATTATGTCACTGCGTGGAATTGGATGGACGGAACTCCGTGAGGAAGGAGATGACTGTACACTTCCGTCTACCTCATCGCCCAAATAGGAATCCTCCTCGGTTTCTGAGATAGCATCATCTTGACTTTCTTTAGATTCCCTAATCTTCTCAGGGGCCGAAACAGATTCGGAAGTGGATAAGTTGCCTGATGATCGTGAGAAGCGTCGTGCTTGTCGTATGACCGGGTTGACAAGGAAGTCGGTGACCAGGGACGCCATGGGAAAAAGGAGAGTAAAGACCACGATCGGATACTAAGTATGAAGTCTACTCATTGTTCCTCTCGACTAAGATGTGATTCTTCTCAACACGAACAAGTCAAAAAGTCATAGTCAAAACAAATAAAATGTAACTTGAGTTGTAGAAATAAGATGTTACAAGAGGGATTGATGGGTTCATTTCATTAGTCATAAGATGTCCGGTTTCTGCGGTCTGCGGTGCGGTATGGTTGTATGGATTGTATGGATTGTATGGCTTCGCGTCTGACAATCCAGTCTAACGATTAATTGGATTGAATCAATCAAAAGAACTGGAAGTGACATCAGGTGGATCAAGATCAAGATCGAATAATGTTCCTAGTACAGTCATATCCGTACCCCGCCTAACACCCTTCTAATGCAACTTAATTATTTATTGAATTGGTATATCTACGTATCTGATAGCATCAACTAAGCCTGTCCGGTACACAGCAGTTACAAGGCAAAGCACTAGATGCGCGTTAGTGCGGACAGGCTAGCTTCGGAAGCATAGCGGCTGATAGGACGGAGTCAATATCGTACAACCCTCCTTTTTTAACTTTTGATTTTTCATAACCACTATGGGATGATATAGGAGTAATTATCAAAGCCACCCGGATATTGAGCCAATAGAGCCGCGAGAGCTTCTATTATATGCGTCGAGTGGCTTCCACCTTTCCGGAGTTTATTCGAGTCAGAAGAGCTAGCGGATAATATTGACCACGCCATCATCGAGAGACTCAGAACTTGAAATCCACGCATACCGCAATAATGACTGATATCGAAATTATTCATGCGTACCGGCACTTATGGCGTGGCCTCCTCCATGCCGTCCGGTTCTCATCGCCCGCTCGATATATAGCCCGAGACCGGTTGAGGAAGGCGTTCCGTGAAGAAACCAAAATTGATATGCGAAGCATAAATAGGACAGTGCGCTTCTTAGAGGCGGCTGCTAGAATGCGCGGGCTAGAGCACTTCATTCTAAAAAACATATTGTTAACCGGTTACTATCGATACCATGTTTCCAAGGTACCTTGGAAAATATATGAACAGTCGCTAGGTCGCTCGAAGTAAGTTGTGTCGTCAAAGCTCACCATATTAACAATTAACAAATCCCTAGGAGAGAAAAGGGGCTAGAACAGCACATCCAAGATACAGCCTACAAACACTACGATATGACTATTGCGATGCTTAACAAATCTATGAGTTTGTGCTTGCGATAGAGCAGTCGAATGCTAGAAAGCTACCCATTTGCCGACATCATTACGTCGCCCTTCAAATATTGAGGTTCCACGTATATTCAATTCTATCATATCTCCAACCTTCCCCGCGAATAAATCCGTTCCAGGGATCTACTCGATTGGCTCCTTACTCGGGGTCTGGCTGACGTTGACCTGTCACTTACGCACCTACCACTATGTGGATGCAAGGTCTCCGCGCCAATCTAGAGCCATGACTGTGTCGCATTGGAATAGACACCCTTCACGGTGAATCCCCAGACTCTTCTACAACGTGGACTTCGATCAATTCAATAACGAGGGTCGATGGGTTACATGCAGAAGCTTAAGTGCCCCGAATTTTAAGCAGGGCATGAGTAAGTCCATCAACGGAGGATATGACGAAGAGACAAGCAGCAAAGATTTTGGCTCCAACGCAATAGCTTTCTAGGCTCGACATAGTTGACATTGGAGATTTAGGTTGTTAAACCCATCATCCTTGAGGAGTATATGGAGCTGAATCTTGAGCGGGAGGTTTAGCAGGTTCATCACATTCATCACGTTCGTCAAGGGATGATCGGCTCTCCAACTTTCCAAATACGTCAGCCAACCATCTGTCAGAGGGTTGAACCTGCAGATGTCACTTTACCTGAATGCCTGGCAAAGAAGGCCAGCTTATCAGAGTAAAGGAACAATTTGGGTGGCACTGACCGATCTGCTACATACATGCCTAGGACATTACGGATAGGACAAAGAATAGCACCGATGATGCATAGGGCGTCAAAGGAACAGATACGCCCTCCTTAACTGGATAATCAGTATTTGTCTTCCACCGACTGCCAGAATGGTTCAATTGCCTGGTAATTTTGGATATTTGGGGCAGTCCGTCCGTATATGCGAATCTCGAAGTTTTCAAATATGGATGTGTCTATTACCTACCTCATATCTCCTAGTCAAGATCTTAGACATTTTCGCTCTTTGAGCTAGTGTAGCAATGACGCCACAAAATGGAATGAAAAGCATCTTTCGACATAACTATCTATGATTTGATATGTCTGCCCCTCCCCAAGTACCTTGAGGTTGGACAGGTCTAGACTATCAGACTATGTGGCAAGTTGCAGTAGACATTGGACGTAGCTGCGTAGTTCATACATTCCGTTGCTCATTGGCAAAACCGACAAGACTGGCAAATGCTTAACCTGCCGAGACTGTACACGTACATATTATATACTTACATGAAGGTAGCACATGATTTTTGGAGCACTTTGGAGCAGTTTTAGAGTATGTACATGTAATTAGTTAGCAGGCAGACAGGTTAGGTGATGATGATCATGGATCGAATCAATTATGGGGTTTTAGTCTTGAGATACATCCACAGTACATAAATACGCCAATACTTTATGTGCATCCCCAGCTGTGCAACCTCCCTAATCAAGGGCCTGTTACGGGCTGCTTTGACCACCTAGGACCACTATTTCTAGTTGGTGACTTCAACAACGGTCCATTCTCAGTCCATTTTATCTCTGGATCTGCTCCATTTCCCCTCCTCTAGCCGTCCTTTACCTGGAAGTACCCGGGGTACGTATCCAGATTGTATCCATATGGGTTATGTATGATACCCATATTTCCTTGTATTTCGTGTATTTCTTCCGTAGCGTCTCCCACCACTCCCACCTCTCGCCATTACATAGTACGGGCTCATGGTCCAACCGTTCGAGGTCGTTGTTTCTTCCTGCTAATTCTTGTACGACTACCACGACTACCTGGTAGGTAGTTGCACCAAACTCAGTCTGACCAGTTAACCTTCCCTGTACAGGCTGTACTGCCGTACTCCCCCCTACTAAACCCTAGAACCCCTGCCGCCCGAACAACCTTGTAACCTTGCAACCTTGGAAGCCTTTTTAGAGTTCCTTTTCTACTAAAAGCCAGCCAGCTTTCGATCCTATCTACCACAATCCCAAATCCACAACCCACCACACAAACTTCCCAACTACGTAACTCCCTAGGGTCCAATGTCATTCTTTGTATGCGAGAGCAAACCCCGCAGAAAGGCAGAACTCGGATCAATTCTAAGCATCCTGGAGGTCAATTGGTCCTGTTTGCATTAATTCAACGATTCAACGTTTTAACACAACCATTTGCCATTTGATATCTATCATTTACCGTATAAGCAATATATTGCTGTGCGCGGATGAAATACTTCAGTACTCGTCTTTAGACAATAGGAACCACCACCATCTACGACCAAGTTCGTCATATACTTCGAACCCCGCATCGTATCTCTCTCCCGACAAACCCATCGAGTCCTCCTAGTTGCGGGATCTTGATGGCATATCTCTTGCTAGCAGGAGACGCTATTGTATCGCGACCACGCCGATGACTCTGGTCCTCATTACGAGGCCATTGTCTGAAGCTTCCCCCGCAATACAGCTTCTGCTGCTAAACAAGTGAGCCATGCCAGCTGAGTCCGATTTCCAAGATGTCACCAGATCTACGATCCGGACTCGGACCATGCCTCAGCTCAGCGGCGGAAGTGAGAAGCCACGGAAGTGGATAAAGCGTTACCGAACCGAGACGGCCGCCAGTGCGGCCAGTGTCATGTCGACCGTCACTGCTTTCCCTCTCGATAGCGTAAAGACTCGTATGCAGACATATCCTTATGCGGGTGCCTTAGATTGCATCAGAGTCACTTATAATTCGGAGGGTATTCGAGGCTTCTTTCGAGGTACGTGACTTCAAATCTCGGGCGCACAAGCACAAGCAAAACGTCCCAAGGCTCTTCTTTAGAGACAACATAAGTAACTAACGCCACCGTGCTGCTTATGTAGGTGTAACCGCTCCCCTAGCTAGTGTCACACTTGTACGAACTATTTCCTTCTCGATCTACCAACGCTCTAAATACGTTTATTCCGACTGGATGAAACAACATCTCGGCTTCTGCCCACTTGAACATGTTAATAAGAACGGCGCATACCCGAATCTAGGCACTATTGCCTGCTTCGGGGCTGCTGGAGCCACCGCCGGCTCCGGCATTACTTTTATTGCTTGTGAGAACTCAAACAATGTTATGCTATAGCGGGAAAACCGAATTTGAATTAACGAATACCGAATATAGGTCCTTTTGAATTGACAAAACTAAGCGCACAAGTATCTGTCCTCATGGCGAACCAAAAGAATGCCGATCCTCAGAGGCAAGCTATTGCTCTCAGCTACCACAATAAAGGAACCTTCAAAACTCTTGCGAACATAGTCAAGCACAGAGGCTTCTCCGGGATGTATACCGGATTAAACTTGCACTTGCGTAAGACGACACCCCAATTGTCACATGCGCACAGAGCTAATATAAATATAGTGAGAGATACCCTCGGGACGGGTATCTACTTTGCAACGTATGAGAGCGGCAAGCAACTGTTAACGACATTTAGTGGGAAGGATGCTCATAAGAATCCCATTGCCGTACTTGCTGCTGGAGCTCTCTGCGGCATAGTATCGTGGGCGTTGATATGTTAGTGCCCTTCACACTAGTTGGAAAACTTGCAAGCTGACTCCCTACTTAGATCCCATTGATTCTGTTAAAAGTATCTACCAACGAAATGCATTGATGTATTCTAAAGGCCAGAAGGTCCCAGTCCCTAAAATCCAATTCTTCAGGCGAGACATGTATCGCGGGCTCGGCGTGTCAATGGGACGCTCCGCAGCTGTCAACGCGGTGTTCTTCTCAGGATTTGAGTTGATTAAGAAACGAATCAATGCCATGAAGGAAGAAGATAATTAGGAGTAAAGCATCTCAGGTACCTGTGATGGCGAGTCGGATAACAATTGTACAATCTTTCGATGCGATAGGAAGTATTCGATGAGGCGTTTGGTATGGGTTATGGACAAAGCTGGATTGGTACGGCAACCTGAAAGGGGTAGTCCGATAACATTTTTGGCAAGAACAAATCTCGTAACCCGTTTTAGGAACTACCACAGAAATAACACATGATACGGATCAGCAGGGGCGCACAAAATAGCTCTACAATAGGTGTAGACCAATAAATGCATGTTATTCATGCCACAGCAGAAACTAAAATGATCCTCTGATCATATATTTCCGCCGAGACGCCAATTACTAGGAACGTCTTACAGCTTAGCTAATAGTATGAGGCGGCATTGTTAACCTGCTTCATTATCTCGTATTACCCTTAAAAGTCTATCCCCTTCGTAAAACAGATGTGTATTTCTCTGGTGAAAACCTGACTGCCTAAACGCCATACCTCGAAAGATGCAATGTCCCCCCTACTTTGACTGAGCGTATGTAGGTATCATTCGTCAACGCATGGTACCCCATTCACAGTCATCGTACAAGCCTAGTCCGAAATCAAAAGAAAAGAGAAGTCCCCAGAAGAAGCGATTCCACCTCTCAATGCCCATCCGTGTCAATCAATGTCAGTACCGGGACCGAGAAGGTTAGGTTAGGTAAGTCAAGCCGAAAGGCTTAGTCGCTCCGCAACATGCTCTCGACGAGGTCGCCGAGGGGACCCCAGAAGTCCTTGCCGGTGGCGAGGCTGTGCTCGTCGATGAAGAGGACGTACTGCTTGAAGGAGGTGTTGAGGTGGGGCTCGAGGCCCAGCTCGCGGATGACGGGGTAGTGGTGGCAGTAGATGTGGGCGTAGACGCGGTACATGCGCTTGAAGATCTGGCGGACGAGGGCGGGGAAGGATTTCGGGAAGGGCACGCCGATGCGCGAGGGTAACACGGTCTCGTTGTCGATCGACGCTTGCACCCACGACATCAGCTGCTCGATGTACGCTGGCGCGGCCATCTTCGTCGGCCGCTTGTACACGTCTCCGTCTTGCCACAGGTACTCGAATTCGTCGGTCGCTTTCATCTCTGGGCACGACTGCGGCGAGCAGAACTCCGTTATGGCCCCGTAGAGAAGGTTGATTTGGTTGTAGAAGTCCACCATGTTCACTGCTAGCCACTCGTTCTCGTCTTCGCCTTCGGGCAGCTTCACTACTTTGCGGAGGGAGCCCCCGCCGAGTGTTGCTTCGGCGTATTGGCGCAGCTGGTAGCTTGTGTTGCCGCCTTTGCCGGGGCGTGAGCGGAATTGGTTGCGCGCGCGCTGGTTGCTAAGGGGAAGGGGGGATGTTAGCGGAGTGACGTGGGTGTGAGGCGGGTAGGTGGATGGGTGATTAGGAATGGGGATTCGGATTGATAAGGGTGGCTTACACGGTCGTTACGAAGGAAGTCATCTTGCTTCCGATCTTTCGCAAGGGGCCAAGGCCTTCTGCAGAGGATTCGGTTGACTGCGACATGGTATTTTGTTAGCGGGGCATATCCCGATGCGTTGTGTTGCGAGAATTGGTTTTGGGTAAACAAGATGGTTGTTGAACTTTGGAGGTTCTGGCAATTGTCGTTACTCACCTAGCGAAGTGCAGATATAGAAAAATGTGTTGTAGCTATTCGGGCGACGTTGTAGCGCGACGTGGTACAGTGAGCAATACAATAAAAGGCGAGCGGTGGGTTACCAAGGTAATTTATTGTTGCAAAAAGCTATGACTATGACAAAAGTGACGATGGCAGTTGATAAGTGAATTGGGATGTTTTGCTTGGTTGCTATGCTATGCACGGGCCAAGAACATACCGGAGCCGACAGGGGCCGCCTCCAGAGTCCACACTGATCTGAGGCAGGGGTGACCCTGCCGTTATCCGGAACCTTGGGCAGGCGCTCTCTTTTCTTTTCAAATTGAGGGTTTTTTGATAACTTCAACTGAATTTTAGCTTTCACGAGAGTTCTCAACTAATAGCACGACTGGTTCTTTCCATTAGAAAGAGGATGCTATTCTAAGTCTATAAATACGAACTTCGTCCTTCAACGGTACTTCTTTCACTTACAATGTGATGTCTCATATCAAGGCTTCAAGATCCCTAGCCTTGATGGATTATTATGGGTTTCATCATTTTAACTCGAAAATTAGACCATAATCCTAGTATCACTCGATCCTTTAGGACCCCCATGAACTCGAATCCGTTATTATTGAGAATTATTCCATGTCCACACGCTGTTGTCGGGTTATCAACTCTCCGAATAACTACGAAGTCCAATCGACCTCCGCAAATAAGATGCTTAGCGCTTCTCCAGCTTTGGGGAATCCGGGTAATTGGAATCTCCACTGGGGGCCGCAGTAGAGCCTCGATCAGGGTATAGTACCATTTCTTATAATTACCAAAGTTGGTAGGATGGTGAGTAGATATATAACAGGAGTTTTCTCTTCTAATCTACATAATCTCACGAGTATGCGTTCCCCATGAGACGTGGTGATGTTGTTACGGTTGTTCACTTTCCTACTAGTGGCCCTTCAGGGGTCTCTAGCTACTAGCAGAATCGATAGACGTCAAGTTGTTCGGTCGTTTAACCCCCATCGTAATGCTAGCTCTCGGACCACGCCATTGCAAGTCGGCAATGGTAACTTTGCATTCGGGGTGGATGTCACTGGGCTCCAGACTTTCAGCCCGTTTGCTACCATGTCGACTTGGGGTTGGCATAACTTCAGTCTACCAACTACAGTTGGTCAAACATCAGTAGATGGTCAGTAATGAATTTCTATCTAAGAACCCCAGTCTAACGTGCTCTAGATTTCACCGGTTTGGACTGGTGGACACATGGTCGATTGGTTAACTACAATCAACCTAACCCGGCACAGAACGACATCTCGAACTGGTTGATTCGAAATCCTCAACGTGTGAATCTAGGGACTATTGGATTGTGGTTCGGTGGAGATGTCATAACTGAAGAAGCATTAGAGAATAAATCTCAGACGCTTGACCTTTGGACAGGCAAAATTTCGTCTTCTTTTACCTACAAAGGAGCTCCTGTAAAGGTTGAGACTTGGGCAGACTCGAATTCCGATACAATCGGCATTGCCATAGAGTCCGAACTCTTCTCCGAGAATTCTCTTGGCATCTTCTTCGATTTTCCTTTACCAACTACGAACAAATTTGATGCCCCTTTTGTCGGTGTCTTCAATGCCACAGAGAAGCATAACACAACTCTCCAGCAAGGGAGAAATAGAGCAGATATTCGACATGACATGGATGCTACTTCATATTACACCTCGTTTACGTGGGATACTAGCGCTAAGATATCAGGACCTCTTAACGGGACTCATCGCTATATACTACAGCCGTCTAATGGATGTAAGAGGATTGAAATATCTGTTGCTTTCTCTCCCGCTTTAAGCACACATATAAAACCTTTCAGTGATCTTAAATCATCGTCCAAAACGTGGTGGGAATCTTTCTGGGAATCTGGGGCATTTATTGATTTGTCGGGAGTCAAATCGCCAAATGCCACAGAGCTTCAACGGAGAACGATTCTATCCCAATATCTAATTGCTGTCAATTCTGCTTCTTCATACCCGCCGCAAGGTAAGGCTCTCCTTTACATATAGTTGCTACAGATTTACTAATATTAGTATAGAATCAGGTAAGACAGCCTTGCTGATTAGTATGTTCCGAGTATGGTCTTGTGCTAATAACTTTAGGATTGGTAAATAATGGTTGGTACGGCAAGTTTCACGTAAGTATTTCAGTAACCATAGAAAGAGCAATTGGAATATATTATTTACTAACATTTATTCTTAGTTGGAGATGGTTTTATGGCATCTCCTTCAATTCGCCCGATGGAATCAATTTCCATTATTACGACGAAGTCTTCCGAACATGTATAACCAATACCTGGACTCATCAATTGATCGAGCGAACCTCCAGGGATACGACGGCGCTCGTTGGGGCAAGATGACCGACCCAACCGGACGATCTGCCCCTGGAGAAATAAATTCGTTGCTTATTTGGCAGCAACCCCATCCGATGTACTTCGCGGAGCTCGAATACCGATCGTCCCCTAATAACAACACTCTAGAATCATGGGATAGCGTTCTAACATCAACTGCTGACTTCATGGCCTCCTACGTTTTCTTCAACGAGTCGACCAAACATTATGACCTAGGTCCGCCGATGTATCCAGCGTCCGAGAACACCAACCCCAATGCTACCATCAATCCAGCCTTTGAGTTAGCTTATTGGAGGTTCGGCTTAGATATCGCTATCAAATGGAAGCAGAGACAAAATCTCGCTGTCTCTGACAAGTGGGTGGAAGTACGCGATAACTTGGCCCCATTGCCAATTGCAGATGACGTATTCGCGGTTTACGAGGGCATCCCAAATATGTGGCAGAATACCACCGTTCAAGACCATCCGGCCATGTCCGCCATCTTCGGCCTCCTTCCTCCGCCTAGCAGTGGACCCTCCCTTAATATGACAGTCGTTAAAAACACGGCGGATAAGATTCGGGATCTGTGGGACTTGGAGGATTGTTGGGGTTGGGATTTTCCAATGCTGGCTAGTAAGTACTCCTAATTTGGGCTTGTGTGGAAAGTTGTTACAATGGCATATTCTAACTGTGATAGTGAACTCATTGCGCATCGGAGATATTGACCAGGCAGTGGCTTATCTCCTACACCCCTTATTCGATTTTGATGATGCCGGGTATCCAGTTGGCGGCTCGCGAGTGCCGACACCTTATATGCCTGGATCGGGCGCATTCTTATTGGCTATGGCCATGATGGCTGGAGGCTGGGATGGCGAGCCCGAGATGCACTTCCCAGAGGGATGGAATGTCCGGACCGAAGGGTTTCTACCTGGGTTGTAATGGATCATGTAACTTAGAGGTATGTATATTCACATCTTAGTCACTGATAGATAATTGGCATTTCACATGCTTAAGAGGTCATCGCCGAGAGTACATTGTCATTATGGAGATAATGACTACACCTTTAATGATACTAGAATATGACGGGAGCATGCAATCATATGTGATTCGGTTACTAAAGCAAGTGGTGGCCTTAGCGCTTGGTTGCTCCATTACGCAACACAGGAGTGTTTAAGGATACAGCAACTCCCTATTGGGGCAAAGAAGCATGCAAAGAGACACCAGGACTTACTTCAGATGATTCATTTCATTACCAAGGAACTCGATTTCAGGTTGACGTCGATACACCGGTTGAAGGATGCTGTACGGCGCAACACAAGTGAACAAGGAAGCACATGGACGTCCCCGTGATGATGAATTAAGATCAGGTATGATTACTAGTCACCATCTACCATATGGGTCGGCCAAGTCTTCGAAAAACTTCTTAAATCTGTTCCTGGACGCGAACAGACGGCTTCCTGTAGTTTTAGATCCACCACTCTACAATTTACAGGCAATTTTACGACATATCTGTGATACCAAAGTATTTGCCGGATCTTACAGTAACTTTCTTAAATGGAAATATTGATTCGGAAAAATGTCCGGTAGAGTAGTTTATATCGAGATAGACCGCGAGGTCAAGCCGTGGGCAATCTACCTCGCTCTGCACGAACGTTACGACGACCCCATCGGAAATTTCGTGAGTATCCTCTCCAGAATTACCCCCATATATATCTAGTGGACGTACTAAGTGATATCATAGCAATGGTCCATCGTCATGACATTGGGCGACCCATCTTTATGTGTCGTCTTTCAAATCAGTAACCTGCGTCTAGATAACATGGCCGAGGGGGAGTGGCGGGTCGAGGACAATATGCCGGGCCAGTGGAGTCCAGAGATGTCGCCGAGTCTTCTCTGTATGTTCGAGATCCAGCTCTGCATGAGACCCGATATCATGGAAAGCCATCGAACCCTGATTACTCGGATTGGCCATGTCATGTTGAGGAATAAATCGGTCTCACTTATCAGACCTGGACAACAGCTCAACTCTAAGACATTCGCCTTGGACGTCTTGGCGGCAGTTATTCCGAGAGTGTCGGGTAGAGCATGTACGTGAACTTCCTTATTCTCCCTAACCATGATTTTAATTGTATTACTTGATGGACGTTAACTTGCTACGGTGGAATAGCTCTGGAACTCGAGAATCGCGCCACCGCGGCGGCGCTCATGTGTCGTCAGCAAGCCCAGCAAGCGAACGCACTTTTTAGGCCTGGCTGGTTTAAGATTTTCAGGATGGAGACGATACACCCGGTAAACTATCCCTGGTAGGAGCCTTGATTTCATATTTATATGGGTGGGAAATAAATGGCATTGTTGCATTAGTTAGGTAGCAAGTAACATGGAAATGGGATATTGGCAAATCGGCATTCTTACCTAATATATGTGCCTTTATCATTTATTTCCTACTGTAATGCACTGGTATATGTCAAAACTTCATACTCTTATGGTACTCAAAGGGGCCAAGTTGAAATGAAAGCCTGACGCCAACATACCTAGTATATATACGGTGTGGTTTCTAATAGCGTTGAAAAAAACTAGGTATATTAGAAACAGATGCCGGAAGCTGTAATCAAGATCACTTTACGTGATGTTCCCCTTCCCACATTATTCATTTTAAAATGTGTGTTAGGGACAAAGGCATCTCAAATATAATGACCCCTATTTGAGAACACCGCTTGGTAGGTATTTACTCTAAATAGATATATCGCATACAAGAAATTACGTTCGTAGCAAGCGTAGTGCAAAAGCTGCATCTCCTTTGTGTGATACGAGCTGTTATATGCATATAATAATCAAAATATGTAACAAAAGATATACTATCGAGAAACAGGGTCAACTTATTTCGAGCGCCCTTAGCAGCCCTTGCTGACGCCATCATCCGCTCTTCGAATATGAACTTCGGTCTCTAGCACCGACCCTTTCCCTATTTCATGATAATGTTAATAGACTTTAGCGTCTTTCTTGCCCTGAAATGGGAACTCTTCGACAAATATACCGGTGTAAGGCAACATCGCGTTATCATAAGATGTACTTCATGAATAGGTACGAATAGGATCCTAGTAAATCGTTGTCCTTGATGCTTAAAATAGCATCAGCTGAGGGCCGTTTTAAAATTGGTAGGGCTAGAGCCTCAACGCCTAAAGATCCCTCCGAGATGGGTTCAATCTTGTTGACCCACCTAAATCGGTCGTTCTCGTCTAAAAGTGCAGATGATCCCCTGGGGTTATTGCTCGGTCTTGCTCCACACGCGTGTACTTGAAGATGTGCGGCCACCGTCAGCATGAACTTTGCATTTCCCGTTGCCTTTAGCTAGCTGAGAGTCGATATCCCAAAGGTTAAAGCTCGAGAGTCGAGGTGTCATTCCTGACTAGGGATGTTGAAGATGCTTTCGCTATGGCTTGCCTCTAGCATCGTGCTCTCAGTGGCTGCCTTGCCACCGACGACGGGAGCTGTCTCTTCTCTTAATGCTGCTCTCGAAGGGGTTGGCGCTGTGTTTAACGAGCTCGAATGCTCTCTCACCCCAATAATGCCTTCGACTTATTGGTATGAATCCATCACGCATAATGGTATATCTCCATTCATACCTAACGGAACGGACTGGCCAGTCTTTCGGAATGTGAAGACTATGTTTGGGGCTAAGGGCGACGGTGTTACCGACGACTCTGACGCTTTTCAGAACGCAATCAACGCCGGCAATAGTTATGCGCAGAGGAACACGAATGATCTTGGAACGACCGGCCAGCCAGCTGTGGTCTACCTTCCAAAGGGCGTATACGTGCTAGCTAAGCCGATACAATTCTTTGTTGGAATGATATTGATGGGAGACCCCATAAACCCGCCGACAATCAAGGCAGCTGGTAACTTCAGCGGTGATTTCATGATCTATGCGAAAGACCCTTCTCAGGGCTCGACCACGAACTTCTATGTCGGGATGAAGAACGTTATTCTCGATTCGATGGACTACGACAAGGATAAGAATCTCACGCTGGTGGATTGGAGTGTTAGCCAAGCATGCCAACTCGCCAACGTACGATTCGATATGCCCTACGAATCTACCGGTCACATAGGTGTCGCAATGCCGGAGGGTGGTTCCGGGCTGATCTTAGAGGATTTATATTTCCATGGCGGTGTTGTGGGTATTTTGCTGAGCAACCAGCAGTATCATCTCAAGAGCCTCACTTTCGACGGCTGCAGAACCGGGATTTCAGTCCAACACTTATTTATGGGACATTGCCAGGGATGTAAATTCACGCTTTGCGGCATTGGTGTTGATACTTCAAGCCCCGGAGACGGTATCAAGAATCTCGGTACCTTCATAATCACGGATTCGGCGGCAGATAACACTGGAGCCCTAGTCAGTGCGCCGGCTACTAACGGAAGTTTCGCTTCGATCGTGCTCGAAAATGTGCAGGTTGACGAACAGTCGGTTTCGTCGACCGTCACGGTTGGTGGTGATGTGGTCTTAAAAGGCAGTGTAAAGAAGGGCGAAGCTTGGGTTCTGGGAGATGCATACACGTCGGATAAGTCAACTGACGGAGTATTTCAAAAAGGAGTGACCCTCGCTACAGCACGATCCAGGTCTCTCGTTGATAGTTCCGGAAGTTTCTATCGTTTAACCCCACCGACATATGAAGAATATGGAATAGAGCAGATCGTCAACGTAAAGGAGGTGCCTTTGTACTCCGTAGCCGGAGACGGCAAGGCCGATGACACTGCGAGCCTTCAAGCCATCATTAACAAGTACGCCGGGTGCAAGGTACTATTTTTCCCGTACGGTATCTACTTGGTGACAGATACGCTAGTCTTTCCTCCAGGAAGCCGAGTTTTCGGTGAGGCATGGTCGACCATCTCAGCAACGGGTAGCAAATTCATTAACCCTAGCGCTCCTATACCGATGATCAAGGTTGGTGAACCTGGAGACACCGGTGTAGCCCAATTTAGCGATATGCTCTTTACCGTCGAGGATATTCTTCCAGGTTGCACGCTATTGGAAGTTAACATGGCCGGCGAGAAACCTGGCGATGTTGGCTTTTGGAATACGCATTTCCGCGTAGGCGGCGCAGCCGACTCGCAGACCCAAAAGAAATGTGGCCCGGGCGTGACGACGGACCCGGATCAGTGTAAAGCAGCCTTTATGTTGGCCCATTTCACCGCCAGCTCATCAGCTTATGTCGACAATATGTGGGGTGCGTATGGACTCGTAGAATCCTGCTGAGTATCCTTAGCTAATAGGTATATAGGTTGGACCGCCGATCATGATTTGGACGGTGTTGACAACCCTTTGACCAACCCGCAGTACATATCTGTCGGCCGAGGCGTGTTGATCGAATCAACGAAGCCATCCTGGTTCATTGGTTTCGCTAGCGAGCACAATACCCTCTATGAAGTGAACATCAACGGAGCCGAGAATGTCTTCGTTGGTTTCCAACAAAGCGAGACACCTTACTGTAAGTCTGCCCAAGCTCTACTCCTATTTCTCGGTACCTGAACTAAAGGGTCAAATAGGGCAAGGAGGTAACTCGTCGCTTCACGCATCTGACCCCTGGACTCCCGTGGCACTGAAGAGTGATCCGGATTTCTCGTGGTGCGCCGCGGATGATGCTCACTGCCGCATGTCGATCTACCAACGTATCTCAGACTCCAAAGACTTGAACCTGTACGCGGGCGGGTTTTGGACTTTCTTTAATGCTAATAAGGCGTGTGATGCGGGCGTAAGTTGCCAGACAGATGCCGTCCGCATAGATAATAGCACGGGGGTATCCATCCTCGGCCTCGGTGTTAACCACGTCGGAAATCTCGTTGTACAGGATGGCAAACCGATTGTTACTAGCGTCGAGAATAAAGGTGGTTGGTTTGCTAATGTGGCTGCGTATTTGATCGATTCTTGAAACCTTGCTTTTAGTTGATACGGGGTAGTCGTATTTGATAAGGCTTTTACGATAGACATGTTGAATATTTGATAAAAATATAGATACTAGATACCCATTAACTAGATATTTCGTTATCGTTGTTAGGCTCCGGGCCGCCGATAACAATATAAATATTTAAGGTTAGATCTCGACGTAGGCTCTTCGTAATCGCCTGAGTATACTAGGTAAGGTGCATTCCTATATCTGATCTGATGTCAATATACCGGACTTCAATCCCTTCGAGTATCTAGATATCTTCAGCACGTAGCTCTGATTGCTTCTATACGTTAAATGGGCCTTCCTAACTGTCAATCCCATTCCACAAGACCGCTAGTCTGGTGGAGGGATTGACGAAGAGACATTTCACAATATTCTGTCTCTTCTTCTATCGTGAATGTATCACTTTCCGTATGGCGTATTCTTCTTCCCTTTCCTCTGACGTGGTACGAATTGTCTGATCCTCGTCAATCTTTAGTCTTATCCCATCTAAAGCAAGATCTCGCCCATATTTTCTCCCTCGAATCCTAGAGTGGCGAGTTTCTTAAGCTTATTCTTTTCCTTGGCCCTCTCCACTGCTCGTCGTTCCTTCGCTAGCTTCTCTACAACGCTAAATTCGGCCCTCTCGAATCCTGGTGGCGGATCGTCGTCTTTGTCGAGGTCAATCTCTCCAAGCAGAAGCACGTTCTCTCCTCGGACTAAGAATATGCCATGGGATTGGTCGGCATAAAGACCCTTAGGCTGGTTCTCTGCGGGGTCTGACGTCGTGGCATATACACGCTCAACGGTAGATTGAAGCACTAGATTTGCTGTGGGAGGCTTAAATGTTAGGAATATGGAGGAAAAGCAACTTTCAAAAGAGGGCGGGGGCGTACCAAACTGGTCCCAGCTTCGTAGGACTCCAGTTAACTTGCGGCCGTCCCTGAGGCAGACTAAGAGCTTCTCTATACTCGACGGTTAATAAGGCAATTACCCCAAATTCGTTGGTCCAGTTGCCTTACTATCTGTGAGGTCTAATAATTGCGCAGCAGTTGTGAACATCTGGGGAGGTAGTTGTTGGGTTTGCGGTGGTGCGCCGCGTCCCAATCCTTGCGGACCGGGACCGGCTAATTGGGAGGGGCCTGGCTGCGGCGGTTCGTGAAGGTTCTCCATCATATGTTGGAGTTTTCGTAAATGGTGGTAAAGTTAACGAATTGTCGATCCATAGAGAAATCGACGGTGCGGCTATAGGAGTTTATTATTTCATAATAGTTTCTACGACTTCTTTAAGATGTCATGGAATTGGGGAACTTTGTGGTAAGTAAGCTCAGCCGTTGTTGTCTTGTTTGCGCATACCATTTTCTTAATTCACAGCTTTCTTGTCCTTGACTTGACTTGGACCCACTTGTCAAAAGAGCCCTGAGCTTCACCAGTGGGAGAAACATTGATGCGCTAATAAGCTTATGTAATTATATCAACCAATCACAGTATGATACCTTTTACAATACTATTCGGACTGCGTTATCAGATTGTTATCAAACTATAATAAAGAGGGGTTATGTATTTATTTGATCTGTTTATATAAGTTGATGATGGCAATTGGTTCACCATTGAAAAGAGTTATATGGAAACCAACTACTGCAGAGGAAATCGATTTTAGTTATATAGATGCATGTATCGCATATACATCCCAGTTGCCTCGGCATTTCAAGGCATAATCTTTTCAATATTGAATACCTTCGTTCCTGTTATCTCGTCAACCCTTTTGAGACTTCACTCAACTCAACCTTGAAGTAAATCAACCAGTAAGGTTCGAGGGATTTGTCACCAAAAGGTAAACTCAAGATCTGATAAGCAAGAAGTAACGAAGTGGTTCGCATTCGCGATTCACTTGGCCGCGCTTTCCGGATCGGGGAAGCTGGGCCTAGGCTGGACATGGACGGGCAGAGTCCCGCTTCACTTGTAGCCGAGAATCCTTGCTCACGCATGTGACGGATTTGATGGTTAGCCAAACACAGGCCTGATAGCCTGATAGCCCAGTGACATTTCCATACTTTAGCGGGTCTTGTTCTTTCTGTGCAGCTCTCGTGTTCCCAGATGTTCCCAGATTCCCAGATCTGACGGAAACCCCATGAACACTTTCCTCGGCCTGTCTCGGATTGGATAAAAGCAAAGAGGTGGCCTTGTAACGTTCTAATAGTTTTGTTCTTCTTTGGTGTCTCTTTTAATGCCTTTTAATATCTAGATTTGGAGGAATTGCACTGCAATTGAGGCATTGCAACAGATTAGCATCAACAACATGCCGGGCTCCTCTCGAATACCTGCCAGTCTACGCGAGACCTTCAACAGTGTTAAGAAGCGATCTCGGCCGATTGACCCTCACCAGATATTCAATCTAGACTTGTAAGTGATCTGGTATTTATCTGCTACGAGGCTACGAGACATTTTCTATAGTTGTGGAACTTCCATTACTTTCATTCTATTCCCTAAAGTCCGCGATGACACAATTTAGTGCTACCATCAAGTCTCTAGAAAGCGTCGCTAATTGTTTATGTCATCGTATTTAGACTTCGAAATGTCGTCTTTTTCTTCTTTGTACTACGCATTGTCCGCCGGACGTTCTGGAAACTAAAGGGTCGTGGCATCATCGGCACAATTGTAGAGATATATCGCGATACGCAACGTGTACTATATGGATACTTCCTGCGGGCACCGGGAGTTCGCACCCAGGTGCGCAAGCAAGTCAATGACTCGTTATCAAAGGTTCAGGCGAAGATAATACAAGCCGACGGGACGAGATACTTGTCTCTGCCGAAAGAAGGATGGACGGAAGATGCCCTAAAAACCGAGCTCGAAACGCTAGCGAACATGGACCATACTAGATGGGAAGACGGTTACGTATCTGGTGCCGTATACCATGGAGAGGAAGAATTAATTAAGCTCCAGACTGAGGCTTATGGCAAGTTCACCGTTTCAAACCCGATTCATCCGGACGTCTTCCCTGGCGTGCGAAAGATGGAAGCCGAGGTTGTCGCAATGGTTCTCTCCTTGTTCCACGCCCCAGCCAACGCCGCCGGAGTTTGCACCAGCGGTGGTACTGAGAGTATCCTCATGGCTTGCTACAGCGCAAGGCAGAAGGCATACGTAGAGCGTGGTGTGACAGAACCTGAGATGTAAGTTATTCTCCATGTGAGCTACATTTCTAAATTGCTAATTCGGTAATAATAGGATCCTTCCGGAGACAGCGCACACGGCCTTCCGTAAGGCCGGTGACTACTTCAAGATCAAGATCCACCTGGTTCCTTGCCCCGCTCCCAACTACCAGGTTGATGTCCACCGAGTCTCCCGTCTCATCAACTCGAACACCGTCCTCCTAGTTGGCTCCGCCCCTAACTTCCCCCATGGTATCATCGACGATATCTCGGCCCTCTCCAAATTAGCCCTGAAACGTCGCCTGCCACTGCACGTCGACTGCTGCTTGGGTTCGTTCCTAGTGCCTTTCCTCGACAAGGCCGGTTTCGAAACGGAGCTCTTCGACTTCCGCCTCAAGGGCGTCACCTCTATCTCGTGTGATACACACAAGTATGGGTTCGCCCCCAAGGGTAACTCCACCGTTCTATACCGCACACAGGAGTTGCGCACATACCAGTACTTCGTCTCCCCCGACTGGTCCGGTGGCGTCTACGCTTCGCCGGGCATTGCCGGGTCCCGTCCCGGTGCTCTGATCGCCGGCTGCTGGACCAGCATGATGCGCGTCGGCGAAGCGGGGTACATCGAGGCCTGTGGCACCATCGTCGGATGCGCCAAGAAGATCGCCGAGCACGTCACCTCTCATCCGTGTCTCAGCGCAGAGCTCGACATCATCGGCCGTCCCCTCGTCTCCGTCGTCGCCTTCACAGCCCGCAACCTCGACATCTACGACATCGCAGACGGGATGAACGCTAAGGGCTGGCATCTCAATGCTCTGCAGAACCCCCCCGCCATCCACATCGCCGTCACGCTCCCCATAACCAAGGTCTGGGAACGTCTTGTCGAGGATCTGGAGGTCGTCGTCGAGGCAGAGAGGGAAAAGGAACGGGTTCGTGCTGTTGAGGGTAAGGGTGTCAAGGGGAAGGCGTCGGGCGATACTGCGACCTTGTACGGTGTTGCTGGAAGCTTGCCCAACAAGGCCGTTGTGGTCGACTTGGCGAGAGGCTTCCTGGATTTGATGTATAAGGCATAGACAAACCAATAAACGCGAGTCTGGCCTAAGTGCGGTGGGTATGGTAGGTGGGGCTAAGTTCAGGTTTAAGGCGGATGGTTGGAGGGGGCTGGGAATTGTGTTATATGGATAGGGCGGTGTCGGGAGGCTTGCTCGTCACCGTGGCTTTCCACCGCCGCCTGTTGAGAAATATAGCCGTGTACATTAAGAAGGAATGGAGGGCATACTGGTCATTGACTAGGTTACTGGTTTGTACACATATATATAAGAGGGCCGGCGATGCGAGGTGAGGCAAGGGCCAAAAAACCTCGCAAGTATGCAAGGCAAGTATCACAAGGTCCTCGAAAAAAAAAGGGGGGCTTCTCGCACGAAAGAAAAAAAATAACACTTAAGACAGAGCAGAGCATTTAATAGCGTGTGGTACAGTAGTACAAAGTCTTCAATCAATCAATCAATGGTCAATGCTATTGCACACCTAGTTATATACATTCGGAGAAATGATGTGACTCAATGCTTTTTTATACACCGTTTCGGCCTTCGATGCGAGAGGGCTGAGTTCGTTCCGGTTTCTTTCCCCGTTCTGGCCCTTTCCCTTGTTTGTTCCCGATCCTACGCCGTTTGGAAATGAGATGGTCTGGAATACTGGGGGAAAATATTAGACGGAAAGGAGAGCGTTGACAAAAAATGAGACTCGGAAAATTAAACCCCGCCGCGCGCCCCGGATCCCGTTTGTTGTTTTGTTTGTTTTTTGGCCATTACACATATGCTTCGATCTGCCGTGATGCATTCCGTCCCTTTGATTTACCGACACGACAAGCCAAGCGATTAGCTCGGAGACTCCTGGATTTGAGGCCGAGAGTTCGAGTCTATGTGGGAATATTTAGAGCTCGGTTCCCGAATCGGCGAAGCGTCCGCTCTCCTGACCCATCATGGACTCAGTATCGCCGACCTGCTTACGCTCGGACACCTCGAAGTTCTTGAGCCGTTTCTGCATCATTCTTCTACTCGGCAACGTCAATCCTTGGGATGATCCCCACTCCCTCATGACTGCTGATTGCTATTGAAGGGGCTCCGAGGAGCTCGATAAACGGTTTAGGTGTAGGTAAACGTCTGTTCCGTAACTAGATTCTAGGTTAATATCTTGCAAGTTCGAGGAGTCTAAAAGCGACTTACCCTTCCATGCTGATTAATTTCAAATCACCACCAAAGTACCGAGCATAAAGTCTCGAAATTGGTAAACCGTAACCGAAGCCTGCCATTGGTGCCTTGAAATCGCTCTTATCGAAGTCAGGATCCAAATTCGGCGTCCGGTCTACAGTGGTGTACATGTATGTCCATACCAGCGGAATGGCGCTTCGAGGAATTCCACCACCTTCGTCGGTAATCTTGATTGTGATATCTTCCCTTCCTTCGGCAACAATGACCTTTGTCACGGGAAACTCCTGCTTGTCCTGCCCGTGGGTCTCGACGACAGCTCTTAATGAATTCTTCAAAGTCTCGAAGAGCATATGCGATAAGTGACCTGGCACGTACATGAAGTTAAGGTCGGGGTTACAGACGAGCTGAATCTTTGGCGCCTCAAAAAGTCCATAATGATCCTCGCATACAAACCGAGCATTCTCGATAGCTTCTTGCGCTAGATCCCGCACGTTTGTTCTCGTGCAGATTATGCCGACATAAGTAGGATCTCGATGGTGGCTTTGATCGGTTAAGGCGATGTGTTGTCCAATGAGCATACGAATGCCTATTCGGGACATATAGAAACGGTCTAAGAAGGATTGGATATTATTATCGATTTGCATCCGTTGCCGTCTTCGTTTATATTCCAATATGCCCTGAGCCATTGTTGTAACGACGCCATCGTGCCTCCTCTTGATCTTATGTAATGTTTGCGCGAATTTCGAGTTATATGCCTGCAGCTCTGGTGGCCAATCGCCAGTGTCATCCACCATAGCGAAGTATCTTCTTGCAGCTTGGTATTTCTTGCCGTTGGTACCTAAGCCGATTTGTGTAGGTGGCGCTGAGGCATATTGGCCTTCGCGGATGCTTGGGTTGGGAGTAGTTTCGGAAAGTAGAGATGCTCTACCATTGCTGAATTTGCCTGGGTTTAGGAGTCGGTCTTTTACATCTCTTGATAGCTCAGGTCGTCCTAAGTTGATAATCTCCTATTTTCACATGTCAGATGACTCATACTATCAATATTGCGAATAAACCAAGGAACGTACCTCAAACGACTGCGCGTACCAATCCTGTACTTTCCTAACCGATGGCATCTCACTAAGTCCATCTGGAAGGTGGGTGAGCTCTTGGACTCGATGCGCAAGTCGAATTGGAAGCTCTTCGGCGAGGAATTGGGAGGCGCGAAATAGTGTTCCTGAACGATGGGGGTGAGTTACTAATTGTGGCTAGAATTTAAGAATAAAATCACAAAGTGCGATCAAGCTAACATACCTATAGATGGCCGCTCGCCAAATTGTACCATTTGCCTTAAACTCACTCCCGTAGCAGGAAAGTTAGAGTAGTGACGGATAGTATCCATCAACCGCTCGGACGCCTTCCACGACATGTTGGGCGGGTTGTTCTGACTCGACGGAGCTTGATGGCGATTTAGGTAGGCCTGAAGATGTTTGTGATCTCAGGTAAAAGAAAGAATTTCAGGCCATGAGACGCGAATTGGATTGTGCGGAAATATGGTGAAGTTTGAACAATAGCAATAGCACGAGACCGCACGAGACCCAAGGTCGAAGGGGATCGCCCCGCGGGAATTAGGATGACGCTTGATAACAGGGACCTAACCGTAGCTAAAGTGCCGAGGCTCTAAAAGGACAAGCGCTTGATATGTACTTGGGTACCTGCAATCAGCAATGAAGCACCAGAGAAACCTCGAGTGAGACAAAAACAAGAGACTAAGGACGAGGAAGGCAACATCAATAATATCAGCAACGACGATGACAGTAGGAGGTCATTCTTAGGTTTAGTAGTAGTCACGGAAAGATTGATATCGAAAAAGTTGAAATCATAAGACAGTTTTGTTAAGAAATGGGGTGTTGAAGATTTGGAGAATAGACCCCCCGGTCACTAACTGAGTTTTGAAAGCCGTCATTGGTTCCTGGTTTGTGGGGGCGCGGAGACATGGGAAAGTTGCACAGCTTCGCCAGCTGTTTCCCAGTAAAACTTTACCGAAACGATGCGAGTACAGCCGAGGAGCGCGTTGATTCTCGACGGCTTGAACGGCCTGGACGGCTTTAGAACGACTTAGGATGACTTAGAAACGACCTTGACGGGCTGCCAAACTGAAGATATTCTTAATCCCCCATTCCCCCACATTCTGTACCAGCTAACCCGCAACCCGGCATTTCTAGTGTAAAGAATTGGAAGGCAACCTAGAAAGCATCACGTATGAGGATGCAGTCTTAAGCGCTTTCTTATGTACTATGCGTCCGGATAGGTACCTAGTTACCTAGTAAGGCGGATACCCCGCGAATCTGCAATCTGGACCTCTCCAAGATTCAAGGTTGGTTTCGAGCTATTTTCGATCGTTTCGAGATTCGAATGCATCATATATTTATGGTATGTACAATACGGTAGGTAGATAAAAGATAGGTAGGTAATACCGGTCAGTATATCGCGCAAATAGGGTAAACCTTATCTAAGTCTAAATATCTAGTCAAGTTGTACAGCTAGAAGACTCCGTGTTCTTGTGTAAATGGATGTGTAATTGATACCTTATGATACCTCATACATGGCTACCTGGCATGCATACTTGTACAGCTCTTGCCTTCTAATACCCCACAACAACCTGGGCAACTGCTTGTGCACGGATATAATCCGCACTCCAATAAAATCGCATACCAATCGGGCATCCCTTCCTTTCTCTCAAACCATCCTCGTCGACACCATCCAGATTCGGTCAAAGGTCAACTCGGATTTAATTCAGGTGGATATTGGAGCTGTCACGTTAATTTCAAACGCCTTATGACAAACACGGACTCAGATTCGGATGCAGAGCCGGAAAGCCCCCCGAAAAGGCCGGCGCCGCATACACCACCAGAGAATGCCAAGGCGGAATATAGCCCCCTGTCACCATTACACTATGCTCCGTCAACACCACCCCAATCATCACCACCAGCCTCACCATCGTTTAGCCTTCACTCCTTAGGAATGTCTCCATTTTCCCCCATGCGCCGTCAGTTTTCCTCTCCCCTCGCTAGATCATCCTCGCCCCTACACTCATCACCGGAGGCCGAACATTCCGACGAAGAAGAACTTGTACGAGATAGCAAAGACGTTCTCGTCCAGCGACTAAATGATCTTGCTACCCAACTAAGCCGGCAAGACCATGTAAAGGGGGACGATGTCTACGGTCTTCATGCCAAGGTGGATGAGATGGAAAAGGTCTTATCTACGAAAGACCATCCATCCGGATTGACGCCACGTCGGACACCACGGAGATCTAGACCTACCAGTTTGATACTTCAGAATAGCAGAAATGAGCTCGACCCCTTTTTAGGGCTGCCGAAACTGGGGCGAATGGTTTCTAGCATCCCAAACATACCGCTGCCCATCCAAAAGTCTTCGTCCACCCAAACGATCGGGCGCCAGATGTCAACAGCAACATCAGATCGGATCGTTCGAGAAGCACAGACTTTGTGTAAAGAGCTAGAAGATGTCATCTCGAACCTGCGAGCTCGACAAGAAGAGTCGGATGCAAGATCACTCCTAACCACTTACACTAACGTACTTATGCTAACTCCCGTGTAGCACATTCACGAGCTGCTCATTACACGCGCAGAACGAGCCGCGCAGAGGATCATTTATCTTGAAAAGCGTATCAAGGAACTGTAAGTCGAGCTCAGACCTTCTATCAAGATGCTGCATTGTGCTGACGGTTTTGGGAAAGCGAAAGGGAGCGGAATGAAGGTGAGATGGAAATGCTCAACCTACAGATTCAGCTAAAGGCCATCGAGGTTCAATGTCTAAGTTACGTGCCTGAAAACGCCGATCAAGAATTGCGAGAAAGCATTTCCGCGTGGAGGACGGAGTGGTCTGCCTTGAAGCGGAAACGAGCAAAGAGAAAAGCAAACGCGGGGGAGGATATCGGAACGCAAGGAACTCCGACCAGACAGCCTAGAAACTCATCGTCTATGGGCTGAACACTGTACCTGTACATCTATTGTCTATAGTAAGTATGTGGTGGCTTGTTCGACATGTATTACTAGAGAGGGAAGTGACGGTGTCGATCACGGCGGGTTTGCTTAACCGGCATGACTGAATGCCGTGGGAACACCGCATGAGAGCCTACCAGACAAGGCTCACCGACAAGTTTCAGATAATCTCATGAACTTATGAGTTTTTTTATACATATTGAGATAGGACTTGGTTGCTAGTACGCGGATGTCGGCATGAGTCGTACAGATGGGCTGACAGCCACATAATACGTACCTACACAACGAGCTCTGATGCTCGGTGATCGGTGTGATAACGCCTTGGCGTATCTTGGAATCTCTGAGAATTTTATCTGGCGTCTATCTAATCATCTACCTCTTCATAGGTCCGAATACTACGTGTAACACATGACCAGTCACATCTCCGACTTGATGGTTCAGCGTGGCTGCAATGCGCCCAGAAACGAACATGGAAACCATCGATGCAATCATTTGCTGATAACCCCCCAGCCCCTCTCTGCTCCTCCTTACCTCGAACCGGGCTCTTGATTTTCTTTAATGGCAAATTGACTTGAATGTTGGATGCTTACTATATACGTAAAGCTACCTACCTGGTAGGTATGATGCACTCTTCGTTTAGCGAGGGCAACATATTAATGAAATTGTTAAAAATGAATGGTCGGATTACATCATAGGGCAACATCTGAAAGTCTTGGCCATTTATACCCCAATTTTTAAACGACATTTGCCCTCCTATGGAACTTCCCTCCGCCTTTCCTTCGGGTCGGGAAAATGAGTACATAAGAGTACGTATTGGTTACAATTACTCACATGAGCATTGAATTATGTAGGGCCAAATCTCATTAAATGGAAGCAGCTGGCAGCCGCAAGGCTCCGTGTAACATTTGTGGTAGCAGTTACTCTCGACCGGGTACAGGACAGCCAGCCCTATACTAAAATAACCTTTCTTAGCTAATTCTAAGTTCAAGAGTCACTTAAATGTATACAAACCCGCTTGAAAGCATGAATGATACATGCCTAGACAGATTTGAGTATGCACGAAGCTTCATTCAGTATAGTCGTACCAACCCATATAGTTGCGCCGTATCGAAGTATGGCGTATCTGGAGGGTAGCTCAATCTAGAATCACTTGGCTCCCGTTTAGCTGCCGTCCCGTCCGGGGTAGCTTCGAAGGATGCTAATCCATCCCCGTTAATATGCCGTAGGTAGTCAAATTCCGCGACGGCTCTCAGCCCACGCTAACTGTCAAAATCAGCCATCATTCGTCGTAGTTGCATCGAATCATAATCTCGGTCCACGTCACCTTATTCTCATATTGCCTTTGAGGGTTAGCTCAGTAATATTGATGAATTGTGACGGATGACAACCTGGGGGGCAGCACTAGGTAGGGGGTGAACCTGGGGTCCCTTGGCAAAAAGACATAGAGATGACTTCGAGTCAGGAATACTATACTCTAGCGAGCTTACAGTCCGAGACCCCCCTGGATATTTGAATGAAAATGCTTCGCGGGATGACGTCGTCACATCCCGTGGGGATCCTTCAGACATGCTTCGACCAACGAGGCTCGGGATATAGCTCTTGTGCTACATCAGATCCCGTCAGTCATGTACGCTTCACGCGATGATCGACGGGCATTCTTTTAAACACAGCCTGTTGAGCCTTGGACTGCCTGGTTGCCGATAAGGGGGGGTCATTTCGCATGGCTCTAAGGGCATTGTCTGCCTTATCCAATCGATCAATATAATAGGCCCTGCCCCTATCGATGATCGATTTTTCGTTGATTTCTATTTCTCCGCTGTTTCTACTCGGGTTATCTAATATCGACCACTGAGTAGATCTTCTCGCATCTAAAACTTAAGTAAGCTGAGAATTATTATCGCCGATAGTAAATCTTCACGGCCTAGTGATACCCGACCATGGCTTCCACAGGAGACCCACCAAAGGATGGCGTCTCAGGAGAGAAGAAGGGGTCGGACAACTCTGACGTGTCCCGCGCCGAAGTCGAAAATCGATTCAGCAAAGATAATATACTAGATGAAGGAGATAGACAACGCCTAGAAGCTTCGGCCAAGTTAGCAAATCCATTCGCCGGTCTCAATGCAGAACAGCTAGCCCGGCGCGGCGAGGAGTTTTGCGCGAAGCACGGCTTCACTAGCGAAGAAGACATTCGTGCTTTCCGACTCGGCGCAATGATCTCGGGTAATATGAATAAGTATGATACTGTCGACGGACTCACTGATAGCGAGAAATTGGTGCTCGATAGAGAACTTACCCATAAGTGGTCGAATCCGGGTATGCTCTATGCTGTCGTCGTCATCTGTTCCCTCTGTGCTGCCGTTCAGGGTATGGACGAGACCGTCGTCAATGGCGCGCAGGTTTTTTATAAGATACAGTTTGGTATCAACGATGAGGATTCTATGTCAAGTAAGCAATTGATACCGACGTCACTGCTTATCCCCTTACATTGTACTAACCATGACATACGATAGACTCGTGGCTCCTAGGACTAGTAAATGGTAAATATATGCTCATCACAGAATTTTTAGAAAAATATCTAATAACGATATAGCTGCGCCATACATTTGCTGCGCTTTCGTGGGTTGTTGGCTCACCGAACCGATGAACAAAGCCTTCGGTCGCCGCGGTACCATCTTCATTTCCTGTCTGGTGTCGGCTTTGGCATGCTTTTGGCAAGCCTTCACAAACACTTGGTGGCATATGTTCATTGCTCGTTTCGCCCTCGGCCTTGGCATTGGCCCAAAGTCTGCTACTACACGTAAGCTACCATCTTGCTTTGGGTTGCATCAAATCTGGTAACATTTACCCCTTATAGCCATCTTCGCTGCTGAATGTTCCCCACCAAAACTCAGGGGAGCCCTCGTGATGCAATGGCAGATGTGGACTGCCTTTGGTATCATGCTTGGATATGTAATGGACCTGGCCTTCTTTGCCGTCCCGGATCGTGGTATCCCAGGCCTGAACTGGCGCTTGATGATGGGGTCTGCGTTAATCCCTGCTGTTTTCGTTTGTGCTCTGGTCTATTTCACTCCTGAGGTTGGTCCGTCTCCTATTATATTCCATTAAGTTGCTAACCAATGGTAGTCACCTCGATGGTATCTTACGAAGAACAGGCATGTAGACGCCTACAAGACCATCTGCCGACTTCGGTATGAGAAAGTCCAAGCCGCGCGCGATCTGTTTTACATGGACACTCTCCTCCAGATTGAGAAAGAGACTATGAACATAGGTCAAAGTAAAATCAAGGAGTTCCTTACCATTCGCCGAAATCGCAACGCTATGTTGGCTTCTGAAATAGTCATGTTCTTTCAGCAATTCACGGGAGTCAACGCTGTGGCATACTATTCTTCGTCGATCTTTATTCAGGGTGGATTTACCACTCAATCAGCCCTCGTAGCGTCACTCGGCTTCGGTATCATCAACTTCTTATTCGCCATTCCTGCTTTTTACACCATCGATACCTTTGGTCGGAGGAATCTGCTCCTGACAACTTTCCCGGTAAGTAGTTGCCTTGTATTTAAAAGTGCGAAAGTAACTAATACATTAGCATAGCTGATGTCACTTTTCCTGTTTTTCACGGGCTTCAGTTTCTGGATTCCAGATAATACTACTGCTCATATTGCATGTATTACGTTGGGTTTATATTTATACGGGGTGGTGTATTCTCCCGGCGAAGGGGTAAGATTTCTATTCATCTCTAGAAGCAATTTTTATCACTAATCATTTCCCTCAGCCTGTTCCGTTCACCTATAGCGCTGAAGCATATCCATTGTATATTCGTCCAATTGGTATGTCGCTAGCGACGGCAACGACCTGGTTCTTCAACTCGGTCATCTCCCTTACTTGGCCTGCCTTAACCCTAGCCTGGACTCCCCAAGGTGCATTTTCTTGGTACGCAGCGTGGAACATAGCCGGCTTCTTCATGGTACTTTTCTTCGTTCCCGAGACCAAAGAGAAGACACTGGAAGAGCTCGACGCCGTTTTTAACGTCCCGCTTCGCCGGTTCATGCGGTACGGCTTAGCCCAGTTTTTCTACTTTTGGAACCACTACATCTTCTTCCGCGATGTCCCGGCACCCAAGACTCCGACCATGGCCACCGAGGTCGAATATACCGAGCATCAGTTTTCCAAGGAGAAAACCCATGACGCAACAGCCCGCGTCTAGGCGTCCTATGCCCGTATAGCACAAAAATTTCGCTTCAATAATTTTCATTTAGTGACCTAACTTTCGCAATGGTGCTACGCCACAACAATCATGTTAGATGATATTTAGATATTTAACCGGCTTCTCTGGCATTAGACAGGAATCGGAAATATTGTATGGATGATGGAAGTGTACAATTGTTGTTTGCAATGATGTCTCTCATTTACATATTTACGGATACCCCTTTTACGATTTAAAAACATTATAGCAAAGGAAATAGTAATGGCCGGGCAGTGAAGATCTGCTTTGGATACGAATTGACTCTATTCGCAACAACGACAAAACTTGAGAAATACGATTATTCAGTCTCCCTTTTCCCTCCCAGATATTAAAATAGGTACTAGGTAAGTCGTACTAATACACTCAACGAACGACTTTTAAACACCGGCTTCTATCCTCGTGTACCCCCTCTCCTTTTATCCCTCTATCCCCCAACATTTTTTAACCTTTTTTCATATTTAAACCAACTCTCCCAACCCAACCCAAAACCGAGGAAAGTTTAGTAGATGGAAAAAGCTATAGATTAATACCCCGAATGATGTCGATGGTGATGTCCCCCACTCCCCTTACCACTACTCCCCAACCTACGATTCTGCAACACCAACGGCTGAGCCTTCAAAACCTCCTCCCACGTCGGCCCCCTGTCCTCATCAACCATCACCACCGCGCTCCGCCGCCGCCGATGACTATGATGTTTCTTCTCCGGCGCGGGCGAAGGAGGCGCTGTATATGCCGTCCGTCGACCCCCACCACCATACTGCTGACTATCTGACCCAGACACAGGCACTAACGCCATAGCAGTCGAACTAGGCGTCCCCGCACTCACCACGCTCCCCCGCCGCGAACACGATTCCCCACCCCCACCACCCCCTAAACTCGCAGCGTGCTCCGCCGCCGTCGACGTCGACGCCCTCCGTTCCGCGGGCGCGGGCAGGTATCCCGCGGGTTTAAAACCCCCGCTCCCGCTCCCGCTCACATCCGGTGCTGAAGCGCGATACGTTCGTAGCGGCGGGCTTTGCGCGCGTCGGTACGTCGGCGTGGTGGACCCCGTGGGCGTGGGCGTGTACGCCGTTGTGCGGTATGTCCGCGTCGTCGTCGTCGGTGCCGCTTTGACTACTCGCGGCTCGTCGTTGACGGTGTACCGCTCGTGGTAGCTGTTCCGGCGTAGACATCTGTTCATAGATTCGAAGGCCTCCGCTGCGGAGGTGGGGGTGGAGGCGGAGGCGGTTTCATCGCCGATGGTTTGGAGGGCGCTGGTGGGGGTGTATCGCGCGCGGAGTTTACTGGGTTCTGGACGTGCGTATGCTGGTTCTTTGCCGGAAAGAGGCTTTTCAGGGGGCGGGTAGTGCCATACCGCCGAGCCTGAACCCGAGCCCGAGCCCCGCCTTTCGGAGATTGGCGGTGGTGGTGGCGGTGGCGGCATGAGTGCGAGTGGGGCGGGCGTTCTGGGGCTGTCCGGTCCTAGGAGCCTGAGATCGTACATGAGGTCGTCTAGCGCGGCTTCTAGGATCTTTCTTGACTTGGGGTCGTGGCGAACGGGGAGTTGGCTGCGGAGGAGTTGCCGCGGTAGTCTTTCGAATTGGCCGTCTGCGCTGGCTACGAGTTGCACGTCTGCGACGACCTTGCTGAGACGGCGGAACTCCTCGTCGGGGTATGCGAGGATGCATGTTGTTAGGTATTGAGCGAAGCCGAGCGGCGTCAGGGCGGGGACGCGTGGTCGCGAATATGAATCGAGCTGAACGAGATGGTATTGGCAGTCGAGGTCGGTGAAGAAGTCCCCGATGCGTTCATTTACGTCCCTGGTTCTGGAATTGAATATATCTGATACGTATAGGATAAAATTAGCGAGGCTCCCAAGTTACTTCCGCATACCTATATTTAAAAGGGTTCAGGGGGGAATGAAAGGGGAAACAGATATAGGATCAACCAAATCGATGCATACCGATAAAGAAGTACACCTCCTGATCGATCCGATATCTCGAATAGAACGTGCTCAGCTTCTCTGGCGTAATGACGAGACTACTGCTGCCGGGTGCCAGGTCGTCGATCTACGGTTACGTCGTTTATCAGCTTCAACGCCCTATCCATAATCCGGCTTCGGGGATACATACAATATGCTTAGCCAGTCCTTTAAGAAATTGGCTGCATCGAAGAGTTGCGTAACCCCTCTCATCGAACAGAACGCCCCATTCAGCCATCGGCGTGATGATTGCACCCGACCGCCGAGGCATGGGAGGACGTTTTGCAAAGGCGCGAGGGGGGCCGCGGTCGCTGAAACGCACCGTCGGCTTCGATACATCCGTTGGGCTTATTGGTGATGGAGGGGACGAGACCCTAGATGGACCGTCGATCGAAGAAGAGGTAGCAGAACCCGATGCGCTCGAAAGCGGATGCCCCTGAGACTCGACGACATGGCTGTTTTTGCCTGCTTCGATTGGTTGTTAGCAACGCCTGCATCGAAGTGGTAATACATAACCTTACATTCATCCGCATCTCCATTCTGAAGCCCATCTCCGGTCCCTGAGGGGACATCATTCGTGCTGAGTCTTGGCTGAGAGGCAGATCCGGGCGTCTTGATCCTCAGATCCCGATGGCGCTCCGGCTTGGCTAAGCAGCCACTTGTTCTAAGAGGGGGTCGACGATAGTCATTCTCTTCCGGGCCAGACTGAGGCTCATTGTCCTCGGAACGTCTAGGATCCACCTCACGAGCCTCCCAGCCGCCGAAACGGTCTTTCGGCTGGTCGACCTTGTCATACGAGGAACGTTCCTCGGCCATCGTCAACTAGGAACTACCCTACTCTACAGCTAAAAGTCTGAGCCCAAACCCAATTAATTCGGAACCGACTAGACGAAATATAAGCCGAAAGGAGAGTGGAGGGCCAGAGATACCCTACACATCAGTTGGTCATCCACGACGTCTTCGCACAATACCTTATGTCCCCATAATACGGGTGCCTACAGAAAAGGATTCTCGTCCTTGGCAGAGGCCGGGCGACAGAGCAACCTCTCGCATTGGAGTTCATCCCCGCCCTTTAGGTATCGAGACTCGGAACAGAGCTATACACAGCATTCGGCCCGTGTTACGTTATCGGGAAGAAAATATTACGTCTCTCTTCTAGAGCCCTTCCTTTGCTTATGTGCCGGTCCCGTCGAAATATAAATCGCGGAATAAAGTGAGAGACGTCGAAAACTTCGGGAAGCTACCTACCTACGTCGCTTATGGTAGTTAAGGAGGGTTATTCACCATAATGCCGTTACTAGACAAACAAAATCACCGATCACACTGTTGTATGTAGCGGGGAATTGATCACACGAGACTGTCACAAATAAAAGGGAAAACATCCGCATTATTCATCCACCTATCGTAATACGCAGCTAGAGAACAGAAAGCATCGATTCGTTATGTTGTCGTAAGCGATAAACGAATCTGAACGAATCATAGACTGCAAGGCCGAAAGATAGCAAGATGATAGGAGAACTTCACCCCATTAGTGCCGTGCGATGTGATACCCTAGCACCTCCTCCTACGACCGTTAACGTAGTACATCAGAAGAGAGATAGAAACGAAATTTCTAGGCCGAAATACAGCGACCTTAAAAATCAATTTCATCATCTGACTCCCAATCTGGGTCATGGGTGTCCATTCCCTCTTTCGGAGGCTCGTAGACGGCATTGGCATAGAACACTTTGCGAGTGTCCTGCGTTAACTGTTAGCTATATTTAAACGAGTTGAGGATATTGTCCGAGTGCTTCTTACTGGTTTGGCCCACTTCCCGTTCGACACTTTGTCCGGGCGGTCAGCTACATTCGAGGCCTTAAATGGCATGCGTGGAGCAGCAGTTGTCAAGTTCTCAGCCGAATGACCAATAGGCGAAAAGGGGTCTTGATTATACAGATGCGATTTTTCCTCTTCTACGGAAGGAGTGATACCTTGTAGGCCGGGCAGGGAAGAAGTAATGCCGGAATCCGGTTCGCGCTTGATCACTAATTCGCCTCTTAGGTGGCCGTAGCCGGTGAAGTTTTTAATAGAGGTACCCTTACGAGGGTCCTAACGCAAGATTGTTAGAAAGACTTCCCTGTGGAGTATTAGGGGTGGTTATACCTGGTCTCCAAACGCAGTACCGTGAGTCTTGGAGGTATGAATACCTCTGATGATCGACATAGAGCTTCCATGATCACCATCAATGTCTTGCTGCTTCTCTGAAGTAACTCCGCTTGACTGAACCGCAGTGGTACCGGTCATAGTGACATTAGTCTCAGCGTGAGAAGCTCGGTCATCGGTGAATCCGTCTTGAGCTGGTAAGAAACCATCGCACATCGCTTGACTATGCATCTCATTTTCATGAATGGCAGGAGGGGCCTCCTTAGCACCGACATTGGTTGCCCAGAAGGTACAAGTGATACATCGCTATATCGATCGTTAGTAAGGGACGGAATCCTAGAGCGGCATTTAAAGACTTATACTTACAGGGTTGTCGATATTGCGCTGGTTCTTACTGAATTGCTCCCTAGGTTTCCAAGCGCCACAAGGACCATTGCAGTGGATCTCACGATGTTCCGTCTGACTCTGGGTTTGCCCTGTGTGCTCCTTGCAAATCAAGCCGATAGTGTTAGGGGTGACGCCATCTCTGAGCTTCTTTTTCTGCTGATGCCACTTGGCGATCTGTCTCTGAGAGTAATGGTCTGGTGTGAGCCACTGGCCGTCGATGGCACACTTGAACCTGTCTAGGATGTTAGTGTTATATACTCTAATGCAATTAGTCGATTCGAAACTTACGCGGTCGGGGTTGGTGTCTGGTTAGAGTACATCTTGTCTAGTTGAGTCGTAAACGTTCTTCAGATTGGGATTGATTTATGAAGAAGTCAGACCTGATAATTGTTTAGCTAAGAACAAAAATCAGGCTGGAAGTTGAGAAAAGGCATTGAACTCATAAGAGTAAAAATGGACCAAGATGTCCTGTGTTGTATTTGAAGGAAGAGTTGAAGGAAACGTTTGAAAAGTATGGATGGAGGTAGGAGTAATGAAAATCATGGATGTGTACTAGGTAGGTACATAAGTATCCTTCGAAGTTAGGATGAAAGTGACACTTTTCGATCTACTGAAGAAGAAACTAAGGAAGGAATGAAGGAAAGAGGATTGGGTACGTACTACGTCACTATTACTAAGTTACAACGATGTTGGAAAAGCGTAAATATACCTAGGTATATATATCGTAGAATGTAATTGTAAATTTATATTGGCTTGGCCGCCTGTTATGAATGGAGTTGTTAAAATTCTCACCTTAGTGTGGTCGTCATGACCACGATAGAGTGAAAAGTAAGACCAAGTTGATTTGGTCTTCACTTGTGCAGTTATTCATACTCGAGGTTGAAATTTTCAATCTAATGTAATTGTTATGAAATTAATCCCATTTATTGATACACCCAGGAGGTCAAAGTTAAGAAGGAGTTGGTGAGAATAGGAACAGCTTTAGAACGAAAGTTCGAAGCGGCTCTGACATGAAGAGTACCTAGAATTCCTAGCCGACTGACCGATTTTGATCATTAATAAGATAGATGTTACTTTTTCCTACCTTTAGGTTATTGCTTCTAGACGATTTGGAAGGAGCTCGATACCGAGCTCTTGAGGTAGTACTAGGTACCTAGGTAGTCGATACCCTTGATAACTTGCAATATCCATGATATTCAATGTTCAACTGTATCTGAATTCGTATTTTTAACAACCATGTGACTAATTTAGAATAGGATGAAGTTACTTGAATTTTGAGCAATAATTGCTTGATTTGACTGAAAAAGGGGTACCTTTTGCCATTACATAATCAAGGGGATGTTTACGTAAGATCGTATCCCACTTTCCGCAGCCTGAAGAATAATTTAATTTCCACTGAATGAAATATTTGCGCATTTTAAATTTTCCACGCGTCTACCCCGACTTGCTATTCATCAAAAGAAATAACCCCGTTCCAAGCAGATGAATTGGATTGAGTATCCCAGCTCGGTCATCTAGAATTAACATGATCGCACTCACTCTGTCTGCCTCGGTATGGATGTTATTCTATATTATTAATCCCACCATCGAGGACAGAATCGACCCTTGATGCCTTGTGCCGACCGGGTTTTCTGGAGTAGTTGGTCATTTCTGCTCAGAATAAATTGACAAACGCACACGACCTTGAATTACCTATTATGAGTTAATCCACGGATATTCTACCTATTCTAGCACCCGATAACGTATTTGGAGAAGCCTACGCAAACAATAGTACACTATCGAACATGGGATCGGTAGTAGTTAAGAGTTTTGATGATCTGGGACTCGTTGGCTGTTAAGCTAATTCTCCAGCATCGAATCTGATTGATTGACAAGCGTTGAGGCTCGGTTCTGCATGTCGCCACTACTACCGCTAGCATCGCGCCTAATCCTCAGCTGAGCGCAGCTTTATCCAAGTAGATCTGGATCGTCTGATTCAAGAAATCTATGCGTAGTTTTGCTGCAGTTCCCCTGGACTAGCTCCCTTAGTTGATGTTTACATCTAGGCCTAGACCTGGCCAACGAGGGCCGCATACAGCTGCAAGACAGATGAATATCTCATATAAGTGATGTGGTAAATATGCGAAAAGAACTGATGATGTTGATCTCAAGTTGAGCTTTCACCTTGCCTTTAATTATTTATTCAGTTCTGTTTTTTCCCCAGCCTTTCTTTTAGTTGCCAAGATGGCAGACTCTCAGCTAAACAGTTATAATCCATCATGTGTCGTCAACCAGTGTTTGCAACAAGTTGTTGGTTCTATTGACGGAAACCCACTCGCTCAGTATTCAGCTTGTACAACTACGTTTGGAGCACCTGTCGTTTCAACTGTGTAGGTTTACGCTCTTCTGTTGCTCACGATAGAGATGGGAGAAGCCGAAATGCTAATAGTTTCAAAGGACTCCATCCGTGGAAGTTGTCTTCTCTACTCTTGTCGATACAGTTTCATACACAGATATCGTGGTCTCTATAAGCACGACGTTTTCGATCTATGAGGCGATCACCACTCTATATACAGATGTCCCTGACACGATAACGGAGACAACAAGAACAACTACTACCACTACTGGTACTGTCACTGCTGCAGCAGTCACTCCAGCAAAGCACAAGAAGCGCGGTGGTTGTAAACCAAGGACGACATTGTCATCTTCGCCTTACCTTCAACCTTCATCCACCTACTCTTTTGCTCCGGAGAGCTCATCTTCAGTCCCCAGTAACATTTCGGCCACTTATTCGATATATCCATCTATATCCACCAGCTCGTCTACAGTGCCAACAACTTCGTCCTCATCAGTTCCAGCTATTCCTATTGCATCTTACTGCTCTGATTTAGCAGAATACTCATCCGCCTGCGCTTGTATCGACGCTGTTAGCGCGACTTCGATCGTAACTGCGCCAACGCCGATCTCCACTTCCACGATCCTTAGTACTGTGAGCGTTAGTGTTCCGTCAGTATCTGTTTCAGTCGTCACCATTACGGTGACTAGCGATTCCACCACAGTCGAAACATCAACCTTGACAGCCACCCAGACGACTACCGATGTGCTTACCGAGACCGTCACCTCAACCTACACACCGACACAATCACCACATCTTAAGATCACTAGTAGCACCACTACAGCGAGGATAGGGCGATATCTTACTCTAGAAGAGATCAACGGCTACAAATATTTGAGGTACGACTATGCGAACACAGGCGTATCTATTGCTGGAAACTTTTCTGTCTCCGACGCTGGGGTATGGTCTCTGCGTGACCAGCCGCAATTGACAGCGTACATCTTCACGACATCAAGCACCATCAGTACCGTAAATTTCATATCATCTACGACGGCGGCTAGTCTTGGCGACACGGCTCTTACCTGCTCCGTGGGCAACGCCGGTGCCTTTACTTGCATATCATCGACCAGCGTTGTTTTTGACACCTTCGTAACGTGCGGTGCTTATGTTTACATTCTTCCTGCAGCGAGGTATAGCACGTACGTAAGTTCTGGCTGCATTAAAATTGGATTGTCGCTTTCTACATAATCAGGAAACGACGTCAAATTTCGCCATCCGGGATTCTGCCACTCTAGAGTCCCTAGGGAAAATTATATACCATAAAAGAAGCGTTGTTCGAGCAGGGGAGATTACTCAACAAATTACGTTGTATATAATTATAATTATAATTCACTTCTTGATCTAGGTATCTAATCACATAGATAGTAGCCCGCAAGGGTCTTGAGCTTCAGCAGCATCAGGGAACCAAATAACTTATACATAATTTTCAATACTCATAATGGTCAAGGAATTAAGAATTTCGCCAATTTCATTCGTGAAGCAATGTTACAACTAATGCGAGTGAGTTAAACTACGACCAGTCTCTACCTTGGGTTCTACAGTAGGTAGATTCGAACCACCCGAGCCGCCCATGTACGATACACTAAACCTGTCCGCAGCCGCCGTTCTCTCATCCCACAGATGCGCGCTTCTCTCCGGCTTTTCGGAAGAGATCCTCGGCTCGACGGGTATATCGGTAGGCTGGTCTTGTTGCGGGTTTACTGTTTCGTACTCGAGGGCCTTGATGAAGACGTAGAACCCAGATGCGACCAGCGAGCCGAGAATAGGACCTACCCAGTAGATCCAATGGTAGGTGTAGAAGGTACCCGTGACGACGCTGGGGCCGAAAGAACGCGCTGGGTTTACACTTCCGCCGGTGTAGTAGACACCCCTGAGCGAAGAAATATTAGCAGCTTCCCCTATTTACGAGTTGTACTTAACTAGAACATCGTTAGTGATCAAGATGAAGATGAGGCGTACATCAACTCCGCAATAAACAACGACAGCCCAATCCCAACCGGCGCAATGAACGTCCCGCGATGCTTCTCAGCCGCGAGCATGAAAATCGTAAAAACCAGCTGCGCGGTAAGAAACATCTCGATAAACAAGCCCTGCACGACCGTCGTCCCGCCACCTAACCCCGTCCCCACAGCCAACGGGCCAGGCGTCAACCCCATAACCACCGCCGCAGCCGCAATGCCCCCCACGATCTGGCTAAACATGACCAGCGGGCCACGCACATAATCCAGGGCACCAACGGCCATCATCCCGACCGTAACAGCGGGGTTAAACAAGCCGCCGCTGATGCGGAAGAAAACCCAGGCATTGACGACGAGGCTCATCCCGAAACAGAGGGATATGTACAGCAGACGCGCGGGGTCGGCGGCGGTGGAGGCGGGCAGGTTTGTGTTCACGGCGTTGGTGCCGCCAAAGGCGAAGAGCAGGAACATGAAGGTCCCGGCGAACTCGCTCATGGCTGCGATCGCGTGGTTTTTGGCCTTCAGCGGCAGCTTGTCGAGCAGCCGGAGGTCCCGCGGCTTGAGAGGGTCTGGGTCCCGGAATTTTTGCCAGGGACGTCGGATGTGTGTTTTTATTTCGGAGTGCTCCATTGTGTGGAAAGGAGTTTATATGAACCTTGGAAGATATGAGGATATGAGTAGAAGTCTGTGGTTGTTAGGTTGCTTGGTCTTCGGTACGAAGCCAGTCTTGACGATATCAGTTGGACGGCGAAGATGTGGAAATAGTGGAAATTTTCCTGGAGGTTACTGTTGGAATCATAGCTATTTTACCTGTTGGCATCGCTGAATCGACGTCAGTAGTGCGGCAATCATGACATGAGATTTGGATATCTCTACTACGGACCCGAGTCGTTGGTATGCCACACTCATCTACCCTTAGTTTAAGCTACTAGATATATATCTTACCTATGGTGGTTCTTGAATCGACAACCTTCCAGTCTAAGAGAAAGACCAAGGGACCGTGTAATTGGTCTATCATAAGGTCTAAGTTGGTATGCTTGATCATCTTTTCTTGGGGAGATTCGGGTTGATTTGTTATGAAATATCCCCACCGGTCTAGATATTGAGACGTCGTTTGTTGAAATTAGAATACTCAATAGCTATTACGGCGATATTCATAGTAGAAATTAAGTAATTTGAGATATCGTCAGGCATGGAGTTAGCGCGAAGAGCGGTTTAAAAATAGCCGTATCGCTAGGGTAGATCATGAATCGCTTATAGATTCATGACATCAATGTCGACGAAATCCCCAAAGCTTATCTACCCATTCTAGAGCAATTAGGAAACTACTTCGAACGAGTCTATGCCAGGGCGGGCTTGCGTTCGTCAATGAAATATCCGTGATAGTCATTGTCAATATTCTTGTGCCCTCGTATATGAGCTATCACCAACATGCGAATATTGCTAACATGAACAGGAGCCCAACTCACTCAAAGACCGACGTCGGACATAGTAAATCGAATTATCTCGTTGACGGGAGCGGGCCGTGTCCCACAATCGACCTTAGGGCATTCAACTCAAGCCACAATCATACTGTCTCGCAACTCGTGGATGGACGGTGAGATTATTAGGTACTTATGTCCGAATAAAGCCCAAAGGCTGTAAACCCTAATGGTCCATTAGTACTAGGGGTAGGGTTAAGTAATATCCTTTTCGTAGGAGAAAAGAAAAAGGGGAAGAAAAAAAAGAATATTTTCATAAACCGGACCGAGTCTCCTCAAGCTGAAGGTTGACTGGCTGAATATTAGTCACGCCAATGAACAGAAAAAGCATAGTCTTAAATGTGAGGATCGCTATTGTAAGATAAGAACACCCCACGAGGTAAAGGATCGACGGTCAAGGATGGTAAAACACTGGTTCCGTGATCCAACTTGAAGCCCCCTGGGTGTAATAATAGACTTTTACCTTCTAGAATACGCCGCCGAAGCCCGCCTATCTGTAATCCCGTCTCTGGGATCCGGGGCCATCATGCATCGAAGAGACGCTCGGGATATATAGTAATAAGCATAGATGATATTAAACATGCATTTGATATTGACATCTCATTCTCCACAATCTTGCTAATGCACTCCGGTCGATGTCGAGCTTGTGCGACAAAAGCTAAGGGGTCTCTGCCGTGATGGTGTTTAGCCTAGCTGCCTAGCTTGAGTGAGTGTCTCGAATGGAGTTCGATTCTCGGGATGTGTAGGGCTTAATTAATATGTATCCGCCATTAGGCATCAGGATGGCTTGTCGTTCGTTGACCTCGCCATCTCCGTGCCTCATTTGACGACATCCTATGTACCTAGGCAACACGTGCAAACGGTAGCATACATAGTACAACGGATCCATTGTTCAATGAAAATCAAAGAGACATGTGCGCATTGCATATCCCGCCTTTGATCGGAAATACGATCTACTATGGTTAGGTTAGTGGTGAATTTAGTATGGCAGTAATAGGTCCAAATGGTGTCGGTAAGTTGTACATGGTATGGTATAGTTAATAGTGTATTTTGATGGTTGCATGATGATATCTGATCGTCGAAACTGCGTCTAAACAGTTGATACCGTCCAGCCGTCTAACACGCGTGGGGGAAGGAGAGAAGCAAGTCTACGCGTTCCTGATTCTGTGCTGAGTGCTCATTAATGGCTAAAGCGGCAATTTCACCCAGACATTCTGTACCCAAGTACCGCACATGCGCATACAATTATTTGCATAATAGATGGGGTCTCTTAGTACCCAGTACCCTGATCTCCATGCACTTAACTCTCAGGGGCTCTTCCTAAAAGGGTATAGTACATATCCACGCGGCAGCGTCCATTTATGCAAGTTCAAGGTATTGTTCGATGTACTTCGAATTTGCTAAGGAGCGCCCTCCATGCGCCGGTATCTCTCTCCTTAGCTGTCTGGTTGATCGACGGAGGTTTGAGTACTTCCAAGTATGTACAAATAAACATCCAACTGCCACTAGATGCACGCGGAGAGAGAAGTCGTTTATCTGATCTTCATTTGTACCGCGTAACTTTTCAGATAAACTCCACCCTTTAGATGGCGTTTTGGGCGTTTCTAACGAGCGGTGCCTGCCTCACCCGCGCCGTCCGCGGTCAATCCCTTGCACCGGGCTTTCCCCGTAGCGGATTAGGTTGATTGGGCATTTTCGTCCAATGTGCGCCACGTCGCTTGGTGGCAGGAACGATTCCATTTGGCAGTTCTAAACGGGCAGTAGTCCCTGCGCATCATGCATCGCTCTTGACCATAATCGGGATTGAATCACACTCACGGCCTCCCTTTTTGGTCGCATTTACCGCATACATAATAGTGCCTTGTCGATAGGAGGTATGTGCCCAGACGCCAGATGCACGCAGGCACGATAGGACCTGGAGATACATGTTACATACATACATACATGTATCCTGTATGCCCAGTCTGGTCGTATGCTGATGTATGTTTTGCTTTCGATGCTGCTTTCCACACTCGGGCATGAGGTTGAGGGTTCAACCTCGAAGGACGGTGTGACCAATTCATCCCCGGACCTCGAAATCAATGATCGAGAACGCTTAATTCGGCCAGCCTCTTTTTTTTCTTGACCGTCTCCATAAGGTTAGTCTTTTGCCTTGACCGGTAGTGGATCCGTCCATTCTTTGGTCCGTGCAACGCAAGGTACGATCTTGATCACCTAAAATGTCTTGACGGGAGTTCATCGGTTCATCGACTCAAATCTCGCTCGGATCAAGCGAAAGGAATTCATAGCTGACCCCCCCTTCCGTTAGAAAGCGGGCAAGACATCTCACAACTTGTTTTTAGGGCGTAGAGGCGTAGAAAAGGAACATTGTCTTGTTCTGAAAAAAAGCCACACTTCTTAGTACGGCTGGTACTATATGTACCAATGTATAATACATGGCGCTGTGTATTTGAGCCGGAACTGTTCTATTACGTATCATGTAGGAGAGGGAGAAGTATGACGAAACGGCCGTACGTATGTACGCTGTTCCATCACATACCTCATAAGAGGAGAAGCCGCCATCGATATTGGTGGGAGACCGGAATTAAGTACGTATCGGTACCTGCACGGTTTCACACCGTGCTTCATCTTCCTAGGAGTACCTTATTGATGAAGCCCCATCGATCCGCTAGAGTGTTATTCGTCAAATAGAGGCGTGTCATGGGTACGCGATAAACCCTTGCTGTTTACTACTGGACGCAGTGAACGGTCCAAATGGCAAAACGGATGCTCTGTGCTGAGCTGGCATTGACTAAAAGCAGGGTGAGATCCCGACCCACGCGTCTCTATTTTCCTAACTGAGTGGCTGTCGTTTCTTTTATGTACTCCGGTACCTGCCATCTTGATAGGGTAGGTAAAGTTGTCTTGGCTTATGATGGTTCTCATCTCAGCATCGTTGGATGCTTAGTCTTTTCATCCTACCTACGAAGATGACATGCGTGCACAGTAATAAAATTGTGAAAGGCGGGATTCGTCTGATGGATATTTTCTGCTATAAGTATTGATAGGCGATGTATTCTGTATATAAAACTAAAAAAAATCCATCGTGATCAAAGTAGGGTAAGGGTTGGGTGGTGATGCAGAATTCGCCTTATTGTATATTTCCAATAGCGTGATACTGTGTGCTTTTATCCCATCCTAGCCTTGCCTCTAACCATTAGAGTGTCTTTCGTCCGCAGTAGCGTGATATCCAACTATGTAATAGGTCTCATCTTCACCGTGACTTTGTTTAGGGGCGGAAATGGCTGCCGGACGTTTGATTTTAGTGATCCTGTTCCTAGAAATACAGTGAGAGCGTCCCGTATACACACTATATACACTGTATACGACGGCGTATCCGGGTGGTTGTTTTATGCAATTGTCGACAATCGCTTCCGAACAAACATAACCCAGTTCTAACCCAGTACTTGAGGGATTCTCTCAAACGTGTTGGTTTTACTATGTAAAGGAGGGTATATGAGATGTACTGCTGATTTCATCATAAGACGGTAGAGTGTTGATTGTATCTAAATGGGAAAATAAGATCATTGCTAATTAAACTAAAAAAAGGGGAATCCACTCGAGCTGTAACTCACCAAAATTTTTCTCTCTTTCTATTTTATACCCCTGACCCTAAGCGTAAATTGCTAAGATTGGCTCTGATTGCCTGAACGACCCGACGTCTATGTTCATGGATGACTAGCGAAATTGGCGTTCGTTATGCTCCCCGGGGAACTTTATTCATGCTAAGGCTTCTAAGGTTTCCCTTTCGTGCCGTTAGAGCTCCTCCCCCTCTCCTTAGGTACCTCTGTATCCTTTCCTGCCCCTTCCTGACCAGTACCAGCCTAGCGTGAGGGAAAGAACCTGTCAAACCACCTTTGAAATCACTTCAATCAGCCAATCTAGCAATTCGTCCATTCATTCGAACTCCCAATCCCATCCCATCCCATCCGACCATTCAATTCAACCCTCGCCTTTTTTCTCGTTTTCCCTTTTTTCTCTCACTCTTTTTTCTTCAATCAATAATTCAAAACTTTCGTTTTCAAGTTCACATACAGGAGGAATTCATATGCGCAACGATAAATTTGGACCAAGAATTGCTACCAGTTTTCTTAGCCCTTATTGCATCGTTGATTCCTCACACCCGCTACATAGATCTCACTTGGGTTCGTTTATCTCGCGACGGTAATCCCGTTACTAGAACAAGATACAACGACTTGTAGCAACAACAACCAGTGCAGTTAATCGTTCAAGGAGGCCTGTTAAACAGATTCGAAGAAAGAAGACGACAATAATAAATTCCAATCATCAGAACATTTTGCCTTTCACTCATTTTTTTTTTTGACAAATTTCAAAACGAAAATCGTCAATCCGTCACTCCCTTGAATCCGACACAGCGACCACTAATACGCTAGCAAGGAGTGTGCAGTATTTCCAGAAGCTCAGTCCCCTACAACATCAGCTTGGACCAACGCCGACCCGCACCCCGACATACTGGTTCCCATCACCCCTTGTCCCTTTTTAATTATTCAACCGACCTATTAATCCATTCACTTCCTGCTCATTTCCTCTCTTATGTCCCATCTTCTGCATATCATCCCGTTATTCCTTTCCGTCTTAGTTTAGATCGTGGTTTGTTTCTTTCGATTTCACTTTGAGCATCTCGTCCCCAGCGTCCGGAATCAAACAGTCCTATCGATTCGAACGTCCTGCTGTTTGTTTAAACGATCTCGCCCAAACTGAATGCACCGATACACCAGTGTAGCTCTTAAATAGAGCTATCTAGAGGATAAAGAGACTGTACAAGGGAAGGTTGTCATACCCTCTCTGTGTCAGTAGGATCGGGAAGAGGGCAATCAGACCATTAATACCGAAGGCTCCTTTTTACACAATGGTCGTGACACATGATTCCCATCGGGGGTCCTCGACATCCCAAGGAGTTGTCGGATTTGCTCTCGAGGACCGATTTGAAGTACTGAAGGAAATTGGAGATGGAAGTTTCGGCAGTGTAGCTCTAGCAAGAGTGAGGACTGCTGGTGCTGCCGTTGCCCGTCGAGGCACCGTGGTATGTTTTGTGGTAAATGATTGGGCGGGACGCGAGACTAACTATGATTCTCTAGATTGCCATCAAGACGATGAAGAAGACATTCGAGTCGTTCACACCATGCCTCGAGCTCCGAGAAGTCGTCTTCCTGAGGACGTTGCCGCCCCACAGTCATTTAGTCCCCGCACTGGATATATTCCTAGATCCATTTACTAAGAAGCTTCATATATGTATGGAGTACATGGAGGGAAATCTGTATCAACTAATGAAAGCCCGTGATCATAAATGTCTTGACAATGGAAGTGTCAAGAGTATCCTCTACCAGATCATGCAGGGCCTCGAGCACATCCACGCTCACCAATTTTTCCATCGCGATATCAAGCCCGAAAACATATTAGTTACGACATCCGGTCATCAAGATTCCGCCAATTCATTCAGGCGGTATTCAGCCCTGATGACGCCGCCTTCAACACCCCCGACGTACACTGTAAAGATTGCAGATTTTGGTCTAGCACGAGAAACCCATTCCAAGTTACCTTACACCACATACGTATCAACCAGATGGTACCGAGCCCCGGAAGTATTGTTACGAGCTGGCGAGTATTCCGCACCGGTAGATATTTGGGCTGTCGGTGCCATGGCAGTGGAAATTGCTACTTTGAAACCCTTGTTCCCAGGAGGTAATGAAGTAGACCAAGTTTGGAGGGTTTGCGAGATCATGGGTAGCCCTGGTAACTGGTACAACAAGGCCGGTGCTCGAGTTGGTGGCGGAGAGTGGAGGGAGGGAACACGACTAGCTGGGAAGCTCGGTTTCTCATTCCCCAAAATGGCGCCGCACTCGATGGATACGATACTGCAGACGCCTCAGTGGCCTACATCCCTGAGCCAATTTGTGACTTGGTGTTTGATGTGGGATCCTAAGAGTCGCCCTACATCGACTCAGGCATTGGCCCATGATTACTTTACCGACGCTGTTGATCCATTAAGGCCTAAGTCGTCGGCATCTAGAATTTTGGGGCGCAAACAATCTGATATAGGACGTGGGAAAGACGGTAGCTCCGCGACACCAACCTCATCAAAGCCCTCATGGTTCAGGAAATCGTTAATCGGTCGCAATGACAGCACGGACAGTTCGGCGGCGCAGGTTAGCGTGAAGGATATAGTTGCGGCCCCACGCCCATCACCAATCCAGTCGCCGGAAGCAAACGAAATTCCGGCCGTTAAAACTAGACCAGCCGCCGGTAAACGAACTACGTGGACTAATGGCCCTTCGAATGTCGCTCCTATGCCGATTTTGCCTACGATCCGGCCTATTTCGCCCTTATCAGATGCTGTGACTGCGCAAGCATCGAATCGAACCCCTCGTTCGGATGAGAAAGGTTCTAAGAAGATTGGCCGACAACTTTCTGTAGCATCAAGCACAAGCCAATATGCTGAAATGCATCGACAACAGGCCGAACGAGCCCTGAACGGCAACAGTGGGCTGGCATCGCCCCCAAGCGGCCACAAAGAAAGTTTCTTTTCTCACCTACGTAAGAGAGCAAGAAGATTTTCCGGTAGACATCAGACTCCCGTCTCACCTGCATATGAAGATATTGAAGCACAAGCTGGCTGCGGTCCGTGGGCTAGCAATAGGTCCTCGATGGTTATTGACCAGCACGGATCAGCAGCTAAGACCGACAACTACGAATCGCTAGACCGGACTCTACGAGACCCTCACCACAATGCTGATTTAAGTACTCCCGCCCCACCCATCCATATGACTGCATCGAGTGGTAATCTTAAGCGACACCACTCATTGCCGCATCAGCAACCCAGGTCCGTTGATAATCTAATCGGAGCCGCCCGAACACCCGGACCAATTTCTAGTAGAACGAGAAGGGCCCAAGCAACTCACGGTGTCCAGAGCGATGCATTGGATGAAGAGGATGAGCTCCTCGATGAGGTACTCAACTCTACCCATAAGGCGATGAAGCGACTTGAGAAGGATGGGAAAACCAATCTTCGGCAATCGGCTAGCAATCTTGGACTAACGAATCCCTACCCGACTCCGTCGCCATCGGCCAGTGGGAATGTTGTCCTATTCGGGGATGGACATGAAGCTCTAACGCCCAAGCCTTTAGACTTACACAAGAACTCTGGGAGGGATGGCCAGCACAAGTGGCCAACTCCCCCATATGAAGAGAGTGAATGGGCTTCTTCGGCGGCTGCAAGCATTTGGGCAGCCGGTAATAGGTTTTAAAAAATAACTGATGGCGGTGATTGTATCAATTCTTCCTCATGGCATGGTGTTAGGGGTTGCTTTTGCGGGTTCAAGGAGTCTAGGGCATTATATCAGCACTCTTTTTCCAGCATACTTCTCTCAATCTTGGCTCGATTTCTGTTCATGGATCTAGGGCCCTTGTTCGACATTTGATTCCTTCCGATTCAGCGATGTCTCAATCTCAAATCCCAAATACCCCAAATGCTGGTTTACGGTTCAGACCAGCTAATTTCGTGTTTTCGGCCACCTTATCTTCGAGAATACCCAGTATAGATTTGAATTTTTTTGCCAGGTTTCAAAAGGGCGTGGTCCCAAATATGAGATGATTCCCTTTGTTAGATGTGGATGGCCCACAGGCACGCTTATTGCGTCCGACGGCAGAAAGATAATAAGGGATATATGTGGTCACCGAGAGGATTGAGTCACAGTTTGGTCGGGATTTTAGGGCAAGCACAACAACTGTACAAAGAAAAAAAAGATCTGCATATTTCTATTTGGTTTTTTCGAGGCGGCAACTCGAGGTGGTAGCAGGATTTAAAGTTTAGAAGTTATCTGGAGGCTTGCCACCCCAAGTAGTTTGTCATATATGGTGCAGCAACTGGAGGAAGTGTTTATATATATGCAGCACTATTTATACCACATGGGCACTGCCTTAGCCTATAATCAACTCACATGACACAATTATCCAACCTCACAATATTCTTCGAATCCTTCAAATCGAGTGAAAACTACACTTTAAGTACATTGAGTTTGTGAAGATGTAGCAGTTGCGATATCTCAGGGCGAGATAGTAAGCCGAATAGGTGGTGCCGGTATGGTGGGTGAGCGGGTCCGCTAGTTGTAGGTAGAGTTTGAGAATCAGCCCTAAACGAGTTGTTACGTCGGTACCTTGAATCCTACTTATAGGTACTAGGTAGGGTACATTCCGAATATTAGAGACATGCATAGCTTTGGTTCAGGCAGCAGAATAAATCTGATCGGATCGGCTAGAACTTCGTATATTTTTTTCCAAAAAGCTGCTGCCTTCTGTCAATTGATGCGGCAGAGTTATCTGACAATAATTTAAAAGAGAATATATGACATTGTGTCCTTTCTCATTTGTTAGCTTTGGAGATTTTGAAGATATCTGACAGGTACCTAATACTTGTTGTACTTGTACAGGTAAAAGTATACGACCAGCGAGCAGATTCATTCAGCCCCCCGCAAGTGCATATCGGGGATCGAAGCGGCTGTGCTTGCAGCTGCGACTCCGCGCTTCAACTTTAACTTGGCCATACCTTACCTTATTGACTTTCTTATGATGACCCCTTTCTTTCCTTTTTTCTAAATTTCCGACACCGTTGCTCTCTTAAACTGTCTACTCCGCACCGGCGCTTCATATATTTTCAATAACGTACTTATCCTCGAATCTACGCTTATGTGAGGAGAGCAAGACGGTGAAGACTAGAGATAACCATTGACATATATAGGTATCTATACCTTATATATATATATGAGTGGGTATTTACATTGAACAACAAATCAAAAAGTGGCGGCATCATGAACATCAGCCTTCCTACTCGATCATCGCCGAGTCTTAGGAATCAGGCTAGTAGGAATTACTTCACCAACTACACACCACCATCATCAACAGAAGCCGTCAATGGCCCGGTACGTGAGCCCGCAAGGGGGCTCATGCCCATCAATGACCGCCTTATAGTCGGCGTCGATTTTGGTACCACATTCTCTGGGTGAGTTCGGCTTCTTGCCACCGTCTAGACTCAACACAGATGCGGGGACATATACGAGCAATTACGAGTTGGTACATTGTGGCTCTATTTCCTTGTGTCTACTGTGTGGTTTATCGAATTTCTCCTTTACATACTATGTACTTTACATGATAGTATTCGTGGCTTGGATACCGTTGCACAATCAACGAGGCGCTAACCAGACCAATAGAGTAGCGGCGGTATATACCTCGACACCAGATGACGTCGAGATTATTAAGACATGGCCGGGTGGGAATGGCATCACATCTGACAAAGTTCCCACAGAAATCACTTACGACTTTCCGCCAAATTCGACTCCTGAGACCAAACCCAACGTCAAATGGGGTTTCCAATTTAAGCCCGAGGAGTCGCGGTTACGATGTATCAAGCTTTTCCTCGACCGGTCACAGAAACTACCATTCTACGTCAGTCCGCAGGAGACCGCCACCCAGCTTAAGAAGTACAATAAAACGGTCATAGATGCGGTTAGCGATTACCTTACCGAGATTTACAAGCACACGATGGACACACTCACTCGGCGATACGGCGAATCGTTCATGGCGTCAACTAATGTGGACTTTGTTCTCACTTGTCCTGCAGTATGGTCTGATGCTGCAAAAAATGCAACGCTGCAGGCTGCTGAGAGGGCAGGGATGGGTCTTAAAGCGGATATTCAGATAATTAGCGAACCCGAAGCTGCTGCTGTTTATACTCTCAAGGCTATTCAACCAAATCATCTCAGCGTAGGAGATAATTTTATTGTTTGTGATGCCGGCGGCGGAACGGTAGAGTCAGTGATCTTTAAAGCTTACCAGCGCGTACTCAGCTAACAACTAATTCAATCGTGTAGCTTGATCGCATATAAAATAATGTCACTGAAACCTCTTAAAGTAGAGGAATCAGCTGTCGGGACTGGCGGCCTTTGCGGGAGTGCGTTTTTAAATTACAGGTTCGAAGAACATGTTCGAGGAAGACTCGGTCATAGCAAGTTCGAGGAGATGAAGACGAAAAAGGGCAAGACGTGGCAGATGGGTCTTCGATATTTCGAAGAATTCGTGAAGAGGAATTTCAACGAAGACGAGTATCAGGAAGTCAATGTCCCGTAAGTACCTACTTCCGATTCTACCTACCCCTGAAAGTCGTCCGCTCATAGCCCATAGATTCCCAGGACTTCCCGATGACGAAGAAGCACGGATAGATTCGGGATTCCTTGTGATGACTGCCGATGAGGTCAAAGGGATCTTCGAACCTGTTGTCAAAGAAGTATGCGACCTAGTCCAAGGTCAGGTAGATGGCCTCCGTAGCAAGGGAGGGATCGTGTCAGGCATCATACTAGTCGGTGGATTTGGCCAGAGTGACTATCTTTACCGACGACTGAAAGCGCATTTCACGAGCGCGGCCCCTCCCCCGTATACGGAACGACCGACCCATGCGGCCAGCGCTGCCGCCGCTCTTGATGGAAATGGGAACATCGAAGTCATGCAGCCCGTATATGCCTGGACGGCCGTGGTTCGTGGTGCCGTACTACGTGGGCTCGAGGGAAACATGGTTATCAGCAGGAAGGCACGCATGCATTACGGAACGTCCTACGCGACCGTCTACGATGAAGAGAAACATGACGTGAGCGAACGGTACTGGAGCCCCTTGTGGGAGCGGTGGATGGTCAGCGACCGAATGCAGTGGCATATAGCTAAGGTGAGTCATACTATCGACATATCACGTCTCAGTCCTTTTCACATCTTCTTACTCCATGACACACAACATCATATCCTATCCCATCTTACCTTATTTATCGTAATGCTAATCCTAAATCAGGGCGAAGCCATATCTCCTCTATCACCCATCGCCTTCCACTACACACGCAACTTCCGGCCGGGGCAGTCGCTCGTAGTCACAGACGACTTGATCGCATGCGAGGCAGACGAGCCCACAGCCGCGTATTCAAGGGAACTAGTGCACGTGTGCACACTTACCACGGACCTAAGTGCAGTCCCGAGAAGCCTGTTCACGAGACTGACGACGACGAGGGGCGTCGAGTTCGATAATCTCGATTTTACACTTGAGATGATCGTCGATAGCGCGGGCTTGAGCTTCGAGTTGAAGGTCGATGGAGTTAGGTACGGGCGGGTCGAGGCCGAGTTTCACTGATGTTGGGTGAAGATATGATGTTGCATAGGTGCATGATCTAGTGAAAAGAGACGGTGTAATTAATGGTAGTTGATATAGCGAAGGGGGTGCATTATGTATAGCAACCGCGTATAGGTGGTTATTTAAATTTCAATACCTGCTTCTAGAGCGAGTTTAAGGTCTGTTCACCAGATAATTCACCGACGGTGTCCAATCTCTTCCCTAGAGGAAAGAACCACTACGTTTAATAAGTATCAAAACGAGACGGAGGTCCCCGTATCGGAGCCGGACGGGACCCGCGAATACTTGTCCTGAGTCGGTCCTTCCTCCCGATAGGGGGCATTGATCCGGATTCGATGTCCTTGATATGTAGGCAGCAGGGAGATACGGGAGTTAAGTTGGAGATTTACACAGGGGAGGCCTCCGATTCGCCCCTCTCATCTCCGGACTTTCAAGTCCGAAGAGGGGCAGTTTTCGTTCGTTTTCCCCAATCTTTATCCGCTTTAACATTTACGGGCTTGATATCTACCTAGTTATTTCGTCACTCGTCGTTCCCTGGTATTTTGTGGAAATTACAATCTAGGCGATGTTCATGCTTACCTATAAAATCCATCCATTGATCGTAGCAAGGGGGAGAGGGAGGAACCATAAATTCGGCTATCTACCCATCCATTGGAGAGCGAAGGGGGGAGGGAAAACGAAATACCCACGTCAGCTTTTTCGGAGACCGCTGAGTGGCTGGCTGTGCAAACAAGGCAACCGTCCGCCTTTTTTTTTTCAAGAAGAAAATTAAATAGGTCTGACGCACCCGGCGACGGTCCCCACGGCTTACGCCCGTACCATTGGAAATGGGGTCTGAGCCTGTCTATCTTGCACCGATGGGGATTGGAGAGGTCAGATTTACTTTGCATCCCGAAGGGCGTGCGAAGCGGGGGATGGTCTTTGTTCGATGTTAGTTATGTAGGTAGGTATGTTGGTCTCTCTCCGCATCGAGAGGGGATTTTGGGGAAGGGGGGGATAGGTACTGTGTATATAGAGCCAGGGGAATCTTGAGCTTATCCTTTATTTTTCTCGGTCGGTAAGACTGTCTTCTATAGAGAAACTATTTCCTGTTTCATTTTTACGGCATCTATAACTAGTCGAGTGAAAGAGTTTTAGGCAGGTACGTATACGTTTAGCTATGTAGATGGGTAGCTATCGCGCCGGGTGCGACTAGAAAAGGGGGTTAAAGGCACAGGAGAAGAACCAGGGAATGCATTCATATCTTATATATAGGTAAATCTACAAAACCCTACGATATCAATGCCTGAAGACGCCCTGGAAGGTATTCTGTATTGTACCAATAAGACTAGATAACGTTCCGCAGGTGCGACGTCGCCACCAGAGTATCCTTATGTTAGTAAATGTGACTAATCGTGCTCCGGTATAGTGGCACGGGAAAGGAGACACATCATTTAGGCTACTAGATTCTTCTTGTCAAATGTCAATTTTAAGTTTTCACATCTAGCGAAGCAGAAATGTGGTTGGTTAGGAAAATTCCAAAGGCGAGTAAGTAGAGGAGGCGAAGCAAGGCAGCTTCGCCACCACGGCACGACGTACGCATATCCGTTCGAGCAAAGTTGCGGTGAGAGAAGAGGGACGATGTGTTTTAATAATCGAGTATAACTAACAGAGATATAAAATAGATACTATCATATTCTCCCTGCGTTTGCGCCACGCTGTGGACCCTTTTAAATAACATTCTTCTGGGTCACTTATCATTTCATCATGTTCATCGTTCAGTTATTCGTTCATACAGCCGCCCAAAACGCCTCAAGACTGTCTGGCGGTCGGTCTCGTCAATGCTATAGGAAATTCATAACGTCATCAAGTATAAAGAGAAGAGCGCAGCCTTGTTGGATCATGATGGGTGTCTCATGCGATGGTCCGTCCGCTCAGCGGCTCTCCGCACCAGTCGAGCACCATACGCCCGGAGTACCTTTCCATAAATCTGCATACCCCAGACACCATATAATAGCAAGCGAGTCAACCGACAAACCAATCGCCGGCGCCCTCACATATCCTCTTGCAGGGCTTGTGTCGCATCAACAACGCAAATGTGGGCAGTCTGGGCAACCTAAGGGGAACTGTAAGGCTGAATGAAGTGCGAATCTGCCTTGCCGATCCCCCATGCATGCTGCAGTGGAAGGGCGCTTCCGACTTGCATTCGAGGTATAATGAGACGGGATTCTCTTCATAGTAGAGAAGGCCTCATAGCCAGGGTATGTGAAAAGAAGTAATGATAAAAAGACATATTATAACAAGAAATGACAATCAAACAGCAGAAACGAGACAGAAACAAGATATCGAGCTCATTTAATATTGAACCGGGATCAGGACCGAGGCCAGGGTGTTGACCAAAGGAGCATAGCAAAACGCACATCGGTTGTCTAGCCGAGCATCCATGGCGACAGTGCGGCTCTGCTTAGTTCGCGAACCATTTTCGTGTGTTCATGTGTGCATGTGGGTATGCTGGGCGCTTATAGCCTTACTCCCTCCCCTCAATTCGCCGCCGCAAACGGCGATTGATTTTGCCTTTAAGGAAGTCATCTCTTCCTTCTATCTTTCTTCCGTTGCCTCTCTTCTTTAACATGATCTATTTGAACCATATTCGAGCGTTCCGCTTGCTGGCGCCTCTCTGGCGGTACAAAGCCGGAGGTGAAAATACCAATCATATGATCACGGGGGCATGGCAGCCCATGATATGCCCTCTTGATTTCATTAAACCGTTGCTCTGAAATTAATCTATGCTTGTGCAAGTGATCAAGCATATGAAAATCCGGAACCATGTCGAGAGCCGTCTTGCCATCTGCGATATGGCTGCGAATATGCTCCATCCTATTATAGAAATTCGCTAGACGGTCACCGCGAGGTCCTCGAGAATCCTTGCTGTCGAAAGAGTACTCGTTGCAGAACCAACAGTCTACCTTTTGGGGAAGCTTGTTTTGAAGATGGTCGGAGATGATGTGGTTGATCCACGCCTCTGTATCTTCGTAATGAAATTGGACATCACAACTCCCTATTCCAACGAATTCGCATGGCAAAGGGCATGTCCCAGGTGGCGGGGGTTGTAACATGTTATAGGCGTCTTCACTATAATTGGTGTACTGGGTAGCTACCGTGTAGTTGCTATCGGTTGACGCGGCGTACCCGGCGTACGACGAGTATCCGGTACCATTAGAGCCAACAGAAGCGGAACCAACTGACTTAGCAGGCCGGGACATGATGTGTGATGATGAGGAGTAGGGGGGTAGGAGGGCAAGGGTCGAGGTCAACGTCGAGACCGGGGTCAAGATCGAAACGATATGATGCGAATAGGTGCTGACGGTACGGATGCGGGCCGATGACGGTATCAACACAATGGTCCGAACCAGACAGATACGAAGTCAATTTTGAATTATTGCGACAAAAGCCGAACACCAACAGTGATATTGGCGGCCTATCAGGTGTAGCGGTGGGGGGGACAGGATCCGATGGAGATATACGGGCTTCGGACTAGTTGCTTGCAAGTTACAACTAACGCTATACTTCTCCAAAGCCCCTCGGCCTCTGGTCAGCAATGGTATCGCTAACAGACTAAGAGACTAATGAGGATCTTTAGGAGAAACCGGCTGTTAGTTAATGGCTTTTGCTTTTTCGAAGGGTGTAACGATATGATCTTCAAGATGGATAATGAATAGCTTAGAGCCAAGCTGACCCACTTAGCTGCAGAAACCGAGTCGCAGCAAGTTGTGGTAGTAACCCCAAGCCTAAGTGAGACGATTAGGGAAAGGGGGGGAAGGACAAATTTGTCTAAGGTGGAATTTGGGTAAAGGTAAGTTTGGTCCTCTTCCCAATTCTATAAATCCCGACAGAAACGACTGAGATTTATATTTATTAGTTATAAAGAAGACGAGTCGCAACAATTTGGTGTCGATGAGGGGCTCGGCCTTCCGGGGGTCATCAGTCTTCAAATACCAAATAACCATTCCTTACCTGATGAACCAGCAACATTTGATGTTGTTTTTCTGGCAGGGGTAGTATGTTGTATGCTGTATGTATGTATACATACACACGGCCTATTATGTCCACTTATTACCAAAATAATGGGCTTTTCAATCAAGCACCCCGGACTGGCACCCACCATTTTGCTTCTTGAGTGTGCATCCAACCCTCCAGCCCGACAGGTGCTTGCTGCTGCATGATTACTTCCATCATCCAAATCTGACCAGCAGAATGTTTAGCGAGAAGTGCTGCAGCTACGCTATCTAGGCGTGCACGTTTCGCTGCTCGGATAGCAGTGAAACCCGTACACTCGAAAAACGCGACGTCTTCTTGGGCCACAACTACCCGACACGCGATCCGAAGATCGGCAGTCTCGCGGAAGCGGCGTGCAAGGAAAATATTAACGGCAACTAATCCTGCCTTCCGGGGGGCTTGCTTTAAGTCTGGCCAACTCATCCCATTCCTTGCCGGGGAGTGGTGGGGAATCGAGTCGATGCCTAGATGATGGGAACCAACTTCAACTCCCGTACCAATCAACCTCGCTCCGAGCTACAGGAAGTGGGTTGTCGTGGGGGATACCTAGGTAGGACCATAGGAGTCATCTGAGTCGAAGCAGGTTGCTATACGCATAGAAAGGCCGTGCAGAATATTCGTCACGCTTTTTACTCTGGTACTTGCGGCTCCTTCTTCTCCGTATCGGCAGGCAACTGACGCGCTCTCACATACTTACTCCGCTCTGGAATACCTGGGTAAGTAGTTCCGGCTTGGTACACAACTCGTCTGCCGTAACCAAGACATATCTCTATCAGATTTGAGATCCCGCCCGATCATTCGCGTCTCAAGTGTCCCATCTTTGAGAGGTATACTACCTAACGTTTATTCAGTTTCGTACCCGTCAAATTCCTGATTCGCCTGTCAGGTCGGGGGTGATTGTGTTTTTTTTTAAAAAAAAAAGCCCAGACCTCAGAAGTCGGTTGACGTCGCGTTTCCTGGTATGTTGGAAGCATTCCTTGTCGTTATAACAACCTTCTATCTGAAAGTTGCTGTTACGTTTGGACTATCATTAGGCACGTATGTATAATATACTAGCGTGTGATTTAGGCAGTCCCGGGTTCAAACCCCAGTTCGCTAGCCAATGTCACATACTTACTTGCCTTACGAGTTAACCCGCCAGCTCTGAAGAGCTGTATCTGTATTGTTTCCCTGGTCAATCCCCGGAGCTCATATAGGCTAGGCAGCCAGACCACGAAATCTATATGCCAAGCATATGACCGCGAAGCTAATAAGCCTAGGAAACGGCAAAGCGTTCCGTGTAATACAGATGTCGATCCGGTGGTCAGACACAGACAGCACAGAAGGTTTAAGTTGCATAGTAAGCGGGACATTGCTAGACCGGTGAAGGCAGAAGTGTCCAGTCGTTGCGAGTGGGTGTTCGTTTCGTTTCGTTTTCTTTTTTTTTTTTTTGGCGATTAGGTGAGAGAACATCCATGACAAACATCCTATAATGAATATTTGGATCCGTAGGGGGCAGAAATATGTAATGCACGCTGTATGAGCCAATAAGTGAACAGGCTTACACGCATCCCACAACTTCTTTAATAGGCTCGACCCGTAGGGGGAAACAGGATGATTCAATTAAAGAGATGGCAGCACTCCATTCGTCAAGCAGAGCCTCATTTGGGGGAGGGAAGAGGGGAGGGGGGGATTTCCCCACTGGCACTGGACTCAAGTCCCCTCCCCTCGGTCCCATTCGATTTTGTTGCTGCTCGATTACCCCCCCAAAGTCATCCACCTCCGCACCTCCGCAGTTGGGCAGTCTGGGACGTGGCGCTCAGACTCAGGTTGATTGCGCGAGCCTTTAGATTAGTCGAGACTCTAACAATTCATTGGATACTTGCTTATACATCCCATGTAATTGTGTCTGTGCCCGCGTGCCTGCTGTACGCGTTTTAACTTCCCGATATCAAGATGCGTCTTTTGTATGGCAAAACATGGGACGCCACATCCAAAGATGAAATCTTGTTCAGACCACTCGAGTTAACTCGAGCTATCTCGATAAAAATGTTAAAGTCACCGCCATTTTAACTCCCTCGTTTCCTAGTAAGGTAGTTCGTTTCATTCGGGTGTGCAAAGTACCCTAGCTTTTGCCACTACGTTCGTGAACTGCGGGTGGCCGCCGTTCTCGTCTCCTTTTTTTATGATGCCGGGGAAAGTCACACAACATATCTCGCGTCCTGACAGACTCTCTTCATCTTCAGCTCCAATGTCCTCCATGGTAGATGCCTCGAAGAAGGTTCTTTGATGAGGGAGAACTTTAGGCATATAGATATTGAACGTTGCTTTCTGAACCACCAGGAGGCGTGCTAGTTCGACGGCGCCGTGTACCAGAGTACGAAGTGCATGATCCCGGGAATCCGTTGCGTTGGCATCTGTGATCGCATCTAGAATATGATTGACCTTGGAGATTACGGATTCGATCGCTAGTGTCGTTTCTTCCTGCATCCTCCGAGTGGCCTCCTTTCGGAGCATGGTGAGTGTTGTTGCACGCCATTGGTTCACTTCTTCGATTGAGCCTACCAAAGGGTCAGATATGTCCCTAATGCAAGCCTAATGGTACTCACTAAGTGACGCAAGATATTTCTCAACCTGAGCCAATTGGTCGGCTTGATCTTTGGGAACACCAACGAAGTAGGCGTTAAAGATACTCTCCACCAGGATGCTAGAAATCACATTCTGCAAGAGATGCACCTTTGCCGACGATGCAAGCTCCTCATACATGGGAGCGAGTTCGCCAAGGTCTTGTATGATCGACTCGTCAATACGAGTGAAATCTACGTCATAGTTAGTTCGTGGCGTTCAACCCGTACGCATAATCGAATCGAATCGTCCTACCAAGTTTCGCTCGCCTGAAATGTACGATAACCCAATTCTGCAAGCCATTCCCCAGCTTTGTCATGGAATCTCCGAACTCCTCATCGCTCGTTTGGTGACCCCTGGCGGTACTGGTGCTGACCCACTGTTTGAGACCGGCGATATGGCCCTTTAAAGACCGTATTTCGTCGTCGCGTTCTTTTAGCTCCCTTCGTAGAATTTCCCATCCCTCGCGTAACTCAGCCCGTTCAGCTTCTCTCACATCAACCTCGGCTCGTAGTAATTGAAGCTCTGTTTCAATTCGTGTGAATTGCTGGTTTAAATTCGCATGCTTTGCCTGCCAGAAGCTTGCCGTCTCGCCTTCCCTTTGGCAGAGCTTCTCTAACTCTCGGGTGAACTCCGCCTCCATAATAGTAAGTTCCCGTTTCAACTCTGCGATCTTGTCATCTTTTTCCTTGAGGAGGATGCTCTCCTTCTCCTTAGCAGACAGCGATGTGCCATTGTCTTTGCTTCCCGACGTCGTGGCTTCGTGAATGCTGTCGTTGTCCGGGCCGTGCGAAGACGACGAAGTTGAAGCTGCACGAGTGAGCTGCGCACGGGGAGGAGGAGAGATTATACTGTTTCGTGACGAAGCTGAAGAGCGTAAGGCATGGGGATTTCCCCGCCGTTTTTCAGGTGGGCTCATTGCCGTGGTTGCGGTCAAAAGATGTTGTTTGTCGGAAGAGAGTTTAAAATTAGAAGTTTCAAGTAGACGGGACGCATCGTCTAGTTGCCTAATTATTATTCTTACTTCATACATGGAAGTCCACATCAGCATTCAATCAGCGATACGGAAGGAACAATTGGCATCGGCAGCTGCTTGAGGCTGGCGCAGCTCAGCCCAGTGGATTATCGGCGGCTTAAGTTCGGGTCTATGTACTTGTACAACCTTACAGCCATACAAGAAGTATATATACATCCGATTCAGCCATTCTTGACTTTCAATGTTTCTTAAATATGTACCTAGGTATGCACTTCTAATGTTAACTAACAAGCTCGGAATGAAGAACTGAAGGAGGATGCTAATTAAATAGCTAATTGCCGTTAATCTAGATCAATTTCCGCTTCGATTTCATATGCTTCATCGCCATCCTCTTGCTTCTTTGCGCCCATCCTGCAAATCGCAATCTTCTCCACGGGTACGTCTTCCATCCATACAAAATCATCATATCGATCTAGTATCCCGCATGCGTCGATCAAAAGCTTCTCTTTGCGCCCCTTCTTCCTCCCCTTGACGTAAACCGTGTTCAGGATAGTGGCGTGTAGCAATAATGGTCGATTTTCAACGGCCATTAATCCCGCCTCCTGGAAGGTCGACCGCAGGTCTTCACAAAATCGTTGCAGGGTCCCTTCAGTGTCACTTGGCGATGCATAAAGCACGGATGTTTTGGACGCCGACGGCTGCATTGAATGTAGACCTCTCAACGTTAAAGACAACAAAGGTGGCGGCGATCCACTCGGTTCTTTCGTCATGCCGGCCGAAGTGGCTTCAGCTACTTTAATACTAGTCAATATACTCCTAGGTACTAGTGTCTTCAGCAACGCCACGGCCTTTTCGAGGCCTTCGTCCTTTGGGAAGCTCATGACACCGATTGTCAAGTGAAGTGTGCCAAGTGGTCGGACGGCTTGCTCAGGTATGGCAAAGCTATCTGGGCTAGTCACATCTGCACTAAAAGCCGATAGACTTGCTGAAAGTTGGTGGCGAGACGCCCTGGTAACAAGTGGTATGCATAAGAAATGCGTAGGTGACGGCAGGGGCGGCATGTTGAATGCTCAACGCGCTGTGAGAAACCAGAGTTTAGGGAAAGGTGTCTGAAAAGGGTGTAACTTCGGCCTATAAAAGCTGACGAGACCCCCAAACTTGACCGATGGAGAATTAGAAAGAAGGAAAAGAATAGGTTGTTGAACTATAATCAATAAGGATAAAATCAATGCTCGATAAGCAGATAAAAGCTAATACCTAAGTACCTATCTGATATATAAAAATAATTAAGGTAGTTGAGAACAAGTAGTTTCGGGTTTAAATGTCAATATAATACTAGAGCAAGAAGTACCAGGCTTTAGATGATAGAATGGTAAAGAAATGTTCACGTGCAATCCACCAGTTAGAAAGCTGGAATGATTCGTCTCCATATTATCCAGTATCTAATCGGTTTTGAAGTTCAAGCACAGACTCATAGATATGCAGATTCATGACTTAATCACTTTATTACCGATCCTCCAAAGCTTAGGTTCGAATATTGCCTAACATTTCACCATAGGACTAGGATCGTATTCAAAGTCACTTCAGATCTGCAAACGGATAGCCTGCATTAGCCGTATACGGATAAACAAGCACCCATGGTCTCTGCGTCACAAGGCGAGCACGGGCGGGATGACGTAGGAAGATACGTCAAGATGCGCCGCTGTTGAACATCAGGAAATCCAAATCTGCGTATATTGCAATTTTGACACTCCTTTGCGATGTGTGGACGGTAGCATTGTCCACGAGGCTTCAGAGTAGAGGATTATAGGTGAAAGTTCGCGGAGGAGAAAACAGGTGTATTAGGGAGCGCGATATGTCTGTCCGATCGTGAGAAGCCTTTCGCTTCCTATGCTAGCCTAGATGATCGTACTTCGTATCGTTGCTCCCGGTGTGCGTGCATTTACCATTTGATCTGCCTGTAATAGAACCGTCCTAGAAAGTAAAATGCCCTCTACCTGACGATCGAGGTTCCGAAATACGAGAAGACAGGCGTGGGGGTATATTTTGAAGTCAACTGATGGATAGGTAATTTGTCGGCTGCCCTCCCTTCTCTCCGAAAACCTCGAGCAGCCGTCATTTCTCATGATGCTCGAAGCCCCTCGGTAATGGTCTCGCGCCTCGAGGAGGATCCATGCGATAATCATAGTCGCGAAGGTGGCCGCATAATACAACTCGAACTCAAACTGTAAATATCGTCGCGCATTTGCTGACTAGGTGGAATTAAAAAATTTCTTAAGCGTCTTCTCCACGTCGGCATATTCCGCCTTGACTGTCTTTAGCGTTTCCTTAATTCGGGAGAGACAGAGAGCCTCATCCGTCTCCGGGCTACCGTCGACATTTTCCTTCTTGCCGTATCGTTGGATTTTCTCGCAACTATCCTTAACTTTGGTCAAACCAAGAGTCGCAGAAGAACCCTTCAAGAAGTGGCCGAGTCGGTATAGCTCATCAAGGTTCTCTTCATCCCTAAAAAAACATGATCGGATTAGTCCGACGAATTGTTGATAGTAGATGAACCCGGATTGGAATTAAAAAAAAATGATGCAGTCAAATTGTTGTTAACTTTGTGGGCTCTTCAAAACTTACAGGGCAGTGTCCATCTTCTCAAATGTCTCTTCGGCCTGTTCGAAAAAGCCGTACACAATAGATTTACTGAATTCACGATCATCTTCACTGTCGTCCATCTCTAGAATCTGGCTGAAAGTCACGATATCGATCGCGTCCCCCAGGTCGGGCATGTTAGAGTCATGACCGTCATCGTTCTGTACAGGTCACCCATAGACGTCAGTTATTTGCCTAAATTTGGACTTTTTTGTCCCCGGTACTCAATTCTCATTCCATACCTGGTCGCTAGCAGCCATGGTGCTCGGCTGCGTGATGTAATGACTAGGCTTAAAAGATAGGGCTGGGTATAGAAGTTGATGTCGGCCGCGGTAATGAGGGACTCCTAAGACAAGTTGAACTCACGAATCGCAATGGATAGCAATGAGATTGTCTTGGAATAAGGTCGTGTGGGTGGTTTGAAAAAAAAAACCGCGACGACTTTAACCACTCTTAGTGTTGATCAAGAAGCCTTTAAGGTGGGGTCTATCGGTAGGAAGTGAACAGTGAAGGCAATGGGTAATGGTAATGAATTAATGGTATATGTAACCACGCAGCGCACAACGGATGATGGGGCGGCAGGTCACACAGTGTATGGGATTACTAGGTTGGTTCGCTCGTCGGCACCTATGCCGAATAATACTCTGAAATAAGACAGTGTACCGAGTTAAGTCTGGTGGTTTAAGCGGATGTTGGGAGGGAACGTGAAGTAGTAGGTAGTAGGCAGTAGGTATGTAGTAGGTATGGAGGAAGCAGAAAGGTAAGGTCTGGAAAGTCACTGGTAAAGAAATGGAAATAGTATTTGGCTGAAAGAGGTACTTCCTACCTGCACATGCAGATACTATGAGTCCGATTGTTATGGATGGTACATTGAAAATACGTGTGTCGTGGAAGGTGTTAGGCAGTTCAATCGCTGTGATCATTGACTTTCGACGTACCTTAGCGGTTCCCCATGCCAGGGCTAGTCAAGGGTTCCGGCTTCAATTAGACAACGTCACCGATGCGGGACCGTGCAACTTGCGTACATGTAGCTTGTACTAGGTAGTAGCTACCAACGCTAGTGCTAACTAGGCACATAGGGTACCTAGGGTACCTGCCTAACTCTAGTGACCTACGCGTAAATACCCAAATGGGAATTTAAAGTGACCCCTACCTTTCCTTCTTCCTATCAAAACTGTCAAATCAAATCAACACCTACAACACTCGAAAGCGAAAGAAAGAAGAGAAAGCAGATCATCGATAATTAGGTAACAAAGGAAAGAGAAAAAGGTAACCTTGTATGATCATCAACATTTCAACAGCTCTGAAAAGGGACGTAAATATCTAATGGTACTACTTACTCCTACGACAATATGAGATGTACCCAGAGGTATGTATTAGCGGTATTAGCGGGGTATTTTTTACACACATTTCTCTACTAATAAGTTCAGTCATTCGTTCTTTGACCAACTATCGTCAAGAGTCAAATCCAGTTTATCGAAAGTTACTACTATTACTAAAAAGACCCAGCGCCCAGCACCCTCACAAGGGGAACATTATGCTTTATGTATCCGCAATATCTACTCCATCCGACTAGCACATAGCACAAAACTGCGTCTCCCTTGTTATCAGAGGCTGCAAAGGTTAAGGAATATAACATCGAAGATCTAGATAATAAGATTTTTTGCGGGAAGAGGCGACAGATATACATCCATTTGTTGAGTTTACCTAGTACTTACCTATGGAGCTTTGCTTACCGGTCATCCATGGACATTAGCTCCTGATGCTGGGATACACAAACTTATTACTACACGATCTCATTACATTCCTTATAAATGGCGAATATAAGCATCCCCACATCATGCTAAAACTAATTCAATCTCTATCACAAAGCCCGAGTTTTCGCCATCAACACAATCAGCAGGAATACGGAAACAGAGAAAGCCTCAGCCATGTTTCCCGACCATCATCCAGCCTGCCAGCATATTAATCGTCGCTGGAATCTTCCATGATCGACGTTGACGCATCACTTCTATAATATTGCATACTCCCCCGGTGTGCTTGCGTCCTTAGGATACATTTGGACCCTGGGCTGCATAGTTATGTCCCGCCGCCAAGCTCATCCTACCAGCTTATGGTGCTACTATTCCGGTCCTGTGCCACTCGTCAAATCTAAGGTATTGGCAATACAGCGCACTTATATATATGTCGGAGCCAGAGCTGTATTACTCGAACGGTGACCCCGAGCACAACATTGCGCTACAGCAGACGGTTCAGTAACCACGGCGTGCTGCTTGCACAGGTCACAATCTTAAATGTTACCGTATGGATATATCACATTCGACCTTAGTCCCCGCGGCTACGGTACCTCTCCGGACTCTCTCTCGCTATCCTTAGGCGACCTGAGGCAATAAAACCAGCGTCTCTCTTTTTCCTTCTTCGGACTAATGGAAATGCTCGACGAGCGTTGATGGCTGCGTGATGGGTGGTGCGTGGTTGCGTCCACTAAGATATTATGTATGTACGAAACCATCCCGTGGCTGAAGTGAGTTAAGAGGAGACCGCATGGCTGGATTGTCATTACGGTAATGCAAGGTCTTTTAGATGGGAATGTCGAACTAAAGTCGACGCGGGATGGTATACCCGTCTCATGATCGCGCCTAAACATGTTTGATCGACTGGCTATAGCGGAAATGGATCTAAGTATACCTACTCTAACGCCTAACCCCTTATCCTCTCCCCCTCACTCTTCGTTGCTAGAGTGGCAGAGTGCCATCGCAAACCCCTCTATACCTACAGATATACCTACCTAGGTACATACCATGTACCTAGACACGCCCGCATGTCGAGCCCCTGCACCGAGGGGTTGGTCACGTTGTTTAGTCTCGAAGCTTTTCCGGGTCTCCACATGCATCTGATGTTCGAAGTGGGGGCTTCAGTCGGGAAAACGTCATAACCCAGACCCTAGACTGAGGTCCCGTGTGACGTGCCACAACACAGTGCTGCGCGCACTTATCGTACCTAGTAATTATAAGTACCAACCTCGGTAGGCTTGTAATTATTCGTCTGCCTTACTTCCGTTCCAACCTCTACCAGTCTGCCCTGCCTGCCTGCCTACATACCTACATGCATAGGTAGACATACAATCTATGTGCGTGCGAACGTAGGAGTCTAGAAACCGGTTCAGCAATGAGATGGATCTCAACTCAGCTGAGTTCTAACTAAAGCACAAGGGCAGATCGAATCCACATGTTCTACAGACATACCTACATATACATATATGCGTAACGGCATGCTACGTTATATCTGTCACATTTTATCTGTGCATTGTAGCCTTGACGGGTAGGTGGTTATGGTTACAGCTTGGCCGAAATCCATAAAGGGTAAAGAGGAGATCGTCATCGTTTGTTTCCGCATCTCTCGGCTACAGGCGACCCGAAGCCACTTTGAAAACATTTCCAAAAAAAAAAATATTACAAACCCCTTCCACGCAACGAACCAAACACCCAAACATCTATTGGCTGCCAACACGATAACTTGGCGAGGCTTATTTCAAACTTCAGATTAAATGAAACGTCTTTTATCTCCATGAATGACTCCGAGGTCGAGACCTTCTCGCAAAAATAGCTCGCTTATAATATACCATAGATATAGGGGATAGTACCCTAATATCGTGTCTACTAAAGTCCGTCCACCGCATTAGTTCTTATCATCTGAGACCACTGCGATTTTTATTCTCAATATTATAGGACCTAGGTAGTTTCCTCTTCACGGAGACAAGGAATTAACCATCACGTCGCCAGTATTACCTGATTTAATTTAGCTAATTAGAATCACTTAGGGTACTGCACACACATACACTGGCATGTCAAAAATTTGAATCCGTTTTGTTAAGCCTGAAGTCACAACTCCGTTACGCCAAGCCATTATTCCTAATGTAGATTAGTATTTAATAGCCTCGCAATCCTGGTATATCTCCTGTACAATATCTATATCTTCAATAACTTGATCAATATAAGGTCAATTTCTTTCGAATTAAGCTTATTGAAATGTTCAAGTAGTATAGTTTTTAATGAACCAGGTTGCACCACTTGAAACCCTCGTGAAAGATAATAATATGGTGGTTTGCTTTAACCCCTTTATGATTGATGAAGAAGAAGGAAGACCACTCCTTTAACATATCATAACTCAATCTACAATAGTCAGAAAGAGGTGCAACCAGGCTATTTTTATTCGCATAATTGAAAGCTACACTTTGATACTAATTAAGACCGAAACAGACGTCATTTCAGTAAGTTATTCAAGTGCAAAGTTAGGAAGTAGTTGATAATAGGCACTGAGGGGTGAGAGATCTAAGCTATCTAAATTTGGTATAGTGGCTTGGCACAGTTTGGTGTGACTTCAGGCTTAACAATACGGATTCAAACTTTTGACATGCCAGTGTATGTAGCGCAACTCGTACTATAGTGGCGAGTTCTCTGTCTTCGAATAACAAGAATTGTCGTACGTCGTACTCTTCTCGCGTTATTAGTGACTTGTCCTATTTTCGAAACCCTACTAGGTAGTCTATGCCGGCTTCAAATATTGTGAGTTGAGAAAAAAAAATCCTGTTTTGGCTCTACTTTAACCTAACAGCTGAGCGAATCTCGCTGCGGGTTAAGTTGACATATCTATTTTCCCCGCACCTACACTACGACACGTTTTACAAGTGGACGAGTTCAGCTCGATATGTATAGATGGCGCGTAAGGTCGCCAGCAGAGCGGCGTACATGCATCCATATTTTTGGTCTAGAACCTAGAACTACCGAGATCAGCGATATATCGTTGATTTGGGCAGTTAACACACCAGCGATAATATGCAGTCAAACAAATGAGGAAATCCGGTGTTTTATTATTGGTAGCAACAAAAATATCGATGTCTTCTTCACAAGACTCGTGTACGCCCATTTTTTAACATCCGAAAAAGGGGGGGTTGGATTTCCCATCGTAGAGTGGCTTTTCAGCACGGCTGCAGTGCTACTCTCAAACGTGAGAATCGGCTGCCGATATTACATGTCCTGTCAGCCTGTCCACTTCTAGACATGACATGCAGCACAGATGCAATATCCATCCAAGCACCTCGCGTTTCCCATCAAGCATCACATCAGGCATTGTCTCAGACCCTACAGCAATACTTTAGACGCCACACTCAGAAGCCACGCAGCATCATGCCAACCGCCTTCGTCTGATTTCGGAGGCGGGATCCTTTCTTCCGGGATATTCAAGATGCGTTCAAAATCCGCCGTGCTCGCACTACGTGGGACATGACTCCCTTCGGTCTCATCGTCCGACTCGCCGTCGGCATTGTCTGATTCCTCTTCGTTCTCCTCGACGGAGAAAAGAGACCACATCCACGAGCTCATTCCTCCGTTCTTTCCACTTACTAATTTCCGTACGGCTGCCTCATCTGATTTGCTTGTATCTACTTCAAAGGCCTCCAGCTTCTCATCTAGACTCACGAAGTCCGGACCCTGTATGAAATCATCTGCCGTTACTTCTTGGCTGAAATAGCCGTCATGTGTGTGACGTTCTACGGGCGTTCGTAGATGTGACCTACTTCCGGCCCTACTTTGGGAGCGGCTGCCGTAACGACTGTTCGGTGAATGGAGATCATCGTCCGCACTCGCTACACTACCACGACGACTACCCCGTCTGCTTGTAAGTTCTCTTTCCCTAGCCACTTCTCGTTCGTATACCTCTTCATCAACGTCGCGCATACCAGTCAAGCTAGTCGAGCTTTGCCTAGAAACAAGCCAGGCTTGACCCTTAGACTCTCGTGTCTCCGAGCTAATCAAGGCCCCGGTACGTAACATCCAATCGCTATCACCTCGTTCTTTAGCCTCGGACGATCCACGGTGGTGTGGAAGAGGCGAAAACGACCCCAGCCCAGCACGTTTCGCATTCGATATAGCTAGGTGAGTCGTAGACTTGCTCTTTGGTAATTTCGCGTCTGATATGTCGTGAGCGGAGGTGCGGCGACGGCGGGTGGGCGAATTGCCTCGGGTATGAGACGGAGATTGGAGTAAACGAGGGGTCGTAGGGGCAGATTTGCCTTGGAGGTAGGAAACATTGTGCTGATGTTGGAACGAGGCGGCCCCAAAGTCGGGAAGCTCTTCGGGGTCGGTTAAAGGGAATCTAGATGTAAGGGGAGCGAGGGAAAGGTGTTGGAGATTTGTAGTCGACCTATTTTTTCGACGTGCCTGGTTGGCATGTTGCTTGTAGGCGACGTCCATTATTTGCGATTACGTAGGAGATAGTTTATCCAAACGCTATGGTCGGTAAGACAAAATAAACAGCAAGACAGAGTTCAAACAATGTCAAGAAAAATACCCCAGATATCTTAGTAGATTGAGATGTCCTTCAATTGAATTGTATATTTGGGAAAACAAGGAATGATTGAATAGGGGAGCCACTTTCGAGTTTTGACACGCAAAAATCGAACAATGACTTGCAGATCGTTCGAGCAAGGGGGTCGGCAAAGCTTGCTGGAGCTTTGGCCACTTTGCGCTGTACATAGTACTATCGACGTCTCCGACTGGTGATGCCTTCCCGAGGTCCGCCGACCCACCACCGAGGTTTCCAAAATGGAAATCGAACGCACTGACCAAACTTTAAAAAAATATGGTCAAGCCTGGACCTTCCTAGGGAATATACAGTAAAAATGTCTATAGAAAAGTTTGTTCGCACGGTCTTATAATCGTCATTACATCAAAACTTCTATATTCATGGATCACACTTTCGCTGCAAGCCTACCTTGATATACCTGGGTGTCTTACAGTTCATGGTTTCGCCATACCATACTTGGCATTTCCAACATGCGCAACCTACGAAACATTCGATACAATGCGTGGAATTCGTCAACTGACTTAAATGGCGAGGCCATCACATCAACATGCTGGGACCCTGCTAAAGACGAAGTTTTATGTACTTTCGGCCCGAGCGACCAAGATGGGCACATACGTCTAATAAGGATCTCGGAACACGTGAGAGCTTCTTCAATAGACATGTGAGTTTAGATCATTGTTTCGGGGACACCCGACATTTAATTTTATTCACTAGATACTCACTATTCGTGTCTATAGTGAGTGTCAAGAGGTTGCATCATGGGATGCTCCAAGTCCAAATCCAGATTTAGCTGTTGATAGAGTCATAAGTTCGCATCATTTCAGTGACACTCTCACGACATGCCTGGTTCTGGAAGGTGGCGACATAGTTGTCGTTCAAGAGTCAGAAGGCTCGAACCCTCAGGATGGAGTCCATATCGAGATTATGGGCTCCATAGATGAGGGCATCACGGCTGCAAGTTGGTCTCCAGATGAAGAACTACTAGCTATAACCACCAAGGCGAACACTGCAGTTTTCATGAGTCGTGGTTTTGATGGCATAACTGATATGACATTGACTACCGACGATCTCAAAGAATCGAAACATGTCTCTGTTGGCTGGGGTAAGAAGGAAACACAATTCCAAGGCAGGGGTGCCAAAGCTCTACGAGATCCTACTATACCAGAGAAAGTAGATCAAGGTGTTCTTAACCCTAATGATGATGGTAGTACCACCATTAGCTGGAGAGGCGATGGCGCATACGTTGCTATTAACTCCATCGAGACGGACATTCGTCGAGTCATTCGAGTATATTCTCGAGATGGCGTCCTTGATAGCGTAAGTGAACCTGTTGATGGTATGGAGGGTGCCTTGAGCTGGAGACCGGCTGGAAATCTTATGGCCGGTATTCAACGCCTCGAGGATCGTGTCGATGTCATTTTCTTCGAGAGAAATGGTCTTAGGCATGGTCAGTTCTCATTGAGAGCTCCTGAAAATAGATCTCTTGCGAAGGATCAAATACGGCTTGAGTGGAATTCGGACTCTACCGTTCTAGCCGTCACTCTTGATGACCGAATACAACTCTGGACCATGGGCAATTATCATTGGTACCTAAAAGAAGAAATCCTTACCCAGAAGCGACCCTATTGCCTTACATGGCACCCCGAGAAACCGTTGCGCTTCGCATCAGCAATCTCAGGTAAGCTATTACTTGCGGAGTATATCTTCGAGATAACTCGCGGATCACTTACTCCACCATACGACCATGGAGCTGTTGCAGTTGTTGATGGCAAGACACTTAAACTCACACCATTTCGGACTGCTAATGTCCCACCTCCAATGTCATTGTTCGAAATCCAAACATTATCACCAATAATCGATGTCGCATTCTCTCCGGCGAATACATTCATGGCTGTTCTCCATCAGCTTGGTGTAAATGTGTACGAATGGAAAGTCAAGGAACATCGCTCTGTGCTTCCATCTCTAGTTGGTAGCGTGAATTTCACTAGGGACAACACAGATGAGGATTACACACCCTTACAAATCGCTGTCACCGAGAACAGTGTTGTTCACTGCCTAGGATTCGATAAGGCACCAGTAATCCAATCGCATCCCTTTGATCGAACCACCGGTGAATTCTCGTCTAACACGAGTATATATGCTGGTTCGATGTTTGGTTTCGTGCGTCTAACTCAGGCAGGCTCTACTGATGTCCTAGTTCAGGATTGTTTAGGTAGACTTCACGGCGTCGTTAACCAAGAGGATGAGCTGTACTCAACCCGCCTTCCAATTCAACTTCCGTGGAGCGAAGTTGTCGACCTAGCCGGAAACGTTATCGCAGTTGGGTTATCCAGGAATGGCCACTTATATGCAAATTCCCGTCTCTTGCTCAAGAATTGCACATCCTTCCTGGTGACACCAGCTCATCTCATAATTACCACCACTAACCATCTACTCAAGTTCATCCATTTAGTCGATGTTGATAGTAAGTCTCTTGGGTGTCGTTACTGTATCTCACAACTGACTCTCGTTATAGATTTAGAGATGCCACCAGATGACCCTGAAAATGATGAGAGATGTCGGAATATCGAAAGAGGTGCAAGACTTGTGACGGCAACACCCACAAATATGAACCTTGTCCTCCAGATGCCCCGTGGAAACCTAGAAACGATATACCCCCGAGCTATGGTTGTAGCTGGAATTAGGCACCTAATCGATGCCAAAGACTATGGGAAAGCATACTCATATTGTCGGACGCAACGTGTCGACATGAATATTCTCTATGATCATAGACCGGAACAATTCTTAGGGAACGTCGGGCTTTTCCTTGACCAACTTAATGATGCTTCATACATTGATCTTTTCCTGTCATCTTTACGGTAAGTTCTCATGGCTATAGTATGCGAACGCATTGCTGACTTCATACAGTGAAGAGGATGTCACGCAAACAATGTATAAAGATACAAGGGGTGGGAGGAACCAAGAAGCACCAGAGATTGCCTCTGGCGAAGTTGCGGCTACCCTCCCTGGAGGTTCTTCAAAAGTCAACACGATATGCGATGCAGTACTATCTCATCTCCAGTCTCATAAACACAAGGACCATGATGTCCTACAGAATATCATTACAGCCAATGTCTGCAAAGCTCCGCCCGCGTATGAAGACGGTTTATTAGTCGTTGCCGCCTTACTGCAAGAAGACGAACAGCTTGCTGAGAAGGCTGTTGAACACATTTGCTTTCTCGCAGACGTCAACACTTTGTACGATGCGGCTTTAGGTCTTTATCACCTAGATCTGGCATTGCTAGTTGCGCAACAATCACAGAGAGATCCCCGAGAATATCTTCCATTCATTCAGAACCTACATCAACTCCCTGAATTAAGGCGAAACTTTGCCATAGATGACCATCTTGGTAGATACGAGAAAGCCTTGACTCACCTTCAAACCCTTCAAGCGCATAAAGAAGCTCAAGGCTATACGGCCAAGCACGCACTCTACGCCACAGCTTTGAAGTTGTATCGTTATGACCAAGCTAACCTTACTATACTCACCGGCCTCTACGCGATATATCTCGAGTCTAAATCACGGTTCCGAGAAGCTGGCCTCACCTATGAATCCCTCCACGACTACACAGCAGCAACCCGGTGCTACCGCGCCGCTGGTGCCACCTGCTGGCGCGAGTGTCTCTTCACAGCACAACAGCAAACCCCTGCGCTCGCACCAGACGCACTTACCGACCTCGCCTCCGCCCTCGCCGAAGCGCTCTTCGAAGCCAAAGATTACGCCTCGGCCGCGACCATCCACCTCGACTACCTCGGCTCGCTCGAAAGCGCCATCTCCAACCTATGTAAGGGATACCACTTCGCCGACGCCATGCGCCTAGTCTCGCTGCGCGGACGACCCGAACTACTAGCCTCGGCCGTTGACCCGGGGCTCGCGGACGCATTAGGCAGCACTACCGAGTTCTTCGCCGACTGCAAAGCGCAGCTGCGCGCCCAAGTCCCCCGCATCGCAGAGCTGCGCCGCAAGGCCGCCGAGGACCCCCTCGGCTTCTACGAGGGCGAGCGCGGAGGCGGCGTCGACCTCCCAGACGATGTATCCATCGCAGCCAGCTCTCGCGTAAGCACCAGCGCCAGCTTATTCACGCGGTACACCGGCAAAGGAGGTAGCGTCGGCACAGTGGGTACGGGGGTAAGTCGCGCAACGAGCAAGAACCGCAAGCGCGAAGAGAAGAAAAGGGCGAGAGGTCGCAAGGGCACCGTGTACGAGGAGGAGTACCTAGTCAACAGCGTGCGTCGCCTCGTCGAGCGCGTGGAAGGCACGAAACCCGATGTCGAGAGGTTGGTTTTCGGACTCACGCGCCGCGGTATGCATGAGCGGGCTAGGGCGTTAGAGAGTTTGGCTGCGGAGGTTGTGGATGCGTGTGGGGTTTCTGTTACGGAGGTTTTCGCTGCTGCGACTGGGAAGGCTGAGGAGGGTGGAGAGGAAAGGGGGAGGGAGAACGGGGAGGGAGAGTGGAGGCCTATGGGCGCAGATGCGGTTTTGCTTGAGAACCTCGAGGCTGCGTGGCGGAAGCAGGATCCTCCTAAGATTACGGGGATGGAGAGGTTGTCGTTGCTGGGGTCGTAGGTAGATGTGCATGTATGTATGTATGAGAGGGGTAACGGATAGGGGATGGGAGAAGGAATAGGTATGGTTAGATAAAATTACATTAGGGGAATGCGCATGCGATATGTGGATGGTACATAGGTAGATATGAATCTACGCTTAACAACTTGGAAGTATAAACCAATGTAGAGTTCGTGCTTAACGTACGTACGTAAGTGTAGTCGTGAATGCGTTATATACATTTATTTTTACAGATCTAGATAAATCGTATTTTTACTCTGGAACCCTCTTTTTTTCATTCCTCGCTTCCTTCTTACGAAGACGGCGGAGGCGGCGTCTCCTCGCTACCTGTTTCTAACGGAGTTTGCGGTACGTCTTCGGTCGCCTTTGCTTCTGTTTCTGCTGATGTCGATGTCGGAGCTGGGATACTGCCCGTTTCTTCGGATAGGGCGCTCGCGTTTCGCTGCCTCTCCATATTCCTGGCCATGACCTCGCCGATCTTCTCGAGCATTTCGATGGTGAGGCGGGGCTTGCCCTTCTTCTTCTTCTTCTCGCGCTCGGCGCGGTGCAGCTCCTGCAGGGGCGTGCGCATGGTTTCGACGAGCTTCTTGCGGTCCTTCTCGGCCTGTTCCTGGGCCTCGAGGCGCGCGATGTACTCGGGGTCGTGGCGCGTGCGGAAGCGGGAATACTTGCCGCGCAGCTCGTCGATCAGCATTTCTGGCATGGGCGGGCGCAGCAGCGTTGGGACGAAGGTCTTCTCTTCGACTTCGATACGCAACGTGTCGTTCTTCCGGTCCTTTATGTCCTTTTGCTCCTTCTCCGGCCATGGGATCACGGTGTTGATTCCTGGCACCACGCGGTCCCATATTCGCTTGCCGGTGTACCGGTCGTGGATGATGTTGCGGGGCTCGATTCGGTTGATTATCACATCTTTCGTGATGCCTGTCTCGGGGTTTTGGAGCGGGTACACGAGTCGCACGCGGGATATAGGCATGCCGAGCTCCATGCTCATGACGTTAACGGTGTCGGACAAACTGATGTCGGGGTCGGTCGATACGTTGCTCTATATATTTCGATATTATTAGCCATCCTTTCTATGAGGTCTACCTTGCCGTAGTAAGACTGTATGATGTAGGTAGGTAGGTGGGTAGGTAGTTTGAGAGGTATTACCCTGTTCAATCCCTCGACATATACCTCCCCTACACTAGACTCGATCCGCGTGACTCTTCCGATACGGCCTTTATCCGGACCAGCCAACAGCACAACCCGATCATTAACAGCGAGGCAGAAGAAGGTTGTGCCGCCGGCCCAAGAACTCCGCTCCGCGAGCTGGATCTGCGTCGGCTTTCCAAACGTCGCGAACCGGGTCTCTGGGATGGCGCCCCGCGAGCCGGCGTAGACGCCGACATCGTGGCGCGGGGCCATCGGACCCAGCTCCCATGCGTCTTTAACCGCCTTCTTGGCGTCGCGGTATTGAACTTTGGCGGCCTCCAACTGCTGCTGTTTCCGGAGCCGCTGCCGTGTGAATTCCTTCTTGTCCCGGCCCTCTATCTGCTTCTTGTGGCGCTTAGCGACTGCCCGCTCGGCGGTCGCTACACGGCGGAGGATCTTCTGCATTTTCTTGTGGCCGTCTCCTTTTTCTTCCCTTTTTCCTCTTTTTAATACTATTCTCTTTCTTTTTAAAATTTATTTCCGGCCCTCCTCCTCTGGACGCGGGGGATTGGGAGTGGTCGTCAGTAGGAGGTTTTTGAGGGCCCTCGTCGGTCGTGTGCGTGGGATTTGAAGCTGGCCAAATTTTCGAAGCTTTCAATGGACCAATTGGCTAAGGGCAATCATTGGTGGCGGTCGGGACTTCTAATTGGCTGTAGTCCAATTCGAGGTTATCTGGGGACTAACGGCGGAAAATCTAGACTCCGATATCCCACATGCACATGATGCACTATCGATATACATACTTAAGTATGTACCTAGGTACTTCTCCAAATGCCAAGACACACATGCATTAAAGGTCATGACTGTTTCAATGTTATCGGCTTATCTTATATCTGCCATGCAACTCAGCTGCAGACTTCATGCTTCGTGTCGAGCTTGAACTCCGTATTAAAGCCAAATATATTTCGTCATATAAGCTGCCTGTTCAATTGATCCAATCTGATACCACCATAGCCTACTCGAACAACAATCAACTCTGTGGCAAGTGATATATCATCCCTCGGAACTATGGCCCGGTTTATGAATGGATTCTTTTGCAGCCGGATTTCGTTGTGCCACGAAAGCTTATTACTCCGGACTTTGATATTATGTTGAACCACCTGGTCATTTACCCAACATACCGGGTCCTGTGTTACTCATGTGAAATATCTAGACAGATTGAACTAGAGCTGTGACTTGTCCGTAGCTACATTCTCATATACCCTGCTTGTCTGTATATGTAGGTAAGTACCCAGGTATGGTATATAAAATCACATGTATCATCACTTTCACAAGAGCCTTTTGGCAGTTTAACGTCATATACTACTTTCTTTAAGCTTCCTGACAAATCTGATATTCCACATCAGGTTCGGCAAGGCACAGGTCGTGGTATCACACATAGGGCTTAAGGGCCTCGTTAAATCCCAGGGTTTCGGCCGATTACCCGTTTAGCATCCCATGGGAAAGTGAGCTAAAGCTTTAGTGAGAATAAGAGTTGGATTTAAAATGAGAATCGCCCGTTACTTATCAATCTAAAAGGCTATCGAGTCTTGTAGCCTAAAATGTTGGTTGCTAGTATTTTTGAATGTGTTATCGAGACGTGGTTGTATTTTGATGCGTTATGAAAGCCATTGATACCAAACCGTTGTTCTTTTTGCTCATACGGTGTCAAGGTTAAATAGATTAGATGATGTATTGAGTCAGTACAGAGTCACAAGCGAGCCAAGCCACAACGACTACTGAGTCTTAGAGCTCGGACTAACCCGTTTTGAAAGGGAAACAACTGACAACGCCGTAAAGATAATAAGCTAGACGAGCCAAAGAAATAAGGAGAAAAAAAAGAAGTAAAAGGGGAAAGAAAAAAAAAAGAAGGCTAGGCGGTACCAAGCCACGGGGTTTGCTCGTATGAAACATAAGTCGCGGCGGTTCGTACGCGTATGCCGAACACCCCCACAACTCGTATCAACGGGAATGGCAGACAAAGAAAAGCAGATTGCGCGATAGGGGAGAAGGCGCGGGAATGACAATAGTTACTGAGCCACACTTGCTCAGCTAAAGCCCGGATCAAATGATGGCTGCTGCGGCGTTCAGTCGGTGAGAGCTCTCACATCGCGAGGACGCAAGCTCCTTGAAGATCTACCTAGCTCGCAGCTCGGTACCCAGGCACAGCTAGACAGTAGGTTCGAATCGACTCAAACATGCTGTCTCTGCTGGAAGACGATCTTTCCGGCAAGACTTCCGTATCGTAACAGGAATTCCATGCGGTAATACTCACGTACATCGTACATGCAATTCGATATTGGGCTCTTCGGTGTTAAATACCAACACCCCTTTCCCTGAGTCAGCGAACGTATGTCCAACTCATACCTAAGCTAGGATGATATGATTTTTGGAAGTTTATGAGATATGACCTTGGCTGTACATATTCTCACAGTGTGATTGTCTTTTGATCTTTGGTCTCTTGAATTGCCACGCTTCTTAATTCTGTCAACGTCAGTGTTTATCTTCCAAGTTTTCGTCTCTATACGTCGTATAGATTCATAGATTCATATATTCCTAACATCACATCGTATTAGTAAAATTATAATCCGCGTAGAACATGTCTATACCATCATGGCATGAGAGACAAGAAAGGCTAAACAAGGCACAGGGCTGCGCACAGACCTACTAGGTATGTATGTACGTTACGATAGTCCAGATGCATAATTCAATGTTCATAGGTTCGTTTTGCATAGGATGTAGGCAGGCAGTAATTAGTGTAAATTGTAGAGGTGGTAGGCAGGCATGGCAGGGTAGGGTACCTATCTTCAAATGCTGTGGGACGGGCTTCGCAGCTCTCGGTGGGTTGCCTCCTCGATTTCCGAACGCAAGGACCTAATCAAGGCCTGTGAAATCTGTGAAATGGGAATGAGATGGTCCTAAATGTACTTGTACTCTAGGGCAAAAGCCGAGCCAGTGCGAATCCAGTAAAGGCAGGACGTGCAGCGGGTCTTCCAGGTCGTCATAATGCAATTGAACATGTGGTAGGTACGTGTGTCCGCCTTGGTTGTACAGGCAGATGTACAGGTACATCCGTCGTAGTGTGCAGATTTTCAAGGACTTTGGTTGTTTTTGGTTGTTTGAATGGTTTTTTGGCTGGTAGGACCTTTCACCAAAACTGCCTACAAATCCTTAACATGCTCCACTAAACCCTGCCCGCGTTAGGCACTTGTGACTGCCCAGATTGCCCCAGGTGGTTGCCAGCGTCCCTTATTTGGCTTATTTTGGTGACCCGGCACCGCCGCTTCTGTTCAAATGTTGTCGCTTTGGTGGACTGGTCGTGGTGTACCTGGCTACTACCTGGCTACCTACCTCCTAGAACCTTACTAGGTAGGACGTTTAGGTGGAAAAAAAGTGTGTTTATGTACATTCATAGTGCCGTACTATGCGTAGTGCCTGCCTTATCCTACCTATTATCCAGGCCTATCCATCTACCAGGACCTACCAGGATACATACCTTGCTGGTGCTACCGCCTACCGCTGTCAATTGCAGCAACCTTCTAACCTACTACCTTCCTAACCTCTTTCCTCCTTCTTACATTCTCCATCTCCAATCTCCCTCCATCTTCTTCCATCATCCAAACCTCCAAAGGGAGATACCTGACGAACGCTTGCGAGAATTCATTCATCAAGCCTTTTGAACTCTGTTCTTTTCTTGCATATTCTCTGAATACCCCGACCAAATCTCGCCTTTTTTTCTCTGCCCCTAATCTAGCAATCCTTCAACCATGGCTGAGATCCGCCGAAAGCTGGTCATCGTCGGTGACGGTGCCTGTGGTAAAACTTGCTTGTTGATGTACGTCGCCGAAACAACCAACCACCATAACAAAAATCTTTTTTTTCTACAATGCTAATCTCAACTATAGCGTCTTCTCCAAGGGCACTTTCCCCGAGGTAAGAGAATTATGGCTTCGTCGTCGCCGCCATTTTCCAGTTCCCTTTTCTCCAACAGTCGCCCGCGTCATCGAAACAAAGGAACATCGATATTGGTCCAAATCCATCTAAACATTCGAACTGCTGCCTTGTCGCCCATTGATATCATCATGATCATGCATCGCGTCTCAACATATAACACACAAGTGCGTAGTGCATTATACTAACAAAATCTTGTTTTTAAATTAGGTCTATGTCCCTACCGTTTTTGAGAACTATGTCGCCGATGTCGAGGTTGATGGCAAGCACGTCGAATTAGCCTTATGGGATACGGCTGGTCAGGAAGACTACGATCGTCTCCGACCTTTGTCTTACCCCGATTCACACGTTATCCTAATCTGCTTCGCTGTCGACTCCCCCGATTCTTTGGACAACGTTCAGGAGAAGGTCAGCAAACTTCCATTCTCCTTATAGCCTGCATCACGCCTCCCGGATAAGCAATTTGCTGACACGTGCTCTACCAATAGTGGATTTCCGAGGTTCTTCACTTCTGCCAAGGTCTACCTATCATTCTCGTCGGCTGCAAGAAGGATCTGCGCTACGACGCTAAGACGATCGAGGAACTACGTAAGACCAGCCAGAAGCCCGTCTCTCCTGAAGAGGTAAGTTCTCATCTCAGCCTTACTGTGTTTATCTGTATTTGTGCAGCGTTGCGATGCACGAAACGACCTGCCCTATGACAGCCTCGTCTCGTCTCGCCCCGTCTCGCCGGGGGCGGGGGGGGGGGGCGCGGGGCGGGCCGGGGGGCGGGTGGGGGGAGGGGGGCGGGGGGGGAGGAGTGGGGGGC